AACGCACAGAACAGCCCTCTGTTGCAGGGTCCACTGTAGGCCCTGCTACCCCTTCGTCTTTAGCCGCCGCCTTACAGGCATTTCCTCAGGCCTCTACGGAGCCGTACCGACAACAACCGCGGTTAGTGTTTGGAACAAACCAACAAACGCCAGGAAAAGCACCCTTTCCAGCAATAGTCCTAGACCCTGGCTTCAGAGCTGCAGCCTCGGAAGACCGCATGATTTGGGCTTTCGTGCAAGCAATGGATAAGATGGCACGTGGCGAGGTCTAAAGAGGGAGCCACGCTTTACATTACATTCATTGGGAAGTTTATGGAAATATAATATTGGGCCAAGCACAGATAAGGATGTAGTGGTAATTTGTTTCCGAGAAATCATGCATTGCACACCAATGTATATCATTCGTTTAGTTGTTGCTACACTAGATGAGCTGAATACACTTTTGTCGTTTTCCTGTTTGGCCCTTACGATGTTATCGCAGCTCGTTGGAACGAGTTGCTATTGTATAGAACGGCGTTACATTATGGAAGCTATCTCCATGACGCTGAATTTGTCTATACTCTAGCAATCAGGGAGTGGATTATACTCTTCGCTTATTTTATGCTCGTCCCGGCGATGTCGCATCCGATCGTCCCAGGAATCGAAACCCACCTCGCACATCCCACACTGAATCGGTACCTGATCCAAGTCAGCTAGTGATATATATCAGCTTATGGCTTGGGGAGTATACCATGTAGCGCTTGGCCAGCTCTTCTGGAATATATGAGAAGTCATCCTCATCGTTATATACGATATGTACCGAGACATTTGACTTCGGCTGAAGGGACTTGCACAGCTCTCCAAAAGCGGGCGGCACTGGCTTTCGTAACGCGTCCTTAATGTCTCTTGAGGCAAGGACATGGAGCCAATTGCAGCAAATGAATAAGTTGTGTGAACGGTCATATCCGGCCACGTACGGCATGAAAATCTTCACCTCGCAACTAATTCCCTTAGCTCTAAAGAGCTTAGCGATATCCTCTGCCTCTTCTTTGAATGGAGGATAACCGTCTTCTAACGGCGGTAGGTCGTTTGCTTCGAGGAAATCGTTAAATTCTGAAAAGCTGAGCCGAAAGCCTTGAATGAGAGTGACCAGGCCCGTTCTATAGTAGGTATGGCGTGTAAGTTGTATACGAAAGGTTTCGTTGGTTGGCTTATATACAAGCTACAGGATGTTCTAGATAATTGACACGAGTGGCAGAACTAAGTGCTAGAAGCCGAGGATTTCTTAAGCGTCTAGTAATTATAAAGATACTACGGGAGGCCTCATCTGCACCTCCGCAGAGTCTAAGCCTACTGAGATAGCGCCTTAGCGCCTTGGCGTTCTCCACGTAAAGGGTCTTAGTTCAGCCCTGAAGCTGCCCGGCTACGATTCTTATCATTATTAATTATTCTCACTTGCTCAAAAATCCAACATATTCCTAGTTATCTGTACTTTTCCTTACGATCTACACGCACAGGTCGGTATACTATACAATGTGATATCTCGCCAAATAATCTTATGGTGAATGAGGAGCATGGCAGCCTCTCCTGGCCCGCAATCTTGATCGATCTCAATCTTGCCATCAAGGAGCAGCGGGAGAAGTCTTCAGGAGCACGAGGGAAGACCGGTACTCGAGCGTTCATGGTAATCGGCGTGCTTCTAGACGATGAACAACATTCTTACATGCACGACCTAGAGAGTCGTTCTTCTGGGTGTTGTTCTGGTTATGCATTCACTATGACGGGCCGGGTAATAATACTATAGGAGCAACAGAGTATGACTGCTGGAACTATGAAAACGACCTAAAACTAGCTACGCTAAAGGCTGGTACTCATGGTGCCGAGAAGGATTGACATAAACGATACAAAGAGGCTCTTTACACCGTATTACCAGCCACTAATCCCTTACGTCAATAGGCTGCGGAGAAAGACTTTCCGTGGAGGTAGAAGATGGATGGTTCCGAATTCGAAGCTGTACGATGAGATGAAAGAGATACTTCGGACAGAAAGGGTTGAACTAGATGTGTAGAGCTATAAGCTCATATCTCTCATTCGAGCTAATGAGTGGAGGTATTCACATACAAACAATCAAAACCGCTAGAGGAATTAACAGGCTTGAAAGGAATGTACTTGATCATACGGTGTGGCCCTTATCGTTCTCGACACAGTGCATCGTCCCAAACCCTATGGACATGGCTCCATAATAAATAGGAGCAGCCGATCAGTGAGCAACCTCAATAAAGCGCCTACGACGTTGTTCTAGTCAATCTCGACCTTTCCCATTGAAGCTTCTCGTGAGTGCTTCTTTGTATACTCGTAAAGCCTATTGAATCTCAAGCAGTGTTGCAGAAACAAGTGGCTGGAAAAACGTGCTCAAAATCTATCATTTACAGGAGCTCTTAAAGCCTCATCGGGCGCATACAGATCACAATCACACTAAGACAATGCATCGATAAGTGGTCTTTCAAGAGAGCTATGTTAAAGTATCGAAACAGGGATTGGGAATAAGTATTCGGTACTTGACTCCCAAGGCTTTGCTTGGACACAGATCTCGAGATGTGATTTGAATGCTTATACGATACGTTATGATTGGAGTTTCAGGTTGTGAATATTGGGCGCGTGTGAACGCTATCCATCTGGTATGATGGGATAAAGAAATAACAATGACAGTGACGGCTTTTTAGTCTGTTTGATTATCGTGATACGTTAAACCCAGTAACACCATCTAGATTTCCAGCTCTACCCTGTCTATATTCAATCCCTCCACCATGACACTCACCCGGTCCGCTCCCCTCCACCTTACATTGACGTTTATACTCTCCCCTGGCCATAATGTTACAAAGTTATCTTCCCACACTGCACTACTAACATCTTTACCACTCCCATCTACGATGTTAAACTTAATGAAGAATGCCGGGACTTTCGCTGTGTTATTGACTTCCCAGGTAGCCTCCCCAGATATATTATTATACGATGAACCGAGAGATTTGAGAGCAATCTTTGACTGACCCATGTGGAAGAGGCATGTCAAATCGGCGTATTTCGAGACGGGCGTGTGATACCACGTCGAAGCATCCCAATCGAGAGCGTCTGGAGAAGGAGGGAGTGTGTAAACGCTGCGACTCAAGACTCTGTCGTCTTCATTCTTCATGATAATTCTGAGGGCGACGACACCAGCATCAGTAGGTATGTTCAGGTGCTCAATGACTTGCTGCGCTCTGTTCGCCAACAGGTCAAATTTTTTCTCATGGTGTGCAAGCTCATTTCCTTTCAGGTCAATAACGTCCACAGCGACACTTCGTGTCCCTGAGGTGAACGGCAGGTGGCTATACACCCACACGCTCCCATCGCCGTAATCGAATGCGGCATTCTCCATTCTCAGGGCATTCTTGACCCCATAGTATGCTGCAGTTGGCTTGAGATAGTAGTCGAACAGCTGCCAATGCAAGCTCGGCCAGGCGTTGTTCAACATCCAGTATATCAAGCCGGTCGCCGGGTGGTCAGCTGATTTCCGCATGCTATAGGCTTCGAACTGGGCGCGCGTCGCTTCGTAGTCCATGATCCCTACCTTCAGTAGATAGTCTTCTAGCGACGAAGGAGCTCCGTAGCGCGCGTATAGGGCGTTGTTATAGATTTTACGCGTATAGAACTGCGATACATTTGTCGACATATGATACAGTCCTTTCTCAGGTGCCGTCCATAGATCTCGCAGGTCTTCTTCAGAGAGGAATTTCCGAAGCGATGCGATGTCAGGCGTACCGACACCGGCTCCCAGTTCCGATCCAAACCCGAATGCGGCGCCGGATTTGTCGGAAGCCCAGTAGTTTGGCGGCACCCAGTCGTAGGGGCCTTCCATCTTCATACCACTTGGGCCGAGTAGCTCCGGGTACCCACGTTTCGCAGCACTTGCAATAATGGGGTTTTGCCAATCAAATGCTTTTAAGGCGTCGACGTAGATGGATGTTGCGCGATCGTCGGGCCAATAGTCGCTGCCGACGAGGAACCCAAGAACGCTTGGATGTGTCTGCATCATGGCGGCCTCATGGCGCATCGATACATTTGCGGTAGTGTAATCAGCATCAACCCACTTCTCGCCGTTTGCTTCGTCATTATACGTCCAGCCCTCCCATTTATCGCAGCATTCCCACCCAGGTAACACCATGAGACCAATATAGTCGGCAAGGGAGTAGAGGTCAGGATGAGATTGCTTGCCTTCTAGCCGGATTGTGTTTAGGCCCATATCGAGGACGCGTTGGAATTGGACATACAATTCGGACTGAGAGAAGCGGGAGAATAGGTCGGGAGTATAGCCGGCACCAAGTACGAAGAATGGGTGGCCGTTAACAGTGAATGAGGTGTCATTGTGAGCATTGACGCGGGAAACGACGTTCCGGATACCGAATCGGACAGGAGGGGCGATGTCGGTGGTCTGATTCGAGATAGTGGCAGAAAGCGATGCTATGTAGAGATGCTGGGAGCCCCAACCACTTGGCCACCATATCTTGGGTTTTTCAAGGGTAAGTGGTACGCGAACTGATTTTTGCTCTCCAGGCTGTAGAGTCACAGTGGTTGATTTGGTGGTTACGAGTGAGTCGTCTCTGTAGGGGAAGTCCCGAACTTCGGCAGTGAGGACAGTACTAACGACATTGTCACAATGATTTGTAACATCGGTGACAATCTCGATGTTGACGGAAGCGGGGTCTACTGTCGTGGGATTATCAGGAGCGAAGTCTGTAGCAACTCGCAGGGTCGACAAGGATACCTTGCCGGTCTGGTAAATCTCAATATCGCGCCAGACACCAGTGCCATTGTCGGGAGGGTAAGGGTTCCAGTCTATAAAGCCCAATGCAAAGTCGCGAAGATAGTTTGTGGGAAAGGCAGTAATGAGCAAGCAATTGTCCTTTAGCAGGTGTTCTGTGATGTCGTACTTAGAGCCTCCATATGCGCCCACCTGTGTGTACTCATCGGCTAGCATTCCACCATTGAGATGGATTTGGGCTCGCGAAGTTATGCCGTGGGTCTGGAGGAAGTATCGTTGGCTAGACTGCGTCTCGACATGGAACTCATAACGGTAATAGAACGGCACATTGTATCTGGAGTAGTCGACGGTCTTGTTGAGGTTGTCCGAAAAGAAGAGGTCGGTATCATGATAGACGCGATTTTCGAGAAAGCCCGCAAAGACTGTAGTTCTTGGGGACACATTCAGCCATGTAGAAGTGTCGAAACCTGGTCTCGAAATATGCTCAGGAGTATCAGTAGCATTTCGAGAGGATTGGAGCTGCCATCCTGGAATTACGAACTTGTCGCCTGCAGCAGCAACTATGCTCGACTGGCTGTGGTCACCTCGAGGCATTTCGGACGCGGCACTAGCTGCAGACGTGTATGCGGAGGGAAGAGCGGAAAGGACGAGGGCGAGAATGAGCCACATGTCCGAGTCGAAGATCCGGAGGCGACGACGCCTTGCAGGATGATGTGGAGAGGAAGAGGAGCATGTTGAAAATGCGGCAATGAGGGTGGTAGGTGTGGGCGGAGATTTAAGAGGTCTGTGTCAAGGTCAGACTTCCGTGGATGTGTGAATTGATGGAAGTAAACTTTGGTGCAGCTGTGGTGGCTGTGCAGGTGGGGTGTGGCGGGTGCATCATGAGAGTGACATGTTGACAGTGACCTCCTGCGACGCCGGTATTGGCCCAACGTCGTGTCACTACTAGGTATACTAATTGTCCTGCAGATATTCGATTTCAAACGGGCCGCTCTATGCAGGCATATCATATTCCAACTATATGGATACCTATGAATACCTAGGCATCATATAGCTCTCGGAGCTACGATTGGACGGTGGCTCCTGGTAGATACGGTCCTTTGTTTAGATCCGCGCAGACGTCTTGCTCCCGGTCGTCTTCTCTACACACCAGTCAACTTCAATCACCCATCGTCTGTGGATTCTGTCGTGGCCATCACTAACTCTTCCGGCTGTCGTAAAAGTTACCTTGTTCTTGCTGGACACCTCCCTGAGCACCTCCACTCGACCAGCCAACGCGATCCTTGACGAACTGCTCCACCCTCGGTTTCAGCTTCGTCTCCACAAGGTTAAAGTCGTCCACGGTTCCGAGTCGGAGAATGCTTTTCCCGGGAAATCCACTACTTACACGATACATGAGGGTGCCACAGGTTTGGCACCACACATTGGTCATGGCATTGCCTGTATCGATAGTCTTGTTCATGGTGAATTTGGCGAGCTTTTCGTGCCCACGCGTATGCATGAGATGTGTGTCTGCGATAATGAAGTTGGACGCGAAACACGAAGCTGTGACTTTGCGACAATCGGTACAGTTACAAAGAAATGAGTCAACAAAGCCTTCGCCTTCGACGGGCTGCACACTATAGTCAGCTATCAACAATTTGATGATGCATACAGCAGCTGACGGGAGTCTGAGTTTACAAAGGCAAGTTGGACGTCCCCGCAGTAACATGTCGCCGTGGCTTGTCCGTCAGGAAGCGACTCTCCTCCCAGAGGAAAGTATGAGCCTCCTCTCTTTGCGGCTTCAGATGCAGATGCGGAAGTCATATTGACTGTGATGATTGGTCAGGGTAAAGGAGGTAGTGCAGACTGGCATGAGGACAGTGCTGGACAGTTTCGACTCGTTATATATATATATATATACATTCGTCGATTCGTCATACACTTCCAAGTTTAGGTCCCGGACGCCCGTGGTCCGCGGCTCAGCCATACACCTTATACATATGAGATATTATGTGCTTGTGATGTCATGCATGCTGATTGGCTATTCGTGGAGCGGAATAACCGGATATCATTCTTGTTGCCTGAGGCACAGTTGCTAACGCCATGAATGCTGTTAAGTTTTCTAATCAAACCTCGGGATTAGCAAGCCTGACTATAGCTGATACTTCCAATCAATTGTACGTGCTTACCAATTCCAATCAACCATTACTATTCCGTGCCACATCTTAGCAACTTACGGAATACTTTGCCTGTGGAACAGGCTATCTTACTACACCGCTTCACATGCTCCAGATAGTGTGTAATAAACGATCAAGATAGTCATCGTATGAGGCTAATAACTCAAATCCTGCCAGCCATCACCCTTTCATTCCATACGTAGCCTTGAGTCGTCTGTCAAGATGTCCCCTTGCAGTGAGGACATTTCCGTCTTCCCCAGGCGCGCCAGCGCCCCCTCCGAACCCGACACCTTCCCTCTTGATAAGCTCATGCCTCAGCTGAACTCTCTTGCTAGGCACCGGTACAAGTCTTGCATCATCTTCAGGGTGACAGAAGTATGCTATTGAATAACGATCTTCGCCAGCTGCATCATTGCCCGGGTCTACGGATGGTGTCGGAAAGACGACACGATGTACTGTAGATTTGAGTAGACCATTCGTCCAGTAGGATAGCAAGTCTCCGATATTCACGAGAACGGGCAAGTCCTTGTCATTGAGAGGATTCAGAGGTACAGCAGACCAATCATTAGACGGTGTAAGGATCTCCAATCCCGGTTGACCAGGTAGACGGAACAGCAGCGTGATAGAACCATAGTCGCTGTGAGCACCAGCACGTATGTCTTCGGACGTAGCATCTCCTCCATACGCTGGGTAGTAGAGCAGCCGAAGCACACTTCCGGAAGGTCCTTTACTTCGATCATGTCGTTGCGAGAACCAGGTCTCACCGCCCTCGTCTCTGGGTATGTCGAGAGCTCTGGCGAACAAACGTAAGATCTGATTACAGAGCTCATGGCATTGGTCTGCAAATTGACCAATACGGCTCTCCTCCCTCGCCAAAGGTGGAGGTAGAGGTTGGTCTGCTTTGCCGTTAACGAACTCTCCAAGGTTGAAGGCCTCTTTGAAGTCCCCGCGTTTGTTTCTTGCCGGGTCGAGGTTTTCTGTATGCATCGAAAGCCACCCTCGGTTTTTGTGGGAACTATTGCTGTTGATTGTGGCTAGCTTCTTTACATCGACAGGAGAGTTGAAGAACGTCCGCGCCGTGTCAAACATGTCATCAACAGCCTGTGGCGTGATGGATGTACCATTGTATTTTACAAACACGAAGCCAAACGTCGCTGCAGCATCCAGTAGAGCGCTTGCAGTTCTATCGTTTACGGTAGAAATATCGATGACAGGTATCTGAGCAGCGTTTTTGGTTGTACTCGCAGGCATCTTTCGGTAACAATGATGTGCGTGATGATTGATCTATTTAACTTTGGGCAGAAGACATGAACTGCCCGGGCGTAGAGACATGGATGCATGGATGGGTCATACATGCCCGTGGAGGAAGGTCTGGGCGCTAACTCCCAATACGGTTAGCAGGCCTGGAGGGGTGTAGGTACCTAAGCTCAGGTATTACTTTTGTGGAGTGGGAGCTTGAGCTTTATAAAAGTGGGTGACACTCACAGCAACACACGATCCCAGAAACACGCAGCATCCTACCACACTTCCCTCTCTAACACACACTTCGCCACGAAAGGAACTCTCATTGGTCGCGGAACGATCCCTATTCGATTGTCTAGCGGTGCCTGTTGTCACCACAGGTGGATTTGCCCAGGATGATACGCGATTTCCAAGAGTGGACTGTTGATCTGCTGGAGCATAGCTCTCTCGATGATTTGAAGGGCTGCACAATTGCGATCGAAGCCGCAGATTACCTCAAGACCCGCGTACTAGATGACCCACAATGTCGAGAGCCATTACTGCCAGCCGTCGGGGGACTACCCTTTGGTATGAAGAGACAATTACACGAGGATCTCCAGCGCTTCGCTAATGCCGGCATAACACCATTCTTCGTCTTTCCTGGCCTGGATGTGGGCGCAAAAAACAAAGATGAGCTCTTTCGAAAGGCCGAAGAGTCGGCACGCGTGAATGAAGAGGCATGGAAACTCTACGATGCCCATCAGGCTGAGAAGGCTGTAGATATGTTTAGGAAGTCAAGTATACGCTGCGACCCCGACGCCTCTTTACTACATAAAAGGACTAACATTTCTCAGACACAGTCACTGTCCTGGATCTCTTAAAGTACTTCCAGTCCATACTACGCGAACAGAACGTCCGCTTTCAGATCGCACCGTACAGCGCGTGCGCACAGGTCAGCAGATTGACGTGCGAGAGCTGTAGTATAGTCTGACAATGCATAGCTTGCCTACCTCAGCTCGCGCATGAGTGACACTATCCAAGCGATTGCTGGCTCCTCCGAAGTCCTCCTGTTCGACGTGGACAAGGTCATTACTGGATTCGACTTCGAAGAAGGACGTGTCACTCTGATCCGAAGACATCGATGCATCCAAGACCTTGGCAGCATAACGCCTGATATGTTTGTAGACGCTTGCTTGCTATCTGGAACCTCCATACTACCAACCTTCCCCCTCCTCGAGAGCCGTAAACAACTCAAAATCAAGGGCGCACTAGACATGATGCAGAGTGCGGGACGCACCGGCATATCTGTTTGCATGAACTACCAGGAGGATCCTCAAATACAGAGGCTGGGATACGTTGACAACTATCGCAAGAGTAGGCTTGCTATCAAGCACCACATTGTACTCACAAGAGAAGGAACTATCGAATCATTCGACGTTGAACAGGCGCCCGGTGATATGCATGAAATCCTTGGACAACGGCTTCCAGACGAGCTATATTTCTATCTCTCAAGAGGCGTCATCTCACCCCGAGTCCTGACCTGGCGCACCTCAGGACAAATCATCGAACTTCCGCCGGTCGACAATGGCACGTCAGAGTACTACCGTCGGCTAGTTCGTGAGCAACTACTGCCGATTCGCACTGCCGCATTGTCCCTCCTCACCTACTCACTCCATCGAGTCTATCAACACAAAGACGTTGTCCTGACAACCTGGTTCAACCAAAATCATGAAAAATCGCTAAATGTGAAAGAATGGTCAGATCCCCGTCCATTGATTGGTTCGTGGAATGTTAGGAAGGATTCCATTCAGAGCCAGACAACAAAACACAAAGTTTGTAACCCAATCTCGATACACATATAGCATTGGCTGACCGAGCAAAGGGTTCCGGGGTTCTTTCCTTCGCTATCAAGAGTCTGAACGACGCCGACTTCGCACAAAGCACCATCACACCTAAAGGGATGGACCCGAAAGATCTCGCTCGTCTAAACACCAAGGAGGAGATTCTTGATAATGCAGTGTGGAGGTTCTTGCACATGAGGGAATATATCGATAACAAACACCAATTGACCCGCTGGGGAAAAGTCCTCCACGCAATTCTCAAAGAACTTTCTGGTGAACCTGAGCTCGAAGAAGCTGCGGTGCTGGCTGTGGAGCTCTTACGCATGAACCTTTTAAACACGGCGAAAATGTTTGACTACAGTGGGGGACCAGGTCGCGGTAACGGTATGGCATTCACCAACGGAAATTTCGAGTGTCCGACTCATACTGACCTTTATCTCAGATAAGGATAAGGAGTTTGTATCTCTAGTATCACGCATCGCTTGTCTTGGCAAGTTGCAACACAATGCGATTGGATTCACCGGCCCGCTGAGTCGCAACCTGCTAGGATATCACTCTATAATATCAACTCTCCGCTCGAGCCTAAGAGACCTAGCCGAGGTCTCCTTAGTGACACTGCTTCTGAATGGAGACGCTGACCGAGGTTTCGATGAATTGACTGATCTTGGCTTAGAGTAAGTCCTAGACGCTTCCGCTATGGCTGAATGTCCGACTGAATTGATAGGCTCCCATTCCTCCTTCCTAATGATTGCGCACTCGGTGTTGCGGTCAAATCCTACTTGGATGAGCTCTCTGGGAGCGAAGATCCCACCTCAGACGATGCTAAGCTCGACGTTAAAGCCAACGCCAAACAATATTGGTTCCCACAGTGTCAAGACTTGCTAGGCGACCTGAATACTGCCTTCCATCTTTGGGATGCCGTAAGTTAGCAATACACTTGCCTGAGACTACCACTAACGTATTCTTAGGTCTATGCCGGCGTCAAGGTTGCGGGAGATCTCGTCAAGGACAAAGGTACCTGGGACGAAGCTGACAAGTGGCTCGAGAACAGACGTTGACTGTGAGGGCCAATCTTAGTCTTGGTTGGGTGCATATCAATTATCCAGACTCAGTGGCATAGGCGGAGACGGCGTTAATCAGAGGCCGATATCCGGCAGTGACTTGCTGACTGACTTGGATACGGAGTGCAAGTACACAGAATAGCACCATCCGGTGAGGAGTAAACTTCTGTCAGGAACATAGTCATGGAGCAAGGGCGCAGTGCCTTGATTCGAATGTCTCATCGCCAAAGAGAAGGCAATATATACGAAAGTAAGATACATTGCGATTTCACCACAAGAATTGCTAGTAAGCCAGCAAGACAAACACAGAGAGGACACTATTCGATGGCTGCTCATGTTGCGGATTAATGTTGCCCCTCCATTCATGCTGTCTGCCTCCACAAATGCATCAACCCTGAGATTCCCGCAATCATACCAGTCCATCCAATCGTAGTATCCGATATCAGCGGTGTTGTAACACTATAATGCAGCGCCATCGGCGAGTATGCTGCTTGCTTCACAAATTGCCTCCACCATAACGCATTCCTATCCTTCGTGCGCTGCAGCGCCGCCATCTTGAATTCCTTCTCTTTCTCTACATTACCACTCACAACCTCCTCATTCAACCCATTCCTTTCTTTATACCACTCATATCCCAATCTCACAAAGTCTAAACCGATATACGCAACCCAGCACTGACACGACTTGACCATCCAGTCTCCCTTTCTCCGCGCCCCTGCCTCGCCCAGCCAGCCCTCACCATTCAATACGCCCTGACTAGCGAGATAAACAGCGTTCTCGAGGAACTGGAAAGCGGTCATCACGGTGATCTGCCCCCATGCAATCGCTTTCAAAATAGTATCCTTCGGCGGCGCCGCATAGGTGCTTCGAGCCCATGCGTACATGCCCAACAAGCCCCATAGTCTCATAAACATCCGCACATCGCTTATCTTTGCACTCAGATTGCCCGCGCCCTCACTCAGCTTCGCGATGCGCTTTGCGCCGGGCGGACTGGGGACTTCCGCTACGATGGTCTCGCCTGGCAGTAGAGCGCCTTCGGCTTTCGACGCGATGCTCTCGGCGAGCGCAGCGAGTTGGGATTCAAGGCGGGCTTGAAGCCGCTTCGAGGCAAACTTCAGGGTGTATTGGAGCGTGAGGAGCGCACTGTCAATGCCGGCCGGGGTAGAGAAGAGCTTAGAGGCTCGGAGGAGGAGAGTGTCGGTTGTGTTGAGGGAGGATACAGTGTGCGCATGGATGAGAGATTGCAGCTTCTTGAGGTTGGAAGCTGGAGGAAAGGATGCCATTTTCGCGGCTTAAACGGATGAGAGGTCCCGGTATGATGATATAAGTGTCCAGCGTTTGTAGACGCGAATTTCAGGGCATAATTAGCCCTGGCATGAGTTTGAGCATAAAGGTTGGATCGCTAACATCAAGGCTAGCCGAGGTCCCTGTGAGCCGTGAGCGGAAGCCGAGCAGTAGGCTTAGTGCCTTAATTCTCAGGCCAACAATCAATCTACTTCCAAATAGCCACAGCGGGGAGGCTGAACGACTGCCCCGCGGTTGGTTGAAGTGGCGCAAATGCATCATGTTCGACTTATGTTGCTGTCCATCTGAGGACTTCACAATATATAATTTCTCCATCCTTCTCAACTGTCTAGTCTCCAAGGTTCCTTCGTCCTTCATTGCGCTTTCCGGCATTAATTGATCTACCAAATCTTCACAATGGCCGCCACGGCCACAGAGACACCCTCAGTGCCGACTGCTGGGGTCCCCGATGCAATTCGAATGGGCACCCGGCGGTCAGCATTAGCACGAATGCAAACAACAATTACGGAGCGTGCCCTGCGTGAAGCATGGCCAGGTCGGACATATGAGACCGTGGCTATCGACACCAATCTCGGCGACGCGGACAAGAAGACGGCGCTGCATGAAATGAACGCAAAGAACTTGTGGACACATGAGCTCGAAGTCCTCCTCGACCAGGGAAAGCTGGACCTCATTGTTCACTCTCTGAAGGGCAAGATTGCACCTAGTCTACTCACAGCTTGAGCACACTCTAACAATCAGTATAGACATGCCCACCCAGCTCCCCCAAAACATGAAAATTGGCGCGATCCTCCCTCGCGCGGACGCCCGTGACGCCGTAATAATTCACCCAAAATACGCTGAAACTCACAAGACCCTCGCCACCCTTCCTGAAGGTTCTGTCATTGGTACATCCTCCCTCCGTCGTTCTGCACAACTCAAGCTGCGCTATAAGCACCTCAAATTCGCCAACCTGCGCGGTAACGTCGGTACACGACTCGCCAAACTCGATGCGCCAGACTCAGAATACGCGGCCATCATCCTGGCTGCTGCCGGTATACTTCGGCTGGGTTTGGGAAACCGGATCTCGAGTAACCTGAGTAGCAACCCGGACGAAGGCAATGTACTACATGCAGTTGGCCAAGGCGCGATCGGGATTGAGATTAAAAGCGAGGACATAGCGACTCAGAAATTACTAGAGAAGATACAGTGTCCATGGACCACCAAGGCGTGCCTCGCGGAGCGCAGCTTGATGAGGACACTAGAGGGTGGGTGTAGTGTACCCATCGGGGTGGAAACGAGTTGGCGAAAGGTCAAAGATGGCGTTGCAACCGGTGTCCAGCCTGCAGCCGACTATGATCACGCCGGGGCTGCGGTGCAGGGAGAGAGTCGATTCACGGACGATCTAACAATGAAGGCGATTGTGGTGGGCCTAGAGGGCGAGGAGTCTGCGGAAATCCAGCTGACAAAGAAGGTTGCAACGAATCATGATGCGGAGGAGTTCGGGATTGAGGCCGCGAGGCTCTTGGTCGAAAAAGGTGCTGATAAGATTTTACAAAAGATCGTCCTAAACAGGCGCATTATAGAGGAGCAAGGCGGTGCTTAGGCTCGTATCTCCGTCAGCTATGAGGTTAAGAATACCCAAAGATAGTCCAGCGAGGTAATGCGTCAAGGTAACATATATGTAGAGAATTCTATGTTACCTACTGACATTAAGCACGCTGTACATACACATAATATCCCTCAAAGTCCCCTCGAGCCGTTCAGCACTACAACATCATCTCTTCTGTAGTGGGATCTTTTATAGAGTCGTTGTACCACTAGATGGATGGACGCTATTCCTTGCAGCTCACTCATCTCATCGTAATCACCCCTCCTCTTGTTGCAGGCTGTCCAGTCAACCCCGTATTCAGCCTGAGGCACGGCACAACAGATGCAGCTATCCTATCATATTCGTGACTACCAACCATCTGTCAATGATGTTGCAACCCCCGACAAGGTGCAGGGTTCAGAGCAACGTCTTTGTTCAATGTCCCCTTTCCTCACCTCTGAAACGCAAATCCATACAAGTTCGCCAGAAATAGACACTAAATTATCGTAGTGGCTGTCTCTCGCAAAGCTCATTGGGGCGAAAATGCATTGTTCAACTGCTCGTATGGGGGCCAGGATTGGCCTCCGTCATGTATAGGGAAAGCTTTGACATTGCTCAATTGCGGCGCCCTTTTCTTCTTTTCTCTGCAATTCTCTTCGCTGGATCTTCACAGTCAGCACGCATGATTGAGCTGTGCGCCGTATTTTGATGAGATTATGACTTTATGGACAATATACGCTCACTGAGTGTTGGGCAGGCGTCTGGTTTACTTGCTCTTGGCACACAAATTGGTGAGTATTTTCGACTACTGAAAAATACGAGGAGCAAGCCATTTGGCGGATGAGGCGCACTCAAGCTTAACTGGACCGTATTTGACTCTTGTACTAGCCACATATACGATTCCTCTACTGGTAGGCCTGTTCCTCCTCAGATATCATAATAAAGAGGCCTCGGCTGCGACATGGTCAGTACTCCGTCTGCTCCAGATGCTCCATCCATGTACTGAGGATCTTGCAGGTCTGTCATAGCTCGCCAGCTGCATTCTTCGTCATGGCCGTCGCTACTTCGCACAGACTCTGCTGCAGTAAGGAATGTGGAAAGGCGCGTCACGAGCATGGTCTTCACCGGTGGACTTCTTAGTTTACTCACTCTGGTTGCCGGTATTGTCACACCTCTGGGCTTTCATGAAGAAGTCCAGATCGTTGGAAATCAAACAGTCGAATTTAGCTATCTTCGCGATGTAACGTCGTTCGGCAAAGCCACTCAACACCGACCAGAAAAACCGCTCTCCCGGGATTGTGGATCTCCAACTCAGGTTTGCCCTGGAGCGGCAATCGATGGTCCAAATGTTACCGTTTCTGTGAGAGGGGGGGTCCTACAGGTCCAGCCCTCCACAGCAGATATTCCGCAGGATATCTGGAGATTCTTCACAAGCTACTCAAAAGTGTCGACCGTGGCTAGCATCTTCGATCTCCAGTACAGATTTTGGAAACGATCCTTCTCCGCAAATATCGACTCCAATCAACCTTATGTGTCTGGCTTATACCGACAGGTCAACAATCTTATTCCGCTTGGCTATGGCACTATGCTCATTGAAGGCAACGTCGTGGATATGGAGCACGGCGGGATCGGATATCGCAATCACTCGGCTCCAGAGGTGTCAGCTACTTGGGAGGAAGACATTCTCTGGGTAGCACCAGATCTGTCTTGTGCCAGTACAAACCTGTCTTTCGAAATGACCCTTCAACCTGGGGATGACCCTGATGATTTTCCGTTGACCGATGTGGAACTCGTCGATGACGGTGGCTTTTCGAACATGTGGTCTGGGGATTTGAAGTCCATCTCCCAAGGTATCGAGAGTTTGGACGTTCAAACACGCGCGACCGAAGTTGCCCAAGTTCAAAACAAACTGCTTAGTATGATATTCAACATCACAGATCCAACAACCAGCGGACGATATCCCCTCGACCTCCAAGCCATGAACAGCAGTCTCAGCACCCTGCTATTCCCTCTTAAGCCGACAAGCACCAGTCTAGACGTGTCTTGGTATGGCTTACCTATAGTAACCATGAATACAGATGGTTCATTAAACACACCAACTGGCCGACTTGATATCGCTGAGCAATATCCGTACCAATACGCCGCCTACCTCCTCACCCAGCTCCAGCATTTTTGCACTGGCGGCGCCAGCGACCAAAGCACCTTCGACGGCACGCCCACTATGGCATGCAGCTACTTCCTCAGTTCACCGTATCGCATCGACTCCGGATCTGTACTTGAGGAAGAAGCGGGCTCTCGGTGGAAAACTAGCATCCGCATCTGCGCAGGCACCGTCCGCGCCTCTGTCAAGACCATCTCTTACACCCACAATTCCTCTGCTACCCCATCCCTGGATAACACTAAAGTCACGGCGCTTAGAGACAAATCTTATGCCAGCGAATCCGAGTATCCTCTTTGGGCAACTGAAGACTGGCGTTCTCCGGGCAAAGAGTCAGCGCTATCAACCCCCTTATGGGGCCTCGTCTCGCCTGCGGAAGCAGACACACCAGGCTATACATATGTTCGTGCACCGACATTCCTCCTCCCACCATCTTCGCCCGCACGCTGGCAAATGACTGCGACAGGCTCCGGGCGCGCAGATGTCAACCTCAAAGACATGTTAGCAGGCACAATCGCACCGCGAGGTGTTCTGACCCAAGTTCTCACATCCGCATTTGCCACGGACCAGATGTGGCTGCCAAATTACTCGGGCCTACATTGTCTTGCTTTACGAAGCAAGTGGGCGGAGATGAGCAAGACCGCCGAGGGCAGTGCTGATATACTAAGCTTGGTATGGACCGACATCATGGCGAGTGTGACGGTAGGGACCAAAATGCATCCGTCGATGGAGGAGATCGGCCAGGATTCTTTGACACACCAGACGTATGTCCAAGTCCGCGCTCCTCGTTTGTCTTTTCACGCTGTCTATGCCATTCCCGGCATTGTTCTTCTCGTGCTCTACACGCTCCTTGCCATTTTCTCGCTCCCGGTAATATTCTCCAATCGCCCCTTTGCGTTTACCATGCGATGTCTTCTGAACAACACCTCGCTCGGACGGAATGCTGCTGTGGCACAGGAGCAGACGCGCGCGCCGGGCAACTTTCATGCACGGGCGCATGCTTATGTAAGTACTTGGGAGTGGCTGCGCAAGGTGGGCACACTAAAGATGAGGATTGGCGAGGAGGTTGTGCCATATATGAGGGGAGCAGTTGGTGGGTATACCGGCTGGCCCGGATATGGGGGAGGAGAGTGGTATGAAAATGGCACTGGACCTGGAATTCATGTGTGGGCAAGAGAAGGAAGCGAAAGCTTTGTGGAAGTAGCTAGAGAGGATAAGACTTGAACTGTCTTTTTGTTAACATCTATATAGCGACGTCATTTTCCGATACCACTGCCTATCAAGTCTTACTAGATTTCTACCCCAAATTATGGGTTGAACTACGATTACGTATGACTCTATGGGCCTCAACCAGCGCGCGAGTTGGGCAGAGACCCCCAACCTTTGCGGTCCCCTCACCAGCCAGCACTCTGTGATAGCAATTTGTCACATCTTGCTTTTGCGGCTTGGATCCGACGTGCTCAACGCGCTTTTATCATGCTCGCCAACCGCTAACAGATTTCCCTGCTCGTCTTCGATGAGACATTGACAAAACGCTGGACAAGTCAGCGTCCACACGCCTCGCGGGCCATCATACATATACCCTTCCTAGCCACGACCAAAGAGGGAAAAGAAAGGGCTGTACGCACTCAACCGCTTTCCCACACTCCTCAACTCGCACAGAATCGTGATCTCTGCATCCCCCAGAATTGGCCGCAAGTAAGTGACTGCCAACTTCCTACTCACCCCGCCGAATTCCCACCATCCCTCCTTGCTGATCACTGCCGTCGTCATTGTGGTTGCCATGTCGACGAGCAGAGCGACGGCGCCACCATGCATGCGACTCATGGGGTTACAGAGAGCAGGGATGGTGAGGAGAGTGAATTTTGCTGTGGCAACTGTTGCAGGATAGGACATGTCATCAACGCCAGGACTGGATGAAGAAGAAGAAGGGGATAGAGAGGTGGAAATGATGCGAATGTGACGCATCAAGGCGGCGTCGAAGCCCTGGGCGTGTTAGATGTGCAAGGCAATCGTCTGAGACAGACATGAGGGTAAGAAGTTATAGATGGGTAGCCATACGTTGTAGTCCTTTGCTTGATGCCATTTGTCGATGAAGCTTTGAATCCGCGCGACCGGGTCTGCGATGCTGACGTCAAAGCCGATGGCGCCGTTGGCGAAGTCCGACATGTTGGGATACTTTGTACACTTTGATACTCCTGTAACATGGTCAAGAACATAATAATAGCAGAACAATTACGTGATGAACTGATGTGGTTTGTTGATTGGACATCTTTTCCCGAGTTGGGTATTTAGTATAGCCGAGGTTCTCTATGTTTGCCGGAAACGGAGGTGGATTTCGATGGAACAGTCAGTATTGATGTGACCAGCATCATTGTGAGTTGGAACCTCGCATATTCCGGTCAGTCAATACTTCATATTGTAGCATTACAATCATCCTCGAGTAGAGCTTTCATTAAGCATTTATAGTGTACAGTTTCCTACTATTCCTTCCTTCTCAAATAGCTCAATTGAATGGATAGCGATTAGCATGCGTAGATGTAGTCGCTCCTTTATGTAGGCAATCACGACGGATTGTGTTGGCCAACAACCTTCCGTCAGTTACGCTAATCCTTAACAGCCGCTCGTGCCCTAAGGGCGTTTTTTTCCTTTCGCATGTTATACGCCCATTCGAGCTGATCATCAAGGTTTTCCTCCTCGTCCTCGATCGTTCGGGTAACGTTCTTCTTCGCAGGTTTGACTCCTGTAGGTTGGCTTTTGCAAGTCTGATCTTTGCTACGCGTACCCCTGTCGGACAATGCAGCGCTACACTTGTGACCTGAATCTAGAGAGTCTTTAGGCAGGCCACCTTTCGTGGAACGCTTCGGCTCGGATGCTGTAGGCTTCTTCGGTCCATTGTGCTTCTCTTTAGACTTGACTACTTGCTTTCCGACTCGTCCTTGCGCTTCCTTCGCATTGATCTTAACATATTCATTGCTCATCTGGGTCTTCGCACTGTCTTGAAGTTTGTCTTCCAACTCTTTGTCAACCTGTCGCGCCAGTCCCTCGAACGTATCACCACCCGTGGGTGCGCCCACCTCATCAGACGGCCTACCGTAAAGTATAAGCTTGTACCCCAGGAAGAATATGGAGCTCAAGATGACGTATCCATAAACGTTTGGCCTATTATCGCTCAACCTGACTTGATCGATGAGCCAGCCTGAGAAACTGACAAGAAGAGTTCCGGTCATAGTGAAAATAAATTTGGTAAGCCATTTGACAATCTTAGACATGCGAGAGGGAGGTGAAAGTGCAAGGTCAATATCAAGATGAAGTTCACTCATGTCTGAGTCCTTGCGCAGCATCTTCACGGGCGAATGCTCGATAGGTTTGTCAACCTGACTGATCTTTCTCTTCAACTGATGTTCCTCTGATTCAACTATGTCCTTCGTCAAAATAGACGACGATGTATTCTTGAATTTTCCTAAGCGGACAGTCTCACAGTCGAAGCTGGCAGTATGAGGCTGTGTAGGAAATGGCGAGTGTTTCTGCTCATGTGCAGACGCTGGGGTAGGAGCGAGGATGGCAGGGCTGCTGAGGGAAGTGTTTGAATTGTCGCTTTTTACTGCATGGTCGAATGGGCTCAGGAACTCCTCACTTGGTATTTGTAGATGAAAAGCTGTCTCTAGGCGGCTGCTTGGACTGCGTGCTAGAATGCGAGATCCGAGTGTTGGGGTACTTGGAGGAGAACCTGCTTCGATGTAACCCTCGGACATGTGTGCTGGGCACTCATCATCAGACGACGTTGTATGGTAGATGGAATTTTCATTTGTGTGCGACAGTAGATCGGTGTTGATGTCATCGTGCTCGGTCAAGTCGATCAAATCAACTAGAGCTGACGAACTCGAGCGCTCGTCCTCCACGGAAGAAGGTACAACATGCGATTCATGATTTTGCGCTTGGTCCTGCGGCCCTTTGTCGTCTTCGTCGATCATAGATGATGAAGGTAGCGGCGAGTCCCAAAGAAATGTCTCCGTCTCATCTACAACGCTGTTCGGCGGATCGTCACGCAGCATGCTTGAATCCATTTCGAGAAAACTCTCGGTCGACTGTGAGTATGGGGAGATGTTGGGTAGCTCTACTCGGAGAGCTTGCTTTGGGCTGGTATCTGGAGGAGATTTAGGCTCGATTGGCCAATCGCGGTTCACATCCTTTCTGGATAGCTTGCGCTTTGGGGTAGCGAAAGAGTGGTGGAATTCTTGCGCTGCAGACGGAGTTGCGAACAGCTCTTTGTCAGGTTCCTGTATAGCAGTTGGATTTGCAAAGCGATCTCTTTCAGGTTCCTGTGAAGCCATGTTGAGGTGCCACAGATGCCGTGCAGCAATTGTGCCCTGAACCAGAGGTAAAGGGAAGGTTAAGGAGTGGAGGTAGCTAGTGGCGAAATGCCGGGTCGGCTGAACAATGCGTCTGAGGGAGCGTGTTGGGGTTTAGTGAATCAGTTTGATAACGTAAGGTGACGACCCGGTAGTGAAGACTTGTGTAGTCAACTCCCTGTTCAACCGTGGAAGGTGTAGAAGAACTGCTTTTCGTGTTACCGATCGATGAAACTTCAGTGGGTTGATGTTCATAGCCTGCATTGACGGGGTGTACTGAGTGTCCCTTATATGCCATAAGAGGACGAAATAGATATTTGCTGCTTCACTGTGCTAGTGCAGTGAGCAGCAGGAAACATTTTGCCAGCCCATGCCGACCGTATTACTGCTCTTCATGTGAAAAAGCAGTTTGTTCGGGCATCCTCCTCAAACAGATTTCCGCACAATCTTACCATTATGTATTCCAAATCTATGCCTGTTCCCTGGGAAAGTTGGACGGCAATCGAGACAACCTTGTCATAGGTCTCCTGTGGAAGCTCCGGTATGGACATGATAGCTCTCAATGGCATCATGAGCAGGTATGCGCCTATCTTTGGTTTTTGTACACCCCAGAAAGCCATATTGTCATCCCCCGAGCCCGCGTCCTTTGGGATGGGACTCGGTGGGCAAGATGCGTCGAAGAAATGTGGTACCATATCAAAAATGTCTTGGCAGGCCAGTGAGAGGAGGTTCTTCACTTTGTTGTCGGCATCCTCCAAGGCGATCATATGGTAGATAGCATTTGGGTCGTCAAAAGACATTGCATCCATCATACGTGCAATGCATCGACGCGATGCGACGCAAACGATTATTCGGTATAGGCATACAGTGCTAAAATCTCTGCGGCCCCATATACTCCAGTCTCGCTGGTTCGGGTTGTCCCACGTGTCGTTAAATTTCAGAGGCTCACTCTCCACTGGGCACGTTTCATCAACACAATAATTCTGAGGGATTGCCTTCGACAGTCGGCATGCTAGCCGGCAGCACTTTGAGTATAGTCGAGCAAGTTTCTCGTCGGTGACTCCGGCCCATTGCGTTGCTCGATATGATCTGAGCTCAGTGTGAACCTCTGCAGTAGTGACCCCAAGCTGTGTCAGACGGGCAAAGAAAGTCGGTAGACGTAACAGAGGTCCTGCTGTAAGACTGAAATTTTTCATGGCCGCATGCATCTGTAGTGCATGGGGTAGTGGATTGACGATCCATGCCAATATCTGAATAGGTTTTAGCACTGATTTGGGACAACTCAGATAGCTACGTGTCGTACCAGATGTATCATCATTACTGCTAGTATCAGGGGGTTGAAGGCCTCCGAAGTGCCATCATTCTTTGTAGCCTCTATAAGACTCATAGCACCTCTCAAATGAGACATCTTTCGAGTCTCCTCAACGAAATGTACAGCCCCTCGGAGGTGAGTCAGAACACCTTCGTTGGGCCGCGCAGAATTTCCGATAGCAACCTTAAAGGCGTCAGTCTGAAGTCGTTTACCCGGTGTGTTTCATCACAGTATAGCTACCTCTAGCATAGCAAGCATGACCATAGATAAGAGAAGCTCGTTGTTCGAAGCTTGAGAGGGGTCCTCAAGCATCTTTCGCATTTTGACCACTGCTTCCGTATACTTAATTCGAGCATGATCGAATGAGTTAGTAGTGTAAGGACTCAGAGGCGCATTCACCCAAGCAAACGCCGTTGTGATGGGCGTGATTGGCGATGATGGTAAAGCATTCTGCCGCATGTCCTTGGCAATCAACAAAATGCTGTTCTCCTTCCATTCCGCATGACTGAAAAGATGTAGCAGTACCAAAGACTCTGGGTCGACTGGAAAGAAAGAGTGTGCAGTGGGATCTGTGAAGCCATTCATGCTAGTCACATATTCGAACATCGTCCGTTGTCGGTGGATTGTTGCATGCCCCCTGGAAACCACATTCTCGGAGCGGAAAACATGATCATGCTCACCGCGATAGCCATAGCAAACTCGGCGGGACTTTTCGCATCGAAAACAGAAAGGTCTACGTTCATCGCACTGCCACATGCAATCATCAGCGTGGTAACCGGTTTCGGCTGCAAAAGGCTACGCTATGCTTACCTTGATGCGCCGTTTCCGGCATGTGTAGCAGCCCGTGCTTGGCTTGCCTGGATTTACCATCACACCGGAATTTGAATCATGTACTTCCGATGGCTTTTAGATGTAGATCCATATCTATACAACATCTGCATCGATGTGCAAAGGAGGTGAGACGGCTCGATGATGCGTCGAAGGATGCTGAGTGTCACGTGTTTTGCGAAAACGTAACCATAATAGGTTAGTATTGCAATCTTAGAAGCCCCGTACAGACTAGCGCGTTATGCCAAGCGTTGGGTCAAGTTTGCGATTGCGGCATGATCCTTGTCTCCTTATCATGTTTCTCTTGAGACATGCCTCCGTGGATTTGTTGCAACATCATTCAGCATTTGCTATAGGTTGGTCAGGCTCAAGTCTGCGTTTCCTACGCACCACATCATCTAAGCACGAGCCTCGTGAAAATCCGTCTGAAAACTGGTTACAGCGAATAAGACAGCCTAAGCACACGGCGCGCTCTGGGTGATTGAGTGATTCGGGTCCGATGGAGGAGATGAAACAGAACTCCCTTCTCTGCTTCTATGTCTCTATAATCGCACAAGATGGATGATATTAACGTCAATTACTCAGAGAGAACGTCGCAAATTGGGCTGGTGCCTCCTTGATGTGAACTAACCGAAGATGCAATGGCTTGGCTGCGGTGTTTGGTGTTTAAAGTTTGACATATCAAGAAGCTTCTTCAAACCAAGACATCGACGGCCTTTGACAAGGGAAAATCCAGCCAATCGAAGACCTTCGCTAGTTCCAAAGCAGAGATGCTATGTGCGCATGGGGAGCGGTCAGCCTCACGTCTCTCATCATACTGTGGCTCCTCACCACATGTCGGACCCGAAGTCGTGACTTAAATGTACTGACCGGACTCACACGCAGCGTACACTCGTAATGTCACCACGAGGAGCTTGCGAGCTTGTACATTGCGAGACATATACGAGATGGTCTATACTGGCAAAGCTAGTACTGGATGCATTACGTGCATTGCTCGCAAAGTAAAGGTTTGTTATGTGCTAGAATATGCTATACTACTCTGATCCTGAATACAGTGCGATGAAGCTAAACCTATCTGCGGTAGATGTATCAAGGCGCATCGAGAATGTAAGGGATACCGACTGATATCACCGGCTCGGAACCTAGACACACCCAAACGCCATAGGACTCACTCCGGACCGAAGCCTCCGGACCCGCTAGCACGCGCAGCAGCAATCTCTATAGAAATGTCGAAATACGGTATATCTCCGGGTCTAGTCCTTACCGACCTGTATCTAGAGAAGTTCTTCCAAGATATCACCCAGTTTCCTCAAGCCGAGGGTATTTTCGGTGGCAGCTTGGCGAATTTTAGGGATCTGTATAAGAGCATGAGAGAAGGGTCGCCGATACGACCTGCACTGACTGCTCTCGTAATCGCATTAGCTGCTCGGGATGGGAAAGGCGCTGTCAACGATAACAGTTCCCTGGTCATGTATCAGAAAGCTCTAGACTCGCAAGAGAACTCGTCGCCAGCGAGAGGTCGAAGTCAATAAACAGCAACGAAATAATAACCTGCATCTTCGTGCTCAACATATACGAGGTATAGTGGTAGAAACATTGATTCTGCGTCTCACGAGTCTAGCTAATCTGACCGACGCAGGGAATGACTGGAGTGCCCACTCCAGGACTTGCTTGGCATATCACCGCGGCAGCGTCTATCGTACAGGGCCTACAAGAAACCGAATACTCAGATCCCATCACCCAAAGACTGCTCTGCGGTCTCATCTCCCAAGCGGTGAGTACCACTATCTCTCTTTTTCTTTCCCTATGCCGACCAATATATGCGGCGACAGCACATGAAAGACAGAAGCATATATGATCGCACAACTAAGAAAGTCTTTCGACGCAGTATTGGACGATATTTTCCTATCTACCAGGAACTTGTTCTGGAAATCTGACAATGTCGTTAGATGTACCATTTCGTGTGCTTCGAGGCCCCTCTTGCATTCGACATCAAAATACTTGAACACCTCTACTCTGCTCTTACCGTGAAACCCTCGCTTACTCCTCGCGAAATCCTCTGGAGGCATACTTGCACCGCTCTCATGCTCCAGATACGCATCACAACCCTCCAGTCACACGCTTCATTCGCATATCCTGCTACGTCAGAAGCATCCGCCATCGTATCGTCACTAATATCACTCTCTGCTGCCCTAGCATCCCGGCCATCGCAACTTCCCCTTGGCCATGAATATACCACCCACACTCTGTCCATCGCCTCGCCCGATATATACAAGCCTACAGTACACCAATATACGTCCTTTTGGGTGGCAAATGACTGGGCCCACTTCCGGACTCTTCGTTTGTTCACAATGAGACAGGTGATGATATGTACACAGCTGAGCGCTGGCTGGTCGAGTGAGTTTGAAACGCTCTGGACCCAGCTACCGAATACCCGTGCGCAGATTCAAGATGTTATTGACGATATTTGTGCGGCTACACCCTTCCATATAGGTTATCGCGAGATGCCTCCATCACCGCCAGTAAGCTCCATGAATACGATACCAGACTATCTGATCGTCGATACACCAGGGAGCACTTCCTCATCTGCAGGTATTAGCCCACCGCAGATGGAGTCTTCCTCTTTGAGCAGACCTCCAGCTATCGCATCGACAGCAAGGAATCCCAACCTTCCAACGCTTCATTTTGCGACTTCAGGTGCCCCTAATGGCCGCTATGCACGCCTCATCAGCGCTGGGCAGATTATATGGCCACTGTGCTTCGCTGGTATCATGGCTCACGGGTGGGCGCAGAAGACCTGGATTATGGAGAGGCTGGAATGTGTGGGGCGGGAATTCGGGTATGTGCTTGCGGGGACATTGAGTGAGGCCGTCCAGGCGACAATGGATGGCGTTGGTTCCGACGTGGATGAATTCGGTGTGAGCAGTAGCTTGGAGGAGGATTTGGGCCCTTTGGATACTAGAATGTGTACCGGAATCGGAATCGAGAGCTTGGCATCCTGGAACTGGCCTGACGAGGGCTATAGTGCGTTGGGAGGAGATGATTTGGGATTTTAGACTTTGTGCAAGAGCTTGAGACAACATTGCAAAGGAGAAGATAGAGACCATGACTAAATTTGAAGTTTATAGGTGTTGCCAGCTTCCCTCCCAATGGCTCCGGGATTCCGCTACATCTCGTAAGCAGAACTTTGTCAAACAGGCAGGAAGAGTCGCGCTGCTTAAAGAAGCAGGTGACCACAACGGGGATAGCTCGTAGCAAGGATGGGATATATCCATTGATTGGAGAATGCTAAGTCGTACACACCTGGTGGCTTCACAGTGACTGAAAATATAGTGTTTATTGGCTGCATTTATAGACTGTTAGAATGAGGAATAGCCAGCCCATTTTGTATACAGTTTTCATTGTTTGAGTTGCCCAAATTACCCACGTAGGTTCCATCACTTGAATCACCCAAGCTATTTCAACATTGCTCACGATATTGATGGCTCAAAGTCATTCTATGGTTATTACAGATTTCTCTCATCCCATTTGAAGACCAACTTATACCAAACAGTATCTACAAGCTTAACCTATAGATTACACCAAGCAGTCTTCATGAGCATAATTACCGAACCTTGCAGAATGAACTTCAAGAACTCATAACTGCATCCTCCATGGAACCATTCTTTCACATCAACCATTCCCATCCGTGTCCACGGCCCCTTCAATATCGGCCTTTAGTCTGTCCCTCCACTCCCACTCCATACCGTGCGGTGGTGCTGGCACATAATCCTCTACGTGACACGTGGGCGACTTCTCCTCAACCCACCACTTACTGAACGTAATTACAGCCCGCCCACTAACACGGATCTTGCGAAAGGGCTCCAGAAGACATTTACACAGGCGACCGGGCGACAGCACAAGTGTGTTCCAATTGCCCGTTGTCTCGCGCGCGTCCTCAAAATGGATCTTTATGTCTTTGAGGCTTGTCGAATACGAGAGCAAAGACGCTATGTATAGTGCGGCACAGCATAGGCCCTGCTCTTCGGCGTGGCCGTAGACTGGGATTGGCGTTGTGCCGAGGACGAAGGTTATTTCGAGGCTGGGGACGCGCATGAGGAAGTCGATGGTTGCGCCGTTTCCAATGACGTCGTCGGCATTTGGCCCCGATACGAGGTAGCGGAAGCGGTTGTTATGAAGATATACTGGGAAGGCTTCGGCGTGGACTTGCTTATTGACGGCGAGTATGGCAAGGGCGTGGGAGGGCGGTGACATAGGGGTGTTTGTGAATGTTGAGGGAGAGGTGGTGGCATTTAGGTCGATGACTGATTGGGAGATAAGGGTATCAAAGTAGATTCGGTTGCGTATTTCGGCAGGTAAGGCAAGGAAGGAGGAGACTGGTGCCGAAGACGGCGTCGTGAGCGCTGAAGTGGAAGGGCTTGTCGGCGTATTGGACGACGTGGCAGCGTTTAGGTCAATGGGAGATATAGAGACAGACCGATCCGAGTTGTTCTGCTTGGGGACCCCGGCAGGCGAGGTGGAAACTGAGGAGACGCGTGACGGCGATGACATCGTGGGTGCCTGTATATTCTCAAGCCCTATCGTGACTTATCGGATGCTCGAGTAGACTGATGTGTATCGTTCTGATGCTAGGTGTGCGAATTGGTTGTTGTATGAAGGGCAAATTGTTGAAAGATCGTAGAAAGATTGATGAGTGATGATGGGTTGCTTTGTTGGACTGATTATTTTTCGTGATATGCAAAGAGAAATCGAGCTGGAAAAAAAATTCAAAAAGTAGGCAAAACAAGCCGTGGGTGGTAGCGTAGTTTCTAGGGTGCCATGGAGCGTGTGTTGGAGGCCAAACTCACGACCATACTCGTTCAGAGTCGCCAAAGAATAGGATCGGACTCTGAAATCGATGAAAAGCGAACCATTGTAACTTGGAACAAAGGTTGATCCGAACAATCTGAGAGACATGCTGGTCTTCTGTGTAGCAAACGAAGGAAGGCCGGGGATGGTTGGGAGAGGTGTTTTGATGATGAGAATGAACGGAAACAGCGTCATTTGTTATGCTTGGTGGATATCAATCAGCACGATTCGCTTGGGCGGAGTTTGACTTCATGACTTGAGGCGTCCTGCAATACTGCATGTATAGTGGCTGCTGGGATCGAGAACGTACGTGTTCTCGGCATCCTGGTACACCTTTGACCAGGAAGCGTCGACCTCTTCTCCTGCTTCGCACGTGGTCTAAGCCTAGATGCGATATATGTTGTGCATCCTGCATACCAATTCATCCTCACAACAACCTCCTTGACCTCTGCCGTGATCCCTTACCTCCAAGGTGCTCTCTCACCCATGTCCACATTGCACATAGAAACATCGACATCGGGACTAACCGCGGTACACTCCGGTTCGCGAACCTAACACCCCGGCCAGGACGTTGACAAACCCCTGGTGAGTCATTCTTTCGTGATGGTTCCGAAATGGAATCGAGGGATGCACTCCGATCGTAGGTAGACGATGTCGAAGACGGGATATGTACATGCTTCGTTCTTGGTGGGTGCCGTAATGAATTGACTTGGGCAAGATACGTGGAGTTCCTCGATGTCCTGGGCAGGAGAGAGCACGTAGTGCAGGGTATATTTGGGTGCCTTTGATGCGTGGACGTATGTGCGGTCATGTTGCGGGGTACGGTGGGCGAAGAGACTTTGTGTGGACTAGCAGTAAAGCAAATGTCGGCGCAGTTTTTATGTGAATTCTCGGACGTTCATAGAAGCGACGCAGGCGCTGGGCAAATAGTTAAGGGTATCGTATGCCCCCAATTTAGATACTGAAAATATAAGAGTGAAATAGGTCGATAAACGTTGGGCAATCCACAAGTTCGCGGCGCAAGGGGTGATATATAAATCCTTCGTAGCCCCCTCTCTTGGCTCTCGGAACATCGTTGTCACTGGAATAATTGCTGAAGGTCTGAACCAGTAGGCAGGGCTAGACGTGTCTAGATTTCATTGCACGAAGCCCTAAGAGGTTTAGCTTGAGCTGCTCCATGGGTCTGCGGGCGGCGCAGGGCCGACGATCAATACATATTAGTGATAGTAGTACCGTGCCTAGAACCCAAGAGCCGATAGAGCAGTTGATAAATCCTGATTGGCTGTAGTCAAGTAGAACTGGGGATAAAGGATAAATAGAACGTCTTCGATGTTGTCAATTGATCCTTCAAATTCAATGGAACTAGATTAGAACTGGCAAACTGCTGCGTGCTACGTTGAAAGCTTCTCTATTCTCTTAAGGATTCTGGCATGGAGGAATGCTTCACATGTCGTTGGGACGAAATTTATTCCGCTCGGAGATTTTCCATACGCCCAACTATGCCAGTTGGAGGCGTTAAATGCGTAAGTCGGGCTCAACGACCGACGTAGCAGGTTATGTATGAGGTGCTGGGTGACACAATCACAAGTTGCTCAATTTCTCGAAAAGTGAGCTCTGGAATGAAGATTATTCGTCCTCGTTAAAGGCAGTAGGTATCATCACCACTCCAACCGGGATCGCTTTGACCAACACGGCTTTGCAACATGTCACGTTTGAGAAGATGGCTCTGGAAGTTGCTTCATGAGCTTGTCGCTTTGAGCATCGCCACGCTCGAATCTGTTGCATTCGGGGCGGATGTCTTCGTCAGTTTGGCGTATCAGGTCTAGAGGAGAAGATCTTCTTGATCAAGATTGATCGCATTCTTCGTGTCTTGAGTATGGGCGGGCGGGCCGTCCTGACCTCACCTACTACGCATGCGCATCACTTACATCACCTTCTCATGGGTGTGCCTACTGAAGCAACCTACCTGCCGATGACGACTTCAAGTCCGTTCTGGGTTCAATGGGATTCAACAGGTGGTGCTGCAGACGGTGGCCAGTACGTGGAAAAGGGTGATGTCAAGCTCAGGACCATAAAACATGAGCACCAGTCTAGATGAAGATCTGTGAAGATTCTATCTCGCCAGGATCGTTGAACAGCTCTTCGATAGGGTTCTTGTCCATGGCTTCGTACCACTGCAAGAAACTGCAAATGAAGTATGCAGCCGATCCCCAGATGGTCGCCAAATCACTCTGATATTTTCCCCACGACTGCTTATGACCGACGATGCCGAATACAGCAATAAGCTCGAATCCGACGGAGCCAACGGTGGCCCAGAAACCGACCCACCATCCAAGAACCTTGGGTTCCGGTCTCCACCACGCAGTTTGTGTCTCGAGCATAAACATTAGACTAGCGATTAAAAAGCATGAGGCTGCAATGAGTTGAGGAACCCAAAAAGCACCAAGTGTTTGCCACCAAGCCAGGCTGTCAAGAATGCCGGGAAGGATGACAATGGCAGTCACACCGTACATGGTCACACCAAACAGTTGGATGGTAGTGGCCAACCAACCGATAGAGTAGATATGATGCGTTCGAACGGCTCTCCACGTCGGCCACCATCTCCAAGACATGTAGATGCTCTCTTGACCTTGTTCGCCGCCGTGATCCACTCCACCACGACGATGAGCTGGCTCTTTACCAGGAGGATAGTTCGGAGCAGGACGAAGTTGGCGTGGTGCCTCCTTGGCTCGCCATCCAGCTTCGGGATCTAGTTGATACGTATACTTTTCCTCACTATGACGGTGTGCTGGATTCAAATGACTGAAGAAGTGACGGACCTTCTCGTCAAACATTTTCTTGTCGTCGTCCTCATGTCCTTCGAGAAGGCGACGCATCGCTGCACCGTGAAACGAGCCATCATTGACGGCCTCGAGATAGGCAGCCACGGCTCCGACCTGGTAAAATAGAGCCCCAATGAAGAACGATAAGGGACCTCCATAGGTCTCAGCGGAGCGTGAGACGAACTCTTCACCATATGCGACGGCGCCCCAAGCCAACACGCCATCAACAACGAATAGAGCAGACCCTATTGAATAGGTCATGCCACTCCAGTAAGCCATATCCCAATATGGGAAGGTGAAGAACATCTTATAGAAGATCTTGCCAATGCCTCTGATATTCTGCGTCATCCTGGGTGTGTATTGCATCGGGATGAATGAGGCATCAGTGCTGTGGTCAGTTGATAGTCTTGGGACAGCAATGGAATTGCGACCTTTGCGATTGTCTCGAGCGCGCCACATGAGCTCCTCTTCTCTCGAACCGTGCTGTGAGTCGTGAAAGCGGACGCGCATGCGAACATTTGTAGGGTTGAGGAATCTGCTGACGCCAGTAGCATGAACGCCATCCAAGTGGAATCTGTGCCTTGCGGACCGGACCGTGTCAACGACACCGGCCTGGAAGTCACCGGCGGCAGTTTTGAGCTTGTCCATCACATTGCTACTGTTATGCTCAACGTCATCTTGATACTCTCGGTCGCTCGTAGTTCTAGCCATGAGAAATCTACTGTCATTTGAGGTACGGCTGGACATTCTGTCCTCTGACGCCGGCGTTGGTCGGCTATGCTCGGTAGGTATGACATTTGAGATATCGTGTTGGTGGGCCTGAGAATCTCTGCTTCCGCCAAAAGGATCTGGATTGTCAAAGACTGACATGGCGTTTTGAATGAGGGAACCAAAGATAGTCAAGAGAGGCGACTACAGATCTCCATGGAAGGGATGCGATGGTGCCAGCAGGATAAAGCTGGTCTATGTCGGCGTCAGTGTATTATATGATAATACGGCAAATCAAGCATTAGCCAAAAGCTAAGAGTGGAGCTTAGCATGGATGTTTTGGGCGACAACCCGAGGGCAAGGCTGAGGCGGCTAATTATGTGGGTGATGTCTTGCAGAGAAAAGAGCGTCAGCGGCGCTGTGTCGAGAAGGTTGAGTACCGGCATTTCAAGGTTCATTTGCAGACGATATCATGTCTGGATGTGTATATAGATTTTGCATGATTCAATAGGAAAACGAGCCATGGATTTCTTTGTTGCTTGGTAGAGAGATTTAATCTTCCATCGAATTTTCCCCAGCCCAGGAATTTCAGATATGACGTCAGCGTGGTGGACGTGTCGGCCTTAGGTGTGACAGAGGTGCCTGAGGTACCGGGGTATCATTATTACCAGGTATTAACTCCTTCCATCCTGCCACGAGCTCTGCATGCACGTCAGGCGTCCTGGGCATCTCGTCAACTAATCATTCTCCAGAAAACGACTAATAATCATCCCGAGATTTCCGTTTGTATATTCCGCCGTATCCGGGAACCATTATCTACGAGATTCTGCGGCGTAGACATTATCGTCTCACCCCCGTCTGATGCCAGTCGCATACCTTTTGCAGATGGCGCCTTGAGACCTGCAGGACGTTAGCCTCCGTCAGCAATCTTCGACATTCTCCTGCTGCGTTATCGAGAATGTCAATTGTCGTCAGCTCCCGACTCCGCTGTTAATCGTCCCGCAATGGCCGATTCCCTTCCGAAACTGAAGGTGACCTCGCCTCATCACACAACCTCTGCTCCTTTTCCGTCGCCAAAATTCCACACCTTGTCGGCCGATGAGGCGTTCAAAGAGAATCTTGTACGCCCTCGGCGATCGGGCGACCGAGGTTCGTGGCAGGCATCGACAATTACATCTATCCATACCTCTGACTCTGTTTATGTAGCTCCGTCCAGAACTAGCACGAGCTCACCCACGAAGTCGCTTACGAATACTCCTTTTCCGGACACAGAAGACGCGCAAGATGGTGCTCCGCCTGCTATTGATCCCCTGTCGCAAGTCAGTGATCGCTACCTACAACTTCTCCTCCAATGCCCTAACCTTTGTATAACATCAGCATATCCTAAAACGCACCAAAACAGGGACTCCAATCGCAGAGAAACTTCGATCGACAACCCATGACTCCACCTCTCGACCAGGCACCCCAGCCGATGGCACTCCCGAAATAAAGAAATCGGTGGAATCGCCTAGAGTAGACAGCTTTGGGACAAACAAGGACAAAAAGTAGGCAACAGATGCAGTGGAAATCTTGGTGCCCCAACCCGGAGGCGAATATCGGCTGACTGGCATTTGCATAGGAAAGGTGTTTCATTCCTTAGCCGGTTCATAGGAGGTAACAAGAAGAAATCAGGCGCAGAATCTGTGGGAGACAAGGACTCTGAACTTGGCGATGCTGAACGACTTGAGGGCAAGGAAGCGGAAATCTTCTCGCAGCCCATCGAGAATCTCGGCTTCCTTCCGAAACATCCACAACCGCCGGCATATATCAAAGTAAGAGCAAGATGCAAAAAGGAAAAGGAGTTTGACCGGGTGTTCCTAGCGCAAGAGTTGTGTTCGCGCGCTACGAAGAAAAAACAGTCGATGGGACCAAATGGCAGTCAGACTTCAAGGCGCGAGACGGACGATAATGGCAGCGGCAATCCCACGTGGGCGATGGAGTTCAGCAGGGACGGGAAGTACCTAGCTGCGGGGGGGCAAGACAGAATACTGCGGATCTGGGCGACATTGTCAAGTGCCGAGGAGAGAAGATTTCACGAAAAGGAAGAGGCTGCTGCTGGCCAAGCACAACATCTGAGCGCACCCGTGTTTCAAAAGAAGGCCGTTCAGGAGTACGAAGGGCACACATCTACCATCCTTGACCTAAGCTGGAGCAAGGTAAGTGTGATGCGAGCATTGTTGGGCACGAAAAGTGACGGCTAATGCACGATCAGAACAACTTCTTGTTGTCGTCGTCGATGGACAAGACTGTACGATTATGGCACGTCAGTAGGCCAGAATGTCTTTGTACGTTCAAGCATGCGGACTTTGTACCGTCGATCCAATTCCATCCGAGAGATGATAGGTTCTTCTTGGCCGGCTCGCTGGACACAAAGCTGCGACTATGGAGTATACCAGACAAGAATGTGGCATACTGGGCACAGCTGCCAGACATGATCACAGCAGTGTCATTCACTCCTGATGGCAAAACAGCTATTGCGGGCACACTTAATGGTCTCTGCCAGTTCTACGAGACGGAGGGGCTGAAGTATCAGACGCAGATGCATGTCAAGTCGGCACACGGGAAGAATGCCAAAGGCTCAAAGATCACGGGGATCCAAGCAGTATGTGTTCCAGCAGACAGTAACAGTGGAGAGGTGAAGATACTGGTGACTAGCAACGACTCTCGGATCCGTCTTTACAATCTCCGGGACAAGAATCTTGAAGCAAAGTACAAAGGACACGAGAACAACCAGAGTCAGATACGAGCATCGTTCAGCCCAGACGCGAGTTACGTCATCACTGGCAGTGAAGACCGGAAAGCGTACATCTTCTCCACGACGGCGTCGGAGAGCGAGAAACGCAATCAGCATGCGGTGGAGATGTTTGAGGCGCACACAAGCATTTCAACGTGCGCCATCATGGCACCCACGTCGACGCGGCAGCTGCTGAGCCGGTCTGAAGATCCAGTGTATGACATATGCAACCCTCCGCCGGTGACGCTGGTCAGCAAAGCAGAATCATTTGTATCGTCGCAAGCGCCGACAGAAGCAGAGCAGAGCGCTACAGCGGCAGGTGGGAGCAAGTTCAAACGTGCGGAGGAATCGCCAGCGTATATTGCACGGTCAGTGCACAATGACGGCAACATCATGGTCACGGCGGACTACAGTGGCAGCATTAAAGTGTTTCGGCAAGACTGTGCATACCAGAAGCGCCGCAACGATGCGTGGGAAACATCGTCGACCTTCTCGAAGAAGATGGGCGGGCGCACGATGTCGATACAGAGCAAACGGTCAGGCAGACGCGATTCCACGAGCACGCAACCGCCACAGGAGCGGATCATGTCGTGGCGTCAAGAAATCCAGCCCAGCGGCAGCGCGGACAGTCTGGCGCTCCGAAACGGCGGGACACACAGCAAGAATCGAAGCGTCTCACCGCGCAAGTCGCCCGCGGGATCGAGTCTGGCATCGGGGAAGAAGAAGGGAGGGAATAGTGATCAGAAGGAGAGTAGTGTGTTTGACAGTGAAGTGAATCCGATGTGGGTCAAGGATAAGCAGAGCTATGCGTTCTGGAACACACAGACGGTCAGGGAGCAGATGGAGCGGGCACACGATAATAGACTCAGGCCTGAAGTTGGCAGCGGTCGGCCAGCGCTGAGCCAGCAGGCGAGTACGGTCAGCGCACTGAGCTATGAGGAGGCAAGTACGGAGGAGGCAGAGAGTGGTAGCAGAGGCCCAGAGCCAGAGCCAGAGGCGGCAGACTGTTGAGAAAAGAGAAGAGGCGGTGAAATGATTGGCAGTGGGGGTACATACCTAGTACTAAGTGACCTCTAGTAAGAAGGGAGGATCTTGGTTAGCAAGAATGCAGTGATTGAATAGAGTAGTAGTGCCGACCGAGTATTATGACGAGGGATTGACTGTGAAGAGAGATGAATATAGGTAGTAGAGAAGAAAGATGATTAAATGTCCGAGCTGATTAGCCGAGCTATCGATGTTCGTATTTTGATTGTCTCTCGGCTCAATCCGGCTCTTCCGATGAATGCATGCGCCTTTGCTCTCTTCCTCTCTCAGCCAATAATTAGCCAGATGGATGATGATGATGATGATGATGAGTAAAGAAAGATAAGCAACATGAGCACGCACGCACGCACGCACGCACGAATAGATATGGACAGAAGGCGCGCGGCGTCTCGAATGCTGGACTTTTCTTCCGGACCGTATCGAGATGTTTCGCTCCGAACCGCGTCCCAGCGGACGGGGGAATGGTGGTGGGTGTGGGTGATTAGTATGTCGAACTAGAAAGGACTAGGAACAGGCTAGGAACAGGACTAATTAATGGTCAGGACTAATGGTGAGGCGTGCACGATGGGATGCCTTTGACCGTCATCGTCGGCCGTGTAGTAATGTTGATCTCACGACACTGCGTAGAGGACGAGGGCGAGGGCGAGGGCCAGGGCCAGGGCAGCTAGACAGGATTAGGGATAGAGGGGGCTTGATGGGAGATGTATGGATAATGTGCTGATGGGAGGGAGAGAGAGAGAGAGTGTGTGTGTGTGTCTGTGTGAGAAGTGGTGGTAGCGAGAAGGTTGAAGTGACGACGGGACGACGGGACATGGATGGATCCGTGGAACGTGGTTGTTGGATGGGTAGATGGCCATGGACGACGGGACGGACATGGCTGAAGGGGGGGTGCTCGATGGGCTAGATGGACGGATCATGGATGGAAACGAGAGAGGAGTAGAGTAGGAGGGCAAAGACTACAGTAATTAGGATAGTCGTAATTAGTCGGTCTGCTAGAAAGAGATGATAATACACCAAGCGCGTCTACCGCTTAATACGACGACGCCTGCTGCATGCCGGTTCGATGATGGTACGGACAAGACATGGAACTATCTGTTTTGCACGGGGCTGCCGAGGAGTTTTCTTCTGGCTTGGGTAGAGCGAGGACAGACAGACAGGGGGTGAAATGGTAGGTTGCGGGAGCTAAAATCTCACTTTGTTGACTACTACACCAACAGCCAAAACAACGATCACTGGGCAGTCTCAAGAGTGCGCACCTCTTTTGGGGCGTTTGGGGAGAGCTGGGTAGATGTTCGGCCTCCAGCATTAGCATTCTCGACTCTCCACGCAGGCAAGAGACGGTGTTAGACCCTAGAGTAGACGGCCGGTGAGGTGCGTAGATCTGGGACCAGCCGGCTGATTAGTATAGCTCCCTACTACCCGTCTAACGTGGAAGGACGGGAACACCTTCAAGGCACCAGGGACCAGCGCTCTGGGGCTCTGGGGCTCTGGGGCTCTGGGGCTCTGGGGCTCTGGGGCTCTGGGGCTCTGGGGCTCTGGGGCTCCTCACCACCGTAACCACAACCACCACAACCACATACCAGCTGTGTCGTTGGCGCAAGCAGGCAGGGAATTACCCACCTATGTAGCCCTGTAGCCCTAAACTGCCTGCAGCTGGTACCTACCTTCAAGCTTCTATTCCCATGCCCTTGGCCCTGCAGCTCATGCCTGGGAAAAGTGGAGGTAAGTGGATCTGGGAGTACAGTACTGTAGCTGGGGTGTGGACCTGGACGATTATCATCAGTAGGGATGAGGTCTGCGGGAGGTATGCAGGCACAGCTGAGGTCAAAGGGAACTGCCGGTCATGGCGCTCAGGCACGGATGCTCGCTTGGACGACACACTCCACACTACCATATACTCTATGATGCACGTTTGATCTTCATGCATACATGATGCGATTGTGAATCCGCGAACGCGCGTGTGAGAGTGGTGTTGTGAGACACGAACCACACACAGACGACGACGACTCTCTGCACGGCGTTGGCGCTGGTTCCATGGCGTTGGCGTTGGCGTTGGCGTTGCCCACAATTCGCACTGACCTGTCCCCTTATTTCCGACATCGAGGAACGCGACTTTTGCAAGTGTGGGGGATCCTTCTTCTTGCTTTACCACCTATTACCAGCAACACAGACCTATCAAAGCTACCAAAGGATAGGGGCAACATCGAAGGACTGGGCTTCTTGGGCGTTGCCTGCCAAGGTAGACTGGTAGAGTAATAGGTACTGTAGCCCGTGCAGGAGGTCGTTGGCTGCTAGGCGTCTCTAGTCGAAACCTTGCACTCCGTATTTTAGTGTCTCGCATCAGACGCAGCCACGGCTATTGGTTGGAGGGTGGTTGTTCCGTGTGTCTGGGTGTGTCTGTGTGTGTATGAGTGTGTCTGAGTGTCTAGAAGTGTGTCTGTGTGCGTAGGAGTGTGTCTGTGTGTGTCTGTGTGTATCTGTGAGTGTGTCTGAGTGTCTAGAAGTGTGTCTGTGTGCGTAGGAGTGTGTCTGTGTGTGTCTGTGTGTATCTGTGAGTGTGTTGTGTGGCGTCTATCCCATTCCATTCTACTGTACCTGTGAGAGATTCCCCGGAGCCCATCGTTGTGGACGAACTGTTCTTGGCAAAGGCGCACGAGCCACCACCAGGTATCTGCAACACAAAGTCACAGACAGCGTGCTCTCCTCTGCTGCGGCTAAACACTGGCTCAACCTCTCAACTCCCCATCTTCTCCACTTTTCCCTTCTCCCCCAATATCCGTCATCCATTCTCCCTTCATCCTCTCTGCCTTTTTGCCTTTAGCGAAATCCTCTTCCTATTTCTCCGTCCTCGTTCACTTTACCTAGCTGAGTAACCATCGGCGTTCAACGGTGATCCTGGCCTTTCCTCGCCACAACCCGTCCCTTTGTACTAAACCTAATTCCCACGCTCTGGCCTGCCGCTACTTGCGACCCGCGACCGACTTGGCTACTTGCTACACAATCCCCCTATCAACTTCTAGATCGCACTTTGTTCTTAAGTGCCGGCATGACAACGCCATGGATCCTGCTATATCATCCATCATCCATATCTTCTCGCCCTCCCCCGGCTTCCTGTCTACTATCCGTTCTCTTCAGCAAACTGCGGTTCCCTGTCTACGACCTGTGACCGTCCCGGGGTTCCCCTGCAATCCTCCCTGGCACATCTAACCTCCACTTTCCAAGAATGTCTTCGCTTCTTCTTGTTGCTATGCTCACTGTGGTCTGCTCTCGTCATTGCACAGCAAACCCCGCCTGAATGTGCCGTAAGTACCACCTTGTCTTTTCACTTGCTTCGTCTGTCCCTGGCTAATTCTCCTTGCCAGCTGAAATGTACCGCTGCTGCCCTGTCTCCCGAGACATGTCCCTCTTTGACAGACCTATCATGTGTTTGCTCAAATGCTGCATTCAACGCGAATGTGTCTACCTGTGTGATGCAATCGTGCACTATCCCTGAATCTCTCGGTATGCCTATCCCGTTGGGTTCACCCTCTAAATTCTCTTTTGTGTCATCGAGTCCAAACACTGACAGGATAGCACAGTCGCGCAGAATGTAAGCGCCACTCTATGCGGCGCCCCTATCCGCAACAGAGCACCGGAGTTGGTTGTCATCACCAACATACACATAGTCCTTCTTGCTGTCTTCGTCGTCGTACGGATCTTCTTCAAAGTCTTCGTCGCACGCATACCTCTCGGATGGGATGACTGGACTGTGATTGTCGGTGCCCTCAGCGTTATTCCAACCGCAGTCATCCTTGTCTACGGCACATCTGCCCATGGCATGGGTAAGGATATATGGACTCTAGAGCCAGAGCAGATCACAAAGTCCATCAAGTTCTCCTACCACCTTACCTGGCTCTACTTCGTCCAAATTGCGATGCAGAAGCTCTCCCTGATCTTCTTCTACCTACGCATATTTCCTAGTCAGGGCGTCCAACGACTACTCTGGACTTCCATCATGTTCTGCACAGTTTGGGGTCTCGCCTACTTCCTGACCGCCATATTCCAGTGTCAGCCCATCAGCCACTTCTGGGACGGTTGGGATGGCTTGCATAAGGGCAAGTGCATCAACACGACTCCTCTCGCCACCTCACATGGCGTCATGAGCATCGCGCTCGACTTGTGGATTCTGGGCATCCCACTGTGGCAACTACGCACCCTCAATATCAACTGGAAGAAGAAGATCGGCGTTGGTATCATGTTTTGCGTGGGAAGTTTGTACGTCTCTCCTCCCCTTTCTTACTCCTGAGCGTGCCACCAGACAAGATACTGACCCACACAAACCTACAGCGTCACCATCGTGTCCATCGTTCGTTTCAAAACTCTCCTTCACTTTGCTTCCTCCTTCAATGTCACGTGGCATTACTACGACGTCATCAAGTGGACCATCATCGAAGTTGCCTTTGGCATCATCTGCGCCTGCCTGCCAACTGTTCGCATGGTCTTGGTCAGGATATTTCCCGGCCTCGGCGGTTCCAGCAATCGCTCCCGTCACTACCTCAAGTACGGCAATGACAACAAACTCGAATCTCTTCACAAAGGCGGCGTCCGGGTCCGGGAGACGGGAGTGCGGACTACGGCCGCTCCGGACAGTCCTGTCGATCTAGGTCGGGGGAGATCTATGGAAGCTGGAGTGATCAGAGTGGAACATGCATTTGAGATCAAGACTGACGATGAGGCCAGTCTGGTCAGTCATAACGACCGGGTGTAACCCTGGTAGTCCGCACCCTTCATAGTTCGAAATACATAGCGTGTCATTTTAATATCCACGAGCCTCATGATAGCCATTTACAGAAAAAAAAAACCTTCTCTTCTTTAACCTAACCCATCTCTCTCCACATTTTGCTCCTGCGCCTACACATAGCTCCTGCATGTATTCTAAGGGCCCTCCCAGTAGAACATCCACTAACGCCCAAAGCCTGTCAATTCCCCCGTCTTTGGAAGCGGATTCTCAACAACCTGGCTAAGTAATTACCCGCTCCATATTGTCCATGACAGCGTTTGCGGGTTGAGGAAGCAGACTCTAGTCGTGCGTAGCTCAAGTCTAGGCCACGAGCCATTGCACTTTTTTTTCTAGATAAAAGTAATAGACTGACCGGCTTTCTTTCCAGGTGTCGAACTTTTAAGGGTCAGAAGTGAAAGCGAGACGTGAATTGGGCAGGTTGCAGACATATTCCAATGGACGAACGCACGCACGCTAAAAATAGGTGTGGCGCAGTATCAGATGCCGCCCCACCTGCAACCCAGCACCCGCACATGGAGGAGGCTGCGGGCGCGGCCATAATCGGAGGGCGGGAGGGGAAGGGACCCTTGGAGCGTGAATTGCTAGACTTGGACTGCACTGCATGCATAGCAGATAAAGATTCTTGCATGCGTACAATAATCAATCCGAAGTTTTTTCTCGCGTCTGTAGAGATTTTGCCGCGCAGTCGGCAGAATTGCCCTCAGTCTCAGAGAGTGTGATATGGTCGTGGGGCCGCTGCCGCCGGACCACTAATAAGTATAGAATGATGTTATGAGGCTTGCGCACATACTCGTGAGATCTGTCCTACGTACTACTTACTAGCCTCAGCCTTCTCCACCACCTATTACCTCATTCTCTCTCTCTACGCTCAGTCTTCTTCGCACACCACACATACCAGATCGCTCGCTCGCTCGCTCCTCCACTTTTTAAAGCCCAACACTCAAGTTTCCCATGTCTCGCATGGCCAATGAAGAGCAACAATGTCTGCGCCAACTTCTCCAGGCGGCGGCCGCGGCGGTTCCTCGGATGGTCTGCGGCGTAGGTCTTTTGCCCAGCCTGAAAGAGACGATGTAGACTTGGACGGTGATTTGAGAGATGGACTACACTCGGTCGTGTCGCGGAGTAATGCAGATGATGGGAGTCGGAATGAGACACACTCGACCGCTGTCGACAACGGTCGAAGACCCTCGCTGGCAGAGGCAGGACACCGTGTCCGTTTTTCTGCCGATGTCGAACGTAGTGAACAGCCCATACCGCCCAACCCTCGGGGCGCATCCATACAAGAAGTAATGTCAAGGAACCCTGCATCGACAAAGCTGCGACCAGGTACACCAGACCTTTCGATCAATACGCGAGCTGCGTCGATTGGCAGTGTCCCTGTACGTGGACAAGCAGCAGTTCAGTCACCGTTTACTCTCAGCGCACGCTCGCCGTCTAGTTCACCATCGCCACGTTCTCCTGTTTCGCCTGCGACGCGCAATCGTGGCTATTCCTTGCGGAGAACCCTGTTTCATAGAAATGTGGAGGGCTCGATAAATAGTCCGGATCATGGTTCCGTAATCGAATTGCAGGAAGGTGCAGGTTCACAGTCATCGCAAAATGTACCCTTACGGCAGGACTCGAGAGCAAGTAAAAAGTCTGTTACGACGACGATATCTACCGTTGCTCCAGACGATTTCGACTTCATCGAGCCGCAAGTGGAACAGCCGAAGGACAAGAAGACTACGCTGGGTCTCGCAGCACTGCCCAACTATGAGTCTTGGATAGCGGACAAAGCGCGCCACAATACCGCATACAAACAATTCAAGCGCGTGTATACTCGCGCGAGGAAGTTTGTCCTCCGAATACACGACATCCCACCCAGCAAAGACGGTAGACATATCGACTTGGATCCATTCCGAAAAACGAACCTGGTTGATGAAAGGACGAACAAGAACTTCATCGCAAACAATATCCGATCGACCCGTTACAACGCGTGGAATTTTGTGCCGCGTCAACTCTTCGCGCAATTCTCGAAGCTTGCCAACTTCTACTTTCTTTGTATTAGTATTTTGCAGTTGATACCCGGTCTCAGTACCACGGGGACTTTTACCACTATCGTACCGCTCATGTTCTTCGTCAGTTTGTCCATTGCAAAGGAGGGCTATGATGACCTGCGTCGGTATAGATTGGACAAGGCTGAGAACAAACGAGATGCCAAGATCCTGCATGCCTACCAGCCTACGGCCACGAGATTGTCGACTGACGAAGAAATCAGTGGGACCCCGAACGTTGGCCCAATACACTGGGCATCTACCAAGTGGCAGGATATTAGGGTTGGCGATGTGGTCAAACTGAATCGAGACGATGCCGCCCCGGCGGATCTGGTCGTTCTGCAGTCAAGTGGGCCAAACGGAATCGCGTATGTGGAAACCATGGCTCTGGATGGCGAGACGAACCTGAAAAGCAAGCAAGCTACAGCCTCAATACAGGAGATCTGCAAGTCATCGCACGATATCGTCAACTGTCAGGCAAAATTTGTCGTGGAGGATCCAAACCTTGACCTCTACAACTTTGAGGGGAGGGTGACTGTCAATGGGAAAACCTCACCACTTACAAGCGCCGAGGTGATATATCGGGGTAGTGTGCTGCGAAACACGCCAGACGCGGTCGGAATGGTCATCTATACTGGCGAAGAATGCAGAATTCGGATGAATGCCAATAAGAACCCACGAATCAAAGCACCGGCACTACAATCAATTGTCAACAAGATTGTCCTCTTGGTTGTCATATTCGTCGTTGCCCTTGCCATCTTCAATACCGTCGCGTATCAAATCTGGGACAGCCTAGAAGACAAATCCTGGTATCTGACCAACGCTGGCGTGGCCTTTTTTCCAATCTTGGCAAGCTTCATTATCATGTTCAACACGCTCATTCCCTTGAGCTTGTACGTGAGTTTGGAGATTGTCAAAGTTGCTCAAATGTACTTTTTCAACGATATCGATATGTACGATCCCGTAAGCGATACACCATGTGAGGCCAGGACATCTACGATCAACGAAGAGCTCGGCCAAGTCAGGTATGTTCCCATAGCTCCAAGCTTCTAGCGCACCAGGCACTAATCCATACCTAGCTATGTATTCTCGGACAAGACAGGTACACTCACAGACAACATGATGAAATTTCGCAAGATAAGTGTCGCCGGGACAGCTTGGTTGCATAACCTAGACATAGTCGATACAGGTAATGCCGGGCCGCGTATGAAGAAGAAACGCGTCAAAGGGAAGGAGAAAGTAGAAAAGCCTCGGAAAAGCCTTCATTCTCTGCGTCGGAAGTCGAGTCAAATGATCCGACATGGTCTTGAAGGTGAATCGCCGGAGCGCGAGTCTCCAGAGCGCGAAGGCGTCAACGAGACTCAGCGATCCGTCACCTGGCGCTCAACCGCGAGACCAGCACGGCATCAAACAGAGATGTTATCCACCGACTTGATTCGGTACATTCAGCGCAAGCCGCACACCAAGTTCGCGAAGAAAGCCAGACTGTTCCTGCTGTCAATAGCGCTATGCCACACATGTCTCCCTGAGAAGAAGGACAATGGGGAGATTGACTTTCAAGCCTCTTCGCCAGACGAGCTTGCTTTGGTGCGAGCAGCGCAGGAACTGGGTTTCATGGTTATTAACAGAGATGTCGGCACGATCACATTAAAGATTGTACCCATAACACCAGGTGGAGAAGAGATTACCGAGATATACGAGGTTCTGGATGTGATTGAATTTACGAGCAAGCGCAAACGCATGTCAATTATTGTGCGTTTCCCTGACCAGCGTCTTTGTATGTTCTGCAAGGGCGCCGACAGTTTCGTCATGCAACGGCTGCGGCTATCAAGTCTGGCCAACCAAAAGGTCGGAGAAGTCGAACGCAGAGCTTCGAAGCGCAAAAGTCTGGAGGCACAGCATGCCATAGCCAGACGAAGCGAACAGTTTGATCGTAAGAGTAGCATTGGACGTCTCAGTGGGACTTTTGGGCGAAAGAGCATGGGCAGCATGGGCAGGTCCAGTTTCAGCATGTCTGGCGCTCGTCAGTCTTCGGTTGGTAACGGGATTGGAATGCAGTCTCCCAGAGACGAGCTCGATTCCTGGTTGAGTCAGAGAGAAAGAGATGTAGATATGGATGTCGTCGAGGACGAGGCATTCTACACGCCCCGGCCATCCACGCAGCTTCAGAGGCAATCTCTGGCCATGTCGGACGCTCGAAGCTCCATGATACTCGACGATCTCGACGAGATGGTCGAGGAGTCGTTGGTAGCTGACGAGCCTGCTGTTCTCGAACGCACTTTCCAACATATCAACGACTTTGCAACAGAAGGTCTTCGGACCTTGCTGTATGGGCATCGCTTTCTTAACGAGCAAGACTATCAAGGCTGGAAGAAAATATATCTCGATGCCACAACTAGTCTTGTGGATCGAACAGAATTGATTGAGAAGGCCGGTGATCTGATTGAGCAGAACCTAGAGCTTACAGGTGCGACCGCTATTGAAGACAAACTACAAAAGGGGGTTCCAGAAGCAATCGATAAACTTCGGAGAGCCAACATCAAGATGTGGATGCTCACGGGCGACAAGCGAGAGACCGCGATCAATATCGGACACTCTTGCCGACTGATCAAAGACTACTCAACAGTCACAGTTCTGGACAATGAGGCTGGAGAGGTTGAACAAAACATCGCGGCTGGCATAGTCGATATCAATAGTGGACATGTTGCCCACTCGGTGGTCGTCGTGGATGGCCAGACCTTGTCATACATTCTTACTTCTCCGCCACTCTCAGCGCTGTTCTTCGATTTGGCTATCCTTGTTGATAGCGTAATTTGTTGTCGTGCGTCACCGTCTCAGAAGGCCCTTTTGGTCAAAGCTATTCGAAAACGGGTAAAGAAGAGTATCACACTGGCCATTGGAGATGGAGCGAATGATATTGCCATGATTCAAGAAGCACATGTCGGCATTGGCATTGCTGGCAAGGAAGGTCTCCAAGCAGCTCGAGTCAGCGACTACAGCATCGGACAGTTTCGCTTTCTTGTAAAGCTTCTACTGTGTCACGGCCGGTGGAACTACATCCGCACTTGCAAGTACACGGTCGCGACGTTCTGGAAAGAAATGGTATGCACTGTCTCCCTTCCTTCTCCTTCCTGCTTATATACAACGGCTAACATGACAAAGCTGTTCTACATGACTCAAGCCCTCTACCAACGTTATGCCGGCTACACTGGCACCTCCCTCTACGAATCGTGGTCGCTTTCCATGTTCAACACCCTCTTCACCTCTCTCCCTGTCATCTTTATCGGCATATTCGAGAAAGATCTCGCCGCGTCAACCCTTCTTGCTGTTCCTGAGCTGTACACGAAGGGCCAACGCAACGGTGGCTTCAATTTCAAGCTTTACCTCGGCTGGATGTTCATGGGTGTGGCCGAAGCCATGGTCGTTTGGTGGACAATGTGGGGTCTCTACGGCGAAGTTGATTTCAGTCGCGACAGCACGCTTTTCGCCATGGGCCAACTAACGTTTTCGTCTGTCGTAATCTTGATCACGATAAAACTCCAACTGCTCGAGACGCATCACAAGACGTACATGCCAGCTATCAGTGCATTCTGTAGTGTCGGCGGTTGGTTCCTCTGGAACATCATTCTGGCTGGCACTTACCACAACAACATCATATACAAGGTCAAAGGCGCCTTCTTCGATCGCTTCGGCCGCAGCTTGCTATGGTGGACAATCCTCCTACTCATCATCGCGGCCTGCACGCTCTTCGAGATCGCCGTGAGCGCCGCACGGAAAGCCTACTTCCCCGACGACGTCGACACCTTCCAGGCCCTCGAACAGAATCCCGCCATCAAGCGCCGCCTCGAGGAAGCGAGCGCGAACATACTGCAAGCAAGCTGGGGCTACGCCCTGGAGGGCCAGGACGGCGAGGCTGTGAAGCGTGCCCGGAAGATCGAAGAAGAGCAGAAGGCCATGGAGGAGCAGGAGCGCGAGATGCAGGAGCTGCTGAGGACGAGGACCGCGGACGAGGCGCAGATACAGCCGAGCACCCAGCAGGCCGAGGGTGTGAGGCCGAGACGGCATGAGGAGGTGCAGGAGATGCTGAAGAGGGGGTTTGGGAGTGTGAGGAGGGGATAAGAAATTGGGGCAGAGCCTGTATACAGTGCATGTTGTGAGCTTGGTTCGGGTGTAAATACTGGGTGGACGGTGACCTGCTACGGCAGGCATATGAAAGGCTTGTAGTGTGGCTTGCTTGTTGTATACGAATATCATTTTCCGTGCAAAGACTTTTTTCTATGGTGTTGCAAGTGACTGTGGGAGAGGCAGAGAGAGGGGGAGGTCATATATTACAGCAAGCGAGGAGGGATTGATGGATGGATGGACGGAGGGAGGGAAGCACTCTTTGTTTTTGTTAATTACTCTCGGCACGGACTCGGCATGGATATCCTTCTAATCCGGATATCCGGATGGATGCATGCCCCTCGAGCCTATCTCAACTTTGTGTTCGTGCGTCTTTTAAAGGGGTACGTTGCCTTAGAATTTAGCTTGATGAAGGATATCTAGGGGGCCTACTTGGCCTATCATTGACGTCTTGGTAAACGAGACAGCCAAGTCACGAGCAAGGGATGATAAATGACAAAGACACACAAGACACGTGATGGATTTTCAAGTTTTACTTCTTTGTTTGACGTTACTACCAACATTACTTTGCGCTATATACAAGAATTGCTACCCACCCCCAACACACACACACACACACACACACACACACACACCAAGGGCAAGGGGCAAGCGCAACCGGCGCACTTCAAGCTTCCCCACACGGCCTCAAGCACTCTAAGCAAAGCCATCAATACCCCGCTGAATAGCCTTGATGATGTTATCGATCTTGCCCTGGGCAATAGACTGCGCATTAGCAGGCACCTTGGACTTGACCGTGGCGCCAAACTTGGTAGCGGAAGCCTTGAAGTCATTCAAGACCTCGGCGACGGTAGAGGAGGCATCGGACGCGTCAAACGCGGATTTCTTGGCCAGCGCGTCGTCGACGGCCGTGTTGATGACCTTTGTCAGCGCGTCGGCCTGGTTGGCGACCTTGAGCGCCTCGGACAGCGTGACGGGCGAGGTGGCGGCTACCTTGGTGTTGCCGCTGTCGACGGAGGCGAGGACGTCCTGGGACGCGTTGTACACGTCTGTGAGGTCGGCTTGGTAGGCCTTGACGGCGGTGTCGAGCGAGCCGACTTTGTTCTGGATGTCGGTGAAGGCGGCGGTGATGGTGGCGAGGTCGCGCTTCTTGTTTGCTGTGGTCGAGGCCGGGGCCGCGAGGGCGACGCCGGCGAGGAAGACGGTGAAGAGCGAGGAAAATTGCATTTTTTTTTTCTGTCTTTCTTGAGAGAGAGATGAGATATGTCTGTGCTTTTGGGGTGGGGATGTTCTCGTTGTGCTTGCTGGGGAAGATTCGAGTTGGATGCGGTTGTCAGACCCGTTTTATATCCTGTCAGTTTGGCTCCACATGCTTTGGTCTGATCGTGGAGACTCAATTGCGACTTTGATCGCCTCGGTGTTGTACTGAAGACGGCACTTGGGGCACTCCTATTCAGCGAAGATCTGCGGCGATTCAGCAGGGATGGTGACAGTGATCGACGTGCTACTGCACCGCAGCCTTGAGATCGGCATTCTGAAAGAGGACAGAGCTAAATGACCGTAATCATCATTTGGCAGAAGCAGTTCTTGCTCGTCTCGATATCCGAACATCGTCATTCTCGAATGCTGGCCTTGGGCATACAGACATAACAACCCACGCCAGCATCTGTTGAGATTTAAGGCGTCGCACTTACAAGCAACATCCACAGGGAAATCAAGAATGCCCCCCAATATCCCCCAAACTTCCCCACACGCTGACGATCCGTAGTAGCAAGAAAGTCTGGGGTAACGCTAAAATAAGCTTACTGCTATCTAGCCAGGACCGCACTGCACCGGAGCCTTTCAAGTCCAGTCCCATTGGCCATAACAAAAGTGTCTCTTGACAACGTTGCATTTTAAGTTCCACGTTAGCGCCTCGAGAGCCTGAGCCGAGTGTGAACGCTCCGCTGTGCCAGACTTGATCTGACTTGGCAAGAAAGACGTTGATTGGGGGGGGCTTCAAGCGTGCTCGTGATACTGCTGCTGGTTAGGCACAGTATAGTTGCTTCGGACTGGGGACTGCCCGATGTAGATCCTTTTTCGTAATAATTTGCGCAGTGAGTCGTACTGTCATTCTCGCGAAAGGATCGCTGCGGACTACGAGCATGTGTGCGACCTTTCTCCGAGGGACCTTGTAGTCGGTCTCCTTGGCTGTACACAGAGTGCATGGCTGATATCATGTATTCTGACGATGTAAATTGATTCACGTAATTGTCGATATCCCTATGAACTGTATTTAAAAAGAACCAGCATTCGGTGTGAATGTGATGTAGTGGTATGGAAGGATGCATTAGAAAGAGTTGTTGAGTCGCCAGTTTATATAGGCGTTCCTGTAAGTAGCAGGTGTGACTGTTCACATTGCCAATTCCAACAGTATGAACACATTTATAGTAGCAGATGGCAAAGTATTGGCCAACACGAGTTTGCTCGAACACGTTATGATTACTATCTCATCATCCATCGTGAAAAAAGCAGTCAGACCTCGTAACATCTTCGTATTTTACTTCTGTCTCATTCAGATGTTCTCCCGCCCTAACCCGAAGAAAACGCATCTACAGCCCTCACAAAGTGAAAATCGATGTTCGACACGATCAAGGGGCTCAACTTCGCAATCTGCGGAGTCAGCTTCTGAGTCACGTTGCCCCCAAAATACCCCGTATCAGCCCTCAAGCCCACGAGCGTATCATGCACAATCGGCACCGCGCTGGATCCAAAGATCGCTGTCTCGAACCCTGCCTTCTTCGCAACTAGAGAGTTCAAGACCTTGAAGATACTCGTCTGGAGTCCCGTCACGGCATTGGCAATCGCGGCAGATTCGTTGTCGGTGAAGGAGGCAGAGTTGCGTGCGTCTGTCGAGCCCTTTTGGATCGTCTTCTGGAGGGTGTCGGAGTCAGTCTTGATTTGGAGGGCCTGCACGGCGCTCGCGGGCCCGCCTTGGAATGCGTCAATGTCGCGCTGGACGGTCGCGGTTTGCGTCTTGATCTGCGAGATGTCGTTCAGCACATCTTGGGCTGCGCGTGCCTCGATTGCGAGGGCGGTGCTGAGCGTGCTCGCGGCTAGAAGCAGGATGGACGTGTGAAGCTTCATGGTAGTCGGTGGTGATGTTGTCGTTACTCGGTCAGTTTGTGGAGTTAGGTACTGTACTGTTCTGAATGGAGGTAATCAAGGGATCTTTTGATCGTCTTGGTTGATTGATTCTCCATCAATCCCCACTCGTCGATGTTGTGGCTTCTGATTGATGGCTCTGCCTCGGCTGTAACGTCCTGCAATGTGATGAACTACACGCAGTGTGCGATGCACGATCAAGGAATCAATATCATTTGGCTTGTGATACCCCAGATTTACCCCAGATTCTATACTGTTATGGGTCTAGATATATCCCGCTAACACTCAAAGGCTTGCCCCTTTGATACTTAGCTGCAGATAGGGTCCCGCTATCAGAGGCCTAGGAAGCATTATAATAGAGATCGACAGGCCCGCTGCGGGACCCCGAGGTCGATCACGGAGACATGTGAGTTTGATGTGTTGTTTTCAGCACGCTCCGTTGCATGGATCACTTGAACAACAATACATCTGAGAAGAAGGAGTGGTTATCAGTAGCCTTATACGTACAATCACGGCAGAACATCACGAGCACTGTTTTGAAGTATTGGCACAGAGTTCAAAAGTCTTGTGTCTTATGCCCACGCTATCTTGTAGAAATGAGTCGATTTAAGACACCTCATCAATCATCACTACCTTCATGTTGCTGCATATCTTAGTCAGTGACTGAGTTAATCCCGCAATGAAGAAGAGACTTACCCTTTCCTCCATATGCCATGATAGCATTATTGAACTCGTTGACCAGATTCTGCACAACCAATGGTGCTGCTGCGGCCTCAAGAGCAGCAAGCTTGGCAATTGACGCAGCCCCGAAGTCCCTTGTATCTTGCTGGAGTTGATATAGACTGGCAAGCACGATAGGCCTGAGATCTTTGAATGCGGCTTGCTTGCTGGACACGTTCCGCAGGGTCTGTGTGACGGTATTCGACAGGTCGAGGAATGCACCGGCAACGTTGAAGCTGCCTGGCTCTCCGAATGGCGCAGAATTGTTGGCCTCTGTGATTCCAAGGACGATCTGCTCGTGGGTGAGCACTGCGTCTTGCTGGACCTGGAGCGCGTAGGGGAGGCCTGCAACTCCACCATTGTATCTCTGGACGTCGAGGTTCAGTTGATTTGTGTTGATTTGGACATTCTTGATAATGGCAACTACGCTGTTCGCGTCGGCAGCGAAAGCGATGCCAACGCAAAGCGTGACAATGAGCTGGGTGAATAACATGGTGTTCGCAAGGTCGACACGAGTTGAAGAAGGATGGGAAGAGCGATGATTAGCATGTCGAAGATACACGATGGTAAGCTGGGAACAAGTAAACATCTCCTGTTCAAGCATGTGAGACCGTTCTGTGTTGAACGCATACTCCTTGTCGTTGGCGAAATAGAGTTACAACGACTTTTAGCTAGCGTTCCATACAACACAAAGCTAACCATCTTTAAAATGCAACCGTCTGATGGCTAACTTGTCGCTAGACTGCGCCATGAGCTTTCCGGGGCATCAACGTGCATTCACGTTCGGATACATATGCCGATGTGACAACATGTGAAATATGTGCTTCCATGTGAGCTGCAGTGGAGTGCTGCTTGAGCAGGACTGATATCGGCCACAACCCATCTGCCACCGTGTTTGCCAATCTGACCTGATACTGGATCATACTGAATAGAGGTCATAAACATAATGCAGTTCTACTCTCTAGCATTGACTGCCCTCACAGCGGCTGCTGTGAACGCACAAACAGCAGGTAAACGTCGTCTTCTCAGCATCGGTACTCTAACCGTCATTGACCAGATCTACAGTTTCCGGAGATGTATACAACAACATTGTCCGATACAGCAACTTTGCGGCCGCTGCATACGCCAATAACTGCCCAAAACCTCCATCAGGCTCTACGATCTTAAAGTTCTTCAACGGGACGGCAACTAACACTCAGGCCTACCTTTTCCGCGACACAGCAGCAAAAGAGTTGGTTCTCGCCTTCCGCGGTACATCTACTCCTCTGGACTTGGATACCGATTTTCTGTTCACCCTCACGCAACTCACCCTACCAGGAACATCGTGCTCAGGATGCCAAGTCCATCAAGGCTTCCAAGACGCCTACGCATCCATTGCCAACGATGTGTCAAACACCGTCACCAGCGCCCTGTCAAGCAATTCTGGATACAAACTTACCGTGACCGGTCACTCTCTAGGCGGAGGCCTTGCATCTCTTGCTTCAACATCACTCGCAGCTCAAGGCAAGCAGTTGAGCGTCTACACGTTTGGCGAGCCCCGTAATGGCAATCCAGCATTTTCCACATACATCCAGCGCCTCATTCCCACTTCTCGGTACTTCCGCGTCACACATCAGAACGATGGCGTGCCTCAGATTCCTCCTCAATTGCTTGGCTTTCAGCACCATGGCACTGAGTACTGGGAGAGTGCAGCGAACGGTCAGGTATCGCAGTCAAATACATACATCTGTTCAGGTCAGGAGCCGACTGTGAGTTTCCCTCCCCCCTCGAATGACTTCTATATGGGTAACTGAGATTATCGACAGGGATGCAGTCAAGCACAAGACTTTGGCGACAACCCGATCAACGGCGCCCATATCCAGTACAGCAATCTGCTCCTTGCAAGCTCGTTGTACAATGTGGGTTGTGGCTATAAGTTTCCTTAGATGCATTGAAAGAAATAGCTAGCGCGGTCCATGAACAAGAATCAATCGACTTAGATAGCAATAGGCAAACAGAACGCGAAACTATCCAAGGCTGATGTGAAAAGCGTCTGTTCGTATTATGGAGACAAGGCAGATAATCGAAATGCCTCCTCCTATGATGACTATAGAACAGCCCTTGCGGCTAGTAGTCTGAGATGGGAGTATCTATGTGCCATCATTGTAATCCTCGATATCACCACCAGACTAAGGTCTAGCGACCGTAATATTTACACGAGAGTTCCCAGTTTACTAATAACGGGCCATAATCCTCATGAGCCTTTCTAGCGATTATTCACATCGACTAATGTACCGGCTCTAGCCTGGTTATCATCCTCACTTAGCTCCACTCCGAAGTCTGCTAGGTAAGAAAGCAAGCCGAAGTATGCTAAATTTTTATTAGTGGGTAAATACAATCAGGTATTTGAACTTACCGTAGCTTAGTGGAGAGTTTGCGCTCGTTTCTTGAGGCCGTAATATTATATCTTGCCATGTCTTCCCATCTTCGTTTGGTACGTTAGGACGCCTACGTGTTACTATACCTATTCATTAGTAGACTTTTTTCAATAGAAACTAAAACTCACGCTGTCCTTCTACTAGGATCCTTAGGAGGAATAGACTAGTCATAAACGATAGAGAGAGAACCTCGTTCCTAGCAAGACTCAAAGGCGCGCCCAAGCCCCACTGGTGTCTCAGTCTCTTGAATGAGCTAGCTCCGGTCGTGGTGAACAAATACCTGCATAATACTACCTCATATTTATCACCAGAGGTCTCCCGAATGAGCCTGAGATACCCAAGCTCTTTTTCAACACTGAATCGCCCTTGACGACAGGGCGGCGTACCCCTAACGGAGCGCCACGGCTGACTACCATCTAGGTTTTGCTCGATGTCGAAATAAAGATGGTGATCTGTTTGAACTCGATCTCCCAGAGCCTTGCTAAAGAGAGCGTTCTTCGGGAGTAGACCATTTTTGTCCCTCCTTCCAGACACTTCGGCGGGAGCCGGTTTTATCCAGCGAGCATCATCATCGCAATAGATGCGCACCTTACTAGCTTCTAGATCCGGAGACCGGACCAGCCCCCCGATTGATTGCATAATAAGCCACGCTTCCCGTGCATACTTTTCAGACTCGGGATATTTAGGGTCGTATTTGATACCAAGTGTATAGAAAATGTTCCTTAGCGTAACTTGAGCTGATCCCTGGAGATGTTGAACTTCGCGCCATTCTTTCCATGTGCCCCCCACCAGTTCATGTATATTTAAATCTAGCCCAATCGAATAAAATTTTTCCATCTCAGTTAGACGTTTGGCACCCCGGAATGCCATATGAAAAGATTCTGCAATAGACTCTGCTAACAGGCGATCTTCGGTACATGAATGATGTAGGTGATAGTACTTAGGAAGAGGCTGACGAGGAGGTTCATCTTGGGTAAGGCATGCATGGTAGAAAGAACGTAGAGATTAGGACGACGGAGAGCGTGAGAGAAACCATATTATAACCAGCCAGGAGTGGATAAGAGCGTAGATAGGAGGTAACTCGAATTATTCCTGAGAACGTCAAGTATGAATATGTAGGAATGATACTGGCTATAGGGACCTCTGAGCCTTTCTATCAATCCTTACTTATAGGCCATAGTAGAGCCTGGGTAGTGTTCCAAGTGATCCCTGTCCTACCTGCTCCGTCTAGTCCATAAATAGTGATATTAGACATATAGCCGCAACTTTGCAATCGGCCCGCGCTAATAAAATCTATTAGCTTCGGTTTTGAGATTCACCTACCAATAAGAATTACCGGGTGAGTACTTATGCGTGATTTTGACAACCAAGATCTCTAAGTTTATCCCCTACTACTTTACTTCTATACCTAAGTCTAATCTCTTTATTAATCGACATATGTTCGAGTATCTGCTAAGCATTCTAAGGTAAACCTAAGGCGTTATAAGAATTATAATTAATTTAGTCGACTATTTCTATAAAAAGGCTCCGTTATAGATATATGACTTATCATAGAGATTATAGACACTTAAATTAGATACTCGTATAATTTGTAAGGTGGATCATGTAAACCTGTGTATAGAAGGAACCACATCCAGGATGATGGCTCGATTAGATGAAACCTTCAAATCCCGCTAGGACCATTCTCCAAAGTAAATAAGAAATCAGAGCTCCTAATGCCATGCTAGAGGCGCACGGCACCTCTGGGGAGCTAATACATATAACCGAGCTTATTATGGTATCTTCGCTAGTGACACGAACAACTACTAGAAATTCGCAGCCTCAGACGATCGAAAGGGATGCCAGACCTCCAGCCTGACTTAAGCTCTTTTCCGCTCCTCGACTCTGGTGGGAGTATCTCTACTAGCCAAGCTGTCTCTCCTTTTCGACATCATACTATCGCGCCGGGCCCTTTTCTTATCACAAAATCGTCGATATTCCAGTCTCCCCTGCATCACTAGCAGCTCATCTCCCCACATGAGGCACCCTTCAAACAATACGCCAGAAGGCTTTCCCGCCATGTCAGTGGCGACTATTTGTGGGAACAGGACAACTTCGGGGTCGAGCGGCTCTGTTTGCATCGCTTGATTTTCCGTGTCCGGCTCGACTGGAGATCCGAGGGCGTCCCAAGGGTTCCATTGACTCATGGGCGTGTCGACGATTGAACTCGCGACTACACGTCTGCGACATCTTTGCGCTCGCATCCATGTGTCGAGACATGATACGAAGAAGCTCTGGGTTACCATCTCAAGGTCCTCGGTCGGGTGGAAATGGGGTATGGACTGTCTACAGACCTCCAGCGTCTCCCTAGCCATGGTGCTCGCGATAGTTTCTTGATCTACTCGTTCCTTGCCGGCAGCAGATATGAGCGCAGGACGGAGCAGGCTTTCCAGTCCTGGGTCTCGGGTTACAAGTTCGGCCAAGAAGTCTTCGATCGGGCCTCGCTCGAACGGATATGCCGGCGGAAGAACACGGAAGATCTCGGCGGTTAGAAAATGACAGACGATGAATTCGAACGCTGCAGCACGCAATACTTTAGAGGCATCCGACTTGCTTATAGGGACTGGAAATGGTATTCTCAGGGGTTCAAAAGACTTGACTATGGTTGCTCGCGATGGCGGGGAATAGTCTGTCGTTTCCTTTATCTTCAATCAGTTCGTAGATGCCAATTACCGCTCGTTGTATGCGCACCTGATTTGGCTTTTGCCCTGGAGCACTTCCCGCCCAATTTAACGAGATCTCGTGTAGTCTATTCGAGAGATTGCGGAATTCCATTGCCCTAAGACGTAGTAAGCTCGTGCGAGTGTCATGTGCGGTGACTTACAGGACGCTATGATCAAGCGATTCAAGACCTATACTGGCATTGAACTGTCGCAAGGAGTTTCGTACTCTGTCATATTCCTCTTCCGACCTTTTCAACGAGCCTTTCAACTCACTTATTTGCGCGTCGGCGGCCAAATACTTGACTTCATGCTGCTTTTGCAGGCGCTCTAGCTTCTGATTCTTGTTCTGGAGCCCGTTCTCTAGATCCTTTCTAGCTCTGTCCCATTTCGTCTGGTCTTCTTTCCATTCCCGGTACTGGTCTGCAAACGTCTGCCGCATCTGAGCATACAAGGCATCGTGACCGGCAATCTGAGAGTCTCGACTAGCTATCAAGTCCACTTTGCTTGCAACCTCATCCTTTAATCTCGCAAGTTCGTCGTTGACGTTCTGAAGATCCCGAATGGTCTTGGAGTGCTTAAAGACACTTTTCGCCGCCGTCTCAAGAGTCACCAATGCAGCCTTCAAGGCCTCTTCTTTGTGTTCAGCTGTGGCCATGTTCAGGTCATGTAACTTATGCAAATGGAACACCTCTGTTCCTCATCGATTGCCAGGCCGACAACAAGCTAGTCCCAGCGTTTATGAATATCATGACTAGAGGTTATGTCACGTGCCGTCTTCTGCACGGCTTTATAGACAGTTGCTGATGGTGGCCAATGAAGGTATGCCACGAGACGCGATAAGCCTTGCTGTGCGCCTCCGAAGTGCATCATGTAGAACATTGACAGGGGCGGAGAGGAAACGAAATCTTGACCGGTCAGGCTGTCCAATGAGCAGACCTTGTGGCGCAGTCAAGTATATGTATGATAAGGGTGTACAAGTTGTCAGTAGTCGCCTTTCCGGGGTGACTGCGTCATGCGTGGAAGTGTACTCTGTGGCGGCTGCAGATGCATCGCCTCGGCCCTTGTATTGAACCCCCGATCCGTGCACGGTGAACAATCTGGGAAAATTGTAGCCAATGATTCAGATCCATGAACCAATCCTGGCAGTATATCTCAGCCATGTTCAATTCAGACCAACAAGATAGCCAATAGCGAGATACTTGCCTGTCCAATGGCCGAAGGACCGGATGGGACGTATAGTTGTAGCGTGCATGCTATGCATTCCAAGCAAGCACGCGCTCAATAACTGCATACACCGCAAGGCATGAAGTGGTATGGTGAATCAAAAAACCCATCGAATGTACGAGAAAGTCCAAGTGCTTCCATTGGGGCCTGGTATATGAAAAAGACAGAACTGGCCATCCACTTGGTAACCAGAATGTCCTTCGACCAGGATATAACGCAATGACAACCCTTTCCTACCTCTTACAGGGTCTTCATATCAAAGAGTCTGCCGAGACCTATCACAACGTATATTTCGAGTCGTTCCGTGATCATGGATTTGTTCCAGACTACGGAGTTAGCCTAAAGACGGAATTCGCTCGTCTAGCCAAGCACCAGGGCTGGGTCGATAAAAAAGGCAAGATCCGAAACCGTGACCAATACGCCGATCAGAAATGCGAAGCTTTCCAAGAAGAAATCAACTCTTTCTTCGAAGACAAAGCTTCGAAACTAGAGAGCTGGCAGACTTTGTGCCGTGAGGTTCGGATTGATCCTGTGCCAGTTTCGATATCGAAGTGTAAGAAGGTGCGTTGATTCGGCAGTCAGTTCGGCGATATACTGATTGCATTTGAAGGCTCTCAGGACCGAAGTGTTTGTGAATCTGGTGGACCTGATGAACGCTCGCCGCCTTGGACGCGAAGTCAAGGTGTTCAAGTCCTTCGCTGAGCTCGCAAAATACACCCATTCGAAGAAACTCTATTATCCTCTAGACGCGGCAAAGGCTGGCGGGATCGTCCGAATCTTGCTAGAGGACTTCCACCGCAGGTACTGACGGGTGGGAGGGCTTGTGCTGTGTGGTTGACGGGGAGCTGGACGCCCTCGCTCTACCATACATGAATGATACTAGAATAGCCATGTCTACCAGACGAATCCTACCAGACCCTCGACTTTTGTGTGTACACAGTGAAAGTGAACGAAGGTTGATTCCTTGCAGAGCAGAAGCGGGATGATCCATCCGTCGTTTTCCTAGAACATGAGTCACTAGCACAAGCACGCGCTTGTTCTCTCTCCCATCTTTATACCTAGAGCTCTTTCTACTTTTACGTCTATTATAAGTATTTAAGAGCTTTAAAAAGTAGATATAATAATTAATTAGATATACCTCTATCCCTTTATAAGTTTATTTTATTCTTATAAAGTTCTTCTAAAGAGATAGAGAAGGATCTTAAAAAGTTCTTAGAAGAGGGCCGTGCGAAAACCGCGTTAGGTTCGAGGAAAACTATCTTCTTCCTCTTCTCTAAGAAACTATACCCTCTTATTATAGAGTAAATTAGAGAGTATAGAGCTTAAAAGATATATAGGATTAATCGCCTTACTCTACTCTATAAGTCTATATAGATATTATTATATATAGACCCTTATATAGAGGTAGAGAGGTAAAATAACTATCTAATTAGGGTGTATAAACACACGCGTGAAATTAAAAAATGCTAAGTGACTCAGGTTCTAGGAAAACGACGGGATGGTGTCCTCACTAGTCGGCACTTCGTCCTAGTTTCCACGTGCCGCAGTCCTGTAGTATGAGCAACGCAACATACGTCCGAGAAAAATAGTAATTACTATGGATACCACATAATAATGTCGCATTGACGGACCCGCACACGTCTCGTTGTATTGGTAGTGTCGAGCATCAAACGCGATAATTAGTGTAGTTCCACTTTCCTTCTATCGAGGCCTTGGCCACCGTCTCTGCCCCTTGCCTTCCCCCTTTCAGCAACTCGCTCCATCCTCCTCCTCATCCCGAAAATCGGTAAAGTACTTATAGTTTGGCTTAGCGGTGGATGGCTGTCAGAGACTTGGAGACAAAAGGACTGTTGGTAGACGGACAGATGAAGCCTCTAGGCGCCCTTGGCACTGGCAGGGTCAAAGTTCAAACCTCACCCCTTGACCTATGAATGGATAGTAGCCCCTTGGCCCACAACCTCTCGACCAACCTTAACACATCCATTTGATGAATATCTGCCTCTCGCGCGTGAATAAAAAGACTTGCCTATCACCTGCTTCAACTGGGTTGTAGACTCCGGGCGTTAGAGTGTGCGCTAAGTCGCAGGTTATGGGTGGGACAAGGCCGTTGTGAGGACCGATTCGATGCTCTCTCCCACTCCGCACCATGGTTCGTGGCGTGTAATGCTGGTGCCGCCACAGTAGCACGTACTGCATAGCACAACTATTATACAGTGTTGCCAATGTTTGTTGGATCGGGATGCCTTGTTCTCGTGGGTCGGGCAAAAGGAGGGCTTCACTCTTCAGTACGTTTCGTTTCGTTTCGTTTCGTTCGTCCATGGCCAGACTCCACAGAGCAGTCCGTAGTGCAGTGCATGAATTGTTGTCATGCGGCTTGCCTGGACGCTTTCATGCGTCCTGACCAGGCGCTGCCTCGCTATCACCGAGTCACTAATTAATAATCTGCCGCCATGTTGTGAGAGTTGTGTCGTGGTTTGTGGCGGCCTGCGCCTCCTTCAGCCTCACTACCGCTGCAAGTGGCAACGTCTGTGAAGCGAACACACACTCTCAATCCATCCACCATGAACCACTTCAACATCAACAGTGGACTTCTTGGGAAGTATGGTAACTCTGCTATATCGGTCGCTCGCCTCCTTGTGGATGACTCCGCGGTGCTTACTTTCGGTTTGTCTGTAACGTCGGGCCAGACTATAATGTCCGATAAAGCACAAGACCGAACCCAACGTGCATGATTTGCCCTATGATGCGCCTTGCCGCCAGGATGGACGACACTTTAACATTTGTCGTGCCGGACGATCTCACTCCACACCATTGGGTGTCGGCAGCGCTTCGCTCTGGCTGTGAAGCGCGTGCTGAAACAAACAAACAATGCTAGCATTGTACAACGTCAGTCAGCACACTGTAAGTGCGATGGTGCAAAGCTTGGTTGGTATATATACTTTCGCCCTCCATCCACCATATCCTCCCCAATCCACCATTCTCTACACTCCTTTAGCTCTCTGTATACAAGTGGTCTGCCTGGAGCAACCCGTTCATTCCTTCTTTCACGGAAGTACATCCATTATCTTCATATCAATATACCCGTTCTGCCCAGTGCGAACATCCTGTCCTTGGCGATTCTATCTTTCAGTAAGCTTAAGAAAGCTTTTCAATTTTTGAACATGGTCCTCTCACGCGTCGCTCTGGCCAACTTGGCCCTCTTGCTCACCTCTGCTGCTCACGCCCATATCGTGATGATCAGCCCTGTCCCCTTTGCCAACATCGCTCAAACCCCCAACGCCCCTCTCAATCCGAAGGGACCATCTAACTTTCCCTGCAAGGGCGCCACCATACCACAAGCGGGTGGGCTCACGGACGTTGTTGCTGGCTCTACGATTCCCGTCTCCTTTGATGGAAGTGCTCTGCATGGGGGTGGATCGTGTCAGTTCGCCGTGAACTACGACTCCACTCCGTCAAAAAACCCAGCCGATTGGAAGGTCATCCACACCATCCTCGGAGGCTGTCCCGGCGATGCAGTCGGTAATATCAACGAGACTACCCCGATCAACGAGGTTAAGGCTCCGGGTGGGACGCAGTGTGGCAACGACTCCGGAAAAGAGTGTCTGCGTACATTCCAGGTGCCCATCCCAGCCGAACTCCCGAACGGTCAGGCGACTTTCGCCTGGACATGGTTCAAGTAAGCTTCCCCTCACAAATTCTGCCACCCCTTTCCCACAACTGACCTCCGAAACAGCAAGATCGGCAACCGCGAAATGTACATGGACTGCGCACCCATCACCATCACCGGCGGCGCCGACGATAAGTCCTACACCGACAGTCTTCCCCAGATCTACGTCGCCAATGCCGCCGGCGTTGGCACATGCCCAGACACCGGGCTCGCCACCGAGGGCTTCGACCTCAACATCCCCGAAGGGCACCGTGGCACCTCCGTCGTCATGGACCCAGCCGTCAAACTGACTCCCGAACTCACCGGCGGCTGCGGCTTCCAGGGTGGTGCCCAGGGCGGCGCCCCGTCCACACCTGACTCCGCACCTATCCCTACTCCTCCGTCCGCTGACACTGATACTCCCGTCGACGCCCCCGTCGACACGCCCGCACCTGCACCCGCGGACCCGGCGCCTGCTCCTGCTCCTGCTCCTGCTCCGGCGCCTTCCCAAGATGCTGGCGCGGGTACTGGCTCGTGCGCTGGCGTGCCAGACGGGCAAGTGGCGTGTTTCGGACCGTCGCAGTTTGCAATCTGTCTAGGGGGCACGGGCACGGCGCAGAATGTGGCTGCAGGCACGACGTGCTCGAACGGTGCCATTGTCCGGAAGCGCGCGATTGGGCATCCGCATGCGCGGCGTTTTCATGCATGAGTGGGGAGGGGCGAGGAGGGAGAGGGGGGAGGAGGGAAAGGAGAGGAAAAGCGAAGCGGAGGTGAGATATAAGGGGATAGCATAGGAGGAATACCATAGCGTAGGAAAGATGGCATATGATAGGAAAATGGGATATGGTACCATTTTGTTGATATGTGTATTACTAAACATGACTTCGCGCTTGACGCTCAGTGGAGATGAGAGAAAGTATATATGCTGTACGAATATGACGATACATACGTTACTTAGGATACCCTCCAAGAGAACAACTCTTCAAAAGAATCAGTTGGCATTGAATTAGAATCGTAAAAGAACCGAGAGTTTCAAAAGAGCAAAGCGTATAAAAATCTTGATTCAATAATGAAGACCAAAAAGTAACGTGATAAGATAAGATATCAATACCTAGACCTATAATTACCTGCAGTCTTGATGTTTCTTAGTTCATATTGTTACTCGCGTCCAGCTTCACGCCACGGACTTGAACTGTGCAATCATAACTCCAGGACACCCCCATGCATTAGCTGATATGAACAATGTATGCGCCTCCTGTTGTCACCGGGGGTCAATATGCTATGTAAACACCAAATGATGAAACCCAGAGACCCAAGAAAGGAAACGAAAGAGAAGATCGCCTAAGTGGAACCTCTCTGTGCACGAAATCTATACCTCAACCCCTTTAATCTGTACTCCACGCCCACTCAAAAGCTCTATCCATAAACCTCACAGTCGTCGCAGCCGCCTCTGCTGTCCAGACGCACCCACACTCGCACTCGCTCTGGCACTCGAACTTGCGTCGGCCACACAATCCCAATGAAACGGCGTCTGCGCAGTGTCAACTGTAGCCCGCGTACGCCGGAGTGCGGGTTGCTGCGCCTGTGGTGGGGAGCGCGTGAATGCGTCGCGGCGGATGCGCTCCAGGGCGGTATTTGTGGCTGCACGCACGGCGAAGCGCGTGTCGGGAGTTGGCTGCGCGCGGCGGGCAGATGTGTTTGGGCGGGAATTGGAGCGTGTGCGAGAGTGTGAACGTGTATATGCCGGGGTCTGGGTTTGCTGATATTGAGTGTAGTAATGCTGCTGCTGCTGGTAGTATTGGCGGTATTGGTCGTAGTAGTGGCGATATTGTGCTGTTTCATAGTAGGGCTGGGTGTAGTGAGTGTAGTCTTGCGGCTGTGGCTGTTGTTGTTGTCGTTGTTGCGGTTGTGTCGTCGTGTGGTGTCTTCTGTGTTTGCGAGACGAGGTCGAGGTCGACGCCGATGACGGAGACGGGATACGCTGCCACTCCTGTTTCTGCGCGGACTTGCTGGACGGCATTTTCTTCGTCTGGCCAGGCGGCTTGCGCTTCGTCTTTACTGGAGGATCGCGCTTCGCTCCTCGTCCGCGTAAAGTGGTGGTGGAGCGGTGATGTCGCTGGCGGTGCTGGCGCGAGCGCTCTGGCCGTGGGTTTAGTAGCATTTCTGTCGACGACGACGGCAGATGGACTCGGACATGACGATTCACTCGATCCGGCACGTCGACTCGTAAATGCGGTTTATGTGAGCGCAGGGGATCGGCTGCGCCAAAGGTGTTGTAGTGCGCGCTTTGCGCCTGGTGCGACTGTCTCCTCCCCCGACGACGGTCGTCTTGGTCGTCATATGCGCTCTTCTCAGACACGCTTTCTCTTTTGCTCGGAGCCTTTTTCCGGCGCTTGGAAGATTTGAATAATGGAAACCAGCACATTGCGGGTCTGATGGAAACCCCGATAGAGAATAGCGCGTTATGATGGAATGCGCATACAGCAGCACGGCACGGTCAGGGGTATGTATGTATGAATGCGTAGACAAAGCTGGAGATGCGAATATACACACGGTTATGACCAGAGCAAGACGGAAATGGAGAATGGAGCTGGACAGACAAGAGAGCAGCGAGGAAACCGGACATACAGGACGCATGTCAGGCACCCCCTCCCCCCTCCACTACGAGACGAGACCTACCTGGGAACGAGCGATTCTATGCCATTTCCAGGCCTAGCGCTTTCCCGGGCAGCCTGCCGCGGCGGCGATGGACAGGCGTGAGCAAGTCAGAAGTGCATGGAGCAACGTCAGAGGGAGTCAGAGGGGGGTCAGAAGGGGGGGGATGTAGAGGGAGAGAATTAGAAAGAGAGCGAGAAGAATGCTCATGGCTGCGAGCAGACGAACCGAGTTGGGTACAGCGACTTTTGTTGTGGTGGTAGTCTCGGGCTGCTGATTGGCTGCGAGCCTTCATCACGAGGAGCATCAACCCCTCAGCCCATGCGGACTCCCCATCTCATCATTCCTGCGCGTCGAACCAGCCATTCATTCTGCTGATGTAGGGGGAAAAGGAGAGAGAGAGAAAGAGAAAGAGCTGTGTACGAGGACAAACTGCGGTGGCATTCGCGAGGGCCAGCAGTAGTTTATAGACGATTTTCAGGTACCGGTGGCAGATGCGGTAATGTTTTATGCACGATGAGCTGGCAAGCCCCCAAGTGCCAGTGGAGAGTATCATGGTAGCAGCAACGGTTAGCAGTGAATGCCAGCCAGTGTTGGTTTTGGTCCCAGTGCCAGTATTACTGGCGACGGCGGCCCGCCTGTACATCCGTGCTCCCGTCAGTGAATGCGATGATCGACCATCAAAAAACGACATCTTCTCCTGGGGCCTTGTCAATATTTAGCAATATCACTCTGGCCCCGTCATCAGAAGTGCCGCTGTCTAAGACATGTCGTCCTACACATACCGCAGGCTCGACTGTCGATACTTCATTGTACATCATTCCCCATGTCAAAGTAGTACCAAAGAAAGGGTAGTGTATCACGTCAACATTCCGTCTGCGATCTTACAATTACGACCGCGACCGCCATCCACCCCTGCACTGATAGGCAAGCTATCGATACGCTAGACCATCCATCCATCCGCCTCGCCTCAGCCCCTGACGCTCTATTACCAATCCCAGTCCACATCACACTCTACCCATGACTCGAGCTAAGCAAGGTACTTACACCCTCCTGATGACCAGTCCAGTGTTTTTTAAAGTCACTCGATATCCGTCTCATCGGTCGGTAGGCGTCACGGGTGGCACTCGTAATGTGAGTAGTAATGTGACTAATAGCCAAGGCGGAATAAGATCCGGAGACAAGCACAGCTAATCCATCATGTTTCGAAACAGGTCCTAAGCTGTTGAGCACCAGAAAGACGTCATAAGAACCGGCGCCAATCTTCTTTCGAGTAAACCTGATTAATGCACAAACTTCGGAGAACCATCCAGATCCGGTGGTGTCAACATACCCATTCTGACCAGAAGACCTTGCAGCCGTTTAGCAGTCTACTCAACTATTCTGTGGATATCATAGCAGAAATGTCGTTAAAACGACCTCAGCAATGAACATTATTAACATGACAACGAAGTCTACGGTAAGACACAACTGGAGTGGCAGTAAAGCTATGAACCCAATCAGGGTATTATCAGTTCATACTCACATTGTTTCACTATGACCAGCTTTCCCCTCATCTATATATTGTTTTCCATGTCAATTCATCACTTTGCTTGAAAAAGCCTCACAACGTCAATATCTCATCAATACAATGATCCGATGACTGTGACCCGGTAGCGCTTTGTCTAGCGTATATGCAGATCCACCGCACATCTCTACAGAAATCATGAGAGTGATCTATATTTAGTAGCGGCACAGTCTCTAAGCGTCACATCATATATCCTATCGATCCACCAACGGTCTCATCGTGTCCGCCTGGGAAGGCATATGATCCAGCATATTGCACAATGCGCTTACTAAGACCACAGTTTTAGCCCTGAGTGATTACTTGATGCGCTCTTACTTACCAAGCTAGCGGGGTCGTTGACTGTCTTACTTACATCAGAACAGGATCACATATCAAAGAATGCACCACTGGGTAGAATGTGCGGTCAAGTACGTATTTACATCACTTACGGTCTGTCTGCACAAGAAGGGTAGTAAATATATATGGACTCGTTCATCTATATTCCAAAGACAACATCGAAATGCCGGAGCAGCCAGATCACAGCGTGGAGGCTACGTACTCTTTGGGAGATGCCGAGCTAGGCTAAGTTGTACATGAGTCTGCAACAAAGAAGGCTATCATCGCAGCTATTGCTTTTTGCGTAGTACCAACCCATACCAAATATTGACACCGATCCATTTCCTCCCTCGTTCTCCGACCTGATTGCCTATCATGCTCTCCTCAACACTTCTCTCTCTCGCATTTCCAACAAGCTCCAGTCCCTCTTTGTGTGCAGCCCGGATCGTCTCTGGTAGTCCGTGTGCCCAGCTCGTACCCCTGATCTTTGTTCCGTCGGTCGCATTGAAACCTGCTTGCGTTTGCATCCCCATCTCTTTGTGCATGTTTGTGACCAGAGCGTAGCCTCCCGGACGCAAAAGTGAAGACAGAACACGGAAGTAAGGGTCGAGTTCGATGTGTTCGAGGACCAAAGTTGAGATCAGTGCATCACCGAGAGGTAGGCTTGGCAATGTGGAGGGCGAGAACAGGTCGGCGTGAACGAGCTCGAGTGTGACGTTTTCGGTTGCAAAAGGTCGAAGCTTCTTCTCTGCAACTGTGAGCATACCTGACGACAGGTCGATACCTGTCACATGGGTAGGGCAATTTGTCGAGGTTTGTACGGCGAAGACCTTGGCTGTGTTGCGGCCGGTACCACACCCCACGTCTAGAATCGTGGTTGCTGGGGTTGAGACTGATCTACAGGCGAGGTCGAGAAACTGTGGGAGCCATTGCTCTAATTCGAGATCATCGATTGCTTGAAGGACATTTCCGTCGCTATCATAAACTGCCGACCATTTATCATACGCGTTCTCTGTAGGAATGTACTGAACTGTAACTGATCGTGAACTTGGCTGAGCAGGAGCTAGTGAAGCGAGTGGAGAGCATAACTGGCTTTTTAGTTGAACATCTGTACTCGTTGTCTCGGAGAATTGCGGTCGTTGTTCCGCTCTTGGAGTTGTCGTATCCATTTGCGATGCTGCGTAGCTCTCGATGGCCTGTTCCTGGTAGTCGGAAGGGTCAGTATCGGTGGTAGAGAAGGACTCCACAGCCCGGCTCCTGGCGAGTTCGTTCCTCAGTTGTTGTGAAGCACTTTCTACAGCTTGGGAGAATGTCTCGGGCTCGGTAGCGACAGGATTACTGTCCGGGTCGATAGCTTGCAGAGCTGTTTCGTGATATGCGGACGTATCGGTATCAGTCATCGACACAAAGGCTGTCTCACCACTAGCATCAGCATCAGCTATTTCTTCAGCATAAAACGCGTTATTGCGTGGTATGTCAGCCATGAAAGCCTCGGGACAGCTCAACTAGGATTGAGGGAACAGTTTTCACGTTGTATGATAGCAAACAAATCGAGACAAGAGGATGATCATTCTGTCGCAGCTACGATGCTTGCCGACATATGTATGCCTGATGACTGCATCATTGAGATACAAAGTTTGCACGCTCTGCAAGGGGTGGCGGTGTCCGCTCTGGGCCATGGAGTCACAGAGTCTACGAATGGATGGATGGATAGATGACTCAAAGGTTCGCGACGCGCCTTTCGCACGCTATCACGGGATCCCGCGTTTGGCACCCACTCAGATGTCTTTGTTGCTCAACCCACTTTTCTATCCATGGTTGTGCACTTATAACTATGTCAAAACAATAGTTCACATGCAGTCTTCGTATCGGCTGGACATGGAAAACCTCGGGATCCAGATAATTAGTCGAAAAACTGTGACCATTGGCGGTGATATCCAGGATGGCTAAACGTAAACGAGAGAAATCATCAGCCGCGGACAGCCAAAGCATAGCAGCGCAGGATGTGGCTTCGGGCGCAACGAGGGAAGGGTCTGTATCTGATGGAGCCGACATTGATGCACAAGAGCGTCCCTCGAATGATATACATCGAACGCGCACCTTTCTAGCTTCACTGGTATTCGCCATCTTTCCGACCATTTCATGCATCACTAACACATGTGGAGGCATGCGAGCAATGTCGTGCGAAAAAGACCAAGTGCGATGAAGACCGTCCCAAGTGTGGACAGTGTAAATCCTCAAGCATCGAATGTGTGTATGGCGAAAAGCGTTTCACAAAGTACGAAAACGCGTGTCAGGCGACCTTGTATCCTTCTGACCACTGTGTATAGGAAAGACCAAAGTCTCAATGCCGCCGTCAATGCAATCCGCCGGCTCGAGACGAAGATCGAGGATCTCACTACTGCGTTCAACGAGGATCGCGATGAGCGTCGTGCTCTTGCATCAGGCCCAGCAGGGGGCATTTCGGAAGGCAGCGCAGATGTCAGAGCAGAGGTCAGAAATGAAAGGCCGTCAAAACCGTCAAACTCTCAAACACAACCCCGAACACCTGTACGAATTGGACTTGAAACGACTGTACCGCCGCGTACTGTGTCGCCTACGCACTCTCGCCCGATTCCTATATCCTTCAGTCAACACGCAACTATCCAATGGGACTCCATTCGATCAGGCCTCTCAAAGAGGTTACAGCAAGAGACTCAGCACCTAGGCTCAGACTTTGTTATCGAGCAGGAATCGCAACGCCCGCCCCTCTCCTCGACCATATCTTGTCTTTCAAGTGATGGCCATGTGTACTGGGCGCGAGACTTGCCCGAGGTGATCGTCAGGGCTTTATCAGACCTCTACTTCCTCACTTTCAACCGCATCTCTCCGATACTCGACAGGGAATTCTATGACCACTACACGCTTGTAGATGTCATCCACGGAGGATTCCCAGAGACCGTCGAATCCTGTGTGGTGCTCAACGTCCTGGCTCTCGGATGCCTAGCTCTCCAGGCCTACGAGGAAGGTAACTTCTCTGTCCCGGCTGACATAGAAATTTGTCGCTCTGGTAGACACCAAGACCTGTGGTCCGAAATCACTCAAGAAAATCCCCAAGGGCTCAGATTTTTCAACGAAGGCCGCAAACTATCGGCGTTTCTGCAAACAGAAACAAGCCTACAAGCGTGTCAAAACCTCCTCCTGTCTGCGTAGGTAATGACAAAAATTGTATGTAGATATACCGTACTGATAGCAAGCCAGCCTATGGTCCGCGCAGATTGTTCGGCCAATGGATTCATGGACCTACCTCACACGCGCATGCTACATCTGTATCATCATGGTGAAACTAAGATGGTGACTACCACCCAGCACGGCCCGTCGAAGCAGTCCGTCACTGACATTGACACAGCAACGCAACCAACGACTGGGCAGACGACATGCTCTCCCGGGTATTCTGGAGCGCCTTAATGAGCGAAGCAATTTTAGTGCAGGAACTCGATCTCCCACCCAGCGGTCTCGTCCGATACGAAGACGACGTCCAGCTCCCGCGCTTCGTGAAATGCCCTCATCTGCCCGAAGCGTCAAGCCAGGGACGAGTCGACAGCGATGCAGACGACGACGAGGCATATTTCCAGTACCATTTCCTCGCACAGGTACGTACCTATTTCGCTGAACATCCCCATCCGCCACCAGTTACTGTCTAGAAAATCTAACTTGCTCGCCGTACGCAGGTAGCACACAGGATCATCCTCACGCGGGTTCGCAACAGTATCTACTTCGTCGCCGAAACTGCGGATTTTCCGCCTCAGGCTGTCGTTGCAGAATTGTATCATCAGCTGGAGCAGTGGCGCGAAGCCCTACCTTCAATCATCCAGTTCGCACACGATGAATCTGCACAGAGACATGTAACAAAGACTGCCTCACCAGCACATGCAGTCGCCGATGCCATCCTCAGGAGTCGATATCGCATAGCTAAATTCCACATTGGCCGTCCATTTCTATGCAAAGTCCTGCAGAGCCCAAGTACGGCAACACAGAGAGATCTAGAAGCCTGTGCAAGCGCCTTCGAGGCAGCCATGTGGTGGCCAGCCGTACAAGGCATTTGCCAACTTATGAAAAGCTTTTCGCCCTTGAAGTTTGCATTCTCATGCCAGTAAGGAGGATAGCTGCTAAAAAATGCAGCATATTCGTCTGACATTAGCTTAGGTTCGTCGGCCAACAGGTCCTTTATCACGCCTTCGCAATGCACCCGCTGCCTGCGCTCCAAAACGTCGTTCCGCGCGACTGGTATGTGTGGAGTCGCGAAATAAGCCATCTCCTCTCCTACTGCGCCAGCCTCAGTCCCGCCGTGGCGACCGACTTTACCCTCTTCAGAGCCCTGCAGGACGATCTCACCGTTTATGACAGACAAACATAACAATCACCGTTTTGCTGGTAACGGATAACCGCCTTGTTTCTCGAAGAACTTGGTCGCCTGCTGCAGCAACTCAGTCGTTTCAGGCCCCAGCCACTGCGGCACCAGCGCCGTGTAAAACGTCTCGAGCTCCCTCATGCGCTTTCCCGCAATCATACACGCTGCGCCCTTCATCCGCGCATCGCACGCCGTCTGCGCTATTGCCGCCGCCACGTCCTCGACGTCGTTTGCGGGTAGTTCTGCTCTGTTCCATGCGTCAATGTAGCTACCGGTAATATGCGTTGGCGTGACAAAGGGCACCACAGCGTTGAGCCTGATGCCGTATTTTGCGGCCGCGGGCTGAGAGGAGCGCAGCAGCCCAATAATGCCATGCTTAGATGCAATGTATGATACCACGCCTGTGCCACCAAAGTAGCCGGACGTGCTGGCGGTCATGACGACAGAGCCGCGTGAGCCGTCATATGCGGATGGCGGGTTGGAGCGCATGTGGAACATGGCGAGGCGGATTGCTGTTGTGCAGACTCGTCAGCGACAGGCTCTCTCCCCAATTCACACAGTATAGTGTTTTTCCACTACCAAAAACATACTATTCATCGTGCCCTTCAGATTCACATCTACAACGCGATACGCCTCGACCGGCTCGCGACACTCGGCCTCCCTCTGCTCATCATCCTCTTCGATGCTAGCAAAGTCCCAGAACGGCTCGGTCTCCATGACGCCCGCGTTCGCAACCACAACATCGATCTTGCCCGCCCAGTGTTTCGCCTTTGCAAATGCCCCGCTCACGCTCTTCCAGTCTGTGATGTCACATTCGACCAGGAACGCCCGGTCCAGCTGCGCCTTGTCGAGCGCCTGAAGCGCGGACGTCGCTTCTATGCGGGTGCCGGGAAGGTCCGCGAGGGCGACCTTTGCGCCGTGCTGCAACAGGAGGAGGGCGGTTGCGAGGCCGATACCTGAGGCGGCGCCTGTGATGAATGCGGTCTGGCCGGCGAGTGAGGAGAGCAGAGATGGAGTGAGGGGGATGTCTGCCATTGCTGAGATGCTGTGGGAGGTTTGTAGGTATGTAAGTATGTAGTTATGTGTATGCCCGGATTGTGTGCACCTATTTAATGACGTCTCGCACCAGCCAGTAACCCCACTTAACTACGCTGATAATCGCTGGATCAACAGTTAGTGGAAGCAGCAGCAGCCTATGACATGAAAGCCACAGCCAGAGAGCCACAGCCACAGCCAGCACGAAGATGGTACATCAATTCTCCCATAATTCGTGTCGCGCTGTCACGCGTCCATGGATCGTGCTGGCTGCCCCACATTCACTTTACCCCGCAGTCATGATGATATCTAGCTTAGGTTATTGTATTGTTACGTTAGGTACTCTGTAAGATATGTCCAGGCCGTCGACTGAGAGGGTATGCTATGATATGCAGAACGATATCACTAACACATGGCACGCATTAACCCAAAAAACTAAGAGTTGTAATAAAGGCATACTGAATATTTATACAATCTCGAACAGACTCGCAAACAGAGGAGGTGCAGGCCATTCAAACTCTGCGAGCCCACGACCAAAAGCCAGCGGACTCTATGATGAATGCATCCCTATATGCAGACAAAACAAAAACCAGAACGTAGATGGTGTATGCAGGAGACGGCGGGTAAGCCTCGACCATCGACGGAGAGAAGATTATTAGACACGATATGCAATGCAACTTCGTGGAATCAAGGACATACGAAGCAAACAGAAAACACAGCACGGGTGCCGGCCAGCGGAGGTCCGATTTCGATTCAGAAATCGAGAGAGATGGAGAGAAAAAAGAGGTCAAGGAAAAGGTACTATGACCATAAGACCAGAGTGTTAAAGACATAAGGCCTGAGCCCAACTCGTCTTCGTAGAAAGCCGCAAGCCGCCCGACCCGTGTTCGCCGGAGTTCCGCCTGTCTTCGATAATGAAAAGCTTGCCCAAACGGGAAAGAGAAAGGAGATACGCTATCTGTATGCAAACCCAAGGAGACTTCTTACAATCCCACCACTTCTTTTGGAAAACAAGGAGAGACAACAAAAGGAGATGGTCTAGAGAGTATCACCAGAAAAAGAAACAAGAGGAGATGTTCATTATACCGGGCCGCATTTAGCAACGCATGCACATTAATATGCTGCCTGCATTTCCAACACGCGAACACCTTGTGGTGCCATTGACGGGGCAGGGGAGTCGGATGTGGATGAGACAGCGTCTTCATACCCAACGAGGGCCTGCGAATGGAGCTTGAAAGCTTCGCCCATAAGTTTGGTGATCCTGTGACAGAATTAGTACTATTGGTGGGAAAATTGGCACTACTGCTTTTAATCATGACTTACCCCCAAACAACGACCTCGTCGATCATGCTGCCCCAAAGTCTTGCCACAGTCGAGCTGAGCTTCGAGCCGTAGACACCAGCTGACTCATCGTCAAACAACATTCGTAGCTTGTTGTACATGGCCAGTTCTTCCTCTGTCGCTGGCTCCTCGTCGTGTTCCAGGCGATAGAGCCAAAGGGTAAGAATGACCATGAGATCAAGTCCGCAAAGTGGGTGCTCGACGCTCCAGTTGGTGGCCGAAGTGCGAGCAACCCATCGGATGCCCTGTACAGCAGCAACCTCGATGCAGTCGAAGCATTCTTGGATGACTTTGAGCATCTCTTCTGAACGCACAACGCGATCACGAGCGTGCGTCATTGCAGCCGCAACCTCATAAGAGTCGTGATAGCGAAGTGCTTCTTGAACCGATTTCAGGTCGACTACCAGACGAGCACGTGTGTTGCGATACAAAGCCATCGCGTTAAAGATGAGGGGATGACCCTTGTGGGGAGCACTGAGTTGAACGACCACTGTTTCAGGCTCGCAAATCTCTAGTGACTTATTCCAAGAATCCAGCGCAAGGCGAAGTCTATATTCAGTGACGACATCCTGCAAAGCCTCCGGGCTGCGCTTGTGATACCAAACCTCCAGGAAGAGCGCGTTGATCATGACGCGAGTTGCAAATGCACTGTACCGAGTGGATTCACCTTTAAATAGTGTATCATGCGCCTCGCGGAAAGTAACAATCGTCGATGCGGCGAGGCTTTCACGCCAAGAATCTTCGTCAGATGCCTCGAGATTCCATAGAGATTCTGATGATGGCAGCTCAAGAGTATCAAATTCATTGAAGCTGATAGCCGGGGTATGATTGTACGTTAAAGTGAGCAGGCCAAAGAAGATGTAAACAGCGTAGTAAGTTCGACGGCACTGCTCGTCCTCTATCCACTCCGGATGGCTTGGCTGGGTGCCTACTCTTGCTTCGGTGCGTAGCTTTAACTCATAGCGATTTCCAGCTACCATGTTTGCCAACAGACTTTTGATTGAGCACGCCCATTCCAGACCTTTGGGGTCACCACTCCAGCTCGCAAAGATCATGTTCAGAAGAGTGCTTTGCATGGTCCACAAAGGGCATTTGCGAGAGCTGAAATTCTCCTTGTTCTGGAGGAACTGGTTCACAAGAACCTTTGAACCAATGTGAAACATGTATGCCTGATCTTGGTCAAAGGTGTAGAGTGCACCAACTGAGAGGACAGCTAGGAGAAGTGGGGACGAGAGCTCGGTAGGATCAAATGACGAGGTGTGCAGAAAGGGTAAGTGATGATGGAAGAAGTTGAAGTATGTCATCAAATACCGATTCAGAACACTTCGACTAGGCAAACGGAAGGTCTCCAAAAGTGCAGTCTCACCGTCGAATGCCTTGATATTCTCGAGAATCTTGTTGCATGCCTCTTCAGATTCAACTTGTGGTGCTTTGGTGATTGTCAGGGCTTGACTTGGGCCAGGTGAACGGCGGTAGTCGACTGGAGATACTGGTCCCATCATCGGGTACGGGGAAAGCGCTCCAGGGGTACCAAGGCCTGACATTGATCGCTCCATAATCGGGGGCAGTTGATGGCTGTGGGGTGGGACTGTGCTTGTACCGTGAAAGGCATCATGAGAGCCATTCGATGCGACGGAGTGCGATTTGGGCTCAGTGACGGACTGTGGTAGCATCGCATCCCAAGGCATTTGTGGAAGGGCAACAGACCCTTGCTGATAGCTGACGTTTGGCTCAATCAATGACGGTCCAGTGGGACCAAGGACAGGTCCATTGTATGAATTGTCTGGCTCTTGACTAGCCAACGCTTTATGGCGGAAATCAGTCATCAACATGGCAGCGGTCTCAATATCATCCATATCAACGCTGGTAGCTTCAATCTGCTCAAGTGTAGGACCGATATCTACTGCGACTGATGGCTTCGATGGCGCAGATGCATTAGGCTCAGTTTTTGTGGATGTTCGACGCTTCACCTCGCTGTGAAGTGGGACGCCTCCGTCCTTTGCATGGACGGTACGGTCGTGTCGTAGAAGAAGATCGCGACGAACAAAGGTACTGCGACACTTAAGGCATTTGAAGGGACGTTCTTTGGTATCTGTTGCGAGGAGGGGTGTTAGCTATTGCTTCCCCGCTTCCTGGATACGCGACGAACAACAAGCTCGAAGTTCAAAAAAGAGTTGATGAAAAGTACTTACGCGATCTCTCGTGACGACTGCGATGTTCACTTCTACTGAATGCGCGATTGCAGAACTGGCATTTGTACTTCTTCTCTGGAGCGGAAGCGGGTTTCCTAGCCGTAGCAGGCGACGAGCTGGCGGTGGTGAGGGTCATGTTGGCTGGATGACTTCTCTGGCGGAGATATCAAGAAGGTCAGAGTGTGAGGGACAGTCTGGAGATGGGCAGGCCGGCCAAAGGCGCGTGGGCGTTAAAGTGTTGATGGTATTTTGAAGTCGTGAGAGTACTGGTCATTGGGTGCGAGTAGGGCGGGCATACAGGGTAGCGCCGGTGCAAGCCGGTAAAGAGTATAGATAAGATGGGAATAACGAGCAGTGTAAGCTCAGGAAAGCGGAAAGTGAAGAGTTGAGATGGGAAATGTTGCAAGTGGAGAGTTGGATGTAAAGGTGGAGGATGTGGATAGGTAGAGGTAGGTAAGTAAGTGGTGATAATTTGGGTGTGGGACTCGGGAGGGAGGGCAAGATCCAACAGAGGCCTGGGGGGCAGAGAGAGGAGGAGGGAGGAGGGAGGAGGGGCGTCTGGGTGCTGTGGGTGGGCGCCCGCCGGACCGCCCCCTGAGTATAACATGATGACTAAACTGCCAGAACCGTATACTATTATCTTCCAGTCAAGCCCACTACCTACCGCCCTCCAGCTGCCATGCCGCCAACATTTCCACCTGCATCAACCCCTCCTTCGCCTCTTCTTTGCCTCTTTCCCGCCTTTTTTTTTTTCGCGCGCCCCTCCTCCTTCCAACGGTTCAGCTGGCCGCCGGATACCTGGTAGGTGCCCGAGGTGGTGCAACTGGCCCCGCCAATACCTACCACCTATTAATTACCTACTAACCTACCTGGAACCTTACAACTGGAGAGGAGGGCCGCATGCTGCAGACAATTACAGTAATAAATTAATACAAATAATACCGCTCCGAGCTGCCTTCGTAATATATACCCTATCTAAGCCGTACACACACTGTTGACACCTCATCTATCATTTTGCCATCGTCGTGCACGCGCAGTCGGACTCGCGGCGGTATCACCTAGTGCTTCAACTACGCCACTTCTTTTCTGGATGAAACCGCATCGCGCTGCTGACCACGACGACAGGCCATGTGTTTCGACAAGCTGGCGATCTATAATACCCTTCCGCTCACCACGGCTTGCCTGTAAACACTTTTAACCCACTCGTAGAATAACATAACTACTGAATAGCCAACTCTACCGCTGTCTTCCATCCCATCCCGCCTTCTTCGGAAAATGATTCAAGTGCCACGCACACTTCGGTGGAGAAAGTTATCATCATCCTCTACAAAGTATACTGCAGACACTTCAAGACGGTGACTTCGGCATGGCTTATGCCACGTCGAGCATTCATTTGTCCCCAGACCCACAGCGTTAGACTCTACCATACACACCGCTCTTGTTTCGCGATGCAGATTCATCAACCCAAGGACGCGTTACAAAATCCTCTCGGCGACGACGACAGTTCTATTAATTATTAGTGCTGACTTGCCAGAACACTCCACCGTTATAAACAACCCTCCACCCACGCAAAGGAGGTGGCTGAGAAGTACAGTACGTATGACAACATTGCTCTACACTAGTAATGTTGGTCAAGGGCCGCTCCGACGCTCCGTTCCTGTTCATCTTCACTCAAAACTCCATCGCACCCTTCGATTGGCTCTTGATCGACACCGCAGTCTCTCGTTCCTAGAATGTGGCCCATCCCAGCGGTGTCGAGGATACCCGTTCCCCGGACCCACCATAGACTCCCACGACTCGGATCAAGCTATTCGAAACCGGCTTTAGGGACATGCGCCATGCCCGGTGCGCCCAAATGGCAGGACTTACTTGCGCTATGCGGTGTGAAGATTGAAGAGTCTACTACCATCTCTTTCGTGTCGTGCTTTGAATACTTTCATTTTCCAACCCGCTTGGTGGTGCACTGTTGATTGTAGCATACAGTGACAGGCCGGTCGTGTCGGTGCGTCAACGAATTTTCCCCTCAGTAATGGAATACCAGATGCATGTCTATGCTTTTTTGTCTCAAAGTCGTGATGCAGCTTCGTCGGGAACGGATTTGCTCGTTCTGCAGTGCCGTCAATCGCAGTGGTGATCACTAGCAATAGTGTCCTGCAAAGCACTGCAGTAGAGAGCCGCACACGCAACAACGCACAGTTGCAACTCACTCTGGCCATTAACGAATTCGAAACCGTCAACACTTGCTTCGAAGCGTGGCATGCCTTTTTTTTTCCTCCAGCCGGGATCCAGCTAATTAACCCTGTAGGTAGTGCTGCCATATACGGTTTACCCTATTCTTTGCCCCTCAATTTCCTTGCGGGCCAACAAAACATCAGCGCTTTTGCCCGAAGGACCCCGCCGTCAAATCTTCTTGTCCCTAGGCTGAAAAGAATGAATAAAAGGGGGGATCCTGGATCCTGGCCTAGCAACAACTGACATTATCATCTATCAATTTTCATTGGGGCAACGTCGTCCCATAGAACAATGGAACCTTTTCTTGCCGGTATTATGACGATCAAGTCTCTCTTCTAAAGAACTAGTGCTCTAGGCTCAACCTCAATTAACTGATTCGGATCATCGCACGGATGTCTCGTGCTACTTACTGTAGTCCTAGATGCAAAGCATGGCCGTGTAGCGAACTACTGCGAGGGGACCTGTGCAAGCAGAAAGTATTGATAGGTCGTGTTTCGAGCACGAAGAAAATTCGCGGAAACACCCAATGCTCCACAGATCATCCCAGCTAGCCATCGCGGACAGGCGACATACATACAGACCCATGTAGACAACTAGACTTAAAACTGAATCTGGAATGACTTCGAAGTGCTAGGCTCCACACACCGCGTGGCGTCCTCGAATGCACTGTAGCATTCTGCCTTCTGGACGCGGACAGCTGGCTATCGCGAGACTCGACGGTTCGACGATCCGACGATTCGAGGCTGCTTATAAAGGACAATCGCATTAACCACAGCCATCAGTAAAGATTATTATGGTGGACGTGCAAAATTTCGAGCCAGCCCAGAAAATGTGACTCCCTTGAGTTGCGAAGATGGCACTGCAGCGTGGGATGTCTGACAAGGTGCTCAGTCCGAGACGGTGTATGGCCTGCAGATGCCGCCTCAGGCAGGACAGCAAGTGATTCTTCCAGAACCTTGGAAGATTCACGACACACATATGTAGTGCATAGCTGGGGCCGGCTTAAGGTTTAAGAGGTATTTACGAAGGCCTAATTGATGGGAGTGATCATTTCCTTGCAAGGTCGTAAATTAACATTAGTGTCAGAGTTTGGATAGGTATTAGCCCGGATCCCAACTTCGGCACTCGGATCGTTTTCCTTTTCTGTTCGACTTCCTAGACACCTGGGCAGACGAGGGCGGAGAATATGTGTTGGAAAAGAAAGACCTGTGCATAAGAGATGCTAAAGTAATGTTATTGCGTGTATGTGTGTGTGTGTGCGTGTGTGTGTGTGCGTGTGTGTGTGTGCGTGTGTGTGTGTGCGTGTGTGTGTGTGCGTGTGTGTGTGTGCGTGTGTGTGTGTCTGTGTATGGCCTGACATGTAGATGACCGGAGGAGGCTGATTCGGCGCGTCGAGGTTTGTTTGCTGAGCATAAAAGCGACTCCTTCTTTTACTCACGTGATGCGATTGTGCAGACCAGACCGCAGACCCCACCCGCACATTCCATAGCCCTCATCTTACGACAGCGCCTAACTAAGCACCGCCCACCTATCCCCTCTCACGATCCTAGTACGCGCTGTATTCTTCTACAAACATTCTATCGTCCATCCTTTTGATTAGCGACGCGCTTCTTCTGCCTTAACACCTATGCAGGAGACCTGATTCGACAGCACCAGCGCTTGAGGGTGCTGCGACCTCGAGCGAGACGGCTCTGCAGCGTCTGCATACCTATACCCATATCACATACGACCAGATTGTCTGAATCTTACTCCGTAGCCCACTTATTGTCTAAACAGTTGCCGCACGCGCACATAACATCCATTTCTTTGCGTCGCCAGCAAATCCCGCACACGCACCCTTATCAGAGGATCTATCCCGACCGCGGCCCACAACTCCTGAAACTCTTCGCGCCGATATGAATGGCTATTCTGGAAATATGGCTCCGCCGGGAGGGATGTTCGTTCGGGCTCTGTATGACTACGAGGCTGATGATCGAACGAGTCTGAGCTTTCGTCAAGGCGATATTATACAGGTTATTACACAGTTAGAAAGTGGTTGGTGGGACGGTGTGATCAACGGCACGAGGGGCTGGTTTCCGAGCAATTATTGCGCCGTCGTGCCGAGACCAAATGAAAGCGATCTGAACGAAAGATATGCGGATCTAGACGATGATCCTAGCGCAATAGGAGAGGGAGATTATCCCACCGATACGGATTCAGAGGCTGATAACGATATTACCCATCTCCCAATAGAAGGTCGCCCATCTGGTAGAGATCAAGAGGAGGCAGCTTTTTGGATTCCACAGGCAACACCAGATGGCAGATTGTTCTATTTCAATACGCTCACAGGGGAGAGTACGATGGAACTACCATTGGAAAATCCTTCTTCTCTGAACGAAAACGGGCCCCGAGATCGCACGAATATATATGTACCAGAGCAAACTCGACCCCCACCAGAGTTGATGGCTGGTGGTCTCAACATTGATGATACTGATGACGAGAACTCAAATTCTGATATTGAAGGACATTCTGCGATGGGCGGCTCATACAGCTCTCTGGTAAGTGCCTACATACACTCATATCACATTTTCAGTATTGACGATAGTTCTGTAGCCCCATCGTCGCAGGTCGTTCCAGTCAGATGGTATATCGCCTGCTCCATCAATGGACTCGTTGCACGCAGCTGCGCGGAGCCGGGACATGATTGACGGTAGCTTCTCTGCGATACATGGTACTTTACCTCCCAATGGAACGGCAATGACATCCTTCTCCCATGGACCGTTTGGCTCACAAGCGACTAACAACGCGTCTCGACAATTCTTTGAAGAAGCCGCTGCGGTTCCTCTGACATGGAACAAGATGATGGACGAAATGAAGAAAGCCATTAGTCGATACAGAGAAGCCATAAACAATTCTGACAGGTCGGAGTTCGTAAAGCGTGCAGAAGACATTTCTGACCATCTGCGGCTCCTGCTGGCCGCCGGCTCCGGTACAACAGACAACCATTCGGGCAATCTTTCCATCATATCCACCAACAAAGCTTTGTATCCACACTTCCGGGAAACCATGTCACGCTTCTCAAAACTTGTTCTGTCTTCCCATATTGCTGCCGCAGACTGGCCGCCACCTGATTCGTTCACGAAATGCCTGAAGGAGGCCGAAGGTGTGTTGAATGGGGTCTATGCCTTCGTCGAAGTGGCAAGACAGCAGCGCGGAGAAAATTTACCCCGCATCGTTCCTGGTTTCGTTCTCGGAACCCATTCGGGTGGCAATTGGCGAACAAATGGTATTGGCGATCGTGACCCAACGTCTTCTTCATTCATGGACCAAGACTCTGAATTTGATTCGTTCAATGACAGTTCGAATCGACTAGACACGAGATTGTTGCAGCAGCTTGGAAGCGTCAGAAGTATGATCTCTCAAAGCATTCGACGACTAGCAGATCAATTAGTGGTGCGATCGAAGACAATCAAACCACTTGAGCATGAAGTGCTGGGTAACAATATTTGCAGCGCCGCAGGGAAAGTATTGGATGTCTACCGGCCCTGGATCTCTACTATAGAGTCAATCAACCTTTCGCCCATCGCATCCAGCGCTTTCAGCCAACAGTTGTCCGAATTCGGTAATCAAAAGCAGCGTATTTATGACTTGGTGTCGGAACTCGTCATTGTTTGTCAAGCAGTTGCAGCTCCTTTGGCAGACGAATGGTCAGAGGTGCGTAATGACACCATCGAGGATCGAGTGGATACTGTTCGGAATGTGACTCGAGAGCTGGACTCAACCACAGCATCGTTCTTTGCTTTGCTGCTGCAGCTAGTGTCAACAGTGCCAGAAGAAGACAACCTCCATAGACCGGACCCCAGGCGCAACACCGATAGTGAACTACCCGTGCGAGACAGGTCCGATTCCTTCCCTAAACGCCCAACGCTACCTCACTCAGCCAAATCCCATGCGGGTGTACCAGGCGCAGAACCCGCTCCCATGAAGAATCCAGGCTCAAATCCGGCTAAAGTTATGAAGTTCTTCGGCGAAGTTCCCGCTCCTGTCATGACTACTCCTGTTCAGGATGAGGTGCCGGCATTCCTACGACTTGATCACGAAGGCGAGATATCGTACGACACCAAAGTAACACCACCACAGCTACGAGGTGGCACTTTGACAGCCCTAGTTGAACAGCTGACACGCCATGACCGACTCGATTCGCCATTCAACAACACATTCCTACTTACTTATCAATCGTTTACGACCGCTTCTGAGCTCTTTGAAATGCTTGTCAAACGATGGAGCATACAGCCGCCTGAAGGTCTGGCGCAGGAAGACTACCAGACATGGGTAGATAAGAAGCAAAAACCTATTCGATTTCGAGTCGTCAACATCCTCAAGTCCTGGTTCGATACATATTGGATGGAGGGATATGACGATGACGCTCGAGTACTGATTCAGCGCGTGTACAATTTTGCAAAGGATCATGTCGCGAAGACCAGTACCCCTGGTGCTGGTCCACTCATCGCAGCCGTTGAGCAGCGCCTGCGAGGTCAAGACGCTCCTTCGAAGAGAATGGTCCTTACTATGAGTACACAGACACCACCACCAATTTTGCCAAAGCACATGCGGAAACTAAAGTTCTTGGACATTGACCCCTTGGAATTTGCACGCCAGCTTACGATCATTGAGTCAAGACTCTACGGAAAGGTCAAACCAGCAGAATGTTTGAACAAGATTTGGCACACAAAGAAGACAGACGATGGCGAACCAAAGACCGCGGTCAATGTGCACGCGCTCATTCTACACTCGAATAGGCTGACTAATTGGGTTGCCCAAATGATCTTGACACAGCAGGATGTGAAGAAACGAGTAGTTGTCATCAAACACTTTGTTAACGTAGCAGAGGTAAGCAATATACACTGGATGTTTTAATGCCCGCAGCTAAGACTGACCAGAAATGTCGTACCTTGAACAACTTCTCGACAGTCACCTCGATCCTTTGCGCCCTTTCCACCGCACCTGTTCATCGCCTTACGCGGACATGGAATGCCGTGAATGCAAGAACGATGACCACCCTAGAGGGTATCAAGCGCCTGATAAGCAGCACCAAGAACTTTGCCGAATATCGCGAGACTTTACACAAAGCCAACCCGCCTTGCATTCCGTTCTTCGGTGTATATCTCACCGATCTCACGTTTATTGAAGACGGTATACCTTCTCTCATCAAGAAAACAAACCTAATCAACTTTGCGAAACGAGCCAAAACTGCCGAGGTTATTCGAGATATTCAGCAATATCAAAACGTTCAATATTCATTAGCTCCGGTACCCGAGTTACAGGAGTACATTCTTTCGAACATGCAATCGGCAGGCGACGTACATGAGATGTACGAGATGAGTCTACAAGTAGAGCCAAGGGAACGGGAAGACGAGAAAATCGCAAGGTACGTGCTAGGTTCACGTATATCCGGCATGATTGGTCCAACATGAGTATTGTTGATTGACATTCACTCTAGATTGCTTTCCGAATCTGGTTTTCTGTGAAGATACCCCGCGACGTTTGCGTGCATTTTATTTATTTTATTGCAATTATACGGGCGTTCTGTTGGTTATCAGGAGCAGCCTTTGTCCATTGGTTTGCATTGGTTTGCATTGGGGGGCTTCGGCGGCGCAAATGGTTCAATGGGCGGCTTCAAGAGTCTTTTAGCTTGGTTCAACATGTCAGGTTTGATCTGTGAACTTCTTAGATGATTGGAGATCACGAAATATCGTCATGACAACTATGTATCACGATATAGAGCCCGGATCTATTAGGCTATATGCTAGGAAGATGAGTTACAAGCTACGCAGGAAGGTGTGGCTGTGTGGCGTCTCTTGGAGAACGCTGAGTACCACTTTTACACATGATATGAAGTTCAGAGAAATACTCTATCCGAGCTACCTTCCGACACAATGTAATCACTTCTTTACCGACGAGGCATTATGAACCAAGTGTGAGTGTTCAAATGGTTTCGAATTTCGTTGAACATCAACAAGGCAAGCACGCACGGATGGACGTCCCAACTAGTCCATGGTATTTGCTTCGGTGTCGGTGAATCGGTTGGATAAATGAAGCAATTGCGACTGCCTCAAACCTCTAGTAATGCTTCCGACATCGTAAGGTCTCCTCGCGGCACATACACATCTACGCTCAATGCCCTGCCCAAACAGTGCGCCCGACATCGACTTTCATTTGTTCTAGGGCTTTGTCAACAACATTCTAACCAGGTGTCCACTTACATGATTGCATTCCCAACCTGTTGATATCACATCAACGGAGTTATGCTTTCAGTTTTTACCCTGGGCGTGTTTGCTACTGCGTCTCTGATTAGCAATGGTGAGCGAAACATATTCACATATTCACAGTTCAAGCTCACATCCGAGACAGTACTGGCATCGTGCGAATGTGGATACTCTGTGAATTCGACTACCGATGAAAAACACGCGGTGTTTACCGACTTGCACGAGACAGACTTTCTACACATCTCAGACCTCAACACTCCAACCGGATGGCGCCCACAGGATTACAAAGTTAGTCCCCGAGATGCACGCGGCCCTTACGGCAAATCTTTCTCGATAGCCAATGTAATTCCGAATCCCATGAAGAATAACTACGATTGGGCGGGGGAGAGTGCACGTGGTGGGGATGCCGGGCTACAACTTTGGGTGCGTAGCAAAGTACAGACTGTCAATGTAGGGTCAGCAGAGTTGGCGGGAGACAGACAAGATATGTTGTATGGCAGCTTTCGTGTTGCAATGAAGATGTCCAGGTACAGTGGTACCTGTGGTGCCTTCTTCTGGGTATGCTTCCAGTCCAACGACATAGTCATGTTGCTAAGTCTTCGAATCTAGTACAGCACCGATACACAAGAAATTGACATGGAATTCCTGTCCAAGGAATTTAGTGACGATAAAAATACTGTGAACTACGTCCTTCAGACGCCAGAGTCCGCTGCGATGGGATTCGACGCCTCAAGAACGCCATACTTCAAACCACTTCCGCTTAGATTTCGACCCGACCAGGCTTTCCACGAGTACCGATTCGACTGGACACCGCACAAAGTCTCATTCTATGTGGATGGGAATTGGCAATACGACATGAATCAAGGAGTCCCAAGCAGTCCCGGACATCTCGTGTTGAATCACTGGAGCAATGGCGATGGCAATTGGTCTGCTGGTCCACCTGAGTTAAGCACAATCATGACTATCTCTTATGTCAAAGCATACTTCAACTCTTCCTCATCAGACCGACAGATTGTATATCAGAAGAGCTGTCCCGTGGTCGATAGTTCGAAGATATGTCGGATTCCTACTCTGTCGGCTACTCCAGACAACACGGGTCCCAACGCTAATGATACTGCTCACACATATTTTTTTACTCAGGACCGGGGCGAACTAGGCAACGACGACCATGCCCCCAACCAGATTGTATACGACTCTTCTGCTGTAGGTGTCCGATGGCTGTCGCAAAAGGCGACTGGCTCTTTGCCGAACACTGTCGTGACTCTGATAGCGACTGCTATGTATTTCGTCATACTTGTATAGCCTAGCACAACAGTACCTATGTATGCTGGTAACATAGAAGATATGGCAGCGAGAGATGGAGTCCAGCCACTTTGAAGGCGATCATCATGCCTCTGTTGCGTCAACTCGCAAAGTATTACGAGTATATTTAGCAGCAACACCATTATGCCTAGGGTTTGTGTAGCGTGCTTCTTCAGTGTCTGGTCGATATGTTGGCGCAATTGCACATGGTCCTTTATAGTGATAAATGTAAATCAGTATTCATTTAGTATATGTGGCGGCGTAACAGACATATGTATTCAGGTAGACGTCACAATATATGTTAAATTTGGCAAGCGAGGGGCGCTATTTAATTGATAGCTCCTGCCTAGGTGGCCTTGCTTGGCTGGCAAGATCGGCATCTCGAGAAATGGTGTGGCGACCAGTCGGGGAAAATCCGGGGAAATCCTCGAAAATCCCCCTGGCTGTCCAGCGTTGCGTTGTGTTGCTGCGAAACCCTAACAACAACCACCACCCTTGTCCTATTACCTACTTCCAATACCCTTTGGGCCTTATAACCCGTTCACTCGTTGAAAACACCAAATCGCCTGCAATCGCTATATTCTTCCCATTCCTCCTCCCTCTCCCAATCCAGCGACTGCTCGTGCGCCTTGTCGCCCACTCAGCCTTCTACCGATTCTCCGATCACCGACAATCACTCCAGCCAACGACCTCGTTTCAGGCGACGACGATATATATACTGCGAAATGGGCTTTGGGGACTTCCAGACAATATGCCAAAAGGCGTCGATACCATTATGCTCGCTCGTTGGACCGCCTTCGGGCATCTCTGGTCGCGCTGGCATTCAGGCTCAGTGCTATGCTCGCACGGTTGAATTGGCAAACACGATCATTTTCCAGGGCGCGACGGATGCCATGCATATTATTGCTCTCATCATGCTCGCTGTCATGATTATACACGTTCGATCAAAGTTCACAGCTGTTGGCAAGTACCTCACTTAAACCTCATGACCTCGGGAGCGATGGCACTATTGGGTAATGGTTATGCTGACGTCTCGTGCTTCAGGTCGCAAGGAGATAACATCATTCTTCTATCTCTACATGATTCTTACAGTCATATCGCTAATACTGGACTCGGGGGTTGTCCCACCTGGCTCCGGATCGTTTCCATACTTTGCTGCCATTCAGAATGGTCTGGCATCGGCGACATGCACAAGCCTGCTCATCAATGGCTTCGTCGGCTTTCAACTCTATGAAGATGGAACTTTCCTCTCTGTATGGCTACTTCGTGGTTGCTCGCTGGCCATGTTCCTCATCTCTGGCGCTGTGTCAATCTTGACGTTCAAGGGTGTGGCTGGCCTAGGACCAGAGAACACCATTGGCATGTTCGTTGTAACCTACATCGTCAACGCGATCTTCGTCTTTGTGTACGCAGTGATGCAGATTCTTCTAGTCGTCAATACCCTAGAGGACCGATGGCCGCTCGGTGATATCTCGTTCGGTATCTTTTTCTTCATCGCTGGCCAGATAATCCTATACGTAGCCAGCAACGCAATCTGCCGGAATGCGAATCACTATTTGGATGGTCTTTTCTTTGCTACTATCTGCAATTTACTGGCTGTCATGATGGTCTACAAGGTTTGACCCACATAACAATTCTTAACGCACATATCTAACTCTGCCACAGTATTGGGACTCCATCACCAAAGAGGATCTCGAGTTTAGCGTTAGCACTAAGACCAACAACTGGGAAGTCAAGGACCTACTTCCCGAAGACGAGCGTCGAGGAACCGTATACCACAACATGGACAAATCACCGGACAACGGCTCTGAATACTCTAATAGCTTGTATCAGCCCGCCAGACCAGCGCAGCACTACAGCAACCTCGACAGATATTAAAAGGCCGAGAAAAGGATGAAAATTTGTATGGGTATAATGCTCTAGTGATGGACGTCTGAGCTCTAATGCCAAACAGGCTACGATATATTTGATTCTGGATCGCTAATAGGGTGTGCCATTGTGGCTTAGGGTGATTGGCGTTTATAGGTCAAGGGGGTTCATGTCAGGATTACCCTCTGTTTGTAGTGTGGCCGTGGAGCGTTGGGATATTCCAGATAGTAATATCATGTTCTCAATTATTTGAATGGACCATGGTTGTTCGAAGTCTGATGTACACCTACCTATTCTACGTGATTGATCTTGGTCTGAATCCTGCAGTCTGGTCTTTTCAGTGTCTCCCTGGTTGTGGTTGATGTATATGCCGTAGCGTTTGGTAATTTTATGCTCAATCGTTTCCCCCGCCAGTTCATGGTCAATACACTGCCGTCCGCCCCATGCCCCATGCCGTAGCAAGCCGATCCAAATTAGAACCTCACGCCAACGCTGACGAAGATGCTTTTCTTATTTTCTCTGCATCACGCTCATCCTTACTTCATTTCCTGCCTTTCTTCTTCTTCTTCCCACCGCTCCCTTGTGTTTGCGGCGGCGTTGACACCACGGCGCTCGCAGGTGTATTCTTCTGCTCAGGTCTATCTTCCACATCGTCCTTGTGATCTGGAGTTTGATCTATTACATTAATTAGTGCTCGTATCACTTCCAAACACCCGTTCGAAGAAGACGAAAAAAGCAAAACAATGGGGGCTCCATCGCGGGGTCATTTTCTCTCCTCAGGTGGCAGACATACCCTCTCCCATCTCCGGCAGTGCAGCCATACTCCTGCCCAGCCGCCCTAGACAGCCCACCAGTCTCCCCACTTCTGCGGCTTTGTCGGTTTTGTACTTTAAGCATGCGCCGGATACTGGGTCATATGTTTTGAGGATGAATGCGGCGAGGGGTGCTTCCGGGGGAGTGGCTGTTGTTGTCGTCGTCGTCGTGGATTCAGGGTTCGTTTTGAGGGGTCGTTTAGAGCGTTTTTTTGTTATTTTGGCACTGGTCGGCGAGAGGACGTTGTATTTGGATGTTATGCGTGTCTAGAGGTGGTGATGGTGTTAATTAAGGGTGTTAAGTGCGATTGGGACTGGGAGTTTGGGAGGCGAACGGACAGTTGTAGGGCGCGCTTGGAGGAGGAGGCTGGACTGCGTGAGCCATTCTTGGCTTGTTTCGAATTGCGGCATTGCTTGTGTGGAAAAGTTTGAAGGACGGCAGGTTTGGACAATGCTGTCTTTTTGTGATCGTTGATAGTATGAGCTGCTGTCTAGCTCTGTGGGGCAGCTTTTCGCGGGGCCTGGGAGCTGGGTGGCTCGGGGAAAGGTTTTACCGCTGGTGTTTTGACGCGGACTTGGTACTCGACTCCCTCGACTAATACAAGCAGAAAGGATACAGATTCAGAGACTTGTTTATGAGCCTGTGTAAATAAATTGGTCCTTGATCTGTATACTGACTTGACATTCTATAATTGATCTTAGTGACGGGCTGATAGATACGAGCAGCAAGATTACAGCTTGCAAGTCGCATGCATGATGGTTGTGAAACCTTCTTCAGAGTCGATCAAACACGCCATTGGTCTCTTGAAGCAGTCTGGGGTCGATCCAGATATCATCTCAAAGCAAGATTTGCTTGAATTTGCAGTGCGGTCTCCCGACGCCCAGCAATATGCCCTTAGCCAACTATTGAAACGTCTAGAACTTGACGAGTCCGAGGATGAAGAGGGCGATGCCGAGGAGCAGGCATCTACTGCTGCTCAGGACTTGCTCGAGAGATGTAGAAACCTCTTACACGAGCTTGAGCAGTTCGCATCCTACTTGAAAGAGCACAAGAAAGATGGACTTGTAGAGTTTCGAACATTCAGAAATGAACTGAAGAGCGAGATTCGCTTCCTCGAGAGAGTAGGTTGGCCAGTTCCACTCTTTATATGGTTATCTTTGCCCTACTTGTTAAGTTGCTCAAAACCTTTTCAATTCGGGCAATCATCAATGTCATGCGTCTCCTAACAAACACCAGCTCCAAAAATCTGATCTGGGAGCTGAGAAAATCCAACACAACATTTCCTCGTCGAACTTCCCTTATTATGAGACTCTCTGGTCCGCTGCGAAACGGTCGTCGGAAGTCCTCACTTTCAGAAAGTGGTTCTATTGGGAACCTTCTTCACCAGATTCGAACATGTCCGATTCTGCGGGACGTCAGAGTCATAAAACACAGTCCACACCCAATAAGTCACGGGAGAAGCATAGTGCACTCGTCGATGTTGTTACACAAAACGGCCGCGGATGGATAAAAGTCTCAACTGTCAACGACAACAGGATTCTGATGGAGCTCGCCAAGCAAGGCTGGCGGAACGACTCAGACTCGGATGATGACATGGACGTCGATGATACCAATACCAGCAACAAAGCTGATAAACCTAAGGATGACGACGAAGACCAGGTATCTCTTTTGAAGATCGCTACGGACCTCTCTCGTGCAGCCAAATCAAATCGCATCCACACACACCTTCCTCATATCACTTTCGTCCTTCCCCGCGTGCACCGCGGTGCATACGCTGCCGTTGATGCCGTACTTTCACGCATTGTTGCGACGGGCTGTACTGTGCAAACTGCAGATGAGATTCCTACCACACCACCGCTCGCCGCCACTCTGCATTCGCTCATGATCGATGAGAGTCGGTCATTCTCGACCACGGTGAATGTCGACTGTACCATTTTACTCGCACTCGTGTCCGATATTTCACATATGGTGGTTGAGCCACAGCCATGGTATCCAAAAGCAGTCACGCAACAGATCGCAGTCGAGAGGCGTGCGCAGCTACTGCCCAACACACTGTATCCAGTCCTAGCGGGCCGCGATTTGACATGCACTACTGAAGCAGCGCAGCGCATGAGGCAGATTGTAAGCACGATCGGCACGGATAGCGAGAAGGCGCGAGCGAATATATTTGTCTGCGATGATGCGCAGAACACAAAGGACAACTTAATTAAGCGCCTAGCAAACTTAACAGACCATGATGTCCCGCCGGTCTTGTGCTTACCGATCCGCGTGCTGCCACCATTTGACCTGCCTGCGACGCTTTCAGCCCTGCCCGCCGTAGCAGCGAAGGTTGCGGAGCAGTTGACGGATATCAATCAATCCATCTTTCTGTCCGCGTGGGCAAACGGCATCACGACGCTGAGCTCGAACGCAACCGTTGCAAAACAGATTGAGAGGATCATCGAGGAATTGCGGGGTGAAGACGAGGAGACAACCGGGCCGCATGTCTGGATATGCAGTGAGAGCAGGAGTCTGGTCAGTAAAGCGGGAAGAGGAGATGGGAAGTGGGGTAGTGCAGAGACCAGGAGCGTTGTTAGGGATATTATATGCTGAGAGTACGAGTCGTTTACCAAAGGTGGCCTTGATCGCTGCTTATATCATCGCCATATCAGTTATCCAGGTCCTTGGACATCATGTGCGCCGACTGCAACAAGCCGGTCAGAGATGCAATTGCTGCTCAATATAGGATCCTCTGTTGCAAACCCTCTAGCAACCTCTCAAGTCTGCGCTTGTCCTCTCATATTTTGCTCTCCCTCTCTCCCCTCCAAAGAACTTCCGCTTTCAGATGACCTGGCATTGCCGGAGAACGATTAGTTATCCATGTTGCAATCAGACTGGTATAAACACCGCTAATACTGCAGTCTATGGCCTGTCAAGGCTAGGCGCATATAATATTAGTGTCGTGGCAACACACGACGGAAGTATTAAACCCTTGCTCGAATGGTTGACAGTGGCTATGGGTCGAATATGTATCTCTAGAAATGTTCCTAAAATCCATAAGCCTGATTTTTACCTGTACAATTGTTCTCTAAACGCCATGCAGTCATAATCCCTGATACATAAGACTCGCAAAGCTCAAACAGGATCAATTTACTTACAGACCAGCACCAGATCGCTGTCGATCCGGAGGTCTTTCAACAAGGCTGTTAAAATTCAGCTGCAACCGCCTTCATGTCGACTTTCCAGTTGCTTATCAATGGTAGGCTATCAACACACGATATGGCCAATGGTATAGCGGCAGGTGGTAAAATTCCGTATCATGGTGCAGCATACTATATCAGGACAGAGAAGACCCAGAAAACATATTGAAATCCATAATTGTTAGTTACGAATGGTATCATTCTCAGGTATTGTCGTCTCTCAACATATTCGAATCCGTGATCACCGCCGCCTCCAGACAATTACATGGATACGTTGATCTTCAGGGGCTTCAGACTAGCCACAACAGAGTGCGAAGTACATGAACTCAATGCATCTACAGTAAACATGACATTTTTAAATTCCGGATACGGCCGACATGCGTGTCCCGGAAGGTGGTACGCTGTACGACTAGCAAAGCTGATCTTTGCAAAGCTGCTACAAGAATACGACATTGAATGAGATGAGAAAGTCGGGTCGAGACCGCCAAACATGTGCATTGAGTTTTTAAATGGCCCAAACATGGATGCAAAGGTCCGAATGCGCAAGAAAGTGTTTACACGATTTGTAGTACATCTAGGCTTCACTGAACTATGTTGTCCCGCTCTCAGTCAAATTGTAGTATTTTTTCCAGAACTAACAGTGTATCGATGGAGGTACTCCTATCCTATGTATATACGGCCCTTTTATAGAGGCTTACTCGGCCGTGTAACTGTAGAAGTTTAAACCATATGAGCGTACTCGAAGCCTATTTTTCAATATAACATAGGCGCTAGCTCCAGTGTAGTGGCAGCCGCGTCCAGAGTCAATGTATAGCCCCAGAAGGCAAGATATCAGAAAGCGTGTACGTTACATTCAGGCTCGGTACACACGTATCACATTCCGCTCATGAGCAGTCCTCCTAATATGGAAGCGTTGACAGGTAACATAGAAGGTAATCATCGCTTTGCAATCAAGTTACTAGCTGATACCAGGTTATGCTATAGAACAATCTACTATCAGAGTGGGTAGCGCTTCTTATAGCTTACATAAGTATCAATCAGTAGTAAAAGGACTTCTTCCGTCCTTTCTTGTCGTAATCTAGAGAGGCGCCAGAGATGAGCAGCGTATTAGGGTAGATGCAACATATGGCCCTGGTTAAGCTGATATATTTATACTAGATTAGACTCATCCGGACCCTAGAAAGAGTCTATTGCACAAGAAACGATAAGTGTAAGTATGGTGTGACAATTATTTTCTTTCCACAGATACGGTACTTTCAGGTCTAGCGGGGGCTCCTGAAAGTATTGACTTGACCTCTGGTTGTGGGAAAGTTTAGACGGCAGCTACAAATGGGCGAGGCGAAGGCATATCGCGACTTATGACGAGATCGGAAATGAACTCATGTTGAGATTTGGCAGTTTCATTCACTATCTGTCCAGAAATCCATCTCTGCGGCGGTCAATCACGATCAGAATACTACAAGAATAACCCCTCGAAACCATATTCGTCTCCACATCCCCTGATCACTATTCCATCCCATCAACCAGCCTTCGTATCTCATACACGCCCATCGGCCACGCTCAGGCTTCTCGTCGGAACAGCTGTACTCTGTCCCGTACGAGGACCCACACCTCTAACTTCCCGCGTATCGGCACCAAAATGATCAAACCCCCTGGCAACACCATAATGCTGCCTGCCAATGCGTCTGAAATGGCCCATGACAAGCGCCAGACTCGCCATTACCATCTCGACATCCGGACCCGCGGGCAAGACGTGAACGATGTGGATATGCAAGTGACCAACTTCGGCGCCAGAGGTAGCGCGGGTGCCGAGGACGGTGTGAGTAAATGTCGCTATGGGTGCATTCACATCCGCGTTCAGGTGCATCAGTGTGAATGTGGGGCTAGGCAGGGGTGTGAGGCGCCATACGTACATTGCGGGTCCTGCATGCTGTCCTGGATTACCGTCGTCGGAGTTGTGGGAGGACGGGAGAGCGAATGCAATCGTCCAGTCCTTGAAGTTTCGGCTCTGCATAGGCAGTGTATACGTCCTGCTCACACGCTCTGCATCGCCAAGTCCTATGTCAGTAGGAGCATATCTCGTCGTGATTGTGCCGCGTGGCATCCAGGGGAGAATGGGAGCGTCGTTGTAGTTTGCATGTGCGACTTCAACGTCACATTCTGGTACGATCTTCGTGCTGTATGTAGCTGCAGTGCTACGCACGAGTGTGATATCTGCTCTTTTGCTGAAGAGCTTGGGTGATGAGCGTGTTATGAGGCGGTACGCTGGTTGGGAGGTTGACGGAGTGGTTGGGAGGAGGATTTGTAGGCTGCGTGAGACTTGGACGAGGGTGTAGGTTTGGAGAGGGATCGAGGGGTCGGCAGGCGCATAAGATGGGAGGAGATTGTCTGACGCGGTGTACGTGGGTGGATGGTCGGGAGCTTCGTCTATCGTGGTAGCATCCGATGGACGAGTACTGTCTACTTGTGCATATGGAGGCGTGTTGTGGACTGAGGGCGTGGAGTACCACTCAGTGTCTTCGACCGCATGACGGTGAGAGAAACTGGGACGTAAGGATTCGCCGACGGAGTGGTGACGTCTAAGGTTGTCCATGGTGTCGCGTGTCAAGTGTAAGCCCGATCAAGTGCCGTTGAGCAAAGTCACGATGTATGTTTGTGGGTGTGGGAGAAGTCGACGCATAATAGGCGATGGCACCGTAGGTTCCGAGCTTCGAGAGACGGAGCGACAGAAATGAAATAGAAAGAGAGGTGACAATGGACAGAACGATGACAAGGTCTCGTGGACGCGAGGCAGATGTCAAAAAGACTCTAGGAGTTGGGCGCATTTACGATTTACGATGCTCGATCTATCATCGGCGAATCAGTATGAAGGTGGGGTCTGAGAGACCAGCAGCGCGGGGCCAAAAGCTATAATTTTTGCCCAGTGTACTTTGCACGTTCGACAGGGCGTCGAAAGGGATAGCTTTAATACGAGGTCTTCTGCCTTACCGTGCCGTGCCAGCCATTTGTAGAAACCCTAATCATGGGAATGTGACTCGTGTACGGTGATCCTCGTGCTGAAAATACAACCAATTGCACACACAATAATGCTAGTATTCCAAGAATCCTAACTGGACCGGCCTGCTTCATATGTGGACAGAGATGTCATATCGTGTGTTGGCCCAGGATATCTCGAGCACATTGGTCAAACGCATTGGTAAAACGCCATTGCTCGGAGAATTACTATGACCGAATGATCTGTACATGTACAATGGCTAGCTATACGGCTCCGGGGCCAAGTGTGAGCGATCTCTTCCAATGACATACGCGCAGATCATGTGCCTACTTAATAGCTACTGGTACACCTAGGCTTTAATACATTTGTTTCGGGTTAGCGGTGAGCGAGGAACGTTGGACTTGCTCGCATGCCAATCCGCGAACCTGGTCGCATTTCAAATTCGACTCAGGGTACATCACCAAAACTTTTGTTGCTATCCAAACACCCTTTAGTTTGTAAAGACTTGACTTAGGCGGCGCGCTTCGTCTTGGGTGTGCTTCTGCCACTGCCGATGCGGCGAGCTTCAGGGCGCTGCAAGTGGGAGGCAGGGATCCAGCTTTCATCGTATACCTTGGAGCCACTGGTAACAGCAGGTCCATCCGCACCAACGACTGAAGCCTGGTCGGTTGGGTCGACCTTCTTTGAGCCGTTGGACGAATATTTGGCGCGCTCTCCGCCTTTGCCACCACGGCGCTTTTGGGGGAATAAAGTCGCGAACCAGGTACTGTAAATGAAGTAGCACGTACCACTGAAGGCTGCAGCGAGGACGATGTAGAGGAAGATGCTGTAGGGAGCGATATTAGTGCGCGGCTTATATATGATGCACTTGGCCGGCAACGTACATTTGAGGATCAAAGATGCTGGTGGGCGCCTCAACCACGGAGACAGTCTCGTTGTAAACCTGAACAATGTGGATCCCATCCTTTGAGTCTTGGACGACGCTTGTAAGGTGAAGGCGAAGGTCTTGAGGATGAAGCTCTGTGGCGAAGCTGTATGTGATGCTCTGTTTCTCCCCAGCTGGAATCTGAACACCGGGGCGCTGCATGGTGAGATTGCGGACAATCTGATCAGGACCATTGATCGTATTCAGAGAACCACCGACGAGGAGAACGGTAACAGGTTCGAGTTCATTGTTCTGGACGTCAATCACGCATTGAGTCGGATGTCCATTCACGAGCTTCACACCAAATATTTCAGACTGTGGAAACCTCGCGACGGTGGCGAGCTTGATGCTGCCCTCGACACCTTCGGCCAGAGTGTCTGCCTATCGAACAGTATTAGCAGTGGAACCTGCAGATGAGACGATACCCAATCGTGAGAGGCTGCGCGACGGTAGCGGTGGTGCAGTACTTACAGTTACTTCATCAGCAGCGAGGACGCTGAGAGTCTGCAAGGCGAGAAGTGCCAAAGAAGTGAAAGTAAAGGCAACCATAACGATGGATTGGCCGAGCAGATGCGAAGACGAGACTTTCCACGCTGGATCTGGGTGCAAGCCTAGGTCTGCAAATGAAGTGAAGGATGAAATTATGTAGATGGCTTTCAGGCGTCGTGGCATCTCGAAGACAGCCGGAGTGTCCCCCACAGGGCACTAAGCCGCCCTCGGTGTAGCAACATGAACTATTTAATTACCTTAGGTTGTAAGGTATATATATATACACACAACAATATTTTCTTGAAGGACTCGTAGACTCTGACGTGAACTGGGAGTTGATCATCAACTTGGTGAATGTTGTTGACGTGGAATTCAGCCAAAGCGACCGTCTACCTATCGTCGCTGTCACTGTCGCTATTGAGCGAGTACCCGACAACTCCATGGAATTATAGACATATTCCCCCAAATCCCGTCCCATCTATCCATTCATCCATTCCACATCCGCCTCAATTCTATCCCTTGCGTAATTAGCCGTCAGAGTCTCGCGCGGTTACTGGGCGCGTACTGACAGTCAAGATTTACTGTATCATGCAGTGTTGGACCAGCGCTTCCTTGGTTCGCCTCGTTTCACCGGGCCCAGACGTGTTTGTGTGCGCGCACCTATCGTCTGTAATTTCGTAGTCCAACACATCTTCGTGCGGCCTCATGTTTAGATAGACAAGCCATCCTTCCTCGCCAAACCACCTGTAAGAAGTCGTGCTGCATTACTGAGGCTGTTCTGCCACCGACTCTCGTGAAGAGCGTTACCCATATTTAGCCGCCCGCAGACGTTTTCTGGCTTCTGAATTCCTTTTCTCGTCACCGTCGCAGGCGTAACTCTGTCCCGACTTACTTTTTTTTATTTCACTGAATTCTCCACGCACTTTTCGTCCCACCGTCGTCCTTCGACCCTTTCTTCTACCTGCTACAACTCTGCGCTCTCATAAATCATCCAAGTGTCGTTGTTCCCGTCGCTACTGCATACACGCTTCCTTCGCTGAGGGAAGACATCATGCCTTCCTTAGCGAACTCGCCTGCGCGCAGCGCATGGAATAATGGCAGCTCTTCCAGCCCATCCGAAGCCCACAATCCCGTCAGAAGCCCAAGCGCCACGTCGCCCGAGAGCCTCTATGAGCGACTGGCACGACTGGAACAGTATGAAAGTGAAAGAGCCCAGAGAGTGCATATCTACGAGACGGAGAGATCTCAGTTACTCAGTGTGGGTCCTGCTCTAGCTAGGTTGCCTCCGCCATGCGCTCCACTAATCCTTTCTAGGACACCATCGTAGCCCTCAAAGTCTCCAAAACAGAGTCTGACGGTTACAAGGCATTTATAAGAAACTGTCTTAACGAGATTGAAGATATTAAGACGAGAAGTGCCACTTTGACTGAATACGCACGCCGCGAAAGCAAAGTTGTTACACTCATAGACGGCAACGGGCTACCGTTCCAAGATGGTTTTGTTCAGGCTGGTGGTCAGGGAGGGAAGCCAGCGGCAGAAGCCCTCTGCGATGGCGTCTCTAGATTTGTGCAGCACTTACGAGATCGACTTCCACACAATCTGCGGGATGCTATTCCAACCGTCAACGAGATGAAATATGTAGTCAGGATTTACGTCGACACCCAAGATCTTGCTGAGACTTGTTTGGCTGCTGGTATTGTCAATAGCATCGCAGACGTTCGTGATTTTCTGTATGCCGTTGGGAACTCTGTCGAAGATTTTGAGGTGATTGACATTGGCTCCGATCGAACTCGGGTGCTCAAGAAGATCTCAGGTACGTCATGCGTCGAATGGTCCTCTCAACTGGCGTCGTTGCAGTATACTAAGGTTAATCATAGAAGCATTCAAGAGTTATGCTAGTGATCATATGTGCCAACAGATCTTACTCGGATGTGCGCACGACTCAAGCTTTATTCATATTTTTGACCACCTTGCGAACACAGGACTCGATTCAAAAGTCACATTGATTGAAGGCCCTCCTTTGGCAAGTGAATTTAGATCCCTACCTTTCGCCACAGAGAAGTTTGCGGGAGTATTTCGTGACGCAGGGTTTGCAACTGGCAAGCATAAACTGCAACTTTTTGGAAATGGCAACGGGTCATTCGCTTCCGGCATAAGCACTTCTCCAGGCCTGATGGACGAAAGGAGTGACTCCAGAGCAGCATCGTTCTCTTCTTCGGTCGCGACGCCAAGCAGCACGGTTACAACGCCCGTATTCACATGGGCATCTGCGGCGAAACAAGCTGCGATCTTACCTGATCGCACTTCAACACCTCCTCCGAAGGCTATAGCTCTCGCGCCCGGCACCATCCCTCGCAACAGAGCCGGGCAGAGAGTTGATCCAATCTCCCGTACGTATGACAAGAAAGAGGTGGACAGAGTAAAGGAGATTAAGATGTGCAACGTACACTTCCTCCGACAGGAATGTCGCTATGGAAAGGACTGTACTCACTATCATGACTACAAGCCAACCCAAAGTGAGCTTGGGACGCTGCGACTCGTGGCTCGTATGGCGCCATGTAGTTACGGCAGCGCGTGTGAAGATTTGAAATGTATTTACGGCCATCGATGTCCTGCACCTGCGAAGAGCGGCGCCTGTGGAGGGAAAAATTGCATCTTTGGCGAAGATTGTCGGTTCCCCGTTGAGCTGCATGGCATTGATACCACGATTGTTCGATCTGTAGTGGTTCGCTGACGTCGTTGGGATTATCTGCTGTCATACTCCAAGACTCTTATTATCTCTCGAACTGTAATTTGACAGATACCCAAACACTTGTAGTAGCCACAAATTGACTTTCACGCATGGGGCTGAGGCTGGGGGCCTGGCGCATCTTAATACCAACACTGCAAACAATTTGGGCAGCAGTATACAAAAATACATCTTAGACCCGCCACTCCGCATTCCGAATTGGTTGCTGTAGATAACGAAAAAAGACCGTTCATCTCCGGCCAATCTAAAAGACGAATAGGGTTCTGGATCGTCAGCTCTAACCAGTTATTGTCCTGGCTGCGGTGGAAGGTTCAACTAACGCAGTAGTGCAGTGACCCCCCCTTCGAAGCGGTACAACAGACAGAGAAAGTGTGCGTTAAAAGGTACAAGAATCGAAACTTTAATCCATGCTGAGCACTGGGTTCCTCAAGGTATATTAGATACTTTTGTCGCAATCGGTGCAATAATCCGAAGCCGAGCTGAGAGTGCCCAGCCCCTAGTAGGATGTTGACTGTCTGATCCGTGCTTTGTTAGAAGTAACTAATGTATATAAGGTATTGAAGCCGTCCAAGAGTACTTTGGCCCCAGGTTGTTGCCTGAGTATCAATGACCTGGGGATATCGTTGTAACTTGTCTGTGGAAGTAAGTAAAGATGAAACATTGCGTGAGTTGTACCCATGGACCGAACCAAGACGGTACGTAACAGAAGTGAGGAACTCCCTCGAGACATGATGTACCACACATACGATGTTACTGATTACATGAGAACAACAAAAGAAGACGAGAGATAGCATTGAAACTCTCTAGGTCTTCACGACTATTGGATTGATTCTATACAGATCTTGGGAGAGGGATTTGACGTGCTTAAAGTCGCCTAACGCTTGTGACTACTGTATGTGCTGAGCTGAAACGACGGCGACTTTTGGGTACACCACCCCCTGATGGAAGCGAGCTCGTGAGCGCTCTCACTGGCTCGATATCGGTGGGGCAAATCCACATGTATACAGTACACACTAACATGTTATAGCACGCGCCCCGATCCGAGGGTCATGGCTAGGTCTGCCGATAGTGGGTTGTGCATCGAGCAGTGTCCATTGTCTATTCATTGCCAATTGTAGTGTGAAGTATGCAGGTGGAGGCGCGGAGCCCGGTGCACGGCGCCCGGCTGTTCGTGGCGACTGCCTCTAGATCAGCGGGAGCGGGAGCGTTCGCTCACTGTCAGAGGCGAGGCTCCGTGAGGTGGGCGGCTGCGAGCTCGTCAGCTGTATCCACCGGGTGTCCACTGTCCGATGTTAGCGATCCACCATTGCTGGATACTACTATAGATAACAGCAAGGCGGTTATCTATTATGTACCTCCACATAGTCAAACAAACAGAGCGGTACCGTGTATGTCCCTTGGAGGACTAGTTGCTATTATGTAAGCGATTAGAAAACAGAAGATAAGACTTAACATAGTAGCTTAGTATTAGTACTAGTATAGCTTTAGTAGATTAATATCTTAAAAATAAAATAATAATAAGTCTAAGTAAGACTTCTACTAATAAGTTTCTAGTATTATACTTAAATAATAAGACTTAGAGTATCTATATCTAGTTTATATAAGAGTATATATACTAATTTATATATTACTTTACTAGAGTAAGAAGTACTAGTAGTAAAGAGTTATTAAAAAAAATTCTAGAATAGAATTTCGAATCTCTTAAATCTATATTATCTAGAGCTAAAATTAAGTTATATTATTACTAATAAGAATATTTAATTTTTCTTATTAAAATTTAAAACTACTATTATACTTAGATTTATATTTATATTATACTTATAAGAGACAGTTTCTCTAGTAGATATTTACTCTCTACTCCTTAGTAATCTAGATTGAAATACTCTATCAAGGTTTGGCCCTAAGTATAGCCCTAGAAGCTCGAGCACGGAGCCGCCCGTGCCGAACGGACGGTTCGTCTAAAGCACGCGTCTCTCTGATTCGCTGATTGTCAAAGACGGAACGCTAGATCTAGTGTAGCTCAGCATGAGCCTGGCTCGTGCAGGATCCCCAGTCCGATGTGTCGCCAGCTTTGACCTCAGACATACACAGTACAAGAGCTGATAGCCCCTTGACGAATCAAATAGTTGATCCTCCTCCGCACTGCACTAAGTTGGGACTAGCTTGCTCATCCATCTTCCAGGTATGTGTCTACGGTACCTGCGGTAGAACGGACGGTGGCCGGGGGGACTCCGCAACTGCTGATTCAGCCTCCATGTCTCTGGTATGCGGGGATCCTTTCACTACACAGTTACGATATGACCGCCCAACCATGGATTAAGATTCAGAGGCGATATGTGGCTGCCACGCAGGACTAGATATAGGAGACTTCTTCGAATGTGCACTGCCAATCGGACCGTTTGCTCGCGACTGCAAGGCCGCCTAATACAGTAGTCTCTTCTGCTGTGCTGTGCTGTGCCGTGCCGCTTCGAAGCTGTCCTTTCGTCTTCCCCAAAAGGCCCCATATATCGCCACGGACCAAACTTTAATCGCGCTAATGTGAACTGAACGATTCTAGTCTGCAGACCATGGCTAGTCTAACAGATGCATTCTATCTTTTCGGCCCTGGACCTGACTCAACCGAACTTGCTTACGACGGCCTAGACATGCAACATGCAACCTCCCCTGGCACATTGCCAGAGAAGATATAATTATACCCTCACGCTGCTCTGTTAGCAGGGCGTCATTTTGACTAGCCGTTCGTTCAAGCTCCGGTGTCGTTATGAAGGTCGCTGGCCTGCTAGGCGTGGTAGCGCTGCTCACTCAATGTATTTTTGTGGCAGCACAAGCACCACCCCCAGAGTGCGGTGTAAGTATTACCGCCGGGCATCCTTCGAACGAATCGGGTGACTGATCTTGTGTTACACAGACAAAATGCTTGATTGGAGCTCTTCAGTCGTCTACCTGCGCTCCCAACGACGTACCATGTATCTGCGCAGATGCTACCTTACAAGCAACAGCTGGCGCCTGTGTACTGCAAACATGTAGCGTTGTTGATGCTCTAGGTATGTTATCTCTTCAGCCCAGCGCAGACGGTATATCTGACGATTCTTAGCGTCGAGAAATGCCTCCGCGACAATGTGCAACGAGCCTGTTCGCGATGTTCGCAAGATACCTGTCATCATGACTGCTGTATGCGGCAGCTTTGCTGTACTGTTCATAGGCGTGAGAGCGTTGGTGACTGATCAGACGAACGCGGTCGAGATGCTGTGTGTGCTTTTGGGATTTGTACGTTCTCTCTCTCTCTTTCAAAGGTTTAGGACGTGTAACGATTTCGGTGAGCTAACAATGGACACTCGGATGTAGCTCGCAGCCGTACCACTCGTTGTCATGGTAGCCTTCTACTACATCTATGGTCTGGGCAAAGACATATGGACACTCTCGCCACACTCTATCACAATGGTCATCAAGGTATGTGTCTCGCTCGCCCACCCTCTGCACAAGCCGTATTACGCCCTCAGTCCCTTGCTCGGTATACAACTAATCTGCTCCCACAGGCAATCTGGGTTGGCGAATTCTCTTACGTCACGACGCTCTGCTTCACACGCATGTCCTTCCTCTTCTTCTACCTACGCATCTTCCCACGCACCACTCTCCGGCGCCTCACTATCATCCTCATAGTCGTTAATACCCTACACGGGCTCTCGTTTGCCCTCGCAGTTATTTTCAACTGCAGGCCTATTTCGTTCACGTGGACGAAGTGGCGACAGGATGGGGAAGTGGGTTCATGCACGAATATCAACGCCGTTGCCTGGAGTCATGCCGCAACGACAATTGCGATGGATCTCTGTGTCATTGCATTACCGATGCCCGAATTATGGGGTTTGAGGGTTGGCAGGAAGAAGAAGATTAGTATAATGCTGCTCTTTGGAGTTGCGTTCTTGTACGTCTTCACCTCTCATCTGCACAACTTTCACTCTTTCCATCCGCTATCACATTTCCAACATCCTTCTTTCTCATATATTTGCCCTTTGCCCAGACAACGCTCACTAAACCATATAATGCAGTATCACAATTGTCTCCGTCTTGCGCCTCCAAGCTCTCGTCAGCTACTCCACATCCACAAACCCGACCTACGATAACACCGCCACAGTCTACTGGTCCGTCCTCGAAACCTACGTCTGTATAATATGCTCGTGCCTACCCTCCTTCCGCGCCTGGCTCAAACGCGTCGCTCCCGGTCTCGTGGAAAGTCGCCCCGCAAACAGCAGCTACGGCGCCAGCGGTGGCAAAAAGCGCTTTCCGAATAACTACCACCGACGCGACTACTCGCAGAGGGTCAGCTCGCGTGAGAACAGCAGCTGCGATAAGGGAATCTTGAAGACGGTGACAAATATAGTGACACGCGATGCGGAGAGTGAGATTGAGCTCGTCGATGTCGAGGAGCAGGGTTCCAGGAGCAAGGCCTTTGATGACAGGACGGTATGACGATCAGTTGAGACGAGGATGCGGCGCAGCTTTGCTCTGTGCGCCTGTACATGCTACCATATGAAGACATACGAAAAGGGAGGCTATTTTGCATTACGACTTTAATCCAGTGCTAAATCTGAGCGCTGAGCTTGGGAAAAAAGCGGGATGACCCGCGGCGCCGGATATGGAGTTTACTCAGGGAAGGAAGGCACTCATTCCAATGTTACGCCGCCGAGGAATTCTACGATATGTATTAGGGAACCACAAATACTAATAACCCCTCTTCATTCACACCTTGCTCTACCGACCGTCTCGACTAGGATACCCCGGCCTTGCGCAAGGCTGGCAATTGCAAAACGCCCTAATGCACCCCTGGTCCCAAAGGAATTTCAGTACACCCCTCAACTACGCAGCCCTACAGACCACATCAGCTGAGGAAATATCATCAGTAAGGGTCCTCGGGTCTCAGCCCTACTACCTAATCTAGTAGTACCAGCCGATACCCGTCACCGCAACCGGGAATTTAGATTTGAAAATCAAATCTTTCCAGGCACCGGACGGTCGGGTCGGGTCGATGAATAGTATTTCTACTCCAACGGAGGCTCTTCCAGAAGAAGGCATACAGGGGAGGATGCGGCGTATGGCATGCATTCTAGTTCGTGCTTTTACAAATACTTGATTGACATGGCTACTACCGTACATCATTTGTGAATTCACGATTGCTACGAGGTTTATTGAAATCCACAACACATACATGCTGGTCCCGTCCGGCTCTCCAGGAACAGACGTTGTTGTTACTAGCTAATATTATGCGACTCTGGTACCACCTCACGCAGACAAGGTCAAATGCACCATCCGCATCGAAACACCCGAAAACACGTTACGCCGCTATCACCCAATTCGATTTCTAAATCGAAGACGTGAAAGGAACAACAAGAAATGCATGTTAAAACCGAAAGAGAATCAGAAGTAGAAGCCACATCCAGCTGCGCGCGCAGATAAAACTCTAGTAGTATACAAGAACCTTCAAACCTCAAAGACAACGACCCAGAAAGGATCGTGGCGCATAGCACCCGTAGTCGTGATCATAATAAGTCGTCCGTCGTCAAATGCACCCGGTGCACATGCCAAGACAAATGCCTAGGTCAGCATAAGATGTCCGCGCAAAGGCACAACGCACTAAGCACGCTCAATATGCCTCTTCATCTTCCCAACCTGCTTCACTCCCTTCAACACGTACCATTTGACCTCCGTGCTCAGCATATGTCTCGCCGCGGTCTTCGACACTTCGTATTCCTTTGACTCGCTTCGCCTGGCCACCTGCTGGTGCAGGATAGCCCCCATCGGGCGTGAATCTCTTTCCACGACTCGCAGCCTGGCGCATCTTCGCATAGTAGGCGTCACTAGCATCGACCTCTGGCTCCGAGTTGTCATCATATGTTTCCCAATTTTCACTTCCTGACGCTGTAGTAGCAGCTGTATTGTTCGAAGATGACGAAATCTGGCGTGTACTAGAGACTGTTGACTGCGAGTACGTGTATGAGGGTGCATGAGAGGAGTAGTTGGAATACTGGTCGTCTTGGTGATGGGGCTGGTATTGGTGGCGTGGGTTATCATGGGAGTCGTGGCGGATCATTGAGGGTTGGTGGTGATGGTAGGCATTGCTGCCGCCGTATGGGTCCTCAGGCGCGATGTGACGTACAATGCTACCACTTCGCGGGTCCTCGAAATCGTGTGGTGTAGGTGAAGGTGCAGGAGGTGGAACGAAGAGGTCTTTCATTTTTGGCGGCGGAGCCCGCGGCGGGGCCATCTTTCGTATCGTTTGTGAGTCCGCTCTTGATGGTTGCGGACGCTCTGGAGAATTTCCACCATATGGCATCCCCTTCAGTGGTTGACGAGTTGTGCTAGTTGGTAGACGGGAAGGACTCTTATTCGTACTTCTGGCCTGAGCTGCTGCGGACACAGAGCTGGAGAAATTATTCCTCGTGACACTTGCACCTAACATGCTAATGTTCACGGGCGTTTTAGATCTGGTTGGTGGCGGTCCACGCATGGTACCAGCCCGACTAGGTGGTGCAGACTTTGCGGACTTCGCCTGCGGTGGTGGAGCTGACGGAGTCTTCGCTCGAGCTGGTGCTGGCTTCGACGATGTTGACTTCGCAGCAATAGAATCCAGGTATCGCTCACCATGAACCAAAAATGGGCGGCCATACTCATCTTCCCATCTTTCCAGGACCTTCTTGAGCTCTGCCTCAAGCTTTGGCAGTTCTCTCGAGATTCGTTTGCGCATTTTTTCTTCACGGAGCAGTTTGCCAGGGTCGCGCTTCTCTCCTTTGCTACCCTTAGCCATGAGACGAGACGCATCTTGACTTGAAGCTTGCAAATCATCTCGTTCCTGAACTAGGGTTCGGTGCCTGTCTATGAGCTCTAAAGTCGGAGCACGCTGTTCCCGCAGGGCTTCCAGACGTGCGATCTCATTTTCATGGGCAGATAGTAGTGCGTCACTATAAACATCTAGAGTAGACTATTAGTCTTTGCAAAAGTATTGTTTGGAAGATACTAACCAGAGAATGCGGGAGTAAAGTCCATCATTTCTTCCTCGGAAAAGTACAGGCCGTCCCATAGCTCCTGAAGCTTGTAACGAGCATCCTCAACGAATAGATGAAGGTTTTGTCGTTTCAGCTCGATTAGTTGTGCAAGTTCACTCTCGAATTCGTTGATAGTTCTTAAGCCACAGCCGCGGTTACTGGACAGGAACTGTTTTCTTTTCGACTCATCGTACTGGAGCTTCTCCCATAATACCTCAATCTGTGTTTTGAGGTCTTTGAGCCGGCGCTCACGAGCTCGTTTCTCGTCCACAAGCTTGTCTTTCTTCGCTTTCAATCGTTCGAGGTCGTCCTTGTGCAGACCTAACTGTTCAGGCGCGTCGCGTGCGTATTTGACGATTGTAGTGTCAGTCTGCGCCTGTGGCGTTCCCAGCTCAGCCCACAGCTTGATCATCTCATCGCATGTGCTTCGGACTACGTCGACGCGTCGTGTGTATTCTTCATACACTCTCGTGAACTCAACATCGACAGATTGTACGTAGGCAGGGGAGAGATCGAAAGTTGGTGGAACCACGGCGTTGGGCGAGGTAGGTGGTAGCTTTATCTTGATGAATGACGGTTCAAGATGTGCAGAATACGATTCGAGCGCTTCAACAAGTTCTATTGAGCATGTTAGCTCGTCCAATGTCAGATTAGTAGTTGCATACTCTTGACTTGCTCAAGGCGCTCCTTGTGTAGCTTATGAACAACGTTGTATTTCTCCTTTAGACCTTGTATGCATCGCATGAGCGGATATGTGACTTGTGTGCTTGCGGTGTCAACTGGATAAGCGTGATTTGGTTTTACGTCCTCGAGTGAGTCTTCCATTTGTTGTATAGTCGACACCAGACGGTGTGCTTCTTCGGTGAGCTCATGCTTCTCACTGCAGAGTGATTAGTGCGGCCTTGCCCATCAGCTCGAAGCGTACCCACTTTGTGACGATCTTGAGTTGGTTATGTAGAGTTTCGGAAAGCGCAGAGAAGAGCTGCACAGAACTTTAGCATTTCTTCATTTCCTCCAGAGTCTAGGGGTAGTACCTCAGCTTCTCGAGAATCTCTTTCGTGGCTTGGTACACCAATATCATCGAACAGACCATGGAGCTGTCCAATGATGGTGGTAACTTGTTGAGCAAGATAGCTAGTGTCCATTGTTGATATGCCCCAACGGCGCACGAGATGTGTTTTAGACGATCATGCAAAATCTTGCATGCAAGGCGGGAAAGCTTGTCGAAGTCGCAAGAGTCGCAACGAAAACTGTGCGGCGTCGCAGTCTCAGAACCAGAAGCCCTTTTTAGAGCCTTGAGCCCGAACGTGCAGCGGAATGAATGGCAGATGGCGGAGAAAACAGATATGGTAGTGATGTTGAATGGGAGATTCGGTGCGGTGGTACCTCAAGCTATAACGCGCGTTTAGCTGTACATCATCGCGATTCTGCAATGTTATGAGTTCCGTTGCCCTCGAAACCGATTGGCGCTATCCCAAACTCGACTTGGTTTCAAGCCCACGTGCACGTCAACGACACTAAGGCAATTTGGTGCATACGGTAGCCACATATTTAGGTACGTTTCGAGGAACTTCAGATGAAACATACAGCACACCAAGTCCGCGGTAAGTGGGCACGCGTTTTATATAGGGTATTTCATTTGTCGTTATTCTATCGACATGCCCTCCATGTTGACCATAGCTACAGAGCTTCGAACGAATTAACACCGTGTGGTAGAGACTACCAAGTCGTCCAGGGATATGATGATGGAGTTGTGAAAAGCTCAAGGGGATATACATGATGGTGAATCTTCGATGCTCGTAATTGCTCATGACCAAAAATGGTCCAAGGAATTTCTCTCGTTTTGGTCCGTTCGTGAAGCTGCGAGATTTGGGGATTATGAGGCGAAAGAGGGCATGGCGGCGGTAAGGTGTGTACGGCTTCTCAGCTCTTCTGAAAGACACGTACCAAGACAGACCCGACTTCGCTTGAGACAGGTATGTATACGGCAACATGTACGCGTAATATGCCAATGATATCCCCATTGTAAGGGATGTCTTCGACCTTCATTTGTGCCGCATCACATGTCCATGGACTCACCACCGTTGGCAAAGTTCAGCTGCTGAGTTTGCTGCTGGGCGCCGAAGCCAAAAGATCCATCTTGTCCTTGTTGAGGGGCGAGCTCGTTCATATCACCACCAGCATCCTCCTCATCAGAGAAGTACTTCTCGATGATATTGTAAGCCTTCATATAGATTTCTTCGTTTGCGTTGTTCTGGCAGTCATGGATCTTCTCCATACCGCCAACCTCTTCAATAAATAGAGCATAACGATTGATTGATTCAGCAGTGGCTTCCGCAGAGTCCTTATCCATCTCACCGACCTTAAGGATATTCTCAAGGCCATCGAGTGCAACTTGGATGATCTTGTTATCGGGGCAAGCTAGAAGATCGCAAAGTGGTTTGATGCAGCCACTTGAAACTAGGTAGCGGATTTGCTCTGGCTTATGGAGGCCACCAGAAGTGGCGTTGGAGATGGCCCAACATGCTTCCTTGCGAGTCTTGAAATCGCCGTTCTGGAGAAGATGAACGAGGGGAGGAATGATATTAGCATCGATGACAGCTTGAATCTGTGTAGAATTTCCAGCGGTAATATTAGAAATCGTCCAGCAAGCCTCCTTACGAATGCCATCCTTTGTAGAACTCAGAAGCGAAAGTAGAGCAGGAAGAGATCCGCAGTTGATAATAACTTGTGTTTGGACATCATCTCCGGTAACAATGTTGCCGACGGAGCGCAGAGCGGGGGTCTGGACAGAAGTTGAAGCATGCATCAACAGCTCTACAAGACGACGGGGAATACCGGCTTCAATAACAGCCTGGATTTTATCGTTGGCTCCATCAGACAGATATGAAATAGCCCAGCAAGCATCGATGAGCACCTCGTCGTCGAGCGAGTACACCAGCTTTGACAGCACAGGTAGTGCAGGCTGAATGGTGTGCCAATCGGGCTGTGGAGTTTTGCCACGGCAAAAGTTGCTCAAGGTCCATGTCGCATTACGAAGCATGCTCAACTTGCGGCTGTCTCCGAGCAGTGCGAGTAAAGGTCGCAGAGCACCTTGCGCGAGGACAAAGTCCCTGCAGGTAGGGCTGTCACCGGCAATGTTACCAAGTGCCCATACTGCTTGCTCTCTAACGTCTGGCTCATGGCTGCTGAGCAACTCTACGAATATTGGCACTGCACCTGCTTCGATAACCACCTGTGTTTGTTGAGCTGATCCAGAAGCGATGTTGGTCAGAGCCCATGCGGCCTCAAATTGTACGAGAGTGTGGGGTGAGCGCAAGAATTCAACAAATCTGCTGACTACACCGGTCTCAATGACACGCTCGATTGGGGGGTTGCGCTCCTTCGAGAGGAGTTTTCGAAACTTTGTTGTTGCTTGGATTTGTTCATCGATCTGTTCAGAGAAAACGCCCTTCACCATCTGAGGGAGTTCCTCATTAAGCTATATAGCTCAGGGTTAGCCATGTTCTACAATGTAGGAAATGTGGACCAAGTGTGGGTCGGGGTTGTTGGGTGTCACTACGAACTCCTGAACTTTAAGGCTGAAGTGAGCCAGTGGTTCACCTAGCAACACAGTACCAGAGGCGTTCTCGAGCTGCAAAAATTTGCAAGGCCATGACGATTTTGACGATAGATTGATTGTCGTATTCCACAGCACAGGAGAGCTGAAGTAGAAGTGAGTCACTTACCTGACTTTCAATGTTGCCGCCCTCTTCGTCGCTGTCGGGAGCAGCCCCTAGTGAGGCGCCTGGGGCATCACCCTCACGAGTAGTAATACCACGACGTTTTGCGAGGCCTTCTTCTCTCTTTGCCTTTCTGATCTCGACTTGTTGCTCCTCACGGCGTCTACGCAGCTCTTCAGGCTTAAAGGCGTTCTTTGCCTTAAAGCCCATGCGACGATGTTCGGGGATGAAGCGGTTCTCCATTGTACTGAAGCTGCGTTATGAATGTCTTACTGGGGAGTATAATTCTTCGTATGTTTGATACACCCTGTACGAACGGGAAGAAGCGAATGGTGGTGGAGAGAGTGTAGTAGAGGGTATGAGAGAAGAAATATGGATGGACAGGAATAGAGCCAAAGGTCGAGCGGGTGTGCCGCTAACGGCGGGGCGACCTCCTTTGACTAATCTGCGCTAACTAAACGGGGTGACGCACATAACGATCACGAACATATGATTGTTTGATTATTATTGTCCGCAAGTGAAAGCTGTTCCTTTACCTTCGCCCAAGACTAGGAGTCCGGAATGTAAACAGTACTCCATTCCTTATCTTTCAGAGTGACGGCTAGTCAACCTTTGCATAGGAATAACTCTCAACCGCTCTTGTTTCCTTGCTGTATTCGGACGACGCGCTTTTTGTGGACGCGTAGCGCGTTTGTGGCCATACCAGCTGGAATCTGAGGATGTTTGGCCATACTTGGAGACCTTGATGTACAAATATCGCGTGCTTGTAGTCGATTCGGGGCTCTTTCGGGCTCTTGCTAGATTCCCACGCTGACTTCACCCCTCTCATCGAACGTACAGTGGATCTAGTCACGTGCTTAGGGCTTGCCTTCTAAGGCGCCATGGCAGACGATTTGAGCCCACCAACTGGCTTTGTTACAATCGATCAGGCCACTAATCGGTCTTCTAACCAGTTTCTTGTAAACATCATCGGCATAATAACGGATCGAAATGTTGGAACTACTCGGACGGGTGGTAAGCAACTTTCTTGGTGCACCGTGGTAGACACTGACAGCCTATACTATAGACTTTGTCCTCACCTTCAATGTCTGGGACACAACTGCGCAAGACATCTACGGTCTCAAGGTCAGAGGCTTCTTGAAGCCTGATAAGACGCCCGAGTTGTGTAAAGGAGATGTTATCATGCTCACCCAGATAAAGGTATACTAATTCATTCATCGAAGGTGTGAGCTAACACTTTTCAGAAAAACAGCAATGTGCAATATGGTCTGACTTATATGTTCAACTATGGAGTATCTATGGCAGTGGTCTTTCCGAAAGCATCCCTTCCAGATCCGAAGCGAAGAGCAGACATCGCCCGTGGGGTCACGAGAGTGACATATAAGACAGCTATTGGCGGACCCATGCACGTCAAACTGCCACCTCTTTCGGAGGTACAACTGTACGTTTTCGATCTGGCCTTACGACGTAGCGAAACCTCTGTTACAGACTATCGATTTCCATCTCCCGCTCAGACCCATGCACACTCATCTAATACTCTCTCTCGGGCTACATCAAACCTCCCGTCTCAGGGACACCAGTCATCCAGGGAGATGTGGCCAGCCATTCATGGCATGCCAGCAACAACTGCTAGTATTTCAACTGTTAGGAATAATGAACGGACTTCTATCAGTGCGGGGACCACGAAGACTAACATGAAATTTCGGTTACTGAAGGATCTCAGGTTGGATCAGTATGCCGACTTGACTGTGGAAATCGTGAAAATATTTCCTCGGACACATAGAGAAGGTGCGGATCTGTACGCTACGGATTACACCTCTAATAGCATGCTGTTCGACTACCTGTCCCCGGAAGAAGAAACAGCGCTCCACGGGGGAGACCGAGATCTCCAGGACTACGGGATTGGCCCTAAAAAAGGCTGGCATGGACCTTTGGGCCAATACACTATCTGTGTAGATGTTTGGCCACCACATTCGAATGCTCTTATACACAACTTTCGCGAGGGTGACATCTGCTTTCTCAAAAATGTCAAAACTAAGATATCACAAGAAAACAAACTTGAGGCACGCATGTCCGAAGACTATATCAGTAAAGACCAAATCAATGTCCGCCGTCTCAATCACGAACATGAACTTGTCAGACGTCTATTCCAACGCAAGGACGACTATAACCGACAGCAAACTGTGAACCCCGTCCCGCACAAGACGAGACAGCAGAAGAAAAAGGTGAGGAGGGCTCACCAGGCAAGAGAGGAAGAGGAGCGACGAGCGCTCGAAGAAAACGAGTCTCGTCGTTTGGACGACACCAACTATCTTCCCAAATCCCTTCAGAATAACGAACCAGAGTCCTCGCCACCTCTCAAACTCCTTTCGAATCAGAACATCGTCGCCTCATACCCTTCCCAACAGTATACCTCCGCAGCCGACATCATTAATAGCCCACATCTCAACGCACCGCTTTCTCCCGACTCGGATCCATCCACCACCCCTAAGTCCCTCCCTTTCACAAACGCGCGCTACCGCACCCTGCTTCGAGTCATAGATTTCTACCCGTCTACCCTCGCCGACTTCTCTCACTGCCTCTCCGATCCATCATACAACCCACCCACTGCCTGCGACACCTCCGATAACGACGTAGACACTGAATACCAAACACAAACACTCTCCCAGCACGGCCGTCGGAACTGGGAATGGGCTTTCGCGCTCCGCGTCGAAGACGCTCTACCGCCCACCAATCCCCAACCCAGCAACTCACAACACAAACCTGCGCAGTTCACACTCATCGTGCCGCCCAAATCAGCCGAATTCCTCCTGAAAGTGACGGCATGTGACCTACGGGCTGACAAGAGAGCCTTGGCCGAGCTGAGAGAAAAGCTGTTCATCCTATGGGGTGATCTGGAGGAGATCAAGCGCGAGGACGGTATGGAGGGCGCACCGACGGATTACCGTCCGAAGAACCAGCCGTTTGAGGCGTGCGTGGTGGAATATGCAACGCCGGACGCGTATCCCGAGAGTGGCTGGGCCAGGCAGTGGGCGCTAGTTGAGACGACTATTAAGTGAAATAAACGGTGTGTTTACGTGGCGAGAGTTGCGGCTGCATACTCGTACGGCGCGAGCACTTCTGTCGTCGGTACTAAGAGCTCGCCACATAACGCGTGAGTGGTGGTAGAGAGGCCGTTTCTGAGCATTGGGTAACGATGTATATGCTGCTACGCTGCCACACAAAACGCGAGCAAGCCAGCATTCTACCACATTCCTTGAGAAGGCACATATTCCAGCCTAGGGGATATCCACGCCATATACAACTCTCTGCCATCATTTTCCACAGACCTGTCCCTTTCTCTCTCCGCACAGGCCAAGCAAACAAACACAATGTCGAACAGCGGCAAAATCACACAGCACCGCAAAATCCTCTCTCCTATCTACTCTCTCATCAATCCCACCCAACCACACAGATAAATATAGGCTAACCTACACACACACGCACACCACCCCCAAAACAGCTCTTAATTTCGCCGCAACCTTACAAAACATACAATTGGTATATTTCAGAGATATTAAATCCTCTTATATTGCGTATTAGCCGGTATATTGATTACACAGCTTCATCCATTCGTGACGTAGTGATGTTGTGGGCTGTAAGGGCATGCCAGGTGGATGATTGGGGTCTCCCTACCTCCTCATGTGCCGTACTTTGCGCGTGTCATTTCCCATCATAATACCTGCCAGGCGCTCACATCGATGAAAATGAATACAGTAAATGCATGCTTTTCACATTGTAGAGCGCCTTGTAGTGTCGGACGAACCATGATGCGAGACTCTCGATGGGCTTGAGTTCGTAGCAGTTGACGAACGATAATATCTTGTCTATGTAACATCGATCCTAGGACACACAATGAAGAACCCTTTTTCGCGTAATGATTGCTAGAGCATAGCATGTGCATACATAAAGGTCTAGTGCTTACATGCCATTTTATATACAACATGCTAGGGATATATGGAGCTACAAAAGTCGAGAACAACTAACACGGAATGATTGTCATCAATCATATGATTGCATAGATTTCAGTACCACGTAGGGTTGTACCGAAGGATACATAGAAGGAATGCATTCAAGCAGCAGCAATTATCGTACGATGAAGTATATTTCCTCTCTTGATAGGAAGTGTTCTCTTCCTAGGATAGAACCGATGCTTCGATAGTATTGTCTTGCATAGAATCGTGTTTCAGCGCGCCAAGACTTCAGTGAATGAGGCCTGTAAATAGGGAATATCCAGGACTGCCCACCTAGACAGGACGTATGCCAAAGGTGCACAGTAAAGGGAAATACATGGCAATGGGGACATACTTTTCGTCGAGCGCAGGCGTGGGAAGTTGACGGCGGCTACGTACGTACAACGGAGCTTTCAAATCTTTGGAAATGTTATATGTTATATTTTATATGTTGTACGTTGTACGCTTTGGGCAGAAGGTGTGAGAGGAGCTTTGTGGTTTGGTTCGGGTTGGTCTGGATTTATGGTTGAGTGAGTGGAGAACGGGACGGACGTTCTTGAAGCTGCAGGTGGATAGTTGAACATTGTTTGATTGTTAGAAGGGTGGGTTATACTATCCGTGGGTACATCCCACTATCGACTGACATGTATGTTGACAGCGGGCTTGGCAATAACATTTGAGAGGGTGCTTCGACCCCGCAATACTTTCATGAGTAGTGTGCGGCCCGGGATATTACCTGTTATCTATTATAAGATCTACCAGTCACAATCAGAGTGTAAACCTTGATATAGCTCTGATAGCTACATCGTATCAATCAGTTAGTCTAGCTGAGACTTCGGAGGACATGAAATGAGATCTGGCACTTCGCGTGATTCCGAAATGCAATGTGTCTCATGGACACATATATATACATCTGCATATCGCCGACCAATCAGGAGCGGACTGATGTGAAACCTTATTTAAGCGATACGGTTCCGATGCCATAGCGATTGGTTGGTGGTGCCGTTGGCATGATTTCTCACCTTATCAGCACGTCAGGTGATGGTGCACGAAAGAGTGCGTAGGCTCGGCCGGAGACAGAGTTGAACCATGGGACGAAAAGATCCGGACCGTGTGAAGATGGCAGCTCGTGCCAGACGCCCAGTTTGGTCACGAGACGCGTAATGCGGAGCTGTACTCAGTCTGTCTATCGTCGGCCAGTTGCGCCGTGCGCCTAGAGATCTGAGAGACCTAGTTAGTCGGCATGAATTTGTTCTTCTGTATGGAAAACTCAAGAGTCAAGACCAGTCCTCGTGACAGCCCAAGCTCGGTTATGTCTAATGGTTAGTAGTGCATATCTAACGAGTATGACGCATGCAAGTCTCTGTTGGTACGAGCACTTTGCTCATGTCTCATAATGCAGATGCGTATTAGCGCATTCATAATTGGTTACAATTCACAGGTCAGAGCGCGATCGATGGAAAGCGACCAGAAAAAAAGACGATCAAATTTGCACCATGGTCGGTGGACCGAGAAATTCCTCAGTGTCGTGGCCAAGACACCATAGGGCAGAAGTGCATCATCGGTAAGATTTTTGGTACCCATAAAGACACCGAAGGAGCTCCAGCAAACAGACGCAATGATAGTATGTATGCCTTGCCAGCGGATCAAGCGCACACAAGAAGAAAGCAAAATTCTCTCGCCCCCTGTAAACACCAGAGATTATGGCGCAAATGCAATGAGTTGTCCATGTAACGTGTCTTGTAGCGCAAACAATGATTGGGGATTGGTATTCTCCGAGCTGCAACTGACTGCAAGAGCCCTGAGCAGTGCACGTATTGTGTACTGTGTGATGATGTTTGACCGAAAAACGACTGCGAGTAGTAATGGAATTTAGGGCCTGTAACGAACGATTCCCATTGATAATAGTGTTGTGATTAGTTGTGACTGGACTTGACTAGAAGTCTAGGACGAGTGCTACCGAGCAGCAATGACGTGAAGGTGACGGTGCATATCATTGTAAGAAGGTGTAGTTCAATAAGTCTACCACATCGTTTGGCGTTGTCTGTAGACAGCATAATCAGGCACGCAAGCATCTCCAGGAATCCATGGATCCATGGACAGATGGGGATGGGCAACAAGAATGCAACAGGGTACGGAAGATAACGGCAAAGTGTGGGGTGTAGTGTGCCAGATGATGGTGTTGTGCAGCGACAGCGAGGTTCGGGTTCGTCAGAGATAAGAAAATAATGCTGAAGAGAAGCTCGTGACCTGTGAGACCGGAGCAATGAGGATTGGTTGGATGGATAACATAGGTGTACTCTGTTCGATCACCTCAGTGTTTTGCAGCGCCAAGCTCTCTGCTGACCGAAGACGACGAATATTTCCGAATTCTCTGTTCAATTCGTTGCAGATACTTGTCCGTATTCGTACATGACAGCAGCAGACAAGCAGACTGTCAGCCAGCCATGATGAACATTAGTAGCATGTAGAGAGAGTTGACAGTTGAGCGGTGACTTCTTTGACCGCGATGCATGTCATTATCGGTGAAGAAGCACGGCGGACATGTCACCGCGCGCGGGAGACGGGTAAGGAGAGAGCAACCCGGTCCGCCGTACGTTCCTGCCATGGATGACCTGGTTAGTGATACCTTAGATGTTGCTCAGGGTCTGTTGAACCTGATGCTCTCTGACTCTTGACTCTGACTCTAGATCTCTTGTTTGACCCTGGGATAGTTCACCAACGCCGTTGACATAGAGACAGCCATGGCTGTTTTCTCATCATACCTGAAGACATATTCGCTAACCAACACATTAGGTATTCGCGCTCGTCCACGCCTACATAGGTAGCTTCTCCAGCTCACAGCGCCGGAAGCGAGTGTCAAGTGTGTGTCTCTGGGACTGGGACGCGCGTGGCCACCAGTGCCAGTGCCGGTCAAGCGTGGACGCTCCCAAACTTCCAACTGCAGCCTGCCGCTGACACCGGAGGACCTTTCTGGTGGCTTATCGTCTGCTTTCTGCAGGTGAAACGTGGCCGTGGTACTCGCAACGGTTGCAGGCAGATGGAGATAGTGACTACCTTCTTGTTGCAGCCCAAGGGCCCGGCGGTAAAATCACAGCAGAGTGGGTGGAGAAAAGGACAAATAAGAAAACATGCAAAAGGAATGGGCTTAGAATGCGTAGGACGAGGGTAATGATGATAATAGCCTGGGTGCTAGATAGGGTATTAGATTCTAGCAGATGGAACCTAATATGTGCAGTTGAGAGAACGCTCAAGCCGACCTTCCAGCCAAGGCCAGACCAGCGAGACCAGCGAGACCAGCGCCGGCGGACTCAGCTTGCGCCAGCACACGCGACAGTCAATCAGGGCTTAGTCGCGCTTAGGTAGCTGAGTAGCTGCAGTCACAGCCCCGGCATTAGCCATCACCACCCACCTATTAACCCTACGTAACCTTACTTTAGCTATGAGGTCGCCCAGGGCTGCCCAGCCGCTCCACCCACCCTAAACTGCAGGTGGACACGGGCGATGCAATGGGGGTCCCTCGATTACTGCCACCACCCACTGGCCACGCTCTCAGCTTATCTGCGTCACAGCCTATTCGCTGTCCCCCATCTCCCCCCCCCCCAAAAACTCTTGCCATCCCTGCCTGGTCGTATGTGCATGGATCCTCCCAATCCTCATCCTCTTCACTTATCCTTCTTTCTCATCCTCCATTCGCACAGACTCATATACACGCACACACACAGATAAACTAATATCTGCGTCTGCATCTTATTCTTGTCTTGCCTAAAGACACCTCCACGCCCGTTGTATTCCGCGCTCTGCTTAGTATGCTTCCGATAAGCTGCTGCCTCACTCTGCCCCGTGTCCCTTCCTGTCACTATATGCCGTTTATATCGCCCCCGGCCGACGGAGGCTAGACATTATACATCCTTTCCTCCATTGCTGCTCTCAAGCCACATCCTATACTTTGCCTTGGCTGTCGCCTTCACCTCACCTCACCTCATCTCACGCTCGTTCACTCAACCCTTCATATTCTACATCCACCATCACTCAGAACACCGGCTCTCGACTGCCATATGCACATATCACAGATCCCTGCGACCATAATCCACAGTGCCCACCCCACGTATGCCATCATCATACTGCTATCTTTCAGCCCATTCGGCCCCTCGCATAACGTCCATATCCACTCGATCTAAGGACGACCGCTTCCTAGCACGACTTGCGCTATCCCATATCTGATGCTCAGCATGCTGGTACCCCGGAGTTTCAAACACGTTCAACGTCGACCTTCAGATCGGGTGCTCAGCGACGAGAAGGGCCCAATGAAAGCAAACCGTTCAAGAACGCAGTCACCTAAAAAGATAATTCCACTAGATAAGCAGGATGTCATGGCCCAACAAGACGAGCGACCACGAACGCCTCCCATTGCCGTGCCTCAACGGAAACCCTCTATGCCATCCATGGCAGTTCCACAGCGTTCAGGACTTCATGGACCTGCCACGACTCAAAGCACGAGAATCAAAGGTCACCACGTTGATCGACCATCTACCATGCCCCGGAACCATCGATCAGATGGTGTCCCTCCTGCTGTTGCAGCCCTTCTCGCCGTCACATCCATTCCTCTCCGACCGCATCGCCCGTCTCGCAAACGTACCACACCTTCCGACCGGAAAATATCCATAGATGAGCTAGTAGAAGAATGGAGGAAAGATAACGAGAAGACACCTTCGTTCAAGAATGGCTCACCCATGGATGTACTGCTAGAAAGAACCGAGGATGGAGAGAACGACGACATTCTTAGCCTCGATTCAGGCAGTGAGAAAGAATCGCGGACGGTATCATCACGATCCATTTCTAGCGACTCTTTGAACTCAATACCTTCTCTGGATGCAGACACGCAGTCTCTGTCATCTTGGGGCACCGCGAATCCCGCAACACCACAGTCTATGCGTCGAGAGAAGAGCGTATCATCACCACCCAAAGAAGACTGCGTACTTGATCATCCTCTGTTACACTACAACCTAGACGAATACTCGGCCACAATCGAAATCGACGAGTCCGAGCTCGCGAATGTATCACACAAGCCAGTCAAGGCTCGATCCAGTTTCAAATCCAACCTAACAGCATCCTTACAGGCTCTCAAATCAGCCGCCAAATCATTCTCTAACTTCACCGCACCTTCAATACCACCAGAAGATCTCCTCACGCGATCAATTCTATACCCTGGCTTCACTTCTGAAATGCGCCCGAAGCTATCAGAAGGCGTTCCAACTGCTGCTCTCCGCCGATATCTCAATCCGCTCTCCCCGACCGAGCTCTCAATGCAAATACACGAGACAAATGACCCTTCCATCTATGAAGCTCCTATGATACAGCTGCAGACCTATGATCGTCGAGGCCGCAGTAAAGGTCGCCGACGCGGTACAGTGGATCCTCGAGCCGATGCAGGCCGTGCACTATCCTCCGACCCAACGGTCCGCCAACGTGAACCCCGCGAGAACGGAGATTTTCTACGTGTCATCGTACTAGAGATGAACATGCGCCGCGAGGGAAAGCTCGATACCAAAGCTGTTGGCAAAGCTCGCATCTGGCTCCCACCACGCAAAACCGAATCTACGGAAACGGTGCAGCTGACGAAAGGTTTCTCCATACCATCTAGGTGGGTTGGAGTGGGCATAGATGATGTGTGAGGGTGGAGCATGCATCACCGTTTATGCAACAAAGTTCATGACACATGGTATCCACCGACCTGACAGAGCAAGAATAGAGCAGCCGAACGCCACAACACGAATTGCCAGGAAGCGCGCCGCCTGTGTCGCCGCTGATCTGCAGCTATTTGAAAATCCTGTCCCACTGCAACATTCTCGCCATCTTTCGGAAGGGTTTCTGTGGGCATGCCTGAGGTTGATCGGCTCCACCCGTGCCGTGTTGCCGGGGATAAAGCAAGTGGTGGCTACTGGTCGATATTACGTGGATCTTATGACGAGCTTGTTATTTGATGAATAGAACTCCGAAGTTGATCCATCCTTGCGCAAGACATGATAGCATAGTACACCTGACAAAGGTCACGAGCACCGATGTTACGACACCCTGCACGTGAGCTCCAAGACCTGCACTCAAACGATCCAGCCAACGATCCCCTGCCACGCTCGCCCGTCAACTATTACATCGCCACAAACCAAAGCATCTCTTCCCCACAATTGTAGCCATACACAGCACCATTCGACCAAATTGATATGCCGATGCCTAAAAGCTTTGAAGAAAGAAGAGCAAAATTCGAGAAGCTAAGTCGTGGCAATTAGGTTTGTCCTCGCGCGCGTACCTGGTGCGTACACTAGCGCACTCATGGATGGGCCCGCCCCCGCGCGTAAACCTATCCATATTCCTGGAAGGATCTCTTGTTAGCCCCGAGGGCCATGGCAGCCCAGTCAGCCCTTTATGCCACGAGCTCGTCTTGTCTACCATGTTATGACAGCACACATACCCATCCTGGATACTCATCCCGACCGATTGGATGGACAGCCCGGCTCGTTGGGCCAGCGCGTGCTGCGCGTCTTCCAGCATTACGGGAACGAAGCGCCTTTGAGGTAGGCACGCGACACATGATTTTCGAAACATGCTATCTTTCCTCTGCCTTACCCTCGCCACGCTCCTTCAGTAATTTAACAGAGTACTAGTCGGCGCATGGAACTGGACTGGGAGGTTCGGTTCGATTGATGACGAGGCATTTCACCGAGCCTTTTGGATGGCCGAGTGGATAAGGGTGAGGTTGTATTGAGGTATATCCTTGGTTCGCATGTGCGTGGGTATGGGTTCATCATGGATAGAGCAGGGTAGAACACAATTAGATCAGTCCGAACTGGTGGGACTTGCTCCATTTTCTCTGCAGCCAACGCGGAACAGGGGGGAGGAAAGGAATTGGGGGGGATGTGGACAGCACGGTACCTGAGTATCGACATCTCGATATGCAGTCGCTGATCGAAGGCGAGGACGAGGAGGAAGTGGGAGACGAGGACACATATATCGAGTGCGTGCGATTTGAATGATTGATTATGGATGTTTGGATGAATGAATGGTTGAACGTTTCAATGAATGAACGAATGAATAGATAGTATCAGTAGTATACGATATGAGTACTTAGATGTTAGAGCGATGAAGTTGGGAAAGAATATATTAAGTAGTACTAATTAGTATAAGGAGGTATTGATGTGATTGATCTACTCGTGTGTAGTTCCGTTAATGTTGTTTCCTTGAAGATGTATGTGTGTGATCATACCTTGCCGTCGTCGTCATCGCTTGCTATGTGGTTGTGTGGTATGTATATATGTTATTCGACGGGGTTTTGAATTATTGGCTATGGATGGATGCCGATGAGTATGGATGGACGAATTTATGTATAGTGCTTCATACACATACATACATTATATATATATCCACTTCCATGATTAATACCACATAATACCACATCACATCACATCGAATTGCACCACCATGTCCTGTCTATAACCTGCCTCTCCATCCACTTCTCCCTCGTAATGGCACTTTCTTTCTTTCCTTCCTTCTTTCCTTCCTTCCTTCCTTCCTTCCTTCCTTCCTTCTTTCCTTCCTTATCCTAAGCTCCCCACATCTCATGCCTACATATACGTCATCCCCAACCCAACCAAGCTACCAAGCACCTACCATATACCAAATACAAAGAGCTAAACCCAAACGCCTATCATACATACATACATATCTACACATCAAAACAAGAAGCAGTAAGGGCCTGGATGTTGGAAGAATGATAGCTAAGGGCCCATAGGAGCTGGGGTGGATATAATTGAGATGTGGTGGAGGGCTGGCTGGGTATGGCAGTCCTATAGCGATGATGGGTAGATATGCTTGGGAGTTGTGTATGTGTAGACTGTGTTCCAGCTTTGGGGACGCGGTAGCCCTACTGTCAGATGTGTGTATCTGAGTATGTGTACTGGGGTATACTAATTGTTCACTGCTTGACCTGACCACCTAACGCACGAGAAAGGTGACTTGATGGGCAATTTGGATGCACTAGACTTATATAGAACGGCTAATACTTATAATTAGCCCTATGGGACCTGATTTACGGATGAATCAAGGAGGAGGACTATCTAGACACGCGCAATGGATAAGGATAGATTTGAGAGCGATTACGCAACTGCGTATACCAGACTCATCATCGATCAATGTCGTTCCCAACGTTAGTAATGTGCTTGATATCCTCCAACCCAAGAATAGACCAGCAATAGGTCATACTGGAATCGTATACTGCATAGCCTTATGACCGAAAATTTGAAGATGAATAATCAAAGTGTAACATCAGATGCGAGAACTTTATCCTACAGATTTTTACATGTGTCTGTGGCTCCGGCAGCAGTCTGTCTACCAATGCGCCGTCAACACCCCAGTAAATACAAAATCTAACATGAAGTATATAAGATAACCTTCCCGAAGTAGGTTCGAAACTGACCGTGATATCGCAGTCCCGGATCTTGACAACAGAAGAATCGCTAAAATTTATGCTACTTTTCCGTGAAAGCGTGTAATTGCTGCGCTTGCGTTTGGCCCAAGCCGATTGTCATTGGCCTTCCGTGTAAAGCTGTACTGCTGGCTCCCGGTAAGTGAGTTCGTGCCTCAGAAAAGAACTAGTCGGCAGGACGGGTGTCACTCGAAATGTAACTATAAGATTTGATCGAAGACCATGAGGGAGTGTACGAGACCCGGCTGAAGTACAGAGGCTTGTAGTCGACGGCGGCTGGAAGGTTGATAGAGCGGAAGAGGAACACTGCAAGCTTTACTACGCCCTTGCACTGACGAGTGGGTCATTCTTGTTATGACAGCATTAGAAGTCTGGCCATATGAGTAGGTTAGGTAGAGAGTTTATTTCGGCCTGAATCCTACTCTGCATCCAATTGATCACCTGGTGTACTTATGCATTGCCACATTCATGCATGATGTTCACAGAATAGACCTTGTCAGTCTGGTAGATAACGCGTTTGAGAGCAAGCCTTGTATGCTGCTCTGTCGGATTTAATTCTAAGCGTTATATGGATTGGTCTTGTAAGTGAACTGAGAATGCCGCTCAAGGCAGGCGGAAGGGGAAATAGCCATGTATACTCGAGTGTATGTAGACTGATAATACAGCAGTGAATGCTAACTCTGCGAAAGATCCTATGTTAGTTCAATTGCATACCCAGACGCTGAGAAGCAGACTTCCGTGATCTTTCGTGATGTAATAAGATCTGACGCCCATACTCCAGCACGTAATCCCATCTTTCTGGCAGAAAGACCTCATGCTCCGCAGCCCACTTCAAGCCTAGCCCTGTCTGGTACTTTTGTTCCCTTCTCGATACCTGTAGCCCCCTTCGCGCCGACCGCTTGCCCTTTGGTCTCGGCGAATTCCATGCTTCGTTCCACAGCTGGGTTCTCACTCCAGAATTCATCCCTTATAGGATGGATCATCACTGTCTGTCCAGAAATAGTCAAGATAGAATTCGTAGGGACGGTCACCCAATTATCGCGCTCGAATGTAAGCGGCTCAGACGCAACCAGAACGATATCAGCACCACGATCCAGGCGAGACATGCGATAGGATGTCTGGCCATATGTGGCCGGCTGGCTTCGAGGATGAATTTGTGCACGGTTTGCATCGTCGTTCTTCACTTGAGCTTCTTGATCAGTTGACTTTGGTACGGGAGACCACGATGTGCCAGAGGAGAAGAATAACGAGGCAGGCTCATCAGTCTTGGAGCTCACATAGCGCGTGCATACCACGCATGCGCCGTCCGTGACTGCAAAGTTGAGAAGACTCCTCGTGTCCTCCGGGCGCTGATCTTCAGGAATCTCTGCGATAAGCTTGTTGATACGCTCGATGGTTTTCAGCATGGCTTTCCGCAGTACACTATGTCCGAAGCCGTTCTCTCCTAGCTCTGTGTTTGGGCTGTGTCCCATCCTGTCCATACTATCCAGAAACAGCGCGAATGCCCACTCGCTGTCTGTACTTCCTTGAACACCCATGAACCACTCGTCTTTTACGCTCATCGCTAGTCTTCTCTTGACATGTTTCCATGCTCCTATACCGCCATTATGCATCCACATAAGAGATCCATGCCGGAAAGGATGGCAATTGCTGTCCGACAAATTGCCTTCGGTTGTGGCACGGACATGCGCGAAGATCAGATTTGAGGCGGTCTTCGCAGCAAGTCGTTCAAGATTGATACAGTTCCACGCAGGGATCGTCGAAGTGAAGATGCAAGGTTCCGGGCCTAGAGCGGGGTCTGTATAGTATCCGACCCCGAAGCCATCGCCGTTGTGAGGCCGACGATAGTCCTGTCAGAGTGCGTCAGGATGGAGCTTGAGGAGAAGCTAACAAGTCAAGTAGCCGCAGCGAGGCTCTGATGTGGAGATTGACTTACGAGCCGCAGGCGTGAGTCGTAGGACTGCGTGAGTATCGAGTGGGTTGGGTCTAAAATCAGTTTCGAGAGGAGGATCTCGTCTTTGCCTTTATAGACCTTGTCCAGACATTATTTGAGAGCTCGCGAATCGTCGTTGGTATGCTATACTAACCAGAAATCTACACATATCTGAGCATCTATCTGTCCAGAGGTATGTGGAAGCGGACGACACGATTGTGAGTGAATTGTCTACGAGTTGATGGAACCCAGGGTTCCTTTGTGCGGTGAGCTACACAGGAGCGAAATGACGCAATTTGGAGGCTTGTTTCGTGAAACTTGTTGACATGGATACACTCCCTATGAGAACACGAGATATGAGAAGCTGGAAGATAGAATCTCAACACCACTCTTCAGTGCAGCAACAGCCATGGTGCTGCAATATTAACTGCAAAGGAAACATTACTGCCGCATGGGCATGAAAAGACGTGTCGGATTTCTTTGATTGGACCCTTACGGGATCCATCCATCCATGTGAACGGAGAGTGTGCGCTAACCAACCCACCTGGCCAAGCCCAGGGAGCGCATCATCATATTAGACCAACTTTATCTCCTGTACACACAACAACATCAACCGCGCCTCTCTGTCTCTACGAAACCTCTGATTCCATGTCAACATCGCCCGGGTAGGGCATCCTTCAGCATGAGCGGAAGGATCCTCTCCGCGCGCCTCTTCCCGCTCGCGCGGCGCGTCCCAAATCTATACACCCCCCGCGGTATCGTACAATATTCAAGCTCTGGATCTGGTGGCTTATTACGGACTGGACGTAGATCACAGTCACTTGATCGGAGGCTATGGCCCTTGGGCGCTTATGCAATACATAATGTACCAGCAGTAAGGGCGATATCCTTTACCCGAGTAATACCTAAGCTGGTCACGAAACTCTCTACTCTAGGTGCTATCTCCATGGGAGCTACAGTTGCTGCACTCGCATACATACAAAATCAAGCTACAATAGCTGGGACATATGTGACAGGGGTATTCGATCGAGCAAAGGAGAAGGCGACGGCGGTATCGGCAAGTACTGTCGATGTATTCGGCCAGATCAAGAAAGGGTGGGAGAAAACAAAAGGAGAAGCAGAGCTGCTGCCAGAGTGGCTCCAAAGCTTAGTGAATCCCGTGGATTCCTCTGGAAATGGGGGTTCCGATGGAGGTCCCGGCAAAGACAAAGGCAAACCTGTGCAGGCTAGTGCCGGCAGTGCAGTGGCGGGCGCGACGACCGTTGCTGCATTCGGCTATGCTGATAATGATGATGAAGGCACAGAGAGATCCCAAGAGAAGATTGCAAGAGATGAGCAAATGATGCTGTTGACAAAGAAAATGATCGAGATAAGGAGTTTACTTCAGACTGTCGGTCAATCAGAGACTCTCACGCTACCATCAATTGTTGTTATTGGATCCCAGTCCTCTGGAAAAAGCTCAGTGCTGGAGGCTATAGTTGGACATGAGTTCCTGCCGAAAGGTCATAACATGGTCACGCGAAGGCCCATCGAATTGACACTCGTCAACACACCGGAGGCAAAGGCAGAATATGGCGAATTTCCAGCACTAGGCCTGGGCAAACTCACCGACTTCACCGTAATCCAGCGAACACTGACAGACCTGAATCTCGCTGTGCCAGCCGAGCAATGTGTCACAGACGACCCGATTCAGCTCCGTATATACTCACCAAACGTGCCGGATCTTTCACTCATCGATCTCCCTGGCTACATACAGGTGGTAGGACGTGATCAGCCCCCAGAGTTGAAAGAGAAAATCGCCGAACTGTGCGAAAAATACATTCAACCTCCAAATGTCATCTTGGCCATTTCTGCCGCCGATGTCGATCTCGCAAATTCGACTGCATTGCGAGCTTCGCGAAAGGTGGATCCTCGTGGCGAGCGCACCATAGGAGTCATTACGAAGATGGATCTTGTAGACGCTGAAAGGGGCGTGAGCATGCTTACTGATAAAAAGTATGCTCTGCGATTAGGATATGTCGGCGTTGTCTGCAGAATACCGCAGACATCCCAGAGCTTATTCCATCGCGGTAATGGTAATATTACAACTGCCATCGCTCGTAATGAACAGGCCTTTTTCTCTTCTCATCCCTCCGAATTTGGCGCAGAGTCTAACCTGGATGTGGGAACCAAGAACTTGCGTAAGAAGTTGATGCATGTCCTCGAGACGACCATGGCTGCTAGCTTGAAGACCACAAGTGAGGCCATCACACGTGAACTTGAGGAAGCGAGGTACGAGTTCAAGGTCCAGTACAACGAGCGACCATTGAGTGCAGAGTCATACCTAGCTGAAAGCCTGGACTCGTTCAAGCATTCCTTCAGGGGCTTCGCGGAGGAATTCGGAAGAGCCGAAGTTCGTGAGCTGTTGAAACGGGAGCTTGATCAACAAGTCCTGAACCTACTTGCCCAGAAGTACTGGAACCGCCCTTTCGACGATATTGCCCCTCCTCCACCTGAAGAGTATCCACTAGAAGACCTTCCGAAAGCTGACCCAAATGATACCATATGGCAATACAAACTAGATGGTTCTACCGCCGCTCTTACAAAGCTCGGTATCGGCCGTCTTGCAACGACTGTGGTCGCTTCATCACTACAGGCACATATCGATGGCTTGATTGCTGGGTCGAGATTCTCCGCTCATCCCTTCGCCCGCAAAGCGATCACTGATGCATCTACAACAATACTCAAAGACCTCTCATACGATATCAGCGACGAGCTTGAGATCTGTATCAAGCCGTATAAGTATCGAATCGAGCTTGAAGATAATGAGTGGAAGAAGGGTCGTGAAAACATCAAAGCAGTCTTGCAGGAGGAGCTGAAGGCGTGTGAAACCGCCAACAAGACCCTAGAGAACCAGATAGGCGGGAAGAGAAAGACGAAGGACGTTATGGCCTTTATTGACCGTGTCCGAAGTGGATCCGTGGCCCTCGAGGGTAACGGAGTGGGTGGTGCTGGCGGCTTCAGCGCTGCTCTGCTCGAAAAGGGTGAGTTGCCGCGCCTGTCTTTCCCTTGACTCCAGACTAATATGGCAAAAGGCCGGGAAGCTGTCTTCCTACGAGATAGATTGGACGTCCTCAGGCTTAGACTGATGGCTGTCAAGTCTAAGCAATGTGCAGACAAGAAGAACAAATACCACTGCCCAGAAGTCTTCCTAGACGCTGTGGCGGATAAACTCACGACCACGGCCGATCTCTTCCTTGATGCCGAGTTGTTGTCCAAATTTTACTATCTGGTAAGTCCGATCCACTTCTTTGTTAGAAGAGCTGCTAATACATACAGTTCCCGCGCGAACTTGATGCCCGACTGGGACGTAATCTATCACAGACTGAGATCGATCGCTTTGCCCGAGAGGATCCAAAAATTAAACGGCACCTAGATGTGGTCCGCCGAAAAGATCTCCTTGAGCATGTTCTCAAGGAGATGGAGGCTTTACGACAGCTTGAGCTTAGGGAGAAGCGATACAGTTCGAGATCAATGCAAACGGAAAAGAAGAATCGCGGATGGAGTTTGTTTTAAGCAGCCTCACTAATAATTGATACGATTAGATGAGTCTTTGGCTGGCGCCTCAGAGATACCAGTATGTTTCGTGCTTTCCTCTACATAAATTCGAGCGTGGCTGTCACAATACCCTACTCAAGTAGTTATCCTGAAAATATATGTTGCAAGATGCGAAAAATGTTAGTAGTGACTTAAGTCCGGTCTATCACCGTCTGACCTCAAAATCTCCCATCCACAATAGTCGCGGAAGGGGCAACACTCGTGGACGCCTTCGCCCAGAAATGAAAAAAATGAATCCTTCACACGACGAGAAACCTGTCTGCAATGTTCGATAGTACACCTAAAAAATGTGGAGTGGCAGGTAAATACTGGTCGTCTGAGATACCCCCCCAGCCGGCCCCACTGATCTTCATATCAGAAGCTCGAGCCAAGCTACCTTCCAGACCGAGCTTCATAATCATCAGTTGTCGCCTCCATCGATCGCAATAAATTCTGGCCGGGCTAACGCCTTTTACTGGACTGATCAAGTCGCAATTCTGACTCATCGATGCAGTCTACGAGCACTGGCAAACGCTCAAAGGCTGATAAGACACCTACCAGCGATCGGAAACGCAAGCTCTCCTCTGACCGGCCGTCCGGAGCTCTATGTGTTCCCACCGATAACGCCTCGATTGCCAACGCCAAGCAGCAGACGATTTCTGAGCTCTTCTCAAATTCGAAGCAAAAAGCCGCCACTGGCGGGCCTACAACACCAAAGAACAAACGAGCCAGGCTGTGCTCAATCGACCGAAGCCTGGACGATCTTCCTTCTTCGCCACCCACAACTTCTCAGGAAGCGCTATCGCCTGCAAATATGTATAGCTTCAGCAGCAGGAACAGCCTTAAAGATACAATAGTAGATTTGACAGGTTCTCCGACAAGTTCACCACGTAAAATTGGAATTAAGAATGGAGCAAGAGCCAGTAACAACCCGCACGCGGGTCCGAGGAGGATCGTGGTCAAGAACTTTAAGACACAGTCCAAAGCAGACCCGAAGCAATATTTCGATCAGGTCTGGAATACTCTAGATGCTGCTCTAGGACGAATATTTGCAGGTCAGAAAATTGCCATCTCATATGAGGAATTGTACAAGAGTGTGGAAAATGTCTGTCGACAAGGCCATGCTGAGGCATTGTCCTACAGGCTCTACAAGAGATGCGAGTTACATATGAACGAGACGGTATATGCAAGGCTTCTAGAACAATCTCATCAAACAAACACAGACGTGCTGAGAGCTGTTTTGGCTGCATGGGCAACATGGAAGGCGAATATGGTACGCTGATTATGCTTGACTGAAGCATGTCTGCTGACACATGATCCAGAAACAAGTTGAAATGATATGGTGTTACATGGATCGCTCGTACCTCCTTCCGAAGGGACGCTCTCTCGAGAGTGATAGCCACGGCATTTTCCGAACCAAGATCTTTCACAGCCCTAAGTTCCAGGAGAAGGTTGTCGATGGAGCTTGTGACCTTATAAGAGAGGAACGTGACTCAGAGGGCGGATCAATGGATGCAAATACCTTTGAAAATGCCATTAGCATGTTTCATGAGATCAGCGTCTACACCGACTGTTTCGAACCACGACTTCTGGAGCTATCGCAGACTTTCATTATTCAATGGGCAGCCAAGATGAGTTCCGAGGTGAAGCTTGCCGAGTATGTGTCGAGGTCTATCAGATTGATTGAGCGAGAGGCTAGACGATGTGATCGTTTCAATCTCGACTCCTCAACAAAACGCAATCTCATGACACTGCTGGAAGATCAACTCGTCACTGAGCAAGAATCTAAACTGGTAGATAATGATGCTGTTGCCGACCTGTTAGACCAAAATGCTATCGAGGATCTAAAGCAGCTCTTTTCATTCTTGCAAAAGCGTAGCCTTGGAGAGAAGCTGATGCCTGCGTTTGTTGCCTGGGTCGACCTGACTGGAACTGCTATTGTTTTTGATGAGAAAGAGCAAGATCAAATGGTAGTCAAATTGCTTTGCATGAAGCAACAGCTTGACCATATCTGGAAATATTCGTTCGAAAGGAATGATGAGCTGGGCCACGCAATGCGCAAGACCTTCGAGAGCTTTATCAACAAGACCCGGAAGACAAATGCAGCGTGGGGTACAGACAACTCAAAGCCTGAGGAGATGATAGCGAAATACCTAGATCTTCTACTGAGAGGTGGTTCCAAAGCAATTCCTGCAATGCTTTCAAAGTCAGCACCTCGGGCCCAAAGAGATGATGAAGACAACGAAGAACAAATATTTGACGAAGACTCGGAAGTTAATAATCAATTGGACCAAGTGCTGGACCTGTTCAGATTTGTTCACGGTAAAGCAGTCTTTGAGGCCTTCTACAAGAAAGATCTTGCCAGGCGATTACTGATGGGCCGAAGCGCCAGTGCGGACGCCGAGAGGAGTATGCTTTCGAGGCTTCAGACGGGTATGTATTGCGAAACGCTCTTTGCTTGTGCATAAGCTAATATACATACAGAGTGTGGTTCTGGCTTCACATACAACCTCGAACAAATGTTCAAGGATATCGAACTATCGCGTGAAGAATTGGCTTCATATAAGACAATCTCACAGGAGCGAGAAGGAGGCAAGAAGGAGCGCATCGACCTATCGGTTAATGTCCTCTCACAGGCAGCATGGCCAACATATCCCGAGATTCCAGTCCGAATACCAATGGAGATTAAGACTGCAATCGACAAGTTTGAAAAACACTACAAGACCAAACACTCGAACAAGAAGCTGGAGTGGAAGCATGCTTTAGCCAATTGTCAGCTCAGGGCCGACTTTCCGAAAGGTAGGAAAGAGCTAGTGGTCAGCTCCTTCCAAGCTATTGTGCTTCTTCAGTTCAACGACCGCGCTATTGATGAAAGGCTTTCATATGATTTTCTGAAAGTAGAGACTGGACTTCGTAAGAAAATCCTTTTCTTCTCTTCATGAGATGTGCATCTAATGCAGTCCGCAGCCGATGCCGAACTTAAGCGTACCCTCCAGTCTCTCGCCTGCGCCCGTCTGAGGCCTCTCTCGAAACAGCCGAAAGGTCGTGAAATCGATGAAACGGATACGTTCACGATCAATGCCTCGTTCACTGACCCGAAAGCCCGCGTCAAGATCAATACCGTGCAACTCAAAGAGACTGCCGCCGAGAATAAAGAAACACATGAGCGCGTACATGCCGACCGCCAGTTTGAGTGCCAGGCAGCGATTGTGCGTATCCTGAAGTCGAAAAAGGTTATTGGGTATCAGGATCTGATTGCGGAAACGATAAGTGCGACCGCTAAGAGGGGGGCCATGAGTGTGGCAGATATCAAGAAGAATCTGGATAGGCTTATTGAGAAGGAGTACTGTGAGCGAGCGGACGACGGGGAATTGCATTATTTGGCGTGAGTGGGAGAGAATTTGTAAAGAAAGTAAAGTGACCGGCAGGCACTTTGTGTGAGTGTGTGCATGGGGACGGGGCTGTAGAGGTACATTTGTAGTCCGTACAAACGTTGTCGCATTATTGGCAGCGATTTGTTCCGCCGTACATACATATATACATATCATACATGGTGTTGGACTATTTTCCTCCTGAGCACCACCCATTACCCTTTACCTGAAGGGTTTCTTCAGACTTCGGGCGGCACACGCTCTATTAACACAGTAGTAGGAGTACCTACGTATATATATACTCTCGGAAAACAAAAACCCGAAACTACCGTCTCATTCGCAAATGACACCCCAAGACAACCGTACCTATCGGCGCAGGGCACATTCCTCGTACCAATAACATATATGCAGTTCGAAGCGAAAAGTTTTCCCCTTTTTTCTTAAACCGTTGAAGACCGTAGGTATCTTTCACTTTCGATTCGTATATATGTATATAAGATGCATATACATACATACATAGCATGTGTCTTCTTTGGTGCTGAGTGTAACTGCGGCGAGCAAGCGTGTCTTACTGGTTGGATTTGACAAAGTTGGAGAGGGAGGCGTTCTGTGTTGGTTTGTGTTATTTGTTGTATACATATGTGTATATACTAGGTCACGTTTCCGGGTGCGCGGGGTGGGTGAGATGGGAGTGTGTATGCATGCATATATTACAGAGTACTGCGTGATGGGGTATACAATATATATTAAAGGCGTGATGTGATGGGAAAGTACGGAGAGTTGAGTATAGTATAAAGTGCCTTGTGGGTTTCTTGCGGTGTGTGTATGGGTGTGTATATGTATATGTATTTTCATTGGCGGGGAGATTAAGAATTGAGGACATGAGACAAGAACGGACGGGATGGGTCATGGATCACATAGTTGGAAGTTCTAGAGCATGTTACGGTGGTCGTGTATTTATTCCGTCTACATTGCTTGCTATGCGTTGTGCTCAGTGATGTGCACAGGGGTGGGATCTTCGTCGATGTATGTATGCCATTTGACAACATCATCTATCAGACTTGTTTCCATGTCCTTCACTTTTTCGGGCTCGATGCTGATTTTTGGTAACTATCTCCCCGATTCTTTTGCTCTGTTGAGGTGTGGAGAGAAGGAGTTTATACATTGACGAGCCTGGGCGAAAGATGAGGAGCTAATGCGCCACGATTAGCATTGAGATAGACAAGAGATACTGTTACAGTGATTTCAAGGATGTTGTGACTCAGGAGTAGAATCGCGTTCTCGTCAGCCGCGACGTGCGCGTAAGAGTGAGCTGGGTAGTAACGATATCGTTGTTCATCATTGTCAAAGAGGAGAGAGGGCGGTAGGAAGGAAGGGGACTATGCTTACCAATCTGATACGAGCTTTCAGGGCAGTGGGTGCCCATTCATGGTGAGAAAGTCTCTAGCAAGTCATGGGGACTCGAGTGTTTGTGTGATATGTTGGGAGACGCGTCTCCGTGTTTAATCTTTGCATTACCTTCTCCTGCCCCGACCATCATTCGAGACTCCTCTCCTCTTCCGAGATTTCTTGATATCATATTTTGCGCCGTAGCTAATGACGGCCCGTTGAATCCGGCCGCGCCTGTAATGTATTAGCATAACCCTCACTGAATAGCACCTAGTACGAGGTCCTTACATTAAGACCATTATTGTGACCACCATCACTGGGGCAGCGATATACCAGAAGAAAGCGTCACTATTCTTAATGGCCCCAAAACCCTCAAAGTTTTGCCCGAAATATCCCGTCAAGAATGTTAATGGTAGGAAGAAAATGGTTACCGCTGTGAGCTGTTTCATCGATTCGTTTTGATACGTGCTCATGATGTTGAATATTAGATCAATCATGTTATCTGCAGCCAGTCGCATTTGATCCAGAGATTGTGTGATGAGAATACAGTGATCTTCAACGTCGCCTAGGTACGTATGGGCCAGGGGCGAGATTGCGATGGTGGTTATTGTTTTGCTCGGTCTTGCTGCCAACCCGGGAGTTCCTCCTGTGGTGGAGGAATCCGACTTGTGGTCGCGAAGGGTCGAGATCAAACTGCGAATAGGCTGAATGGTATTTTTGAGAACCATGAGTTCGGAAGTAAGGATATACAAAGATCGCGAGTGGTTAATGTCGGGGTCGGTCAAGACCTCGAGTTCTAGCTGGGCCATGGAATCTTCATATGCGGTCACAACTGGAATAGCGAGATCAATTATGGCATCTATTATAGCTTGAGCAAGCATTGTTGCATCACAACTGCGTCGCAAAATGGTATCCGATGTGTTCAAGCGGGTAAGAATTGGTTCGGCAATCTCCGAGGCAGAATGCTCGAAGAAGCTTATGATTGTGTTGTCGGCGGTCATGAACAGAGAGACTTGCTCCACGGCTACGGCTAGATGTTTCTTGAAGAGTGGCGAATGGCGCTCCATGTACAATGTACGTTCGACATTTGGGCCTCCCCGATAACGCTGGAGCGTGCGGATGCCATCCCTCGCAGATGGCATTCCTCCTTGGCGCATTGTTGTCATGACCGAACCGTCTGCTTGCAAAGCGAAACTTTTGGCACCCCGAATCTGATTCTTTTCGACAACGTTGAATGTATCCGCGTCATTCATGTTGCCGAAGGGAAGCTTTTCCCGAATTTTGGTAAATAGCGATTTTGACTTCTTCTTTTTCCTCTTTCTTTTTTTTTGACCTTGAGATCTTGAATGACTTCTAGAACCTTTGTGCCATATATCATCTTCGTCACTCTCCGAATCGCTGTCAGAGTCGTGCTGTAGCTCCACAAGTTTCTGGAGGGTAAGGAGGACTGCAAAGTATCAGCAATGAGCGCTGGTCGTCAGTGACACAAAGAGTCAGAATGAGTATGAAATGTATTGATTCTTGTGCTATATCAAAGGACGCAAGCATGATCCAAATTATTCGTCACGAATAGTCTGCTCAGGTCACGTAGCATGTTGCACATCGAAGGAAGACTTACTAAACGCATGGTCCGAATACCAGTCAGCTTTTGTCCTGCCTCGTGTATTCATCAGATCCTCTATCGCAAGCCTATGGAGATTTTTCTCCCTGCCAAGCGTTTTGATGACGTCCCAGCTGAGTCCATTCACATTGATCCATCGGCAAGACACCCAAGCTTCCTTATCATGTGTGAGAAACTCAGCAAGAGAGGTATTGTCCAGTTGATATTCTTGTATGTGTTCATCGGAAAAGTCTACCACAGTGATTTCACAATCTGTCCTCAAATGTACGTAGCGGTCACTGGGCAGCTCCCGAGAAGGATCGACCCCAGGCTCAGCTCCAGGCTCTTCAAACTGGGGACGTGGTTTAGCAGAATAATTGCGAACGGTATTTGAGCGTGTAGGGCGACGTCGTAGCGTGTCAACGGAAGGGCGACCACCGTTGGGTGAGGCTATGTCTCGTGCAGGGTGCGGCGAGAGAGTGGACGCTGTGTTTTGATGAGCAGACGAATAGCTGCGCGCTCGATTTGCCTCTTCAGGGTCGAAGCGTGGGAATTCTTGAGTCGGTTGGAAGTCCCTCGCCTTGACATCGTCCGTGTCTGCCATTGAATTGGATGGCAATGAACTTGTGGAGAGGGAGGGGGAGGAGAAGCGTTAGATTCAGACAGGCTTTACAGCCTTGCAGGCTGTTGCTTCACACGTTCTGTGACATGGATGAATGAATGGATAACGGCAACCAAAAGGCTGGAGCTGGTATTGTCAATGTAGTAGACGGGAATGCTGTATAGGCGTGGACAAAGCTACCTGTAGGTAATTAGCGTGGGAAAAAAAGGCAAAGGCGCCGGGAACGAACAGGGACAGGGACAGCCGGCCGACACCCGTTACCTAGCTAGACAGGCCAAGCAAGCGCCTGAGGCGTTGAGACCTTATGCGGGAATGGCCTTGATAGGCGTAGATGATTGGCTGAGAGTGAATGGACAAGCAAATGCAAGCAACTTCCGGCATTCTCTGTACCCAGTCCCCTTTCCCGGTAGCTCTAGTCCCGGTCCCAGTATCCTCAGTCCCGATCAGCCTGGCCCACCACGGCTACTGCACTTGCACGCTTCTAGACCTAATTAGAATTCACAAAAGACTTTAGAATATCAACGTAATTAATCACCAGAATACCAAGTATGACCGCATATTGACAGATGGCAGGTCTCAGCGCATTTTGAGACCGAGAACTCCTGGCAATCTCTCACTCTCACAATCACGTCGCATGTCACAGAGGAGCCATCGCCAACAGACAGTCACAGCAGTGTATTGGAACTTGGGTGGGCCACAGGACGAAACAGGCAGTTGGGATGGAATATCATGCACTGATCTTCACGTGCGGTGGCAGGCCAGGTCAGCCTTATCCATTAGCATCATTGTAGTGTCAGTGCATGTAATATGTACGTACTATGTATGTATGAAAGTATGCAGTAACAGTGAATGCCGTGCAGAGCAGAGCAGATGAGTGCAGTACCGTGGCGTGGCATGGAGGTATACTTTGGACCCTAATTATGGCGTGTGGCAAGTCGCTAATAGTTCTTTCTGACTTGCTGGCCAACAGGACCACTGGCATTTTGGCCCCGAGAGTCATCATCAGTAGGTCGAGACGAGAAGCTTACTTACCAAGCTTGGAAGATCCATCTCCGCCAAGAGTCCTCCACTAATATTAGCCCTGGAGCCCTGGAGCAACAGGAGGTGCAGTACAGTACCAACCAGTACCTACTTGGGCACCTCCCACCACTTGCCGGGCGCCTCTCAGCACCTCCCGGGGGCACCACCTCGCCCTTTTGTTCCCAGGCTCGCGCAGCTAAACGTCGTGACCCTCCCTCTCCTCTCCCCCCTAATTTAAGCCCGTAGGTTGCTGGTCGCCCACAGCAGCACACAGCCCACAGCCCACAGCCCACAGCCGTCACCCGTCTCGCTGCTACTGTACCAACAACATACAGTAATACACAGTACATTGCTGAGAACCCGGGCGACCGCTGCCACCCACCTGGCCACCCACTAATTACCCACTAACTACTAACAGCGGTCTGACAACTCAAACTCCACACCCTTCTTCCACATCTCCGTCACCCTCCTCTCAACACCACTTCACTCTCCACACCCTTCTTCCACATCTCCGTCACCCTCCTCTCAACACCACTTCACTCTCCACATCTCTCCCTCCTCATCTCCAATCCTCCCAGCTTTACGAGGGCATCGTATACCAAGAACATAATTTCCACACATCAATCCATTCTCCTTCTTCTCGCTGCTCGTCCCAGCTGAGTGTGCTTCTTTCAGCTTTCTCTCGGGCCTGAAAGCCGCCACGCCCTTTCCCATCCCGGCACATTCTGCCGACCTTCAAGTCCGTACTGCTCGCTCAAACGACTTTACGTCCTTCAGCTAGCGACCTTCTTCGATCTCACAACACTCTTCTTGACTTTCTTCTCCGCTCAAGCTCTTCGATATCGCGTACAGGCGATTTTCTGTTGTCGATTCATCGCAAAGGCTTGGCGTAATCTCTTCAAAAACCCCTCGACTCCTCGACACCGCTACCTCTCTTCGTCGCCTTTCCATCTTCCATCTTCCGTCTCCTGCAGACGATATAGACCTCCATAAAAGTAATATCTGGCGCTCTCGATCTGGTCGTCTCGTCACCTCAACACACCACCGAGTCCGTCTTCCCGAGGTCGTAGCCAGGGGCACAAATTTCGACGCTTACACCCGAGAACGACAATCTATCCTTGACTCCAGCACACGCTTTATCCATTTTTAAGTCCTGCGTCCAACATGCGAGAAGTCAATTTCAGTATTCCAAATGCCAACAAGGCCTCTGTTGGCATTACGACCGCCCTTTACGACCGTCGTGCTCTTGATTGCACCTCAACCCTACCCCTCATCAACTCTCTCAACCATCTGGCATATCTCACAACCTCCTCTCCTCGAATCCGTGACATACTTACAGTCGATGGAGGCGTCGAAAGGCTTGTTTGTATATTGAAAGATGGCAGAAGCAAAGATTTGATGGATATGTGGAAATGGAACTTGGCCTTCCAATGTCTATTTAACATTGGTGTCCGCGGTTCCGAGAACGTTAGAACGAGGGTAGTAGAAGCAGACATGGTGCCAGTCATCGCCACAATTCTTGATAATTACGTCAAGGTCGTCGACAAGTGTCGTGAGAAGGCTGATACTGAGATTAGGCGGTCTTCGCATAAACTTGGTTCATCAAGTCGGCACTACTGCAGAGAGCATAGTGCGTCTTCGCATTCTCGTTCCGACCGATCCAGGCGTCAAGTGCCGCCACCCATTGAAATTCCCCAGCCATATCAGCAGAACGATGCAGAACTTCAGTCCGCAGACGCGACTCCCACACCTGCCTTCTCGCTCTCATCTCCACCGGAGCGGACAACCTTCCGGCACCACAATCATCCCCATTTCCAGAGGCTCAACGAAGCACAGACGGCAACGTTCAACAGGGGTCATCGCGCAGTACCTCAACCTATCGCGACTGCTTCTGCATCCATCGACGATGCGTTCAGGCTCCGTCCTGTCCGCGATGCAGACCGTCTACCCTCAATGCTGCCTGCTCTCCAGGCTGAAATCATGTCCCAGCCTGAGTCACCAACAACACCCCATGCTCACAATACAGTGCGTCCGACGACTCCTCGTCCCAGCGGCACCACTGAATGGAGAAGGCGTCCTTCAATACGACACCAGATATCGACATCAGGTGAATCCGACGAAGGGGAGGTCACAGACATTGTTCCCGAGGCTCCTGCCGATGTAGAATCTGGTCCGGAGCCCTTGGTCGGGCTGCAGAATGAAATCAACATGCAGGAAATTGTAGAGAGTGGGAACTTGAATGGCAACGCTACCCAGGTAGCTCCTCCCGCGGAAACAGGCGACGACGAAACGTTCAACATTACCCATCGCGCCATTGATGGCAGTCTTCCGACCACTGCTGCCATTAGCTTCTCGCCTGCTCAGCCTACTGTGAATGTCACACATCCGACCCCACCGACTCTCACCAATGTTAACTGGTACCCACGGTTTCCCGCGGAACGAAGCACTACTTCTGCGCTTCTTGCAGCCATGCCCCGGGATGAGGACGTACTAATGTCTCTTCAACTCCTCGCATACGTGTCCAAGTATTGCAATCTTCGCTCGTTCTTTCAACAGTCGCATCTTGTTCCTCGCCTGAAGATTGGTGGGGAGGAGCTTGGTGCGCTTGACGCTGAGCCATGCAGCGACGCTCATATGGCTGAGGATGATGATGACGAGGAGTACCTGCTGCCGGACGACTTCAACATCTTCCCTCTCGTTGAAAAATTCACCGTACGCCACCACACGCAGGACATGCAGTACTGGGCCGGTGTAGTGATGCGCAATCTGTGCCGTAAGGATGATGCCAGAGGTGGTATCCGACAATGTGCATTCTACGAGTGCGGTCGATGGGAAGAGTATACTCGACAATTCGCAAAATGCCGAAGATGCCGTCGGACAAAGTACTGCAGCAAAGAGTGTCAAAAGAGCGCTTGGGTCTACCACCGACATTGGTGTGTAGCAGCTGGGCCGCAGAATGAGCCATTGTAGAAATGCGTGGTTAGAAAGAACACTTTTATTTATGCCGCATATCGCATGGCGCTGGACGATGGTTTCATACTGTTTTAACATAACGCCCCAAAGGAATGGTGACACGTCAAAGACACAAAAATGTCATCTATTGATCACGCCGAAACAACGAAGACACACGAATCTATGCTGGAGTTTATCGGGGGAAGGACCGACCTGCAGCCGGCCAAACATTGGGAAGAGTGGATGCTTGCTTTATTGATAGGTGCGATATTATTACCCCCTATGTTGTAGGAACGGATGGTCATAGGTCTTCTTTGTTAGCGACAATTGCATCAGAAGGTCATGTTTGTTTTCATTCATCTCATTGTTCATCGCTTCTGCATTCTTTGCTAGCATCTTGTGAGGGCTTACGCATTTTGCTTTTCCAATACCTACCACACGTTCTGCTTCGAGTCTCGCACTGTTTAATACTGTTCGGCGCCATAGAGATCTAAGACATAGTGGGTGGCGTCTGAAATATGGGCGTTCGATATATACTTTCCAATGACACATCCCGATACGGCCTGATCTCAATCTTAATTTGACGCGAGCACGCCCTGTTCATGACGTCGATGTGACTTTGGCAACGATTTGCCACATTCATAACTTTACCTCCCACCTCAGCTTCCTCAGCTTCTACTTTACCCTTACCTAACTACCGAGGTCTCCTTACGTCATGTCACGTGCCAAGGCCTGAACTGGGGCGCTCGAATCGAGAACTCCCACGACATCATGCATGCATCTACTACCTATACGAGGTATTAGCCGCGCTCATGCGGGGCATACCCACCTCCTGCTTAGGCAGTATTCCTATGTATGTATGCATGCATGCAGGAGCTATTTGCCACACACATATCGTTTAACCCGATTGAGGGGATAGCTAGCTACATCTATGCTTTAGCTAGACCTAACGAGGTCGAACACCACTTGACGAATTATCACCCGGAGCAGGACGGCACGGTTATGTAGAGAGTCTACATGTCATTTTGGCACTTGGCATTGTCAGTTTCAAGCCTTCGTCTTCGAGCGTGCGTAGAGCTTGGTTCCGGCTTTGTGCTGTCTAGAATGATGGATTACTTACCTAGGTAGGCTGTGGAGCCGGATACAAACGTTCGAGGCGTGCATCCGACGGTCGGAACGGCTTCTGATGGAGCTTAAATGTGGGTCCCGGCGGTTTGTAGCGTGGTTCGGGATCCGGGTGCGTCTAATGATAGATATGCCGTAGTTCTAGGTCTAGTATTGTCGGCGAAGCTTGACAGTGGACCGGGAGACATTGATGTCCCATCTGAGCAAACTAAGCCTTGATCCCATTGTGTTCTCACTAAGGATGCTAAACGCTCCAAGGGGTTCACGGCATTCGATTCAGCCCTTCAAACACCACCCAACAGACTCCTCATCACAGAAGCTCAAATTGCATACCCAATCCGGGCAGCACCACTAACGTATCCAATCCAGGCCGTCTCTTCGCAACATCCCCGGGCCACTTCTCCCAAAGCTCCTCCATTCGCGCACAATCCTCCTTTGACGCCTTCCCCTTCTTGCCTCCGTCAAAATAACACATATACGTGATATCCATAGCATACAGAAACGTCTCTCGCAGATACTCGCGGTTCAGCACAACAGCCTCCTTATCCCGCTCCGTCATCCGTTTCTCGTTTGTCTCCCCGCGGAACACACATTCCCAATCCACTACCTCGGCAACAGGCTTCAAAAATATACGCAGCACGCTTTCCTCTTCCTCCGTCTCCTCCCCCCGCGCCTCCTTCTCCTTCTCTTTTTCCTCGCCTGTCCCCTCCCAGAGCATCTGCCAGAAGTACCGCCGCTCCTCGTCCGTCAGCGCGGAGATGTCCCGGCCTGCCTGCTTCTTCGACACGCCGAGCGCGCAGCGCACTTTGGCCCGGCTGTACTTGTGCAGGATTTGCGTCGTCCAGTGGTTGGTCAGGGCAGTGCTGCGCGCCGCGAAGAGCGCGAGACAGGGGTCTGTGTCGGCGATTTGGCTGGGCTCGGAGATGCTGGTGGATTGGGCGTAGAGGACTTTGACTTGGGTCGGGGTGAGGGTGTGGTGGAGGAGGTAGAGGATTTTGGTGCTGGTGCGGATGGCACGATCGCTACGGTCGGCGATGATGGTGGTTGGTGGTGGTGGTGGTGTTGCCGGGGTAGTTGGGAGGGCGTCGAGGGGGGTGGTGGTGGAGCTTGGTGCTGTGAGGTGCGTGGTGAAATAGGGGCTTAGGACACCGCTGGTTGCGGCGTATGTGACTTTGCGGAACTCGCGCGTGTCTTCAGTTGCGTTGATTTGTTTCATCTGTATATCATTGTTGGGATCTTTGTCCGCTTTTTTGGCGTTGGTTGGCTTGGTGGTTATGCGTGCTGACTTGGGTCTTGCCCCCGCGTATGTGAGCTCATCATCTTGCTTCTGAGTGGGAGGAGTCTTACCTGATGGTTTCCTTCACAGCTTCGGCATTGGCCTTTCTCTTGCCGGCACTGTTGGGCTCCGTATACTCTGGGTCTGGACGGGGGTGCGAGGCTTGTGTTTGGACTATAAACCGTGGTGTTGAGCGCGCTGACTTCTTCACAGCTTTTGCCATGATTTCGTCTGTCGGGCTGATTAGTCGACTGGGGTTGAAGTCGTTGATGTATCGAGACCGTAAGGACGATATATCCAGAAAGTGTTTCAGGAGTTGAGGGTAAATGGTAGTTGAGGTTAGTAACAGGTGAAGCTGGGGTTTTGGATCGGTAGAAGTACTCCAAAGTCTAAGGAGATCAGCAGTGAAGTGACTGTTCACCGACAGGACAGAGACCTTTCTCAAAGGTGGTCATGAGGACCAAGCTCTGATCTAGGTACCAGAAGTGAACAGGCAGAGGCTGAAGCAGGGCCGTCGAGCGAGGCGGTGTCTTGTCCAGTAATAGATGTATTCACGGAGACTGAACAATGCGGAATAGGTCTCTTACTTTTTATATGTTCTAAGTGGTTTGTGTTAGAGAATTTGTTGACTCACAGTGTTTGTATTGTGGTTATTGGTGTAACCTACGCATTTCACCGTTGAGTAACAAACATCCTGTTGAATATTTTCTGACCTTAACAAAGTTCCCGGTTGAGCAATTTGTTGTTTTCAATTCACTTTGGCCCATTGCGTCAGCGGTCAAGCTGAGAGTCATTGTCTCTCCATATAGACAAAATCTTCCATGGTTTGTTTTTTGTCTTTAGCAACTTGCAATACGTTAGTTGTCTTGCACCGACAGGAAATGCTGAAGGTCCTACTACCACTGCTGCGATGCACTCGATTGAACTCCCACGACATGCTCCTTTTCCTCTAACCCCTATATTGTGTCAATTTCAAGATCTGCGCTAGCAACGCAAGTCAAACATAACCTCGCTCGATCTCTCATCCATCTTCCCAGAATTTTTCAACATGACTTCATTTTAACGAGCCGTGGAAAACCCCCTCCCTGACCCTTAAGAAGCATTGAAATTCCAAAGGACATCTGAAATACTTGAAGAATACCAGTTTCCCTTTGATCTTCTCTTTTTATTAAACCATACTCTTCGACGAGTCTCCTCTAATCTCTATTGTCATCGGTGCCCTGATCGTTGAGAACAAGCGAACGTCAGCGCTTGGTGTGTATTTTAATGACTGCCGGTGTATCTTCCTAGGAGTCAGCTAGAGCACAGATCAGGTTGGTTTCCATCAACTTTGATAACCATAGTCTTCTTGGGAGTCTCCATGAGCCGCTAGCTGAAGTCATAGATCTTCCTGAGCATTGGGTATGTCTCGAAACTGCTCTCCTAAAATTTACCGTTGACGATCTTGCCAGAAGCTTCTTAAGAAGAAAGCTTGAATGCGAATAGGACGAGACTGAACAGGTGACAAAACAGCCATTGCCGATAGTACCTACGGAGGCTCTCTCCACCTAAACATACTGTTAGTCTAACCCTCGAGTACACTACTTAATGATTATCATACCCGAGCTGCTACGAATACCAGGTATGATGGTTTGGAAGATATGACGATGCTCAGGAAAAATCTATGCACTTGTAACATCTACATTTGTCGAGAGCGTTGGACGTTCATATTCAAGAGAATCCAATGAGAGGCCTAAGATTGAGTAGATACTACGAATATAGGTTGTGATTTTTCTGGCCTTCGATTATTAATCATCGAGGAGATCATAGGATGAGTAAAGCGAAATCCTCAAATTGAGGAAGCTGGAATATTTAGTAGCTACCATAGCCACTCAAGATCTTCTGACCCCAGGACGTTGAAATCGTTGATATGAAACCCCAAAAAGCTTAGAGTGCTCACGTGATCGACGCGTCTTGAGCGCGTTCTAGTCGTCGCCACGTCCGATGAGAATGCTGTTCAAGCCCTCCACCTCACACGACCCAATTAGTAACAACAATGAGCCAGCTGGATTTCGCCGACCGACCAGCTAAAAAGCGTCGTTTTTTCGTCGACGATTCACCGCTTATCAACCGCACTTTGAGTCCAGATGAATCCCCAAGCTATCGCGAAGCATCGAACGAGAACGTCGATGGCTCTACCCAGGAGGACGTCGACCAATCGAGCTCTCCTCGGTCTCTTGTGGACGCGCCTGGCCTCGACAAAGAGTTGTTTGCGGCCGTCGTCGGAGAAGAAGTGAATGCTGCGACTTTCAGAAAGCTGGAAGACCTCAGCGGGAATGACCTGCAACGAGGCATGCATGCATACTCAAAATGTGACTGGTGCAGAGATGCTAACAAATTCCATAGCGATCAATATCTACCTCGATGGGTCTTGGAAAACGTCGAACCCTCGTCGGCCGCAAAAGCCGGCCAAGGTTGATACATGGGCGCGAGCGACACATAAATCCCCAATCCCAGCCTCTACTACCACTTCACAAGCTACAACACACCCTAAACGTCTCTTCCACTCTTCTATGCCGGAGAGTAGATACATTGGGGCGTTTGGTGTCACCGGATGGGCTACAAGAAGCGGATCTGGGCTTGTCAAGTCGGGTGATGCGGTGAATATAGAGAGGCAAAAACCACAAGCCATCACGTCGAGAAGTGGCCGAGGGGGCAAGCCACGACCCATAATGAACAAGAAGCAGGATGTAGTTGTGCGCTTTACAAATGCTAGGGGCCAAGAGATTGGAAGATTGGAGAACGAATCCGCAGCCTGGATATCGACATTACTAGATCAAAAGATATGCAGATTCTCTGCTTCTTGCATATACTCGCCAGACAGCCTCAGAACAAACGACAACGTATACCTTCAACTCAAGTGCTATCTTCTGAGGGTATCATTCGAAGGCGGTGGCTTCGTGAAGCCTGAGGACAATCGGGAAGCCGGCCGATTTGAACCAAAAGAGAGCTCAGATGAGCGAAAATTGCGCCTGCGTCAGGTCGCGCTAGTAAAGATGTTCGATGAGATCAATCTCCAACCTTCTAAGATCAACAGCACGGCCAAAGAGCACAAAAAACAGGGCATTTTACAGGCCGCAGAAATGGCTGAGCACTATGAACAAAGCTCCACCTCCAAAACAGAACCATCAGCATCAAGTAGACAAGCTAGCACTGGTGGATCATCGCCACCTGCCGAAGAGGATGAAGACGGCAAGGAGTTGGAGCAAGACCAACTTGACTCCTTGTACAAAAAAGCTCAGACATTCGACTTCGATACTCCTGAATACGAACCACCTAGCACTTTTAACATGAAGCTGAGAAAGTATCAAAAGCAGGCTTTGCATTGGATGATCAGTAAAGAAAAGAACTCCAAAGTGGACGACAGGGAGATATCAATGCATCCTCTTTGGGAAGAATACGAGTGGCCTCGGAAAGACTTCGATGACAAGGACCTTCCGGAAGTTGCTGACCAGGCAAATTTTTATGTCAACCCCTATTCGGGCGAACTATCATTGGAGTTCCCTGTACAAGAACAGAATTGCCTTGGTGGTATTCTTGCCGACGAGATGGGACTTGGCAAGACGATTGAAATGATGTCCCTCATTCATAGCCACCGGCCAGATGTTGCAACTGGTGCCGCTTCATCGGTGCACAATCTACCACGTCTACCGAAAGCCTCCTCTGCAATTGAAAAAGCGCCCTACACAACGCTGGTCGTTGCTCCTATGTCACTACTTGCCCAATGGGCAAGTGAGGCGGAAAAAGCCTCGAAAGAAGGGACAATGAAGGTCATGTTATATTATGGTAATGAGAAAACAGCCAACCTCCAAAGCCTCTGCTGCGAGGCCAACGCCGCCACGGCGCCAAATGTCATTGTTACTAGTTATGGTACAATCTTATCCGAGTTCAACGCAGTCGCTTCTAATGGGGGTAATCGTGGTTCCCATGGCGGCCTCTTCTCTGTAGAATATTTCCGCGTCATTCTAGATGAGGCACATCAGATCAAGAACAGACAGGCCAAGACTTCAAAAGCGTGCTATGAGCTCAGTGCGAGACATCGATGGGTCTTGACAGGTACGCCAATTGTCAACCGCCTGGAGGACCTCTTCAGTTTGGTGCATTTCCTGAAAGTGGAGCCATGGAGCAACTTCTCGTTCTGGAAGACCTTCATTACAGTACCGTTCGAGTCTGGTGACTTTGTTCGGGCTTTGAATGTTGTTCAAACAGTTTTAGAACCTCTGGTCATGCGCCGTACAAAGGATATGAAAACACCGTCCGGGGAGGCTTTGGTCAGCTTACCAGCTAAGACCATCACCATCGACAAAGTTGAACTGTCGGAAGAAGAACGTGGGGTGTATGACTACATCTTCATGCGTGCCAAGCGTACCTTTAGCGCCAGTATCGAAGCTGGCACAGTGATGAAGTCTTATACTACTATCTTTGCACAGATTCTCAGGTTACGGCAGTCTTGTGATCATCCGATTCTGACGAGAAACAGGGATATTGCAGCAGAAGAGGAGGAGGCCGCAAATGCCACCGATGTCGCTAATGGACTGGCAGATGACATGGATCTCCAGGCACTTATTGAACGCTTTACCGCACAAGAAGCCGCGGACGAGACAGCCAGATTTGGCACCCATGTGCTAAAGCAAATTCAGTCAGAAGCCGAAGACGAATGTCCTATCTGCTCTGAAGAGCCAATGATAGAGCAAGCTGTGACAGGTTGCTGGCATAGTGCGTGCAAAGCATGTCTCCTGGATTACATCAAGCATCAACGCGACAAAGGTCAAATACCTCGATGTTTCAATTGCCGCGAACCTATCAATGCACGGGACGTATTCGAGCCTATTCGACATGACCTCCCTGTGGACGAACAAGGTAACGATTCGGATGGTGGTTTGTATAGTTCTACGCCCCAAAACATGCCTGGGCCGCGCATTTCTCTTCGCAGGGTTGGCGGTAGTGGTTCTGCTAAGATTCAGGGCCTGCTCTCGCATCTAAAGAAGATACGTAAAGCAGACCCAAATGCCAAGTCGGTCGTGTTCTCGCAATTCACCTCCTTCCTCGATATCATCGAACCAGCTTTGACTCGCGACCACATTCCTTTCCTCCGCTTTGACGGATCAATGGCGCAAAAGCTCCGTGCGTCTGTTCTCGCTCAGTTTGAGAGTGCTCAGAGGGGCACAGTCCTCTTATTGAGTCTGCGTGCAGGCGGAGTCGGCCTCAATCTTACATGTGCCAAGCACGTCTTCATGATGGATCCTTGGTGGAGTTGGGCTATAGAAGCGCAAGCCATAGATCGTGTCCACCGCATGGGGCAAGAGAGTGAAGTCAATGTGACGAGGTTCATAGTCGAGGGCAGTATTGAAGAGAAGATGCTCAGGATTCAGGAGAGGAAGAAGTTCATGTAAGTCCTCCGTCCGTTGTTCGGTGCCCTTGCTTACCCGTGCTACAGTGCAAGCTCTTTGGGCATGATGAGCAAAGACGAGCAGAGGTCACAGCGCATTGAGGACCTGAAGGAACTCTTCAGTTGATGAGACTGCTTGAGCACCACTGTTATCTGTATAGCGGCCCATTTGCATAAGCCCGTTGATACGCGGATGTTTTGGCTGATAGAAAAGGGGCACACCTTGAAGCGCTGATGCCAGACTGAACGGCTCCTGCGATCAATGAATTACAGAACAAGTCGCTGAACCAAATTTACACAAGTCTCGGAGTGCGCAACTTTTTAATTTGCCGCGTGATGGCTGTGTACTGATCATGGTGAAATCTGGCATACTTCGAATCCCTGAGCCAAATTATGGTGGCCTGTCATGTCAGGCAGGAGAAAGCCGAGGTCAAGCCAGAGCAACTTAAAAGGCTTCGTCTAGAGTACCCGACTGCCGCAGTAATGTAGTACAAGACAGTCTAGTCCAAGCTCTGAATCAAACATAATAACAATTTCAACCCTTAGTAAATCTCGTGTAGTATATGCATCATGGCACCGAAATCTACCACAGACGTCTATGTTGCAGGCGTTGGCCTGACGAAGTTCCTCAAACCACGTCGCACTCGCGAGTATCCAGAATTGGGTTACGAGGCAGGTGTGAAAGCCATGCTTGACGCAGGTATTACATATGACGATGTAGAGACTGGGATCGCCTGCTACTGCTACGGCGACACAACTTCTGGTCAGCGTGTCTTCTACCAGTTTGGCATGAGCACGATCCCAATATATAACACAAACAATGCTTGCGCCACGGGAAGCACGGGACTACATTTGGCGAGGACGCTCATCAGAAACGGCGCTGCTGATTGTATATTGGTCATCGGTATGGAACAGATGAGCCCTGGCAGCATCAAGAGCGTATGGAGTGATCGACCAAGCCCCATGGGCTTGAGCACGACAATGATGGAAGAAATTGGCGGGAAGCACGATACCCCAAGAAATGCCCAATACTTTGCAAATGCAGGCCAGGAATATATGGATAAGTACGTACCCATGTTCTTGCTTTACACGTCGACAACGACTGACAGCTCGTATCAGATACGGTGCCACAGCCGAAGATTTCGCTGAAATCGCTCGCATTTCCCATGAACACTCGCAACGCAACCCGTACGCACAGTTCCAGAACACATACACACTCGATGAGATCCTCAAAAGCCCAATGGTACACCCACCGCTCACAAAACTCCAATGCTCGCCCACATCCGACGGCGCCGGGGCTGCAGTCCTCATCTCACAGGCCTTCCTCGACCGCCGACCACAGCTTAAGCAGAAAGCTATCCTCATCGCCGGCCAATCGATGCTGACCGACTCGCCACAACTCTTCAGCCGCAGCGCCATCGACCTCGTCGGCTTCGATATGACCAAGCGAGCTGCAAAGGCTGCCATGGCCGAAGCCCGCGTTTCGCCCGCTGACATCACCGTGTGCGAGCTGCATGACTGCTTCAGCACCAACGAGCTGTTACTGATTGACGGCCTGGGCTTCTCGGCGCCTGGCAAGGCGCACGAGCTTGTGCGCCGCGGCGATATCACGTATGGCGGCAAGGGACCAGTCGTCAATCCGTCTGGCGGCTTGATTTCAAAGGGCCATCCGCTCGGGGCTACGGGACTGGCGCAGTGTGCGGAACTCGTGTGGCAGCTGCGTGGGTGGGCTAACAATGGGCGTTTGGTCAAGCAGACGTCGGTTGCGCTTCAGCATAATCTTGGCCTGGGAGGGGCGGTAGTGGTGAATGTGTACAAGAGGGCGGATGGGAGGAGGAATACGGATCATGAAATCAGCGATGCGGAGATTGCGGAAAGCAGTGGGTTGGGCTATAATCCGGCGACGCAGGCTAAGGTGGTTACGCCGGCTGATGGAGAAAAAGTGAGGAGTCGAAAGTTCAAGGCGGAGTATGCGATGGGCGATACGGTGAAGAACCTCCAATCGAGGTTATAGAGTACCTTCCCTTCCAGTGGACTATAAGAATATTCAACCGTCGATTGACCTTCCCTAATCAGGCTCGTGCCTGGGACTTTGATGCAGTAGAGCTGTATTGCAATCGAAGTCTGGTTATACGAGAGAGTAATTGATGAGATTAGCCAATAGCACTAATGCATGTAGATCAACACATCCCTATCTGCAAGAGAGTCATAGACTCATCAGATTGACCCCTCGCACTGCGAAATATCTTACACCTAGCATCAATGTTGCTTTGCACTCGTGCCCCCTTGTAACTCCAATTGCCCCCATGAACCAGATGCACCGCTAAGCGCCAGGCATCTATGCATCGAAAAGAAAGGATCGTCGCATCCAAATGCAGTGAACGTACTCGTTGCGTCATCTTTGGGCGCGGCCCTGGCTCCGAAGAAGGTTGCATCATACGGATTGATAGAGAAGAAGAGGCTCTCCGATGTTCTCGATCTCGGGTATTGTACACCGGAGATCGAAAGCTTTCGAGAGTACTATCTTGAATATCTGTGGGGTGATCAGTCTACGTATGGAGCCCCGCTTTGGAAAGAACACACTTTTTGGACATTGATGCTGTGAGAAGTACTGCTGAAAATGAGACTGGCTTTCATCGCTTTCGCGAATCGCTTCGCCTACAGTTACGTTAGATATTCCGTATTGCTGATGATACGTGATCAACATACCTGATTAGAAATCTCTTCCTGCTCCTCTCGCGGGAAGTTAACAAAGTGATCATACTTTGTACCAACCAAGAAAGGAATCGCCGTCTTATTGAACCCTCTTCCTTGACGGTACCATTCCTTGATAGAATTCAAAGTTGATTTTCGCGTTAGATCAAACATGAACAAAATGGCCACGGCGTCGTTGCAGACAAGCGGCAGCATGTTCACAAATTCGCGCTGCCCACCCAGATCCCAGATGGAGAAAGTAATTTCAGTATTGCGGATCGAAATCGTCTTTTCCATAAAATTGACGCCTGTCAAGGTCAGTTTGGGGCCGGACCGTGACACTGTCCCGCCTCCTCACGTACCGAGCGTCTGAATGTAGTCTTCATCCCAGCTGCCTTCTACATATTTGACCATTAGACTGGTCTTGCCGATCTGAGCGTCTCCAACCATGCCGACCTTGATGACAACACTGGTGTTCTTGCCCGTCTCTTGCTGGGCCTGTGACGATCTCTGGTTCTGTTCATGGTATGTCCGTCCTGCGAGTGACGAGTTGGGTCTTGAATTCGGTTGATAGTTCTGTCCGGAGTGATAGCCAGAATATCGTGGAGGTGTATCGGCATCGGAATTTGGCGTAAAGACACCCGGACGTGAGGATTGTGACCGTGAGAATGCCGTGTCGGAATATGAGGTCGATGGCCTGCCTCCATTGCTATAACCCATGTCCGGCAGCGCCTGTACTGACGAGGCTGTTATCGTGTTTACGCTCTCGTCGCCATCCATGGGAGTGTCTTGGCCGCCCATGATTGTGTGTTTGCCCGAGTCATGGTCAGGCTCTTGGCCATCGACGGCCATTGCATCGACCGAAGGGTCCATTTCGAGCAGAAGAAAACCGTTTGGAAGCTCTGACCGCGGTGGGTGAGGCTGTTATTATATTAGTGACTAGGGAGGTAGAGAGGTGGCTCGTGGGGACTCCGCGCGCAAGGTTCTAGGACTAGCCAATGGAGGGGGAGAGAACTTGTCCAGCAATGCAAGGCGCGTGGAACGAAACCTGACGCGTTCGAGGCTGTAGTAAGATATTTTGTGCGCGTATGTGAAATGACAAGTAGGATCCTGTGCCAGTCAGGACTATGATTGAGGATTTAGGTTATAAGAGGAGATTCAGCTGTGCACTGATGATGTATTGTACCAGTGGCTGCCTGAGGTACTCGAAACGCTGTTGTGCCACAGTGCCAGTATTGACCGCCGAAGCTCAAGTGACTTGATTGGTTGAGATCTTGACGACGCCCCACCGCGGGCACCCGCCGCCAAAAAAAAGTTTATTGATGACGATAGAGTGTAGGTGTTTCGTTTTACTCTGCGCGACCAGATTTCTCACAAGCATAATCCGCCACAATGAGCAAGAGAAGAGCCGAGACGGCACAGGAAGAGAGGGAAGCTCTCAAGTCTGGAGAGCGCCCTGTCGCGCCAGAAAATGGCAATATGCAGGATGGCGACTTCGAGGACGAATACGAGGACGAGTTCGAAAGTGAAGACGAGATCCTTGAGGCTGGTGTTGATGGAAGACCCGACGAAGAGCGCGAGGCTGAAGAACGCGAAGGTGGTCTATCAATTTGGTATTACACAAGAATCGCGCTTATACTCGTATAGATGCTATGGAAGTAGATCAAGGCACATTTATACCCGGTCGAAGTTTATTGTCTGTTGGCGAGACACTTGCCCCAGATCCATCCACCTACGACATGTTCCACAGTCTCGAATCTCCGTGGCCGTGTCTGTCGTGCGATATAATAAAGGACAGTCTTGGAGACAACCGGACATCGTTCCCGGCAACATTGTATGCTGTAGGAGGCACACAAGCCGAGTCTGGAAGAGAAGGAGAGAATCAGCTTATGGTAATGAAGATGAGCGGCCTTAGCCGTATGGATCGAAATGAGGAAGAATCGGATGACGAAGATAGCGAAGACGAAGCCGACCCGATTCTCGAGACCAAGTCAATCCCTTTGAAGTCATGTACGAATCGCATCCGTGCCCACCAAGCTCCTCAACACTCATCTGCACACCCTCCGACGACGCTCACAGCATCCATGACTGAGAGTGGTGAGGTTCTTATTCATGATATCACAGCTCATCTCACCTCATTCGACACCCCGGGTACTATTATTACCTCCCAACAAAACAAACCTCTACATACCATAAAGAATCACGGTCGTACAGAGGGCTACGCAGTAGACTGGTCTCCGGTGGTCGCTGCGGGCGGGCTCCTGACAGGTGACATTACAGGACGTATTTTCTCAACCAAACGTACACAGACAGGCTTTGTGACCGACTCAATGCCCTTCACAGGACACTCTGGCACTGTCGAGGAGATCCAGTGGTCGCCGAGAGAAAACAAAGGCTTTGCATCAGCTGGAAACGACGGTACGATCAAAGTCTGGGACATGCGAGATAAAAAACACAAACCAGCGTTCAGCGCCCAAGCAAGCAAGACAGACATCAATGTCCTGAGCTGGTCCCATCAAACGGACTACTTGCTTGCGTCCGGACATGACGATGGCAGCTGGGCTGTATGGGACCTGCGCATGTTCCCAAACAAAACAATAACACAGGAATCCGCCGTAGCGTCCTTCGACTTCCACAAGGAGCAGATCACATGCGTCGAATGGCATCCTACCGACGATAGCATAGTCATGGTCGCAGCTGGGGACAATACACTTACACTTTGGGATTTAGCCGTAGAGCTTGACGATGAAGAGAGCAGAGACACAGCAGGTGTTGCAGACGTGCCTCCTCAGCTACTTTTTGTGCATTACATGGACCAGGTGAAGGAGGGACACTGGCACCCACAGATTCCAGGTTGTGTGATGGCAACGGGTGGTAGTGGCTTTGGGTATGCCAACTTTCCAACGCGAGACGTAGCGTATGCTAACATGACCCAGAGTCTTTAAGACAATCAGTGTATGATCCAATGTTGGGTCACAAGTAACAAAGGCAGCCTCGTATCGATCGATTTACGCCTATTCTCCCATCATTCACTCTCATTGAGGTAGCCCATACAATCCAGTCGAAACAGCACCACCCCGTTGGTACCTTTCACAATTGCAGCTTTGTGAGTTAAGAATAATGTCTTAGTCAGCCATGTTTGGCTATAGACATTTCTAGTGGCACATGTTTTATGGTTTATATATGACTATGTTAGGAGAACCTTGACCGCCGACCTACCCGCTCAGGAACCTAGTTTACACTACCGTTGATCTTCATCACAATGGCACCTATGATCTATCCCGTTTCTCAACCCAAGCAAGGATTTCTATCACTGCCCGGCGAACTTCGTAATACAATCTATGACATGGTCGCAGAAGACCCATGTGGTCTAGTAGTCGAGACACCAAAATGGTTGATCAGAAACAGACGTTTCTATGCGAGCCGGATGTTTTGTCAGCCGTTCACTTACGACCCAGAACAGTCATTTGATCGTGAGGAGGGGCAGTTCTCGATGGTCTTTCCTTATCTGCTCAAAGCCTCCGGGCTCGCATTCACCAACCGCCAGATCTCGAGTGAAGTCCGAACCAGGTTCCGAGTTCTACACAACAGATGGATAATTCTCGAAACCAACAGAGGAGATTATGCTCAACAGTTTTTGACTGCTGGCTTGGACGTTTGGTATTTAGGCAACACTGACAGCGTTAAAAATCCTTTTGCAACATTCCGTGTCATCTTCAACGGAATCCCTGATCGATCCATATGCAGATTCGCCATACACCGGAAATCGTTTGGACCAGCAACAGTCTTCGTATCCGTGAGCCACGGATTCAATGAGGCAAATGTCCGTATAGTTGTGCTATCCTCTCCCATGTCATATGACAGATGCCCATGGTTCTTCATGCCACTGCGCAACCTCTGCCCGAACTCTGGCTTCGAACTCGCTACATCCCATGTAGGTGACGTTATCTCCGCCATGACTTCCGCCAAAGATAGTCTTGTCCGCCTCATAAAATTTGATTTATCTCCATCCTGGGACCGCATCTACCTAGAAGGCATATGGGGAGTTATGCAACGCACCTCCTCGCGACCCCTGCAAACCAACGATCCCACTGACTTCCTTACACACAGAGCATGCACGCTCCTCCTCTTCTCGCTCAACGTCATGTACCGTAAAAACCCAAAAGCCGTCTGGCGCACCGGCGACGCCGGCGACGGCCACGACCGCTTCAACGCTATTCTCACCCTGGTCGCCCGCCTCGCCCGTATCGAGCGCACCTTGGGGGAAACCCGCATCGCATCCCAATGGCGCAACTACGCTCTTGCCTTCGTACTCCCTGATTCGGAGTGCTTCAATTGGGACGTGCAGTCCGTAGCCGATCGCGACTGCTGGACGCATCGTTACCTCGCGTGGGTCTACGCCGAGTTCGCCGAGTATGAGCCCGCGGCGCATCATATGCTGCGTTTCCTCGAGCTTGCGGCGCCCGGCTTTGAAAATGAGGAATGGAGAGTTTTTCTCGAGAATAAGGTGGGCAGCGGGATTCGCGAGATGTATGGGGAAGGTTTGGAGGGGCTTCAGAAGGCGAGGCTCGAGTATTTCAGCGACAAGAATAGGCTAGACCTAGGGGTTTGAGGATTCAGGAAAGTAAGAGGATGCGCAGGTTGCGGGTGAGAACAATAGAGGGAGTGAACGGATGACGTTTGAGCTTGATGTATGGTCAGATGTACGTGTCTAGGACCAGACTTTACTGCCTCTATCTCATTCTTATTCTTTTCCTTTTCATCTCATTGATATTCTCCCAGCGTGTCTTTAAAGCTCTGCACTGTCCCGCTCCGTGTAACTAAAGAAGTATGCAGAACCCAACACCGTGCTTTCTATGACCGCAACGAAGAGTAGTGTGAGCCCAAACCTAAATCAGACAAAAGACAAGGAGATACATGGCACATCATTCGCTTCAGCACGCAATCATCCCGCATTTCCGTGTATATGTAGAGAGGATTATATAACAGTCCTCATGCGCTACCAGAATCTAAAAAAGAGTTTCCTGAGGTAGAGAAGGCACACATATGCTGTAGCCTCTCCCGACGGTGCCAGAAAAATAAGCTATTTGTTCCTGACAGGTAGTATTCTTAAGATCGGTCAGGATGATTAGAACACTGTGATTGTTCGGTATACGTTGATGATGAAGACTTCGAGGAAGTTATGTTGTGTACCTTTGTAATTGACCCAATGAGCGTGTGTGCTACCAAATCGCTGTGAAGTTGACGTATCGTTCGAGCCATCACTTACAACTAAGTCGTGCACTGTTCAATTCATACAACACGCATTTAAATTCCCATCAGAAGCCTCACAGGTCGTGCTAGTCTACTTCACGCCACAGGCGTGACAGCAACGTACAGTCCACCTTGGGGCTTGATTGTCAGACTGCCAGCCGGAATTACCGTCCCATCATCCCCCGGCAAGCGCTTTAGCTGATGATCCTTGAACAGCGCAGCAATCACATATCTCAACTCGGCCTTCGCAAAGTCCTTCCCAATACAACTGCGGTTGCCGTGGAGGAAGGTCAACTCGCACATATTACTCGGCGCGCCGCCGTGCCTGTTCGCCTTGCGGGTGCCGTCTGGCATCTCATCGATCCAACGCTCCGGAACCATGTCGTCTGCGTTCACGCCCCAGAATGCGGGATTGCGGTTGATGGCCCAGGGGAAGAGCACCAGGATTGTGTTCTTCTTGATATGCGTGTCGCAGATGATTGTGTCGCGAATGGCAACGCGCCCTGTGTTGGTCACCGGTGGAAACAGGCGTAGTGTTTCCTCGCAGATGCCATTCAGCAACGGGAGCGCCTCCAGAGTCGAGTAGGACAGGATGCCCTCGTCTGGGTCTGCATCTGCGCGTCTGGCGGAAACCGCGTCACGAATTTCCTTCCGCAACAGCTCCTGGTAATGCGCATACTGTGGTAGAGTTAGGAGATGCGTCACCCACGCGATACTGCTCGCCGTCGTCTCGTGGCCGGCGCCTAGAAACGTCATCATCTGATCGACAAGCTCGTTCTGGCTCAGGTTCCCGTTTGCCATGACGCTGCCTAGAATATCACTCGTGCCCGTCTCCTCGCCGAACTTTGCAGTCTTCAAATCGCGCATCTTGTCGCGGAGAATGGTCTCGCACGTGTGCCTGATCAGTGTCGTGGTGCGGTCGACCATGGCGTTCTCCTTGACCGGCAGTCGGCGAACGATGAACGGGGGAAGCATCATGCTCATCTCGAACAGGAATCCTGCGCCCCAACTCGGCGCGACTAGCTCGGCGTATGCAGCTTCAAGATCGCTGTTGTGCGAGTGTAGACTGCCAAAGTCTCGGGACATGAGCGCGGGTCCGATGATGTCCATGGTAAGGCGCGAGCCCCAGCTGGAGATTTCGATCTGTCCCTTTTCATGCATCTCGGCTGCGATGCCCTCCAGCATCAGGCTTGTCTTCTTGGCGATCAGGGGCTGCAGACTCCGGATGTTCTGGATGCGGAAGGAAGGTGTGATGGCCTTACGATGGACCCTATGAGTTTCGCCTTCGGAGAGGATCAGTCCGTATCCAAGTGAACGCGAGAGTGCGTAACGGCCGGAGGAGGGTTTCTCATAGTCTGCTGCATGCTCAGATAGGATGGCGCGATGGGCGGCTGGGGATACAGGCAGGGCTATTTGTGAGCCGGTCACCATGCGTAAGTTGATGAGGTCAGCACCGGGGTAGCGTTTGACGAGCTCGAGGGTCTTCTTGCCCCGTGGAGCGATGGTTATGGGGACAAATTCGCTGCTATCAACAATCTGCATTGTGGTCAGTACGGAATTGGATAATGGATCAGGAGGATTACCAGATCGCTCTGAGGCAGTTTTCGCAAGGGGCTGAGATATCTGGGGTATATGTAGACATTATAGAGTGTCATATATATGAAAGCGCTGATTGCGCTGATTATGGCAGTATCGCGTCGCGAGGTGAAGGGGATGATATGGTTTGGAGCATTCCGAAGAAGCATACCAAGGAAGATTGCAAGGATAACAACATTCGTCCAGAACCGCACCAACGCCCAGAAGATCTCCATGCCGACGATAAGGACGAAAGATGATTATGAGTTTGTGGACGATGAATCTTGATGGCTTTCTTGACGTGAAGACAGATCTTGAGTCCCAAAAATGTTTGTAACGTTCTATGGTATGAACCGAGTGTACTGGTCCCTCACTTTATACACCTCTGCTATCTTGTAGCCGCGTAAGAAAGTGATAGTAGGACGGGACATCGTGGAGATCTTAAATTAGATTTCACCACGCGTCGATGTAGCCGGCGCTATGGATAGGACACGCGTTGGTGTTCAAATTGAAGCTGAAGCTAAATCCTTCGCGTCGATTCGCACCCAACTTACGGCCGGGCATCCATAGCGGGGTTGACATCCAATAAGATTGAGGATATACCAGAATGCCAACGGAGTTGTTACACAAAAACGACATACTTATCATAACACCAGTTGTTAAGAAATTATGGTCTGGAACGTGCTAATTGTCCCTTGTTCTTGGAAGAACATTGGAATGAAATCGTCTTGTCTTATTCGGCTATACTATAGTGAGAGAAGGATAGTTGGTACTATTCAGATCGTGCTAGTCCTTCGTGAAACTATAAAGTTCTCCTAAGGTGGTATGTACTAGGGCAGATGTAAATCGATCCTGTCGTATCGTAGATGATATATTACTGGATTTAAGATGCTATTATAGACCATATATACCTACTCTGTATATATGAAATGGATGAAAGATGTGGCTAATGTGTGAATAAGTCTAGCCTATGAATGCATCGCTAGCCACACGCTTGCCAAATAGTTCTGTTCATGGTCATTTTGAATCCAACTAGCGATATCTAGTCCCAGCCATATCACTCTCAGTACGTGAACCATCTAGTCCCAGCCATATCACTCTCAGTACGTGAACCATCTCCGAGCAACTATACTATGTATACGACCCAAAAACTGGATTCAAGTATCCAGCTGCTTCGACCCTATCCGCTTAGAGATGCTCTTCAATCCGATGATAAGAATGATCTTGATCAGATCCAATAGCCCGTCGCAACTTGCCCGATTTTCCAGATTGTTGCTAACCATTTTGGTCAGCAGACCGAAGCTTAGTATGCAACTATCGGAAGCTTGCGAGTTGCGCCATATGGCGTACAAAAGCCTGGCTGTCCACTCGATATGTTGGCGTGTAGATCAGGTCGCTTCCTGTCAAACGACCTAGTCGTGCATTCTCATATAATGTCAAAGCCCATCTTTGTTTTCACAGCGGGCGCCTGGAATTCGCCTGATACTTTCGACCCCGTCATTGATATCTTAGCTCAGAATGGCTACGAGTCTCGAAAGATTGATCTACCGTCACTTGGGGGAGATCCTGTGACAAAAGGGTTTGAGGAAGACGTGCAGCTCATCAGAGCCACTGTGACTGAGCTGGTAGATACTACACGAAGCATTGTCATGGTCGCACATTCGTATAGTGGACTACCGGTTTCTGAAGCCCTGCAAGATCTTGGTGTTCATGAGCGTGCGAAGAAAGGCCACGTGGGTGGAGTTGCGCATATCGTCTACATTTCAGCAATGATGATACCAGAGGGCGCGACAATAGGAAATTCAGATACGGGCGATGGGGTTCATCTTTTCTGGCAGGTCGATTTAGATGTAGGTTGTGCTCTGTTCATAATAATTAATTTCACTGACATGTTGTGTGGCAGAAAGGGATTGTATGGGTCGAAAAGGAGCAACAGTTGAATCTGTGGTTCCACGACCTGCCGCCCGACCAAGCCGAGCAATGGGCCGCGAGAACTCGAGTACACAGTCTTGGTGTTCTTTGGAGCAAGACATCTTACGCAGCTTGGCGTTACATTCCCTCGACGTATGTCATCCCCGAGGATGATCGTGGTTTCGCTGTAGCTGCGATGGAAGCTATGGTCGAGACTGCGAGGATAGCAAGTCCGACGGCACTGAAAGAGACGAAACGTATTCCAGGAGCGGGTCATTTTGTAATGTTGTCGAAGCCAGGCGCTGTGGCAGAGATACTCGGAGAAGTTGCAAGCTATTGTTGAGTGGTTCAACAATGTTGCTTGCAGAGAGTGCTCTACCGCCCATCGATATTGTGCCTTTGCTTATTTTCTTTAAGCGGCACGATACTAATCATCATAAGCTTTACTTTAGCTGTTTCCTCATAAAACTAGCCACAGTCCAATACTCTCTACCGTCAGGAAGTTTGCCGAGCCATCGCGGCTCTTCTTTGTAAATCACGTATCCCATACACTCATACCATCCTTCAACAGTTCCATGTTCCAGCGGAGGGTGCCCATCCGGCTGGTTCTTGCTTACGGTCGTCAGAGTAAGGGTACAACATGCAGGTGACCCATATGGCTCTTGCGTCGCCAAAGTCTCTGCTGCTTGCCACGCTGCACCTCCAAAGCCACACGATCGATACTCCGGTAGCACGAACAATGTCGAGATCGTAAGCACACTGCGGTCAGGTCGTGCCAGTGTTGGATCTCTGGGACCTGCTTCTGAATCAATCGAGATGTGCCCGACGCGTACGATAGGCGAGTCGTCGGTTTGCTCCTCGGGCGAGGTCGTTTGACCCGTACGGTCTGTATGGAGAGCGGATGGTTTGGACATGATACAGAATAGTGACTTCAAGCCCTGGTTCATCTCCTCGCACCACACCTTAAGCTGCGCATCTTCGAAATTCCAGCCGCAGAGGACTCGTTGTCTCTGTAGCTCGTTATAGTCACTCGGAGTGCTCAGATTTATGGGCAAAAGTGTGCATTTCCGACCCAAGGAAGTGTTTGCCATCATCCGTGAAAGTTAAGATTGGTGTACGTGTCATACGATACGACATGCATGTGTGAGTCGTAGACGGCGCTCGCTTATTCCTGACATGGATGTCAAGATCATCCTATTCCTTGCCCTCTTATAACCGGAAGGCAGCTCAGGGGTAACTTAGACATCTGCAAGACGACATCAGTTACATAAATCGATCCGTGCTTATAGATATGGGCGATGATAATCCGTAGTCTTTGAGTATGCCGATGGTAATGTACTAATTGTGATGTTGGATAAAATCCTCTGGACCAGCCAATTAAGCGGGATGTCGCACAATGTCATAAGGTGTAACCAAAGCAAGTGTTCTTGATATCTACATTTAATCACACTAGTATACACAAATGCTTGCAGCAATGTATTACGTGGTGATCTATGCTCCGGCTCATTCGCTTTAAACATTCGCGTCGCAAAAGTCAATCGATGTCATTGATCACTTATCGCGCACGGTTCTGTGTATACTATACTTCACTTCATTCATGGGTACAATACCAAATCCTATTTCGATTAGCGCTGTGTCCAGACTCACTTGAATACTATAAAGTAGAAATCACTCAAAAGGTTGTCTCGCGTTCACCTCACGACAACTTCTGCAAACTTTCGATTACGAGGCTCAAGTCAAGCTTACCATGAATGAGCCATCTAAACCGCGATATGTTCTCATCGCATCAAATGGAGACGCCATTCTAGTTGTCGGGCCAACCGAGACACGAATTCGTGTTGAAACTTCTGCACTGGAGAGCGCTTCCTCAGTCTTTCGAGCTGTATTCTCGTCCGGGTCATCCGAAGCACTGAATTTCAATCGAGTTGAACCAGTTGTGATCCCTCTACCTGAAGATGACGAGGACGCCATGGAAGCGCTATGCAACATCTTGCACTGGAAAAATGATGCTCTTGGCGTAGTCGACCCTGAACGAGCTTTGCGAATTTCACGAGTGGCCAGGAAGTTTGAATGTCTGACCGCATTGAAGTTCGCAAGCGCGCAGTGGCTCATTCCTTCAGAGTGTATGTCCGCATTGGACCTCGTCAGACTCGCTGCTGTGGCTTATTGCTTCGACAACAATACTGCATTCAGCAACCTCACGCACACCATTATTTCGACACGGACTGAGGCTCCTGTACCCAGTGCGGATCAGCAACGGGAAGTATTCCCACGTGAATTTTGGAGTAAGTCTACCGATATCGCACTTCTTCGTGAAAAGTTTAGCTGAAGATTGTGTAGCTTTGATGGAGGAGCGACACAGCAGCCTGCGAACTCAACTTACTGATATGATCTTCCGGCTTCTGCGCGCTGATTATTGCAGGATATGCGAGTCCACTTCTCAAAGCAAGGTTCTAATTTACCTCTCGAAACTTCAGAACCTTGATATCCTTCCCCCACCAGCAACTATGAGCATTGCCGAGATGCTAGGAGCGCTTGCTACTATCGACAATGGTGACAGAACTGTCGGAGAGTGTGGCAGACATCACCCAAGATGTGCTCCTGACAATCAATTGAAAGAAAGCATTTCCCGTTTCGCGAATGAGTTTGTTGGAATATGTCTGACGTGCGTTCGGAAGGAGGACTATGTCAAGGCAAAATATTGTCAAGGATGTACCTGAGAATCATTTCAACCTGATTTCAGGCATTTCCAGTACCCTGGGCATTGTCGCTTTGGCTTAAGTATGCCATCAGGCTCGTGGACAGATTTCGTCCTAGAATAGCACCTCAGAGTTCCACATACATGGAGCTGTGTTAGATATGCTACAATGAAAGTTTATACCAGTCTCGCATCGAGCTGGATTGATCTGAGATTCTCTATCAGAGGATAGATTCATAGTGCACGGGTTGTAATATAAGCGGATACTCAAGACTGTCTTGCTGTGACTAGAGTCAGGAACGTTGAGTCTGATTCATAGTCTCTTCTTGCAGTGCTATTCAATCGTCAAAAGGTCTGTCTTCAAGGACCTTCGACAGCATACGCGCGTATCTTAGATCAATCTAGTTGGAGAGGGCTGAACTTGATATCGCAATCGAGTCACATGAAGCTGGGAATCTGAATATTGGACAATATTGCCCAATGTGAGATAGGACGCCATGCGATAAAAACGACTTTCACTACCCTGTTCTAGCCTAGTGAACAAATAAAGCAGTGACTATTCCCTCACAGCGCAATTCACTACCTTGTATCTAAGCACAGACCTTTCGATTGAGAATCACATCAACGAAAATGCCCACCCACGACTTCTTTAAGTTTCACCACTATAACTCATTCACACGAGTTCAGTTCCTTACCGTACATTTACCCCCTGCTTAACACAAGCCGCGTATAGTCACACCGCCGCACGCTGTGAAGATGAACGACTATATCCTGTACAACAGGCGCGTGCACTATTTCTTGAGCGATATGCTTCGAAGACAGTTGATCGTGAACCGTCTTACATCCGCAATAATGACCAACGAATACCCAGTTACCGCGACTTGCGGCGGAGACAGTCTCGGTATTACATAAATTCATGTCCTCTCACATCCCGTGTAAACAAACTCTGACTTCATGTAGGGCGCCTCGATCATGCCGTAGCTCTCATTTCCCAATGTTTCGAGCAGGATCCTGCGGCAGCTTACTGGTTGAACGATAAGCCTCACAATGAGCGCATCGCATACCACCCACAGCTCTTCTACCACCTGTTGAAGCCCGCAGCCTTGCTCGGAGCGTACTTCCTCGAAGCTAACACTTGGGAGAGCACGGTCGTCATGATCCCACCCAAGATCCGCACCGACAGCGTCTGGATCAGCCTGCGCGCCGGCTGGCTGAAGAATATATGGCACCTGGGCTATGGAGGATGCAAGGTGAGCCGTATCACACACCCAGTATCGTGGGAGTGAACAACGCGCAATCCTGGATCCGCACCCGACACCTAAACCTGAACCTTGAAACTAACAGAAGCACACTACAGCGCCTCATCTTCGACTATGCGGGCACTATTGAGCGCGCGAAGAAGCGCCATATGGGCGACAAGCCCTACTTCTACATCTTCCAGGTTGCCACGCTTGGAGAGCACCGCGGCCAGGGCCTCTCGTCCATGCTGCTGTACAAGTGCACGGAGATTGCCCAGGCCGCTCGCACGCCGATTTGGCTAGAGGCAACGACCGAAGGGTCGAAGAGGGTGTACGAGCGCGTAGGCTTCAAGGTTATGGAGCACATGTCCGTGGGACGCGGCAAGTGCGATGCCAACGGGGAGGCGGAGAGAGGGGGGGATGGCCTCACGATCTGGGGCATGAAGTGGGTGCCGAGCTCGGTAGAGATATACAGCATGCCATACGAGGCGACCTAGTGAATATGAGAGATGGCGTTACTGGGGTGTGGGTTTGGGGGTTTCTTGCGTTCTGGGTAGCTATAAAGTGCGTCAGCAATGGGACAAATTCAGAATGGCTTATCTTGAAAACGTCGTATAGAATGTGCTTCTCTGTGTGATTAGTCGTCCGGCTTTGCTTGAGGTGCAATATTCTTTGTAGCCAGCAGACAGCGAAGTGATCCTCGTCATCTATGGCTGACATGAATTCCGTACAATATAGCTCATAAAGAGACTATTGAAATCCCTGATATACGATTTATCTGTATCCGATAAGTGAAAAACCAGTTTCGCAAACTCTTGGATGACAGTGCCTCTATCAAGGTTTATCGAAAGCTGCATGAGCGAAACGACACTATCATCGAGAATGGTAGAAGCATGCACTATGAAATTGAGATCCTGCTGGACGGACTATGCTTTCTGCCGACGATGAAGACAGTAATGCCCCGGTGGACGGTACAGCGTCCGATAGATCAAGCGAAACTCAAGGTTATGGACCGAAAGCGTCGTCGCTGCTAGACTGGGCCTAAGGATTCCTGCATCTCTCACGCCACGAAGACGATTCCATGGTTTACTATACCACCACATCGAGTTATACTAGATGGAGTCCACGTTATAGTTTATACCTTTGGGAGGTTCTAGCATACATAACTTTATTTATATATCATATTTATAATAGCGTAGCGCTAACCAACTCAATTCTACTATAGTGCATGTCTAAAATTTTCTATACATTTTTATAATTAGATAGGAGCGTTAGCGGGATGTTTAGGGCCCTGACTAATAATAAACTGCCTAGTAGTATGGGCTTATTATTATCTATTTAGGAAATGACGTAGGGGAAGTCATTTGATGGATTGGAAATAATAAATAAAATAAACCCAAAAGAAGAAGTTCTTGCGGGGACCGAGAATCGAACTCAGGTCTGTTCGGCGTCGCTAATTACTTGCGTAATTCCACAACGAACTGTACTAACCACTATACTATCCCCGCTGAATTGATGAATGGTCGAGCACTAACTAAAATATATTCGCAAGAAAATTATTGAGAAAAGCGATTTCGAAGACGAGCGCGTGGTTGGGCGCTAGTAGCTCGCTTAACTTAGCGTATATCATCCACCTCGTAAAATGAGATACCCGACAGTGGCAAGTTTTCATCAAGTCCTTAGCCAACGAACAAAACCACCAAAATCCAGAACTTCCACTGTAGACCTATCTACATAACTTCCCACCACTGATCAAAACCCACATTGGCTGGTCATGCAAGCGTGTCCAGCCAGCGCAAGACCCCTCTGTACAAGCGTGACCAAGGCCATGTATTACTCTTCTCTTCGGCCAGAAACCGAAATCATCAGGACATGAAACCCAGCCTCAGTGCTAAGATATATACGTCTACATCTGGACGTCTAATCTGTAATATGAAATCATATGTGTCCTCGTGGTACCATATAGGACATAGCTGTGGGGTTTTATTACGATGTAGATCCAACCTGGTGGAGTTATGGAGTGTGTGAATGTGTGGCTGCTGTGAAAGAGTTTAATACAAACAATGATTCGCTCTACGACGTAAAGAGACAATATCTGTCTGGTCGAGTAGGATTCCATCAAACACCATACGCAGGCACAGCGCAAGCATGAGAAAGAACGGTGTGAGCCTGACAGCGTGGATGCCTTACCCTCTTCATCCTCTATAGCAATCGCATCTATCCGACTAGGCTTGAAGCAGTATCGAAAAGACATCTATCGAATGTCTTTGCCACGTATCCACGTGGCACAGGTATATCCATTACGACGAACGAGGCCGTGGTGGTCTAGACGAGACGACCGGCCAGCCTCAAACCGCAGTAGTGGTGACTCACGTAGCCAGCCAGATATGACATGTTCGCCGCAAAATTAACAGCCGTTCGTGCTTATTTACCCCGGATTTCCGATATAACAGCCATGCGCACAGCCATGGGTAGGTATGTAGGTATAGTAGTATTAGGTACCTCCCTACCTCCTGATGCTGGGGCGGCGCGGCTTAGGCGAGGCCCGAGAAAGCAGCACGAACGCGACGCGGCTCTCCACGACCCAACAGCAATAGCAGCTCAAAGGCACATCATCAGAGAAAGTCCAGACTGTGAGAGAACCTAGTTACGGAACAAATTATAATGTCCGGGATAACAGGGGCGTGGAAATAGAGTCATAGAAATGAAACATGACGTGCTAGAAGTTGCGCGTTCGAAGTTTGAGGCTTTTTGACGACGCGGTTTAAGTGGATCTTGTTACTCGATGTGTTTGTTGTTCTTGCGCATATTTTTTTTTTCTTGAGTGTCTGGATGGCCGGAGTGTGGATCAATGAGCCTGCAAGGTGCTAAAAGAGGTGGAGGAATGGGAAACGCGTTTGCTCGTCCACGGTCTCCTCCTCACCCGCGATGACTCTCTACTCCACGAAAGGCGCTGTCTATAATTCACGTCTACACTGGGCACCGTGGCCGACGGCGCACGTTGTGGAATGGACCGCCGCTATTAGGCGCGGCGAGGGCTCGGCAAGAAACAGCTCGAGCTTAATATGGTCTGGGACTGACTCTAGGCAGGCGTATCGCATCGCATCGCCAAGTCAGGAGGATCTGAGCCGGCGACGGGTGATGGAGTGATCATTACCTAAGAAGATGCTGGATGGGGAATGGTGAGTGTGTCGAGACGTAAGGCTGCAGGTGGAGGAGAAGGTTCGTGTTGAACCAGAAAATGATGAATTGGCTGCACGTCAGGTTATGTAAGACCCAAAGTGAAGCATTTCTTTCTTCTCTCTCTGTTTCTGCCGTAGAATGCAGCGTTCCACGGAGATGTCCAATGATGTGCGACCAGCAGAATGCGGGGGATCGCTCACAAAGACGCCATGTCTTGCGTCAGGTGCACATTGTAGTAATAATGTGGCTTGTTTTGGGCCTTCTTGAATGCCGAAATCCAGCTTGTAACGGCGGGCCGCGAGTCAAAGAATTGAAAGGCGTGATTGTATTGTCAATATGGACGCAAGAGTGCTTCGGTGAGCGTAGTGGATAAGATATTCATAATTAGTATGACTGTAGCCGATGCGTGGATCGATCGTATGCACTCGCCGACTCACGATGAGAGCACAATTCCAGCATCCGGAACAGCCCACGGTAAAGAAGAGATTTTTCTTAGTAAAACATGGGATCGATGGTGCTGTTGTGCATTGAGGAAAGTTTTTCCTTGGATGGATGGCCGAAGCGCAAAGGGCAGTGGAGTGGCTAGTGCTTCTATGAATTAGTGGCGCCGCACAAGCAGTGGACCGACAGTCAACTCGCCAGCCAGTGGTGATGAGGCGAGCAATGCAGAGATTTCATTTGGTGTCGAAACTCTCAGAAATTAACGGGTGCTGGTGCCGAAGATGGATGAATGCTAATGCTGTCAAGGTCTGACTAACTGTCATTGCCATCATGTCATATTGGGGGAAGAAGGGAAGGGGGGGGAGAGTGAGCAGCACAACGGGCCACGAGGCTGGGATTCGACGCTGCAGCCCCGTGCCCGTGGTGCTGGAAAGGATGGCATCAGACTGGCCATGTGCTTGCGAAAATCTGTTAACGTCAATCCATCTAGTTCTGTGTACATAATACTCATCGTCCCTCTACCCCTTTATCGTTTTCCTTCTTCCCACGGCTTTTCTTCCCGTTGGACCATGTTTTCTGACCTCCTGGTGCTATATCAATTGTTCCAGCACAAGACAAACTCGTGAGCATTCATCCAATCGACTGCTCATCATTCATAATTCCCCACAATACGCTTGCATATCATTGCATATTGTCGGCGCGCCGCATCAGCCAATCCATCCACTTTCCTTCGAATAAGCAAGCTCTTTCCTCTCACGTCAAGGCCATCATTATGCCTGGTCGACTTCTTGGCTTCCGCCGAGCCTCACCCGCTCCATCCGTGGATCCTTCCGCCCCCAAAAGAGATTCATTCCACTCACAGATTTCCGCATCCGGAAGGAGGCGATCCACTTCGCTGGCTCGTAAACAAAAGAGCAAACCCAATCCAAAGGTCGATGTTCTGGCTCTTGCTTTTGGTCGTCGATACAGTCAGGACGCGAAGATGACGAACAAATCTCCACCTGCGGTTCAGGAACCAGGAGGACCTGCCAAATTAGACATGCTCGTTGAATCGCCACCACTTGTGCTCTTTAATCAACCTCAAGATTCGACGGGTGCCTTATTCAGTGGCCTATTGAAGATCGACGTGAGAACTGAGCGAGTCGTAGTGGAGTCTTTTAGCGCTAGATTCGTCCAGAAGATCACAACCAAGAAACCCGTTGGGGAGAGGTGCTCACAGTGTGCCAATCACACAAAAGACCTCAAGACCTGGGACTTTCTGGCAGAGCCTGTTCATGGAACCTCATCTCTGACATTGGACCGTGGCGAACACAAAGTTCCTCTCAGCTACTTGCTTGATGGCAAGCTACCAGCTACGACTCGTGGCATAGACATGGTCTTGGATTACCATATCATTGCCGAGGCTGTTCTCAATACCGGTGATGTTCTGTCCTATACTAGAACGATCGACGTCAAACGTGCCATCATCCCTGGTATCGACAAGCATTCTGTAAGAATCTTTCCTCCGACCAACTTGACCTGTCAGGTGACTCTTCCACCTGTGGTCTACCCGATAGGCGAATTCAAGATCGCCATGCGCATGGCTGGTACTACCAATCGCAAGGCTGACTGCATCCTCTCCTGGAGGCTTCAACGCCTGCTATGGCGCATCGAAGAAACACAAAAGACTGTCTCTCCAGCCTGCCAGAAGCACCAACACAAGCTCGCGACCCAGGAGGATGGCACGCCCAGCGACGGTCAGCCACACGTACACACCCGGGACATCGGAGACGGCGAGCTGAAGACTGGCTGGAAGACATGCATCGATGACAACATCGAGATTGAAATCCCGTGCCACGTCAACTCGGCCACTAGACCCGTTTGCAACATGAGCGGACCTCATGGCATGAGTGTAAAGCACCAGCTCATCGTCGAAATGGTAGTTGCCGAGCAGTGGAGTTCGAAAAAGAAGCCCCAGCAAACCACTCCGACGGGTTCTGCTAGAATCCTCAGGACCCAATTCGGATTAGTCCTTACCGAACGAAGCGGCATGGGCATTGCTTGGGACGATGAGGCACCTCCAGTGTACGATGACGTTCCAGCGAGCCCACCCACTTACCGCGTCGCGACCGCTGAAGATATCAGCGATATCGAAGCCACAACCAGCTTCGAAAGTCTCCGTCTTTCAGAATGAGCATATCATCAGCAAATTCATCATATCAGCATTTGGCCACGGCGCAATATCCTTCGACCGTTTATTCCAGCATCGGCGTTCATCTGACACATTTTTATCAGCAATTGGCGAGACGGGGCACTCTCAACTTTTTTTTCCATCAGCTCGGACGCAACGGGCAAAAAGCAAATCTCGAGGACGCGGTGGATATACCCCTGGAAGCTCTCCGACACGTTGTCAAGGCTTTGGTCGCCGAATATTCCAAAAAAGCATGGCACACTACAAGCATGCGCGCTTTGACGCGCCTTACTGATCCAACCAAGAGGTTATCCTCCTAGCATTATGTAATCATAGCGAAAGTATCACGTCTAGAACGACATCAATCCATCTTCACAAACATTCTTTTTTCCCACAAGTCATCAGATCAGTAATCGCATTCCATTCTGCTCCCAAGCCTTCTCTCAAAGTCCAAAAATACCACATCACGCTACATGAATGATGACGCCTTGACCGTTCCACCTTTTCTCACCCATCGTCCCTCCACCTATGCCCACAAAGATGGCACAAACCCCCTTGCTCCGCCTACCCACCTATATTCCTATCCCTGCCCACGCGTCCTCTCGGACACATTAATACCAGTGCCACAAGCCACCACAACCAGAATAAACCAAGTCCAGTAATCCTAATCATAATCATAATCATCATCATAAATCGACCACTCATACAACACAAAATAAACCAAATAACTAGCCTCTACAAGGAATCTTTCCCTGTTGTCCTTCATACTTCCACAAGCCCGTCCTGTCAGTCTACCACATCATCTATTATCCCATATTACATCGTATCTCTGACCTTCACTTCAGATCTCCCTTTGCCAATACCGGAACTCAAAGTGTCCGAGAAAAAACGTGTCCACGCCCACGCCCACGCTGCCACGCCCGCATCTCTCAAATCATCCTATATGTATATGTGAACATATAAATAAATAAGCCCCATTCCATACATTCATTCCATCCATACGTCCCGGTCCCATCCCCTGCATCTTGCGCATCCCTCGGAGCGGGGCGCAGTGAGTTTTAAAGCCTTGCATTTGCATCGCAGTTGCATTTGCATTTACATGGCATGACATGACATGGCATCACATTGCAGCCACTGTCTCGTCGGCTTGGGATCCGGGGGGCTTGTGCTTTGCTTTCTGCCTTCTGTTTTGGGCAGAGATGTTCTTTTTTTTTTCCTCTTCGGCGATTTTCTTGGGTGCTTGCTGGGTCGGGGAATGCGAGGGTTTCTTTGGGTCGGGATGATTTTTCCTTTTTCCTTAGGACCAAGAGGCCGGGGCAGGGGGGGGGTGAGTCATGTTCATGCAGAAGAGTGATAGATACTAGTGAGTGATCTTGCAGATTTTGTTTGAGATGGTGGCAGAGGAGGATACTGAAGCACGTTTGGATGGATGACGGGCTGTTGCTGCTGTGCTTGTAGTTGTGAGGATGTGGGCTAGGTAGCAATGAGACAGGAAAGTGAGATAACGATGTATCATCTTGCAAGTGTAGAAATGACGCTTCAGCGGTGGTCGTGTAGTGATACATAGGTAAACTTTTATAGTAGTGGTACAATTGCAAAGGGAAAACAGAGACTTGCGTCACCACCATCCTCTATAAACCAATGGTATGCCCTGATAGCAATACCCGCGAAGAAACAAAAGAGCCACACGAACACAAGCATACGCTAACCCACAGCAAAGAACCGCACAACCCTTATTTCAAAACACATACCCCATCTACAACCTCGCTGCCTTCCGGAACCTGCCCAACCGTCCAAAGAACTCCTCCGTAACCTTGCTGTCCACGAACTCCACAACCTCCTCAACAGCAGAACCATCCGGACTCGCTCTCACCCGACACGCATATTCATTCCGATACGTGCCAATCGGCGTGTGTGCGATACCCCGGCCATAGAGCATAAACGAGCGCGCCGAGGGATCGATGACGAAGCTCTCGAGCTCGAGGGTGAAGTCTGCAAACACGGACTTGAGACGGGTGAGATAGCGGCCGTACTGGGCGTTATCCATGGGGCGGGTGCCGATGGAACGTGGGAGGACGGTGTGTGTGCATGTAGGCGTGCGCAGCGAGATGATGGCCGGGACGGTCCAGGTGTTCCAGCCGGCGACGAAGCGTGTTAGGAGGGCTTCGAGGGTGTGGCGGGAGACGGGGGATTGAGGGGTAAGCATAGCCTGGTCGGAGGGAGCTGGTGAGTCGAGGATGGGATGTTCGGACAGAGGAGTGAAAGGAAGAGTATTTGACTCGAGAGGCGGTGGGAAAGGGAGAGCGTTTGATTCGGGTGGTGGTGTAGAGACGAACATGTCTGATATTTAACTTCGAATGAGGCGTAGAGAGGAACGTGTTTGACTCAGATTGATGTGTAAAGTCAAGTATGTGTGGTCCCGATTGAAAAGTGAAGGAGTGTCGTGGTACAAAAGATGGGTGATCTAAAAGATGCGTGGGCGGCCAGTCGGATGTATTATACAGAATTACTGAACATCAGTTTATGATCCAGCGTGATGCAGATATCTTGTACGAACTGCTGACGAAGAGCTGGCGTAATGGTGTGTAAAAGTATGTGTCGCAAAAAGCAAATAAATAGACTGGTCTGGAAATCACTCAAGACCAGGGGGGGTATTCATTGGATGGAATGCTCCGAATCATGCTTTTGCGAACTAAGCCTTGGAGAATCCGTGGTCCCCGAAGCAAGGTATGACAATTCGCTTAACCACAGACCTCCAACGGACGCAAGAATTTGCGGCTCGTAATGGTCACAGCTCTATCGCCTCACGTCTGTGATTGACTACATCTCTATAATTCTGGCCGACAAGGTCATAAAAGTAAAACGAAGCAGTGAAAGCACTACCCAGTCAAATGTGACATCATTAGTGAGTCTATTGCTCAATATTTGGTTTGACACCTGTCCAGGATGCTTCTTGACTCAAGCTTGTCCAGAAAGTGTATAGATGTATGTGCAAGCGTTGCGCACAAGACAGACGTACACAATGACTCTTATCAAATAGCGATTGCATAATCTCCTTTGAACTTCTATGCTGCATGCGAATATCCGCCGTTCGATGATTACAACAAGGTCCACTGTTCGATCTTAGTTTCGAAACGTAACAAGTCTTGACCGAGCATCTCCCACACGGAATTTTTCGAGAGCATCAAATACGTGCAAGAAGTCATCGTCTGGCGCAATACGATATGGAGGCCATGAACCGGACTTCTCGGACTAGCATCAGGAATTCAATACGGCCCGGGTACCCCCCGAGTAGCGACTTGGCTCGTTCCCATATAAAATTAGCAAAGGCCAACTCGTGCCACTTGATGCAATTCTGCGAAGCCTTTTCCGCTCTAATATATGGAAGTTATAATCAGCTCCAAACAAGCGGTTTTATGTTCATGTCTCGGTCGAGATCATGGGCTTGCGTTGGGTGATTATTACGATGTCGTGAATAGATGCTTGATCTTGATCATGCTCTCGAAGTCCCAAAGCTTGATCATTTTGAAGTCTGCCGCTGCTGTGGAGGTCGTGCGCCGAGTCCGTGTATATGCGGGCGTCTACAGTGGTTCCGTGAAGCTTCTACTGCAGTTGACAGTCTTCAAAACGGCTTAGCAACCTTCCTCGTCTCCACAGCTCCTGTTGTCGGATCCTTGAACTCTCTCCAACTGATCGGATACATCTGATGACCCGCCTCGCTTGTCGCCATAATTACGCCAAGCTCATTCGATGCCGTCGAAATGTAGTATGAACTCTGGTCGCCGAGACTGATTACAATTCCCTTCACTACATCTCCAACCCGAAATGAATCTGCAATGACCACGCGATCCTTCTCCGTTGCTCGTACATCTTCCCTGCGGACAATTCCTTGGAACGCCTCGCGGCAAACTTTGTCTCCGATGACCAGTATCTCTACCTGGGCTTGCCGCGTTGAGAGGCGTGTTACACGTGCGAGCACGATGGATTCGACTTCAGGGAGAATCGCGCTGCCTTGACCTGGTGCTGGTGGCGCGCGTGCGACACTCACGGTGGCCCGCGTCTGCGATTTAGCGGGGGCGGATTTGAGAGTTCCGGCGACTGATGAGATGAGCGCGCCAGAAAAAGAATGGGTGCCTGAGCCGGGTGAGCTCGACGCAACAGCTTTGAGAGGCTGTCCAGGAAGCACGAGAGGAGCAGACATTGTGTGACGAAGGAGCAGATCATGAGCTGTGGAAGAGATCTACGTTGACGTTCAACGACTTGTAACCAGAATATTTCGTAGCTAGTACCAATCTGCCTAGCAACTCGCATCATGGTCTGTGCGCTTAACGTCGAGTGGTAAATCCGAATGCTATCGGAGACGGTTTCGAGACAGACAACAACCTGGTTCCCTCCAGCACGACATACATCCTCGCCTCTCATCTCTGATACCTATGGTTCCGCCTATGACTTTCTTCGCTATTCCTTCGCTCGAGCAGGTGTGATACTCATGATTGAATGCTCCCCTTAAAAGTCCTACATCCCTACGAACATCGTAGTCTTATCGTTCAAGAGTGGCTGTGACAGCACTCTCGACTCGAATCGCGTTATCAGAAATCACCATGGTCGGAACAGCGCGCTCTCCCTCGCAATCTCTAGTCCCTCCACATGAATTTGAAGATCCATTCTCGCGAATATCAAACGACCAAGTGCACAGCCCTGTGAGTGTAGTGAGCAACTGGGAAGAACGCAAAATATCGCCATGGAAAAGCGCAAAATGGAGACATACATTGGGCATTGCATGCCTGATGACTACAGTCGTATTATGGACGACAAGCAATTTCCTAGCAAGTGTGAGTGGACAACCGCTTTAATTGGGGAACACATTAGACTCGAGAAGGAATAGCCGTAACAAGAGCCCGCTCAGCCCTTATCAAGTCTAGGATAGTTTCAGATGAGTAGACAAAGAGTACTGACATGTTTTCAATAGACAATCTTCGCCGACGACACCTATTCAAAGCCCTACTTTGTGACCTACATCAACACATCTTTCTTCATATTTCCTATAGTACCCATGATTATCAAACATTGGTGGAAAGAAAGGGGACAGAACAGTTCGTGGAGGGATCTTCTCAAACGGAGAGTGGGAAAATATTCTCTGCTAACGCAAGAAGAGGAGGAAGAAGCATTTCTGAAGCGCGGAGAGCGCCGAGAAAGTACAAGCGGAAGCTCTGCGACCACGCAGATGCTGATGTCTGAAGACATTGCTAACAGCCAAGAACTTAGTAGTGCGAGCAACAAGAGTGAAGGTGCACATAGTGGAGATGACGTATTCACTGTGTTTGATACACTGAGGCTGAGCATTGAGTTTTGTATTCCTTGGGTACGTATATATATGCCCCCAGAACGCAAGTAAATACTGACCTCGGCCACTCAGTTTTTAGCGAATTATTTTACCGCAGCATGTCTCGAGTACACCACTGTCGCTTCGTCCACCATTGTAGCATCTACATCATCTATATGGACACTCCTGATTGGGTCTGCACTGGGCGTGGAACGATTCACAGTGCGTAAAATGCTGGGGGTCCTAGCATCCCTCGCAGGAGTTGCTCTGATATCCTTGGTCGACATGACTGGCGACAATGATGAGAATCGAGGTGACTTCCCTCACAAGTCGCATAGAGAGATCATCACGGGCGACAGCATGGCCTTCATAAGCGCCCTACTCTACGCTGGCTACACCATCATGATGAAGAAACGGATTGGAGACGAAAGTCGAGTCAACATGATGCTATTCTTTGGATTTATAGGCATTTTCAACGTCATTGCCCTTTGGCCTGGCTTTGTCTTGTTGCACATTACTGGGGTGGAGACATTTGAGCTTCCACCTACACAATGGGTGCTAACAATAGTAATGGTACGTTTGACTACGCTGGTTTCCTGCCAGTTCTAGAGATCATATTCAAGACTAAAATTTCCACACGTAGATCAATTCTGCGTCGTCCTTGGTCGCTGATATCACGTGGGCTTTTGCCATGCTCTTGACTTCTCCACTTGTTGTCACAGTTGGCCTGTCGATGACCATCCCGCTCTCACTCGTCGGACAGATGTGGCTTGACTCGCAGTACGCTGCACCACTGTATTGGGTCGGAGCATGTATTGTCTTTTTTAGTTTCATCTTCATAAATCGCGAGGAGAATCGTGAAGAAGGTGTTTCAGGCCAAACCATCATAATAGACGAGGCATGATCAGGCCGTCCATCTCTGTCGGTTTGTTGTCTGAAATGAATGCAGGCGCTTGCAGTGTATGGTCATTTGAGGGCGAAAGCATTCAGCAGCGTCGCGATATCTCGTCTATAATCAGACGGCAATGTTGGGTAATCCACAGATATACCTCAATTGAGATATATCGCGGATGCCATGCTCGCTGGTTCTTAGACCTCTGTCCCCTTCTTGAGCTCGTCCTCCTCCTGCCTGTCCCTTCTCGCTCTGCGTCCAACCGAAGTCACGCTTTCGTCATACGCCGCCATCCACACCTGGTCCTCTGCGTCTTCTTCTCCCTCGACGTCACCAATGTATCCTTCATCCAGCATCCATGTGCGCAGCATGCGCTTCACTTTTGGACCCCAAACGTCTTCACCAGCCTCGAGATCGGTATACTCCAACACATTTTCGCCCAACGTGAAGCGTCCTTGGCGTGTACGTATCAGTCCGGCCATGAAGGCTTGGCTACCGCAAGCTTGGCCGAGGTCGAAGCAGAGAGATCGTACGTAGAAGCCGGAACGGACTGTCATACTTAGATGCGCTGCGGGACAAGAGGAGCCGTCAGGTGCCGTGGGCGGTGCAGGAGTTGGGGCCGAGTGCTCAGGTGCTGGTACGTCAGTGTTATCAGTCGAAGCGATTACGGGCTCAGGTTGATCCTGTAACGCGCTGGACATTATGGCATCATCCGTCTTTGCTCCATTCTGTGACGCTGTAGGACTGGTAACTGCCTCAGAGTCCTCTGGAAGTGCCTTCGCTCTGGTGTTGGATGTGGTCGATTCTTCGCTTTGTACAGTTGAATCTTCAGGTCCGTGATTGGTTTTGAGTTTCTTCGAAGCTCCCATGCCAACAGCCTTATCCAAGATTACTTTCGCACCTTTGGCATCCTCTGTATTCAACTTCTCTGCTGGGAATCGGTAAGGGTGTGATTCAGGCTCGAGCCATTCAGTCATCTCCAAGCGATCCACGCGCGTCTCTCGCTTTGGCAATTCTGGCACTTCACCACCCTCTCTCGCGTATTCATACATTCTTTTGCCTTTGTTTTGCAGCGCCGAATAGATTGGGGGCCTCTGCATAATCTCCCCGCGAAAATCGGCCAATTTGTCTTCAACCAACTCTCTTTTCAGATGCGCAGTGTCGCCTATCTCCAAGATCTTCCCTTCTCGATCGTATGTGTCTGTGGCTGCGCCGAATAATACCTGGGCTTCGTAGTCTTTTGTGCAATCGATGAACTGTTTTAACGCTTTCGTGCCGCGACCAACGCCCACCACAAGAACTCCAGTCGCTTGCGGATCAAGTGTCCCACCATGACCCATCTTCACTTGACTCCGGAATTTGGATTTGTTCCATCTCTTTCGTTGGCGTTCATCACCGGATTTATTGATTCGGTCACGCTCACGCTCGAGCCATGCCGCAAAAAGCTTGGAGGAGTTGAATTGTTTTTTTATTACTTCGAGAAGGCCGGCGGAGGAGATACCGGGGGGCTTGTGGATGGCTATAATACGGATTACTGTCAGCCGTTCTCTCTCATATGCGATTGGGAAGCTCTGATGCGCATACCGAAAACGCCTTCGTATATAGGTCCGGGCGAAGCCATGAACGATCGAACATATAATGCCAGTCGTTGGAACATGTACGACTGCGATACACGACGGCCAGACGTCAGGATTCACCTCGACCGCAGACAGCGAGTGAGGCTAAAAAGTTCAATGATCTGCCTGTGGAAACCTTGAGCCAAGGAATCAGAGCGGAGCGGAGCGGATTGTAGTGGACGCTAGAGCCAGAAAGTAACTAGCTCCAGGTACATGGACGGGCGACCTCACTTCCTTCGGAGTCGTTCCCTCATCTTCCGCTTCGTCCTGAACTTTAGTCTGCGGACAACGCGGTGTTTACTCTCGCGGGACTCATCTGCGACGTCATGTTTACACCATACTGAGATACTGCATTTCTGGGACTCGAGGTTACACTATCGCGTCCCAACACTTTTTAGAGCCTCCTGCGCTATTCCTCCTCTGGATGATTGTGTATACGAGCACTTCCGCTCTTTGCCGTACCTCCACATATACCGCCTAGGTGGTCTCCCATACTACTACGAGCGAAATGTAGAGACAATGATACTAAAAAGAGCAAGACGACCGCACGCTCCCGTCGCGTTGACTCGGCTTGCTTCCAGACTTCACTCATCTATTCCCGCAAGACCCTAGGCCCCTGTCTCCCTGGGAACAGGAGCTCTGCAGTCCGACTCTAGCCATGAACAGCGCATAGCGAAGTTGAAATAATGGATGGCCGTTTGACTCATACGACTCTTTCGATCATCCAGAATAATTTCCACCACTTGCCGGGGTCTAGTCCTAGTGTTAGAGTAGGGGACGCCGAAGGTCACATCTCGACTTATAGAGTATTCCATGTTCATGCCGATCCAACTTCAGGAGTTATTATTGATATGGACAACTTTATGTCCAGGTATTCTATGATCACCATGAAGCATACATACTTCAATGTCAACCGGCATCACGTAGGAAACGTCTGTTTACGATTTTGTTTACTGTCCTGATCAGGGTAAATCTGACTGACTTTGAGCCATTTACATCACTCTTCTATCATCACTCTCAAATTTCTGCCCACACTCAAGTCTGTTCCTTAGTCTATCACTTAATCAATTCTTCAAGGTTACCACACTCTAGTAGAGCGCGACTCTGAGTCGAATCGGAATGCACCGGAGTGTGCATACCTGCGTGTATAAGATGTCTCATGATCCCAGTCTTTTCAGTCTTTCTTTCTTTCTTTCTTTCTCGTCCCTCGTCCTGAACATTCAAACCACAGTCACTCGCTTAGACCTACAACCATGTCGTCAAGATCCCTTCTTTCCATCCTTTTGGCGGTCTGGCAAACTGTTGCAACTCCTCACGGTGGATACAGTGTTGAGCGAACCCTCGCCGAACGACTATCTTGTCCGAAATGCAATGGCATTACTTACGCTACCAATAACGGCGATCTCTTTGAGATTGTTTGCAAAAACTTTGCAAATGCGAACCAGGGTGAAAACACTATCCATTCTGTGACATTGGCCGGAGAACCTGCAGACAACTTCGAAGATTGCATCGATCGTTGCAGCAAGTCCGAAACGTGCATCGAGGCGCTCTATACTCCCTTTGGCGACCAGCCTGAAGGCGGTGAGTGCTCGCTTTTCGATACCGAGGAGTTCCAAGAGGATTTTGAGTGGCTCGCCAGACGAGTTAGGCGTGCGTCAGGTACTGGTACGTATCTCTTGAATGGCATTCATTCGAAAGTGTTTCGATTTTGACACTAGCTACAGCTTCATCTTCGACGGGTGCTCCCACTGGTACATCGGCTTCTTCTGGTGCAACGACCTCAGCTGGTACCACTGGTGCTTCCAGTTCCTCTGACGCAACAACGTCAGCCAGTACCACCTCATCCGACTCACCTCTCCCACCAGTTCTCTCGAGCTTGTTGTCGGAGATCGACTCCGTGTTGCCGACCAACCTACCGACAGATCTGCCGCCCGTCTTATCAAGCTTGCTATCAGATATCAACCAACTTCCCTCGGAGATTCCTGGTGATGTCTCGAGCTTGTTGTCGGTTATCGAAACCCAGATCCCAACTGCACTGCCGACGAACCTTCCACCAATTATCTCAAGCTTGCTGTCCGACATCGAGGGTGACGCCACCAGTATCGTAGGCGATGTGACCAGCATTCTGGGCGATGTCACCAGTGTCCTGAATGATCTTCCAGGCGTCCCAACCGTGCCGGCAATCATCTCGAGTCTGCTGTCGGACATTGTCACCGACCTCCCAACCCAGCAAATCCCCAGCGTGGTCAGCGTCATTGAGTCTGTTCTCGATCCCGTCGTCACTCCAATCACTTCTATTATCAACGACATTCCGGTCGTAATCACCCCTGTGCCTATCGTCAGCTCTATCGTCAACGATGTTCCTATTGCCGTGTCACGGTGCAATGTCGTGCTCGGCCAGACGGTATGTGTCCCCGTAGTCGTGGCCGCGGCTACGCCTGCTGTGATTGGGTAGTGAAGTGGCACTAGTGAAGGACTTGATGCGAAAAAGTAGGAATGAAGGGTGGGGTGTGCTTTGACATTGAAGACTACCATAATTTGTAATTTAATTCTTACCCATAGATAGAATAGAAGGCTGTTCCCGAGATCCATATCTCCATTGCTCACTCAGACTATTCATTATGACCTTACTATCGCTTCTTCCGAAAGGGACACACAGCAGCTTTCACACCCCCGTCCACAAGCGCAGCTGATGGCGCTCCAAGATTAGGTCCGCAGCCTAGGTAACATGCATGCACATCAGCAAGGATTCAAATAGCACACACGAGGTAACCGATGCGAAATCAGAAAACATCAACACAGACCTTCTCCGCAATCGCGTACACGGTAGCACTTGTATGCGTCCCCGGAATCAGCGGCATCACACTCGCATCCACCACACTGAGCCGATCAACGCCATACACCCGCAACTGCGGATCTACAACTCCGCCCAGCTGACGCGTCATCATCGCACACGTACAGCACGGATGCGAATAGCTCGGCGTCACAACCGCTCGCAACGCCGTGCGCAGCTGCTCGTCCGAGACGAACCCTGCGCCGGGGCTGAGTTCAGCGGCGCCGAGCTCCTGCATCGCGGGGCTGGCGAGTAATCTGCGGTTCGTGCGTAGCGCGGCGATGAGGGTGGTGAGGTCTGTGGGGTCGGCGAAGGTGTTGAAGTCGAAGGATGGGGGGACAGTGATGTCGGTGGATGTGGTTACTACGGAGCCGCGGGAGAGGGGCTTGAGGAGGGTGATGGGCATGACGGCGCTGGAGGAGAAGCCGGTTTCTTGGACTGGGGTGCTGCGTGATGCGTACTGGGCGAGGAGAAGGGTGTGTTGGCGGGCGTAGCCGGTGAGGATGGAGGGGTGAGTATTTGGGTATAAGGATTCGAGAGTGTGGGTGTCTGCGTCTGTGGTGGTGGTGAGGGAGGTTATAGAAGAATTAGAGGATACGAGGGCGGGGAAAGAGAGGAAGGCAACTGTGTTACCGCCTTGAGCGACGGTTGTGTATGCGCCTGTTCGGGAGGTGTAGTATTGGACGAGTTGCTCAGCGGCGTATGTTGTGTTCGAGTCTAGTGTGTCTGCTGTTGGGAGCAGCGGGGTGGAGACTGATGTGAGTGTTAGCGGTGACCTCTGGAGAGGGACGATGGGTGGAATGGGCAGGGCTTGCAGTTCATGATGTGGTATATCGTTGGATGGTCCTGGAAGTTACTCCCGACTCCGGGCAGCTCGACTTGTGTGTCGATCCCGAGATCATCGAGGACGTCCGGGGGTCCAATGCCGGAGAGGTGGAGGATCTGAGGCGAGTGTACGCCTGCGGCGAGAATGACTTCTTTGGTAGCGATGATATTGAACGTGCCAGCGTTTGTGAGGTTCCTCACTTCCACACCAGATGCGTTGCCGTCTTCGATCAGTATCTTTTGAACCGCGCTTTGCGTGACGATGTGGAAGTTGGGCCTCGAGCTCGGTATGCCATCGTAATGGGCAGCACGGGCATATGAGCGTGTCTCAGTGTCAGGATCGAGACTGCTGGGTGCCCAGAACACCCCTGTTTTGTTTCCGGCAGCTGGGTCATTCGGCGTATCAATTCCTAAGCTATGCCAGCCGCGAAAAAAGTTCTCTGTGAGCTTAGGTTAGACCTTTGTGAGCATGCAGAGACAGAGTGACTGGAGTCGACATACTGACTGCTTCGTATTGGAAGACTGGATAGCTTGATTTCACCGGGCCTGCCGACCCGTGGACTGAGCTGTCCCACAGGATGTCCCATTCTTCAGCAAACTCGTCTGTGCTGGGAGTGAAGTTTTCGCTCTGTTCGACTCAGAAGCACATCGTACATGAGATGACCTCACTAACCTTTCGAAAGTACGATAGCAAACTGTCCCAGCCCCAGTCAGGGTTACCCAGTGCTTCCCATGCATCATAGTCCTCCCTCGAGCCTCTATCAAAGAACATACCATTGACGACAGTGCCACCGCCTACCACTCCAGCAGCATTGACTTGAAAGGTTCGGTTGTTGAGGCCTCTTTGCGCAGTACTGGTGATATCAAAAAAGTACGGAGACGACGTCAGGTTGAGAAGGCCGGGAACAAGGACTGAGGGCTCCTGCTGATCAAATTGACCGTATTCGATGACCAACACAGAAGCTATGCGCGACGATACTGGTTAGGTTTGTATTGATCAAGCAGTAGTTTCCGCCTACCATTAGATCCACCAGATAATCGATCAGCGACCGTCAGACCACTCGTGCCGCCGCCAATGACTATGAAGTCGTACACTGAGGAGAGTTGAGAGGCGTTCTCAAGATGTTCTGGGTGTCTCAACGAGGGATGTGCCTGGACGGCCAGAGCGTAAAGCGTGATACAAACGAAGCAGAGCATCGTGTTCGACAATATTTGTCTGGCAGGGAAATGTTAACCATGAGAGATGTCTATCAGGAGAGCTATCGAAGTCGCTTGGCCTCCCCGCACAGCACAGGGGTGCACGCATTGCTCTCGGGGTAATGCAGCTTCGGGAGTCAGACAAGGTATCTCAAAGATCTCGGTATTCCGGCAGGAAGAGCAGCTAGACGAGATTGTGGCAGCACGATGATTCTAGAGGCTCTTAACAACTATTGCAGCTCACTCTCAACTTGGCTCATTACACTCATTATCGATGGTAGCTGCTGTTCAGAACTTCATGGCGAATTCAGCGTGTGCGACACGCCTCAAATGCACACTATGACATTCGAAGGGCCTTGAGTGCACTTCTCGTATCCATTGTCAACATACACGTCGTCTGATAATGTGGCAGCGGGCATTCAACATGAGGGTAATAGAGCCAGGCCCGAGATGGTGAAGATGTAGGATGATGATGGAAGCCAGAGTGGACTCTTGGCTGAGAGCGTACGACATGCTGTCAAATGACCTGATGGTCATTGTAAACTGTTTGTTCCTTGGCTGCGGACGTGTTCAATGTAGAGATATCGAGTGCTATGGGATATGTGGTGGTGAAGGGTGAATGGTGGAGAGCGGATAGTCGGGCTGTCGGATTGTGGCGTTTGTGGCTGAGCCGTGGCGCTCTCTTCGCACAGCCTCGTTTACCCCACCTGCCAGAACAGACACCTTACGTAATGCTCCTCGCGCCTGCCCGCTTAAGGGACTGACTGGTACCAAACAAGACTAGTGCGGGGTAATCGCCAGCCCTAGCTGGAGCTTGCCATGCCACTTTCTCAGTTTACACGCAAGGGTACATGTTGCAGCCTGAGGAATGTGGCATGCGTCAGCCGCAAACGATTGAAACCATCCATCTGGGTAATTAACCTGAATCAATCATAAGTTACGCCGCCGCCAACACTTTACACCTTTCAGCTTCATAATTCCTCCAACAACCAACCGAATTCTTCTTTCTCTTTTCTACCTGCCTGTCCTCCACTTGCCTACACTCCTCCGCAACCCGAAGAACCCAAAACATCTACGACGAACATGGGAGTGAGTAGTGCTACCTCCCGACGTCTCCTTCCGCTGTCTACGTCATTCGGTTACTGACTTGTACCTAACAACAGCTGGCTTCCAAACTCGCTGCCTCTGGAGCACCACCAGCCGGTTATCCTCCAGCCGGTCCTCCTGGTGGAGGTTATGTGAGTCCCACTTCTTATAAAGGCCGTTTGCTGAGCGTGTCGGCTGACAAGCTTTTTCATTCTAGCCCGGACAGCCGCAACAGCAATATCAAGCCTATCCTGGCGCCCAGGGCCAACCTCCTCAGCAACACGTAAGTTGATTCACTTCATTCTTGCCACCTTCACTGCCTCTCGACTTCCACTTGGCTCTTTGGAACACTCATCGTTACCGGTGCGGCCTACCATTTCTGCACAACAACAGGCTGGAGCAACCGCGCGCGAGACTATTCCCTGTCAGGTACTTCGATTGCGCCACCTATTGCCGCCGCCTGGTCATCATCTTCATCAGAAGTTTGCGCCCGCCGTATCTTTGGCTCTTACACCTCACCACTTCCTACCTATCTGTCCTCGCTACAACCAATACTTCCCTCGAGCTATCCAATAGCTTCAAAATGCACAAAAAGTTCCAGCAATATCAGGCATATTCGGGCGGCACTCCCCTGCCAGGTCCACCTTCATCACTTCAACCTGGAGGCCAGCAGCAACCACAACCATACCCATCCTATGTCGCGCCCTCACCACAACCCCCGCACGCACAGCAGAATCAGTACAACCGCCCTCCGCCACCTCCTCCCAGCGCTCCTCCACCCAACAACTATGGTATGGGCCAACCCCCGCCGTATGGTCAGCAAGCTTCATACACTCAACAATCGCAATACGGACAAGCGCCAGCCCAGGCCAACTACTATGCATCAATACCACAGCAGAACCAGAACTACGGTCCCTATGGTCCTCCGCAGCAAACATACGTTCGTGCCCAACCCGCGGAGCCATGTTATCATTGTTTGAATATCTCATATCGCGGGGCTAACCTTTACGTCTTTTAGGGCCAATATCCACCTCAGCAGCAACAGTATGGCAGCGCGCCTCCAACCCAGGGACAAATTGCGGCATACGAGCAGCTTCTACAGCAGTGTATCCAAGAGAATGGACTTCAGTCTTTCTATCCCCCCAACTCGCCTGTGATCAAGCAGGTTGCCGCCCGAGCCGGGCCTCAAGTCGATCAGCTCTGTTCCAGATGGCGCTTGCCCCGAGAGATTGGAAACGACATTGTAAAGCTCGCTCTGTTCGACATCGTTTTATACATTGGTTAGTCAGCGAATCTTTCTGGCGACCCATATACTGACTTATACACCGCCAGATGACAGTGGATCCATGTCTTTCGAAGAAAGAGGCCCAGATGGAGAAGGGGAGCGCATCAAGGACCTTCGTCTTATTCTTCAGAGAGTGGCATATGCCGCAACGCTATTTGATGAAGATGGTCTGAGCATGCGCTTCATGAATCAAAGGTGCGCTTCGGACCCACCAGGCGAAGGAACCACCTCTGGCGTGCTTCCATCAAATTTAGTCGATCATATCAAGACAGATCATCAGGTCGAGCAGCTCCTGTCTCAGAAGAGTTTCTCTGGTCTCACACCCATGGGTCGCGAACTGAAGGCAAAGGTGATTGACGGTATCATTGCACGAGGCGGAAGAAAGCCATTTTTGGTTATCACTATCACTGATGGCCAACCTGCTGGGGAGCCTACCAACGAGGTCTTCAAAACTATCAAAGAAGCCGCGAAGAGATTCCCGAAAGGCACTGTCAATTTTGCTTTCGCCCAGGTCGGAAACGATCAGAAGGCACGTGAATTCTTGTCTAAGCTCGATAACGACCCAGAAGTAGGGAACCTTGTCGATTGCACTTCCAGTAAGTCCCAGACCTCTATATACGGCGGAACTCTAGAGTTGACCCGTTTACAGACTACGAAAACGAGTCACAGGAAATGTCTAATTTGTCACCTCCCATTGAACTTACCCCTGAGATGTGGGTAAGTCAAAACCACCAATCTCCCACCAATTCTGTGTGCTAACGCAACTCAGCTAATGAAGCTTCTTCTTGGAGCCATTGATCATTCGTACGATCGCAAGGACGAGCGCGCACGATCGGGACCTCCTACACAAGGCTATGGCCAGCAGCAAGGTTACGGTGCACCGCCGCCCGGACAATATGGAGCACCTCCCCCAGGTTATCCTCCTCAGCAGCAGCAGTATGGGGCTCCTCCGCCTGGCCAGTACCCTCCGCAAGGCTACCCACCACAGGGTTATCCGCCACAGCAGCAGGGCTACGGACAACAACGCCCGCCTCAGGGCTATCCAGGTCAGCAGGGACCGCCAGGCTATCCAGGTCAGCAGGGACAGTCAGGCTATCCGGGACAGCAGAGCTACCAGGGCCGTTGAAGGGGATAGACTAGGGTCGAGCGTGGTGGTGGTGGCATTTTAGTATTCCAAGAACTGAGCCTATGAAATGGAATAAATTCACAGACTCCTTCTTTTACCTTCCAGGTCTTAATTTCAAAATATGCTTTACCAGCAGCTCTGATAATCAGACAGTATAGTTTTGGTGCATCTCAGAGCAATGATGTAGTCTTCCACATGCAGATCCCGGCATCACCTATACAGTAATTGTGCCAATTCATCGATATTTTCCCAGAAGATCTAATGGCTTACCATGACCCCTGTCAGAGTAGTATAAACTCTTCCCATACCATACAGACTATAAAAACATTCTTCTCACACAACTTGTTCCTCCCACAGTCGAATACGTATGGAGCAGGAGTAGATCAGAGACTGGTGACACTATACATAACAAGTAAGAAGTACACGTCTTAGAACGTTATATAGTACGGGCGAGTAGTAGTAGGGTCGTAGTAGATAGACGCTAGAATGAGCCGGGAGGGGTTTGTGTATAACTCTTCATAGATATATATAGAGTGAGAGGGGGGGCGGGGGAGGGGGGTAAAAGAGGAGGGCAAATGAATGCATATGATATGATATAATATAATATGATACGGAGATAGATACTAGACCCTTCAATAACTTCATTAACTAACACTAATACTCGGTCAGAATCTATCTAAGCAGCTATAGTCTAACGTCGAATCAGGGCCTTTTTTTGTGACTCTTTTTAAGGTTCTAGAGCCATGAAGTGTTTTGCTTGTCTATTAATTAGGTCTATAGATTTTCTAGACAATTGAACCTTAATCATAGTAGATATGATATTATTCTAGTCAACTTTAGGATTTTCACAGTATGTAGTGGTTCTATTTTGAGAGCTTTTTCGCTATTAGAAGCTAGGAACACCGCTATTATTAAGGTATGTATCATGTAGTAGTTCGATGATATGGAAGAGAGAATGAGTATATAACGTCTTAGAGGGGTATATATAAACTAGGTCCTTCTTGATGACTGGGTTCCGTTTGCGCTAAACATCTTCAGCATGTATAGCCTGGGGGCAGGGGATCAATGACACAAGGTTTCCCATACTACTGTAGCTCTATGATCGACTTTAGATATATGCAAATGTACAAGTATATCACTGCTGTGGAGACTGGTATTGCGTATTGGGTGCATACTGTTGTTGTTGTTGAGGCGGCGGAGACTGCGAGTTTGGCGGATAGTAGCCTTGTCCTGGCGGCGGAGTCTGCTGCTGCTGCGGTGGTGCATATTGCTGTGCATATTGTTGAGGCGGCAGTCCAGCGCCTGCAGTTTCAGGCTTGTATTCTGCGTCTGCATTCGGGCCGACACCGCCCTTGCCTAGATTGATCATCGGATTGTAGGCTGCGGAATCACTGCCGAGCGCGGACGAGGTGCCGAGCATAAGGAGGAAGAAGTAGGTGAGGGCGGTGAAGAGGAGGGAGAAGAAGAGCTGGGCAATGGCTTTGCCCTCGGTGAGGTCGTCGCTAGCGTCTTCGAGGTAGTAGGTTGGAAAGATGATGCATGGGATTAGTGCGGCGACGATCATGGATACGACGAAGCCTGGGGTCCAGATGAAGAGTTTCTGCGAGGAGAGGGCACCACGGTCAGTATTAAGCTTGTCTTCATGAGGGATTGTACGAGGTAGACTTACCCCTAGAGGCATACTGTTCTTCTTTATACCCATGAGTGCGAGAAAGAGTAGACCGCTCACGCTGATGGCTGTAAAGAACCAGATAAACGAAATCGCTGTGGCTAGTTTGGTGTTGGAGATGGACAAGCTGAGATCGTCGTAGTCGAAGAAATCGGTCGTGGCCAAATGCGTCGCAATCCCCAAATTGACAATCGTCAGGAGGACGAGCAGACCGAAGATGGCAAAGTAGCCGAATTTGATAAACTTGGCGAAGTCGCCGCCGCTGTGTATCCAGAATGCTTGTACGGTCGGTATCACGATGGTCCAGACCAGGAGAAGAAATCCGATATTGAGGAACCATGTCGCCGCAACGGTATCGCCTGGATTGTCCAGACTGCCGCACAGCGCAGCTGCTGTGAGTGCCCAGTTCAGCAAATAGCCACTGGAGATCTGTCAGCACAACGGACTGGATAAAGGAGATATCTTTGGGACTCAAGCTCGTACAATGCCGTGAACAGGAGAGAGAGTAGGAAGTTGTGCCATTGGATAGGGCTCTTAGCCCTCGCCTCAGTGCTCATCCGTCTCTTCTTCCACCATGAGAAGGCGCCGATCGCCAGGAGGATGACCATGAATATCACGTTGAGCGCAATGACAGCACTGTTGTAGGCACCGCTGATGTCGCAATTGCTGCTACTGCTACCACCATCATCATCACTACCACCACCGCGCCCTCCACGTCCACTACCACCTCGGCCACGCGCCATAATATAAGCCTTTAGGGAAATTAGGTAAGAAAACCAGTGATTGATATTCGGACGTGTTGAGGAAATCTTGGACAGCGTTCAAGAGACGACGAGGCAAAGAGACGCTGAGAAACCACAAACCGGGGAACGTATGTCCTTTACATACACACACGGGCGCATTGTTCTTATTATAATTACACCTTTCAGCTCGTGTCCCTTTTCTCTGCCTCATCTGACCTATTCCATAGACCCAGCTTTTCTGCATGGCTTTGGGACAAGCTTTTCGTTGGTCCTTAATACGGCCGTGGGTAGCAAAAGCACCGGAATACGAGGAGGCGCTCGCTAAACACCTCCCTGCGCACCAATTACAGGAAGCAGTGGCGTTGATATTCCAGCTCCGTCGCTGTACACAGCCTTGTTTGTACGAGCGAGGACAGATCATGGCCATAGCTTCATGCATGCAATACGGTTGGAGGCATGTCACGATCGTGTTGCGGTGTTGGACCTAGGTCGGACAGACTCTTTTCCGAACACCTCCGCTGCAACTATCCTGGAGCTATGAAGTTTTGCGCCGTATTGTTGTCATGAAAGCGGTATCGAGGAAATTGGAGTGCAATCGCGTCGGGTTCAGTCATGTTGTACAATAAATCACAGATCACAGACAAGAGACAGGGGCAGGCCGCCAAAAATGGGAATTATTGCTGCCTCAGGGTTAGATATTTTAGTCTAGCCAAATGAGGAAAGGCACATATAGGCGCTCTGACCTTTGCAGAAAGATTGTATTCGTTATTTCCGGCTCCATTCATTGATAGTTCATTCAGATCTAATCTATATGTCTAGAAGATGTCCAATCATCCCGATCATGCAGTGTTTCCGTTGAACGAAATCAAGTTCGGGCTGCCCTTCAGTGTCTCCTTATTTGTGACACCACCTGAGGTACCTAGGCTGACAATCCGCTCAGTCACTGCCTTCGGCGTTGTCAGTCCTTCATGAGCCATCAGGTACAGAGCAAGCCCAACAACGTGTGGGCAAGCCATTGAGGTTCCGCTGATGGTTCTAGTCGCGTTGTTGGAGCCGATCCACGCGGACGTGACGTCTACACCAGGCGCCATGACATCGACGAGCGGGCCTATTGCAATTTGTCAGTTCCTTCTTTCGATTGGACATGGGATGCAGAAAGTCGCATACCATAGTTGGTGAATTCCGCAGTAGCCCAGGTAGTGTCGACGGCGCCGACAGTAATGGCAGATGGGGCATTCGCAGGCGAGAAGTCCTCTACGGGCTGAGGAAGGCCAGTTTCGGGATCACCGTTTCCGGCTGCGACGACTGAGAGAACGCCTTGGTCAGTTGCAGCTTGGATGGCCTTCTTCCATGCCTCAGAAGACTCTCCACCTGCATCTCATGTTAGTCTACGCTCGACTGTGGACTACGCGGAGCATACCTAGGGACATGTTGATCACAGAGACTGCTGTCCTGTTTTTGCTGACAATGTCGTTAACAGCCCACTCGAAGCCGGACAGCACGGTCGTTGTGTTTCCTTCCGCGCCTTGGAAGATTTTGACGCTGATGATATTGGTCTGTCTTCTAGTCAGCTCAGGTCACAAGGAGTATTTGTGGGGAAAATAGAGCTCACCTTCTTTGAGACGCCATAAGTCTTGCCACCGATAGTCCCAGAAACTATCAAAAAAGTCAGTACCATCACGGAACAGCTCCAAGTCGACCATACCATGCGTTCCATGTCCGAGTGTGTCAGTTTCCTCTCCCGGGAAAGCAGTGAATCCAAATGTCGCCCTCCCCTCGAACTCTTCGTGTGAGAGCACCACTCCGGTATCAACCACGTACGCGTACGTACCGGCTCCTGCAGATGTGTCGTAGGCATACTCAGTCGTACCGTTCTTGCGATGCGAGATCGTTCCCAGGCCCCATGTCGCGCCAGACTGCGTCGTCAACTCTCGCTTGGCCTTGGGAGCGTTGCCCTCGTAGAGGTGCATGATCGAATCCTTCTCGATGGCCGCGACCTTTCAAGCTGATTAGCTCTTTGAGTACCAAATAACATACAAGTCATAATGTCTCACATCGGGGTTTTTCCGGATCTCCGCAAGTGTTGCATCGTCAAACTCGCCTGCATACGCCTGGAACGAGTTGATACTGTACCGATTCTCAATGCCGGTAGTCTGACGGGCATTCAGGCTGCGTCGCTCTATGCCGTCGACCCAAGACAGATGCGTCTCTAGATCGACGTTGGCGTTTGGTTTCAGAGTCACGATATATTTGGTGGGTGAAGCGTCGCGCCTAGCAGAACTGACAACAGGGGCTGCGATAGCTGGGAGAACGGCGCCCAGGAGAACGAGTAGACGTGCAAGGTTAGGCATCGTGGCGCAATGATGTCAAGATGGAGGTGGATGTAGAGAGAGGACAAGAAGTTGTGCTGTAAGGATGCTCGATGAAGTCGTTGTGTTACCATCTTTATATGTCTGCGGCATGATGACGACCAGGTTCGCGGATATCCACCCACGATAAGCGTAACAAGTATATACCCATCCATCATTGGCTGTCAGTCGAAGACGTCTACAAGATCTACAATGTTGTGATTATGAAGGAAGTGCGCGAGAGCCATAGGAGGCAGGTACGTACCCCTTGGCCGCGTGGGACATTTAAGATTCTGTATGCGTTATTGCTTGGTGTTGACCTATTATCTAGAGGCACCTGACTCCGGCAACATGCAAGATCCCGGTCTGGCATCGGACTTCCAAGGCGCGCTACCGGAGTACTGATCTCCTGCCTCTTTCGGAAACCGCTCGGACGGTATAATTACTGGATCTAAGCGCCCTTACCCCCTAAGGAAGCACCAAAAGTATGAGACGTCTATACAATACAGCCTTACGTTATCAGCTCAACATAGTACCATAGCGCTCTGCAAGATCATCTCCTAAGCTGAATGTACCTAATCTATCTAATCTATACTCGATCCTTCGATGCACGAAACTGACCGTACCTAAAGCACTAAGCAGCACGTCAAACCAAAAAGATAGTTAACTAGACCCAAGCAGGTTTAGCTCTCCACTTTGAGCGATGTCTCTTGGCAAATCACGATAGCGCGATCGCGAAAAACTATACTCGTACAGCTGCCTCTTTGATCAAGTTCTCCGTAATTGATCCGTTGTAGGAGTGTATCAGATTGTTTATACAAATCCTAGAGTATGCTTAGAACTGCCGAGTCTTTAACCCGGTTAGAGTTGAATTTCCTATCGATGCTCTGAAGCTGTGTTGTAGTCATTTCCAGATATTCTGCTTGAGCCGTTCATAACTACCGAAGTGAGTGTCAATCCTCATGTAGAAGGTATCTTCGTGAGTTGCGATCCTCCTGTAGAAGGTCTTTGGACGTCGACTAAGATCATCGGCCGTCTTTAGGATAGTTCCAGTATTCCAGCCTCATCTAGTGCTAAGTATTTGTTATTCCTATCATGGCATACCCTTCCGACACACACTAAGACCTCATGTATCTTTCGGTAGTGCACGTCTTTTGGTTGGTAACGACAATTTACCATTGTAGTCATTACAAGGCTTCCGTCTCAGTCTGATTGATTTCTGACGTAAACCATGCACACTTGAACTACTAGGGCAATGATGAACGTCCCTAGTACTCCTCTATTCATAGATATTCAGAAGTTCAGAAAAGACAAGTAGATGTCATCGTATCCGCTATATAGTCCACGAGGACCGACAGACTTGGATGATAGTAGAAGATAAGAGATGGAGTCTTATCGGGTTCTACTTGACGTAGGTAGTCCCTTTCGATGGACCGGACGCATGTATTCAATTACTAGGACAAGGTATCCTACCTACATGCATGCTTATGGGTATAACTTTTCGCTGTATGCTGGTATCTTCGCATAAACACACAACCCAATATCTTCATTTTCCACAACACAAGAATCCTCATCTTTCCTTCTCCTTCATTTCATCTTCAGCTATCTTCAGCAGGGTGCCGTGTTCCTTCGATGCCCAACCAAAATACTCCTGCCATGCCCTGGAGTTCGGGTTTTCGGATCCAAGGTCAGCAGCAAAAGTCTTGTTGAGCTGAACCGAGACTTTGAGGACACCTTTAGACGACTCTTGCATCTTCTCGAGCTCCTGTTTCACTGCATTATCTTTAGGCTTAACAGACAACACAGCGCGAAACTTCTCCGAGATTGGTTGTAGGCGGGAAGAGGTCTCGTCTGGCGTGACGACCATCAGTTTTGTCACCATCAAATTGCAAAGTATTCGTATGTCGTGTTCATCACCGATGCCGGCAATGACACGGTCGAAGAATTCAGACACGTTCAAGCGATTGAACGCAGATTCAAGCAAGGCGTACAGCGTTTCGTATGCGCTCTGTGAATCACATTAGTGGAAAACGGGAGAGGAATAGAACAGGTGATGCTAGCCTTGCGGATCTCGAGACCGTCATCCACTTTGTGTGTGAACGGACCCATTTTCACCTCGCGAATGAGCTCAGGCTTGATTATTGTCTCTCGCATTGCAAATGGAAGTAGCTCGTTCAAATGTGGCAGAATGAGTTCGGGCTTGTTATGCATGGCAGAGTTGAAAGTTGTAAGTCCCAAACGGCGATTTTCCAGATCACTCTCATTCAGCATCTTCGAAAGCATACCGATGACGATTGGCCTGAGGTATTGGTCATAGCTTTCATCTGTATCTGCCAGCGTGTAACGCAGGGCTGCCGTCACCATTCCGCGAACAATAACGTTTCTGTCGCTCAGCATATTCTACTCATGTCAGTACCAAGTCCGAAAACGCTGGAGTCGAAGCTACCTGAAGTTGTGGGAGGTATGTCTTGGGATCGATGATAGCTAGTCTGCCGATACACTCGGCACCAATAGCGCGATTGTCCTCGGCCTGTGAAGCTGCAACAAGATTCTGCCAGAGGGTTTGCGCGTATGGGAGGACCTCAGCCTCGGCTTCCTTGTGCTGCAGTATCTCCTTGATAGAATGCATGAGAAGGTATTGGGGGCTCGATTGCTGTCCCATAGCTGATAGAATCTTAGGCAAGAATACCTTGATATTGCTCGAGCCAGCTCGTCCCATTGCGATAGCCGCAGCTAAGGGTAGCTTATCAGAACGCGCTTGAAAACATTCAATGAATTGGCTTGGTGGTAGAGGCGAGTTTGTGCCCATTTGGAACCCGACTTCTCCGAGCACAGTTACGGCGAGGCATTGACGGCGATCTTCTGGAAATTTGAGCTCTTGGGGAAACTGCTCCAGCTTGACACCCAAGTCCACTTGACTACCATATACCAGCAATGTGCCAATAGATCTACCAGTAATGTCTGGCGCTCCGCTAACCCCTATGCTGAGGAACTTTTGCATCAAATCTTTGCCAGCGCCCTGTTCACCAATAGCACGGACGAGCGCAAGGTATGCTTCCAACGCTAATCCCGTCACCGTAAAAGTGGTAACATTGCACACTGCACTGTTAAAGTCAGGTGTGGCATATTTCTTACCATTGTCCTTGATGAATGTTGCCAGAATCACTAGGGCTGGACCAAGCATATGTAGGTCTTCGCCTGATAGGATCGGTAGCAGCATCTCGATTACTGCCTTAATTGTGGGAGCATCCAAAAGCTCTCGGCATGGGGATGATAAGGTCAAAGTCTTCAAAGCAGACAGGCTTGCCCCTCTGAGGGATCTGCTTGACTTGCGTAACTGCGCGCCTAGCTCTGTCGTCACCTCTCTGACCCAAGGCGAACTTAGATCATGAGTGCTTTGGGTATGGGCTGCGATCACGTCGACTGCCCTGACGGTTGCCAGCCGTGTGAGCTCGTTTTTGAGACGGACAAGGAGTGCGTCCAAGCCCTCTTGCCTCTTACTAGGAGAAAGAAGGTCAGGAGTACCCGAGGTTCTACCAATCAAGAGACCTAGCACATGAACAGCCTTTCGGCGAACCTCTGTGTCGACATCTTTCGAAGAGATTCGATGTGCTAGGAGATCATATAGTTGTTCCAAATAGACCCGATTTTGTTGCTCCTGAGAGGCTGCTCTGGGAGGGGTGAGCGCCTTAATCACCTGTTCGACACTAATGAGTGCTTCGACTGCGACTTTGCTGTATTTGTCCTGTGCGGCTACAATAAGTACTGGTACAACTTTGGCAAGGAAGGGCTGTAGGCCTTTGGACGAATGTAGATCTGCGATGGATCCCAGCAGTCGTAAAGATTCCATCCTCAGACTATTAGCTGTTACGGACGAAGAAAATCCAGACGTTGCGGTGGCATGAGTTCCAGATGTTCTGATCGCATCGATAATGGGTCCCATAATCTGGTCTAGGAAACCACTCAGACCTCCATGCTGTGTAAGAACGATGTCCCTCAGGAGAATGATCGATGCCTGCTTAGTAGGAACGGGACCAGTCTTCAGAAGCGGATCTAAGCCACGCACGATGTCTGGACTAATTGAGGCTAGGTTTGCCCGAGGCCCAGTCGGTGGCGAAGCTGGAGCGGGAGAGTCATAACCAGCAGACACTGATTTCAAGGTTTGAGAATCCACCATACTTGCATCGCTGCCACCTCTCCTTCGCTTACGGGTTGGTGGAGGACCCATAGCTGTATGAGCTCCATTTGCTTGCAGGTGATATGCAGATGCAGAGCCGTCGCCGGTATTACGGACTAACGTTGACAGACTGCTCAATACCTCAAGACGAACGCTCTCTTCCTTCTCTTTGAATCGGCCTATGAGTGAAGGAGCAACAGACTGATATAGAGTACCATCAGGTATCAGATCACCACTCCTGGTCGCTATAAGCGTATGAAGGGCTTTCGCAGCACATCTGCGCACTTTCCAACTGCTGTCATCTTCGTCATCTTGACCAGCATCTTCCTCAAAATCATCGTCTTCAAAATCGTCGTTCGGGTCCATCTCGTCTTCGTCATCATCATCGTCTTCATCGTCTCGAACATTAGGATCGTATTTGAGGAACCGAATCGCCGCAGAGACGACTTCGGGTGTGTACATGTACATGTCCTGAGAGCATGACGCAAGGAAGCCGTCTATAGCTGTCAGAGCAGCCTCGCGCACCTCATCTACCTCAGGATCGCGGGATTCATCCTCATCGGAACCCATATCCTCATCAAGATCTTCTTGGCTTAAAGCGCTGAGAACAAAAGGTGCTAACGTCTTGAGATATGGGCCGAACTTCTTTGGGATTGACCGTGACATGGATCCGAGGATTGTGATGTACAATCTCTTCTTTCCATGCGTGAGATGCGGATCTCCCAGATTTTCGATTAGCTGCGAAATGAACGAGCTTAACAGTAGATCGGAGAAGTGCGGCGCCAGGGCTGAAATTGCAACCACGCTCTTCTTCTTCAACACAGAATTCGCTTTCTCCGCTTGTAGTATATCGAAAGTTGTCTTTAGAAGGGCTTCTATTTCTCTTTCATGTAGCATGCTACCAAAACAACGTGCAACCTCAGTAAGGGCGTCTATGGCGTTGGTATCGGTGCCTGCGTCAACGTCGGCTTGTAACATGGACGGAGGTGATGTAGCTGGTGTCTTTTGAGAAGGCATGACATTGTGGCCGACAAGTCGAGGAATTAGAGCTTTACTGATGGCAGCGTATGCATCTTGAACCTGTTTCTTCCGTGGTACACCGGGCGAGGGCCGTGGAAAAGAGACAACAATCTCGCGTAGTGCCAGTGCTGGTATAGAGCTGTCCACAATGTTTCCTGTTTCGATCTGCGAGACTTTGTCTAGTAACGGACATAGTATAGATTCTGGACATTTGTTTACAAAAGGCCCTAAGCATTTTATAGCCATGTTCTGGACTTCGCCATTCGTATCGTTCAGGGTGTGGAGCAAGCCATCAACCGTCTTCGCACAGATACTATAGTCGGAGGAGAGAAAATTCGGGTGAGCGAGGTTGAACATCTGCAACAGGTCGTTCAAGGCCATATATCTTAGGTCGGAGTCTGCATCGTAAAGCTTTGGCAGGAGGTGGCCCACATTGCTTGCTTGAGGGTTCAGTGGAATGGCAGCGGACGCCATGTTTGAGTATGGAAAGAGATAATGGAATAGGCAGTTCGGAGATGATAGCAGTCTGAGGTTCAGAGAGAAAAGACGAGTGTTTGCCCTTCACGGATGTTAGTGTGGAAATACATTAGGTGCCAAACACGAAACACAATCCTGTGGTGGTCGTAGACGCGTTGCCTAAGAATGCGGCGGGGTACAGACAAAGTACGGAGAGTGGACCAGGCAGTGTAATGAGTTATTTGGTGCTACCAAGGCTACCACGCTGGAAGGGAGAACAAGGGGGGGACTAGAATAAGTGATATAGTATTATTATAGATCGTGCCAGGTTCTCCTGGTCCTCATGCAGCAGACAATTGGAAGCTGTGCAGAAGACACTTGGAATTTCCATTTGAAGCCTGAACTGCTTCCTGACATCAGAAGAAGCACGTGATTCTGCCCCAAAAGCTCATTGGAATTACCTACCTAGGTGTAGTTTAGATGTGGCGTATGTGGCGTGTGTGGCGCGTGCATCATCTCACCAACCGAGCTTTGCCTAGCAAGCTGCTAATTAGTGGGAGCTTCACCTTGTCCGACGTCCTCTACAGCATCCTCATTCACAGCCTTGCCATCGCATTGCTATCTTGCAAAGCTTTTCGGTAGCCCGTCAATTCGCCAATTGAATTTGCCAAAGCCCAATCATGCCTGTCCCTAGATCCATGGCCTTCCGATCGCCTCTGCGATCTGGTCTCGCCAGCACAACCAAGTCTTTTCGCTGCTCCTATTCGCAGTCATGGCAACGATTCGGTCAGCAGCAGTCACGACGAGGCTATGCTTCCACATCTGGCGGTCTCGGTAAATATCGTGGTGATATTCCCTGGTATGTTAAATCCCATCGGCCACAACATGCATCGCTCAATATAGCATCGGCGACCCTTTCAATCTTATTGTACCGCGCCAGTTTTGCGCGGTGTTTGATCTGTATAGGACGAATAAACTCACCATATACGTCACAGGGCTATCGGATCGATTGGTATAACTGTACCCGCTATATTTTGGATCCTTAGCCAAGAGGAAGACCACCACGCTGACCACGGCTCTCATGCCGATCACAATGACAAAGAGGATGAAGGGGAAGACGAATCAAGTGATGAGGAGTCCAAGGACGAGAATGATGGCGAGGAAAAGGAAGATGAAGAAAAACAAGATGGCGACGACAAGAAGCAAGATGGCGGGGATGATGAAGGTGACAACAAAGACGAGGACTCGAAGGGTGAATCAGACTCTGGTAGGCTCAAAGGCACCGAAAGGGGCGATACCAGTGCGAAACCTGTCAAGAAGCTTGATGCGAAGAACGATTCTGCAGAGTCCAAATCTATGTCGGGCAAACAGCAAGGTCTATCCAACACGGACACCAAGCACAGCACCGACCCAACGGAAGGTGGGAAATCAAGCACGAAGTCCGAAGGCTCCCCTGAGACTGCGAAAACACAAGGTACTGTTGATCCCGCAAGACCAGCAAGATAGAAAAGTCAGGTAAAAAGGGAACTCAGGGAACATACCTAAAGCTTGCTGACGGTCATATTACAGGTCCAGTCGACCCAGAGCGGGGGCAGGTCAGTAGCTTGTCTTCATGAGGCAGCACAAGCTAACTTCAAACAGGAATAAATCAACGTTAAATTCCCTTAGACAGTGTAGAATTTCCTGCGTCAATTACAATATGCAGCATCTGTAGGCATGTTCACAAATTACAACTGTATACTATGAAACCGAACGCATACCCCTGTGCGAGCCAATTCCATCGCAAGCGCTGCATTTCGTCGATGTACAGATTCATCGCATCACCTGTCTTTAGTCTCGAATGTGCACCTTGACTGTTTGAGGAACATCTAACATGCTCCAAGTGCTCCGTTGGCTTCATCACGAAGGTACGGGGCAACTTCGAATCACCGTTACACGCAAAGTTCATTTCGACTTTGCTCTGAGAAGTATCACTCGCGTACCTGACATGGAGACTATTGAAGTTAGGGGGACATTTTCCGCGCTGACATGCGGGACTTTCCGTCACAATACAAGGAATTCATTTCTGATATATTTATACATGGTGGTGGCGGGGTTGACTGCAGCGTCGTAGTTGCTTGTCCTTAGCGAATAGGCAGTTTCAGATTTTCAGCTGAGCATGATAGCCTTGCATTATTGCACACCATGGCCCTGTCAGACTAAGGCCACAGCTGCTACAGCCATTTGAAGGAGCTTCGTATCGACGTATGAGAAGGAGGTTACAGTCGTTCGTGATTGTGAACCTGACTTATCATTTTCCTGCAATACCCTGTAGGGTTGAGATATGCTTTCAAGCTGGATAACTTGCATCAAGCAAGAATCTCCGAAGGGAAATGCATCTTCTTACGAGGAACAACATGAATACGGGTGCTAATAGAAGTAGCAGGCCCGGTAGAAGAATACGAGCGCCAACATAAGCAGCAGGCTTAAAATATGCTTGCTGCAAGGTACCAGCGTATCCGTACAACAGCCATGTTGATGCCATGCGAATTTCCGTATGCCTTCTCATATCATTATACACTCGATGATATTCTGCTCAATATACATACAGGTAGGCCCATCGCCTCTTCGCCTTGCCGACATTTAATGGTGTAATCATATACTGCCATGATGCTATCTCGTTCGCTCATACTGAGTCTAGTGCTTTCCGTCTTGTCGCTCGTTACTGATCTCTCGGCGACCGAGCCAGTTCAACTTCAACCCATCACTGTTCATGATATTACGGGGCGACCACCTCTGCCTATCAATAGGAAGAGGAAGTATGATGGCGAGACTACGGATCTTGATCTACGCAATCAGGAGAACTTCTTCTGGGGCGCTAATGGCCAGTCGAATTGTGGATAGACATGATATATTCTGACCTTCTCCAGGTGCCCAGAGCTTTGTCTTCGCGAACCTAACGCTATACTTCCCAGAGGAATTCGAGTTTGTTTTATCGATGGAACGTTTTCGGAGTTTGCTCAAGTCGGTGGACTGCGACAAGAGCATGTCTCTTACATTCTACGATAATTCGACATTCGCCTACGCTACGAAAGCTTGGGAATGGGTTAATGACTTCAAAGAGCGTCAATTTGTGATCATTGCTGATGACAAAAGATGCGCGCCAGAAGAGCAGAGGCAACCTTGGGTGGTGTCCGAAGTCCATTTCGACTACAAGAACTTCAAGATTTTCATGACGGCGGAGCAAAGGGGCTGGGAGGAGATAGCCAGTACCTATTCTCTCAGTGTTGGACACAAACCCCTGGAAGATCATCGCCTTGACATCAGAGATGAACCAGACCTGGAGATTGGACTGAGGTCGGATTTTAGCCGTCAATTGTTCAGTACAACCATATCAGGAATAGATCTTGCAGTCGATTGTTCGAATTGTGGTACAACAGGAAGTCTAGATGTAGACTTCGATGTGGATGTTAGTTGGTTCAAACTTCAATCTGCATCGATGACTCTCCAGCCAAGGGACGTCGCAGCGTTCCTTGAACTCGGGCTCTCCGCGCAAGGGACCCTGGGCCAACCTTACAGCTGGCAGAAGAACCTAGTCTCCATTCCAATCCAAGGGTTCTCGATCGCAAAGATCTTGAAAGTTGGTGCCTTCTTAGACGTGGTTAGTTCATTCTTTCATTCTCTATTCGGAGTAAGAGGCCTAACATACATCCCAGGACGTCGGATTTGAGCTTGGGGAATGGACTGGCTCCGCACAGGCGTCACTCGGAGCACGCCTAGACCTTTCAAATGCTGCCGTCGTGAAAGTAGATCTCGTGAACTCAAACAAGAACCAGTTCTCCGGCTGGAACCCTGTTCTAAAACCGATCCCACTCACGACCGATGCAAAAGTTGAAGGGTCCAGCGAAGTTTATGCACAAGTCGGAGTCGAGCTCAGCGCATCAGCACTCGGTAAAGGCTTTGAGGTCTCCCTTGAAATGAAGATGCCCTACATCGAAGCCGATTTTGCCGCTATGATCTCCACCGCCGGTGTATGTGGAGGAGACCAAACGCTGGGCGTCGATGTAGACGCACAAGTTGGCGTAGATCTTTCGATACAGGCTGCAACATCAGGAAATGAAGCTGATCCGTTCTGGGAGCAAAGTCTCTTCCAGCAAAGTTGGCCTCTGCCCTCCAACTGTATCGCCTTTGGTCCCCACAATGCTGTGGAAGGCGGAGACGGAGGCGGAGGTGCGTCGCGACCGAAGAAGACGAAGACAAAATCAAAGGCGAAGACTCCCAGTCCAACCGCAAGACCAACGAGGCATCATACGACTACGTTGCCACCGAAAGTCTTGACGGTGCTTGAACCGAGTTCGCGACATCAGACTTCGAAGACATCGAGGCCTACCAAGACCATACCGGAAAGCTCTTCTCTATCTAGAAGCTCGAGTGGTCTGAGTCCTAGTCAGACGAGAGTATCGTCTGATAGGGATGTTATCACGAAATCAGATATGACTTTGATGTCAGACACTGCTTCAAATATAGAAGAGTCTCCGATCAGTCGTAGGCTTACCTCTTCGACCGACCCTCGAATAACTCCAAAGACAGACTCATCATTAGCTTCCTCGACAATAGAAACAGGGTCTAGATCTGTTACACTCCACGACACCTCGTCAATCATGTCGAGCTTTCCAATGAGCAGTGTTGGCTCTCAGAGCAACATCCCTCTTACATCTTCCTCGAGTGAACCCTCGATGACTATTCCAACGTCTGACAGGTCTTCGGAATTTCTCACAAGCATAATTACGCCATCTGCAAGTCTTCCGAGCAGAACATCGACGTTACAGACAGTTACGACTACCTCTTCACCAGATGCATGTCCTGTTACGGGATGTGCAACGTGTATCGAAGTGGATCCTATGGACGCCACTGGAGACTTGAGTTCCAACATACCTGAGAAACGAGAGCTGTACTGGAAGCGGGCTGGCGGTCGAGAATACGAGATAAAATGCTCTGCTGACGTTGCTGCTACTAGAACGATGACCTTGGACAAGTATTACGCGCCTTCGGTGATTCGTGCACAAGCCAATCCAAGCATTACTGAGTGGTTTTCTGCCAAAGCCACGGATGACTGCACCGATTATAAGGTCGCACATGCTATGGTGGCTCCTCCTAAGGACCCTGGAGCTGCCGAAATGTTCAACACGGAGCATATCTATGAGGGAAACTGGCTGAGAGAGTTTATCACCAGTCTCCAAGACGTAATGACATGTACAGACATACAGGACGTGTTCTTTGACGTTACGCCGACCGCACCGTTTCAATCTGCCAATTGGGCGCAGGCGTTGATGTCTAGTATTGGCACCGAGACGAATGCAGACTTCATGGTGATGCTAACGAACACACTTAATGGAGCAAAGGCCTTGGTAACGATCACCATATACTGATCTATCGGCAGTCACTAACTATGATCTGCAGGTATTCAACGACGACCTGTCTAAAGGCATCATTGCAGATAGGAAGTTGACAAGTAGAGACACAGTCAAATACCCACCTGAATGGAAGCTGGGCGCCATTGCCAACCTCGGTCGCGTCCAGGAGTACATGGCAGACGACTCGCAAAGGACCAAGATGAAAGCAACAGCCGATAGTATTGAAAAGACGTTGCGAGACATGGTCAGCAACTTACCACAGGCCAAACTCGAGCTTATGGGCAAATACAAAGACGCGGAGACTCTGGCCAAGGCGCATCGTACATGGCTTCAGAGACATATTCTGAAAGGTAACATCAAAGCCATCACAGGGATGATACATGCAGCGAAGTTGGTAGCCCCCAGCTTCTCATCGTCGGATCCTACGTCGACGTTTCTGCAAGAGATGGCAACGGCCGGCCTGCATATTCCCCCTGGTATGAATCCAGACGAGCTCTAGTCGACTCGGCCCGATAGATGAGAGAGATGGACAGAAAGGGCGGAAGCTGCAGAGATGGAGTGATATAAATGGACGGTGTGGTGGCGTAGGAAGAGGGTTCAGTATGTAGGATGCATTGTCTACGCAGGCTGTGTATGCAGCATGCCGTCTGTGTTGCAGGTGATGACGGCTCGAGACACCCATGGGAGTGGGTTTCAGGGTAAAAGGCTGTGTAAGTGGCCGAAGTGTATATATATGCAAGTGAGCGGTTGTTGGCCAGTTGACGAGAGTCTTAAGCGCCGTACCAGACTACCAGGGATGGTCGAGTATGTACTACTGTTGCTAGAAGCCACAATAGAGACACCCGCTCCACCAATCACAGCTCGGGCCTTTGTCTCGGCGTGGGATCGTTGCGCTATCACACTCAAATCACTGCGCAAGCTCTCCAGCGCCTCTCCACTTACCATCTCCTCACGCGTCTAATGGTGCCGACACTTCCCTGTGATCTGATTGATGCATATGCATCGACGCCAATGATGCTGCGCCGCTTTGCCTACATGTCCGGGTCGTCGTCGTCGCACGGCACTGCCAAAAGTCCCGTCATGTCCTTTGCCTTCTTCCCGAGCACGACGTGAAGCCGTCATCGTCATCTACATCAACACACTTGCGCGCTTGGCTCTCGAGTGCTCGTCCTAATTACGATTCGCATCTTTCTACCGAGGTACCCCGTACGCGCTTACCGTTACGTTGTCGCGACAGGAAAGAGATCAGGAGACTGGGGTTTGCGGCTTGGTCGCACGAGTGATGTGTGATCAGATACTGTTGACTTGACACACATACACAAACAGCCTGCCAGAGCCATTTGCCACCTATATTTCCGAAGCTTGAACAGGTCTAAATAGTGATCGCGCAGAAATATGGCACAACGAGGAGGCTACCAAAACAGTCGGGTGCAGCAAGTGCAGGATGAGTCGAGATCGCATGCACGCTTCTCATGGCAAATGCCAGTCGATCTACAGCCACTCCAACAGGTGGACCAGCAAGAGAGGACTGCAACTGCGACTGCGACTCCACCACGACAGCAGAGGAGGCCGTCATATGGTACACGACGGCCGTCCAACGAGAATCGTTTCTCCTACGTCCAGACACCGATTGAAGCTCAGAATGCGACCTTCCATCAAATGCAGGCCTTCCAGCCGTCGGAGTCTGTTATACCTGCCTCGCCGACGAACATTCTGGGCTCACCAATAACTCCGATTGACGCCTCCCCTATCTCTCCAATCGACCGACATGGATATCAGTTACCTCGATCGATGACACTGGAGCAACGACAGCAGGAGGAAGCGCGACAGAAAGAGATGGGAGGCGGAGGACGTGTCTCTCCGTACAATTTTGCTCCTCCGACAGAGACACATCCTGCCTTTTATGCTCTGCCACAAGCACAGCATCCTGTGCAGCAACAGTTACCGCAGCATCAGATGCCTCAGCAGCAATACCCATCGCGAACGCAGACTCCACAACACCCTTCCCGGACGACTACTCCATATCAACATACCCAACAGCCGGCTTTGCCTATGCATCAATATCCGTCACGGACTACTACTCCCCACCAACAAGCCCAATACCCTCCGGAGACACCAAAATCGCCGCCTCCGCCATTATCGCCTCCGCTCTCGCCCCGACCTATGAAATCGGACCGCGACGACGACATCAAGAACCGACACGACACGCCTCTTTCACCCGCTCGAACATGGACTCCTCACCAAGCCCAGACGCCTACGTTACCTCCACAGGCAATCTTCGCCCCTGACGCCCTCGTCGGCCCGAATGGTGCCCAGCTCGATATACACAAGCCGGGTCAAATTGTGCATCCGAACATGAATCACAACCTGCCTGGCGAGGACTCGACGTGGATGAATGGTCTGTGTGGGTGCGGAAGCGATGTTGGAACATGCATGACGGGGTTCTTTTGTCCGTGTATTGTCTATGGCAAGACGGCGTATCGAATGAGCCTAAAGAGCGAAAAGAAGGACCCCACGGATATGCTGGGCTGGAGTGCTGTGAATGGGCAGTGTTGCTGTATGGCGGCGAGCTGTGGGCTATGGTGTATGTCGCCTTTTCATTTACCCCTTTCTTCGTTTCACTCTTCCCATCAATTCCTTCAAAACAAAGCAATCGCTAATGTCCGCAGGCCTCTTTCCCATGTTTCAACGCACACGCCTCCGCCACTTATACAAGCTCAAAGGATCGCTCTCGTCTGATATTATCCGAGCCTGCTGTTGCTGCTGTTGTACAGTCGTCCAAAACGAGCGGGAGATACGGAGTAGAGAGGAGAGCACGCGGATGCGCGCCGGTCCAGCGAGTGGACAGGCGTATACGGCGCCGGAGAGGATGGTGTATGCACCGCCACCAAGAGCGGCCACGAGCAGGTTTTGAATCAACGTGGAACGCGGAGCGTGGAAGTGCGTGAGAATCGATATATGGCCGCCTACCAAAGTCTACGGGCGTAATGACTGGCTGGAATGTAAGGAAGATTAAAGACGGGGAGCAGCAGCAGCGGTGTGATGAGATTCAAATGATGCCAGGTTCACGCCCCATTTGCGGGATGAACATGCACCTTGAACTGAATGCACGCAGCCAGCTGTGTTTAGTACATGTGTTATATACCAAGCGACATATTGCTGTTATATAGGAATTACCTATGTTTAGACCCTTAGATATTGACAATTATTTGAGTTTCACAACACATGCCCAAAATATATATAGGTCTGGGCGTCCAATCTACGAATGGCCAGCCACGACTACACGGGACGGGTTGAAGGTCTGTATAGTGGTGCCTGAGGCATCAATATTCACGAGACCCTGGCGGGACTAACGAGGGAGGTATTAAGTAATTTTTGAACTGACTCCAACCAAGACCTCAGCGCATGTAGAGAGTTTGATCACGCACAAGGAAAAACCGTGGCTCCGTCTCCCCGCGTTCTCGAATATCTTCTGCGCCGCGGGCGGCTGCCACGTCCTACAACCATGGCTCTCACTACTGTTGAGCGTCCGTCTCGTCCGTCAAAGAAACAGGGCAAGCCAAAAACATTCGAGCCGCCCCCAGAGGTTATAATCACACCATACCAGGCAGGTCCCATCGAAAATGACCCGGAGCCTTATTTCTTTGAAGGCGGCCTGCGGAGAGTCAAGCCCTACAACCACACATACAACACAAACTGTAAAGAGCGATGGCGCGGACGAGAGATCCTCGACATCTTCGCCAGCGAGTTCAGAGACCGGTCGATGGAGTATTACGTGCGTATCAAGAGCTCAGGAGAGAAGTCAGTCGAACGGCTAGTAATACCAGGTTAGAAAAAGTCCATTGAGACTGGCTTCGTCGTAGTCAACGGCAAGAAAGTCCCCACCGACCACATTGTGAGAAATGGCGACGTGATCAGCCATACCCAACACCGCCACGAGCCCGCCGTGTCTGCCCAGCCCGTCGGCATCGTCTACGAAAATGACGATATCATGGTTATCAACAAGCCTGCCGGCATCCCCGTGCATCCCGCCGGCCGCTACCTGCACAACTCGATCAACGAGATCCTGCGCTCCGAGAAACGCGTCCCCTACCCGATGCCCGTCAACCGCCTCGACCGGCTGACATCCGGCATCATGTTCTACGGCAAGCACAGCCGCGCCGCCGAAGACCTCGGCAAGCAGATCCGCGACCGCACCGTGAAGAAGGAATACGTCGCCCGCGTGGTTGGCGAGTTCCCCGAGGGCGAGATTGTGTGCGAGCAGCCCATCCTGCAGATCAACCCCAAGCTCGGGCTGAACCGCGTGCGAGCAAACGGCAAGGACGCCCGCACCGTCTTCAAGCGCCTGGCCTACTACCCTCACCGCACCGGCATGGCCGCCGAGCAGGACGTCAAGAGCGAGGAGGAGGCGCGCGCCATGGGCATGGCCTGGAAGCGCTTCCGCGGCTACTCGATTGTGCGCTGCATGCCGCTCACGGGCCGCACGCACCAGATCCGCGTGCACCTGCAGTTCCTCGGCCACCCGATCTCCAACGACCCCATCTACTGCAACCAGCGCGTGTTCGGGTCCGATCTGGGCCGCGGCCACACCTCGAGCGAGGACGAGGACGACATCATCACGCGGCTGAGCCGGATGGGCAAGGACGAGGTTGCCGACGCCGTCGCGTACCACGACGAGATGGTCGACGCGTACAACGAGCGCAAGGCCGAGAAGATGACGGGCGAGATCTGTGAGCGCTGCAACACGCCGCTGTACAGCGATCCGGGCGTGCACGAGCTGGGCATCTATCTGCATGCGAAGAAATACGCCTGTATGACGGGCGCGTGGAGCTATGAGACGCCCTTGCCGCAGTGGGCGCTGCCGCCGAGTGGCGCGGACGGGCCAACGGATGTCACGGCGGAGAGCGATCCGCTGGCCGTGGACTTGGGGAAATTGGGCTTGGAAGACCCGGCGCACGCGGGGGATGCAGGGGTGAAGAAATGGGTCGCGGACGCGGACGGGGACACGGATGTGAAGGAGAAGGAAGCCGTGAGTGGGGAAGGAAACGAACTGGTCGGAAGCGAGGTGGCATGTACACCGCCAGCTACACAAGACCAGGCAGCAAGCACAGTATAGGTCAATCATAAAAGTCGTTGTTCCTGTCCATCTTTCTCCCTGGCATACACAATACATACAGATACTATTATCTCCGGGACTCGTGCCTCGGCTGCCCCTTTTTTTCGAGCATCTTGCTCCTTGCATCTAGGACTACACGGATGAAAGGGGTAAGGTAGTGTACGGAGAGTGCTAAGATGGAAATAATGAAGAAAGGAAGTATATACTATATCAACCCCACCACCAGCACGACATGGACCCCCCTCAATCCCCCTGAAAAATGAAATATATACACACAGAAACGCCCCCTCTCCCATCTCAAAACCCCCAACCACCAATCCTCCCCCTCTTCCCCATCCCAATCCCCACCCCCCTCCTCCTCCTCCGCGCCGTCGTCGTCGTCCTCGACGCACTGCCCCCCAAATCACTCGCCACGCTCACCGTCCCCGGCAGCTTCACACTCCGACTACTATAACTCCACCTGCCCCCTCCCAACCCCGTCATCAGCACACTCCGCGCACTCGCCCCGTCAATCGTCAGCGTCATCGCCCGCTGACTCCCATCGACCACATTGCTATGCGCCGTCACGCTGATCGTCCCGCTCTGGCTGCTCGTCCACGTATAGCTATCTATCACCACTGCATCGGCAAGCGCGGGGTTCGCAACTACGGACACCGTGTCCGTGGATGTCAGAGACGTGTTTGTCGTGGATGTAAGCGTGAGCTGGAAGGTTAGGGCCGCGGACGGGGACGCGGAGGGCGCGATGAAGGTCGCTTTTGCGGCGGTCGGGGATGTGAGGGATATGCTTGGTCCGCCGCCGGGGAGTTGGCGCCAGGATGTGCTGAATGCGGGGTCTGGGGCTGCGTTTGCGCCGTTGGAGCCGGTGAGGACGACGAGCGTGCCTGCGCGGGCGGTGATGTCGGGGCCTGCGTTCGCGGTCGGGGTGGGGGAGGAAGGACTCGAGGGCGCGGGGGCAGGGCAAGATTTCGCGGGCGGGGGCGGATTTGCGGCGGGAAAGGGGCTGAGCGGGCCGTAGGGCTTGCCGTCGAGGAACCAGCCGTCTGTGAGGAAGGGCATGTTTGCGAAAGTGAGGGCGGGGGGTTCGGCGCCCGGGACGTCGAGTTCGGGGAAGATCCATTCGGTGACGGGCTGGATGTATTCGCCTGCCGAGAGGCCGTTTTTGGTTTGCTTGGTGCCGGTGTTGGCGGAGAGGCGGTACTCGCGGGTGTATTTGAGGGTAGGGTTTGAGCCTTCGGAGCGGAGCTCGAATTTGTTGCGGACGTCGCCGGCGCGTGGGGCGATGGAGCCGATGGTGCGGAGGGAGCGGTCGCCGGTGCAGGGGTCGATGTCGATGGCCTCGACGAGGACGGTGACGGCGGGGTCGGAGGTGTAGCCGATGAAGCGGGAGTCTGCGAATTCGGTGTTGGCGGAGGTGTCGACGATGCCGATGATGGCGTCTTCGACGCGGAGGTAGGCCGGGGTGCCGGAGGTGGTGATTTGGACGTTTACGGCGGCGATTTCGTAGGCGAGGATCTCGGAGGTGCCGGCGGCGCGGATCCCGCTGAACTCGAGCTGGTCGCCGGCGAGGAAGGGGGCCATGACGAGGGGGTCGGGGGCCTGGAAGGTGCGTTGGCCGGCGGGCCGGTTGGAGCTGGGGCAGAGGGCGTCGGAGGTGCTGCGGGGGATGCACATGGGGAAGCCGGAGAAGGCTTGGATGCTGGGGCTTTCGTCGTCGGCCTGGAAGAGGGGGCTGGCGGTGGAGCCCTTGGAGAAGACGGCGTTGGGGTCGTTGATGCGCAGACGGGCGCCGCCGATGAGTTTGAGGGAGCCGTCGGGGATGTCGACGGATTCGACGACGCCGGTGCCGAAGTGGAGGAGGTTCTGGGCGATCTGCATCATGGCCGCGATGGGCTTGCCGTCGACGATGTTGCCAAACACATTCACCTGTGCATGACGGACATGTCAGTTTGGCTTGGAGGAGTGAGTGGTGTGGTGGTAGACAACGTACCTCGAATCCGGTAAAGGAGCCGGCGGCAAACTCCTTCCACGGGACCCATCTGGCCGGGAACTCGACGAAGAAGTTCTTCGGCACGGTGACGACGTATCCGTTGAGCGTCAGCGAGCCACCCGCATTGTACTCCGTCCCTGTCGAGGAGGCAGCGTCGAGTATGCCGTCCTGGGTGAACGAGAATGCAACCTGAGCCAAGGCGTTTCTCAGGCAGGCCGTCAGAACGACCAGAAAGACGTGAAACCTCATGTTGGAAGTCGTGGATGGTATGAGCCCGACGGAAATGTCCTGAGAAAAGAACCAGAAGACGCGCAGCGCTCTCCTTTATATGTGAAACCACAGTCCACGAACACACCATACTCTTCCATGAATACGATATCCCGAATCCCATCGGACGTAGGCCTCCTACTCCTCCATCCAGCTCCTCGGCTCAAGACAGAGAGCCAGACAGCCAGACAGACAGCCAGACAGCCAGACACACAAACAAAACAAACCAAAACCAAGCTCATCCCAGCAACACGAAAGCATCCAGACCAGACCACGCCTCACACACACGGCAGAATCCCCCCAATATCCCCGTTCTCCTGCCAATACTCCTCCCAGCCTATAAAGCCACGCTCCATACGAACGACAAGGGGAGGGGGCCATCACACAGTCATACAGTCATACAATCACACCCATCTCCTCCTGCAGAGAAGAATCAATACAAAGCACCACGATCCACTACTCCACGAGCACAGCGCCGAAATGTCTCGCAGTACGAGCAGCTGTCCTCATCGCCCTCCGTGCCCGAAATGGCAATGCCAATACTCATACCAATACTCATACCAATACTCATACTAACATCTCTATCCAACCCGCCAAACCCAAGCCGCCAAACCCCAGAAGACCCAGACACCCAACCCCCCAAGCACATAAAGGACAGCCAAGCTATCAATCAAGCGAATACAAACGAACGAACCCCCTGCCTGTCTGTGGCGCACGCAGGAGGCTGGTAGCCTGGCCGTGTCAGCATGGAGAGGGGGAGGAGGAGAGGCGACAGGGGTATATGTATGCATTGCTAGACGAGGCTTTGCTTACGTTGTCTTGCTGACCTTACCTTACCATCCGTTGCATCGTCTGCGTCTGCTTGCACTGCGTCCGATGGATAGATAGCTAAAGAGCAGAAGAACGAATCCGCCATATCTCGGATTTGCCCATGTGCTACTGCCCCGTGTGTACACTCATACCTCATCAGATCCCAGCACGTTTCCCCGAAACGGCCTCGGTAACGGTAATTATCCATCCTCAAGCCATCTACAAACTCATTCTATTCTAAGATCACGAATGCATACGATGGCGTAGTTTCGTATCCCCATTCCATTCCATACCCGTACCCATACCATGCCATACCCATACCCATGCACAGCGTAGCCAAGCCAGGCCCGTAAACGCGCTTCATTATGGAATATACAAAACACACGAGACACGTGCGAGACCACGCGCCGTGATGCAGTAAGAAGAACAACAGGCAACAGTATTGATGACCCGTAGACGAGAACGCGGCGGCGCGGTTGGGGATTGGGGTCTGGTTCGGGTCTGGTAGAGGGTGCGGGTGGGATGTTCGGGTTGTTCGGGATGTTCGGGTTGTTCGGGATGTTCGGGTTGTTCGGGATGTTCGGGTTGTTCGGGATGTTCGGGTGTGTAGTCTTCGGGTGGGAGGGGCATGTCAGGCTTGGGGTGGATGCTAGGTATGTATGTATGTATGTATGTATGTGTATGTATGTGCGTATGTGTGTATGTATGACTATATGTATGAAGTGCACTGCACGAGCGTCATCCCATCCCATCTCACCCATCTCAGCACAACCCAGAAACCAGAATCCAGATTCTAAATTCTAGATCCACCACCAACCAAACCCCCATGCCATTCGTGCGCCATTCTCGTAAAAATGCCCATCCAACCATCGATCCATCGATCCATCGACATGCATATGCATGGCCATTACGGCCCGTAATCTAATCTACAGCCCCGTGCCCTGCATGGAAAACCCTGCATTCAAGATCCCTGCACTTCCAAGACCTGCATTCGAGACCTGCATTCTGAGACCTGCATTCGAGACCTGCATTCTGAGACCTGCATTCTGAGACCTGCATACATGTCCATCGATCGTGCATTGCCGGGCGTCAAGCACGTAAGTAACGCGAGTGAGTGAGTGAGCAAGCAAGCAAGTAACAGGGCAGAACACGAATCAGTGTCAGGACGCCTTGCCGTCTTGCCCAACTGCTCGTTCGCTCATCATGCTGGCCCTTGCCTACACATGACTCACTCGGAGCCAAACACATCCCCTTCCCCCTCCCCTCCCCTTCATCAAAGAGGCTCTTCCGCTCCTCTGTGTCTTGGCTCTCTCTTGAGAATCCATACACTGCCATGGCTCTTGGCATCATCCCCTGCTGGTCGACCGGGGATGGTTTTTCCATGATGCTTGTGTTCCCAGGAATGCTCCAATAGCGCGATGCAGGGGGCCCTGTTGAAGTCACGACAGTCTTGGGTGCGAGAATCGCGGGCCCGGGCCATGGCGGCATTGCGTTGCGGCTCTGTAGATGTATGCCGGCCTTGGGCAGTGTGTACTCAAGAAAAGTGCATGCTATACACTGACATTTCCCCCGTCAGTGTGGATCCTTAAGTCCGTGACTTGAGTTATCGTCGTAAGTCCGTGGCTTGAGTCATCGTCCCAAGCCCGCAGACTGACTCATCGTCTTCGGCGGGCCTGCCGCGTGGTGGTTCCGCCAGTCACGCCGGAGCCGGCGCCGATACTACTACCACCGCCGAGATCCTTGACCACGCCAATCCCCTTGGCCGGCGACGCTTCCTCTTCCATCTTCCCGCCCATCTTGGCGAGGAGTATCTCCCTTGCCCGTCTGGCTTCCGGGTTGTCGTAGACCAACTGGGTCTGCGGCGGGGCTTCCTGCTCCACCACAGCGGCGGCGGCGGAGTCGGCATTTTGCTGCGGCCATGACTCGGGCGCTTCGACGACGTTGGAACTGCTGGCTTCGGCGTGGTTGGTCAAGACGTGCGAGTCTGGGTCGCCCGTGGAAGTGTTGCTTGTGGCGGATGAGTGGGCTCGGCCTAACAATCCCCGCCTTCGTCGCTGTCGGTTGGTCTCGAGCATCTCAGGGGCCGCGGCAGACGGTGCTCGGGCGGCCTGCTTCTGTGCACGCAGCGCAGCTATAGCATTCTCGAGATGGGGCTGCTCCACGGCCATCACGGGCTCCGGGTCTGGTGAGGATGGTCGTGACGGTTGGTCCAAGTTTTGCTCTGACGCCGACTTGTGAGATTTGTTAGACGTGTTGGTCGATGTTGTTGCGGAGCGACGGCGAGGTGACGTGGTAGCTTGAGGAAGCTCAGCAAGCGGCTTGGAGATGCTGTCGTCAGGGCGACCTAGATTTTGTGGTGGCAGCTCACCACCAAGCTTCCGTTTCGTCTTGCCGTTTGTCGGCCGCTGTGGGACTCTTCCATGTGCTGCTGCTCGTTCCGAACTCGCGCCGGACTTGCCTTTGGATACCGCGCTCTTCTCTTCTTCGGGCAGTTGTTTCGTGGGCTTTGGCTTTTCAATCGCCTGTTCCCCTGTCTCATGGTTGATCGAGCGAATCGGCTGGACCAAGTATTGCTTGTACGGTCTCCTCTCACCCGATTCAATGGAATGTGAGAGCCAGTCCTGTGTGACAGCAGGAATGCTGTTCTTGGCGGCCAGTGACAGCTTTTCCTTGTTGGCCGACAATGGACCGCAGATCAGGACCGAGGTGGTTGGCTTTAGATATTCGTCATACACCGCGCCTGCAGGCATGACTTAGCAGTTGCGGATTCAAAGTTGGAACAAATCCTACCCATCAAATTGACAGCTTTTGATGCATGCAAAAGGTCGATCCCAGTAAACCCCGTAGACGTGACCGTGAGGCCTTTAAAGTCTTGAGCATTTCGTCAGAAGCGAGCACAAACCCGTCGAGGGATCAACATACCATTGATGTGGATTTTGGCGAATGGCCTGCACAAGGCGTCTTCCGTTGGATCGATCAGGGTTTTGTTGTGGAGGCATTTCTCCACCCACCAGTTAGTCACTTTAAGCAGCCTTTGAGCCAGCTCGGGAAGTGGAGGGAGTCGCGTCACAGGGGCATCATCCGGGACTATCAAAAAGCCGTCTTCCAACTTCTCCAAAGGTAATGCCGCTAGCTCAGCCGGTCTTGTACAGGCCATGGCACCATTGGCCGACAGATGTTGGAGAAGAATGGTGGTCTGATTGAAGTCAGCACAGCAGGAGCCGGGAAGTCATGATGAATACCTTTTTCTCATCGAACCCATGGATATGCACTACTCTTCTCTGGAAAATGCCATCCTCTGGCTGTACAAGCTCCAGCACCGGGGCGCGAGGTTCCGGAACCGCCTCGGCTGTGACATCAGGCGCGTGTGCGCTGGCTGCAGCAGGAGGGACAAGTGATAGGATTGCGCTTTCACTAGACGTCTTGTCCAAGTCAAGCCACTGACCGTCACTTCTACGCCTATCAGTGGCAGAGTGCGATGTGATGTCTGCCCAGATGCTTTCGTTCTGGCTGCCCAGCTTTGTACTCGCAGTCCGTCTCAATTTCCGGACCTGGGGTTCGCCCGAGGCCTCGTGTTGCTGCTCGGGTCGTAAGCGCTTGCCAGTGACGACTGTTGTTGTTGTTGTGAGGGTGGTGAATGCGCCTTTGCCTTGCTCTTCTTCTGGTTTTAGCGGATCATAGGCGGCTTCGTCGAGGGCCATGCCTCTCGTGATGGTATCTTGTAGCCATTTCAGGGAAACGACCTTGATGCCCCACTGGCGCGCATAGCCGTATTTCTTGCCCTCTGGGCGTGCCGCGAGCAGGTGGGTGGTCTGCTTTGTGAGATCGCCAGAATAATGAGCACCGTTTGAGATGATCGTTTCCGACAGGCTCTGTCGAAAGAGCACTACGGGTGATCAGAGCTGGCTGACGATGGAAGAATGAAGGCATGGCTACTCACGGTCATCAAACCCGGTAATGCTCAGGCGCAGTTTGTACAATGGCGGGGCTTTGTGTTCTGTCTCGAGTGCGGCAACATCTGTCTCGCCCCCCTCCATCCATGACAGGCGTACAGCCTCCAGCCATTGCGGGAGGACTACTTTGACATCTGGTCTTTCCTTTGCCACGTATCTGTACTTGTTCGTCTCGACGTCGCCAACGAGCAGGTGTGTAACGTCGGAAGTGAGGTCAAACTTGTGAATAGCGCCCATCTGCTGGGCAACAGAAGCCAATTCGGTCTGTAGCAAGGGCTCGTCAGATCGAGTGACGGTCTATGGGGAAGGGCGGACACATACACGAAGCTCTGGCGCAATCGAGGTACAGCACAGCACGACACCGGCGAGAGGCCGCTGAGCGTTGACTGCAGGAGAAGTTAGCAAAATAGTTGGGAAGTGAGAGTGAACAGCATGCCATAGTCTGCAGCTTCATCCATGATTCCGGTACAGGCCCGACATTCTGCGCAAAGCTTTCAAAAGATGATTGAAAGCAGGATCCTTGGCAGTGTGCAGTGTGGTGTTTGTGGCGTCGCGTGTTTGGCAAAGTCGCGTCCCCGCGATCATGACATAAGCAAGCCGAGACCAAGCTGAGGCTGGGCCCTGGGCCGGAGTCTGGGTGGCGCAAGAAGATTCAGCACGTTCAGCATCGCGTCGCACGGTGTTGACGGATATCTCAAAATAGCATATATAAGATCTAGGCACAAAGTACATGCTGCAATATGAACCGGGCTTCTTAGATCTTTGGGCATCTATAGAAGTTGGTGAAACTGAAGGGGAAAAAGCTTCCAGAAGCACGCTCGGTCCCCGTCATTAAACCTTGAGACAGGCAGCCGAAGTTTAGGGAGATGGATAGAGTGTTGCAGGTCGATGGACTATGTGCCATGTGCACTTTGCACGGCTCTCTCCAGGAACTTGCAACATTTTAGACGGTGATGGTGGTGATGCCCGATGGGACAAGCTCTTGGAGATGGTACTAGGGCGGCTGAAACGCGGCACCAGCACAGCACAGCGCAACAGGCTAAGTGGGCAGTAGATGGGCTAGGGAGCTTGCGCCAAAGCCCAAGATGACAATTTCCTTGTTATGAGGGTTGGATCGAGATGGGTAGTGATTATTAGTGTAGGAGTGGCGGTAGAGGATGACTTTGGCGCATGCGGATTTACCCGATACGGACGGCCTGAAGTGAAAGAGGCTCGAGACGTTGGCAAGCATCCATGTTGTTGTTGTTGTTGTTGTTGTTGTTGTTGTTGTTCCTGACACTTGAAATGCGACGTCATAGGGCGGAGTGTGGATACAGGCATAATTAGGTCTAGTACATGGATGGATGGATTCGGCGGTGAGGAGGGATGCCCCCGGTTCCCCAGTTGACGATCGGCGGCAGGACATCAGTCAGCATGACAGTACGTCAAGTGTCAAGTCCGAGACAAAAGCGAGCTTGCGACATGGTGGGAATGGAGGTCAAGATGGAGTTGGCACATGCTAGGTATTATGGATGGATGGATGGATGGATGGATAATAAGTAGGTTAGGTAGAGTGATTAGGTGGATGGTGTAATTAACGTACGTAGGCAGGCCGCCCCAGAGGGATCCGACGACATCCTATACGCTGCGGGATAGTCCCACTGCTACTCGCCCGGAATCAAGCGAGTCTATTCCATCCATCATGATTCCGTCAAGTCAGCACTATTACTTGGGCGGAAGCAGCACGTAGGAACAGCCTTGTTTTCAGAGTTGGCGTTGGATACACTGACATTGGTAGTAGATGATCGGGTGGCTGATGTCATAGGGCAAGAATTGGTGCATGGGTCTTCCTCGTTACTGTTAGCTCGTCAGGGCAAGTTGGCTTGAAGGGAGCAGCAACAGAGGTGGAGGTGAAGCTGCAAGCAAGGACATGCTGGCTGGCTGCAGTCCTCGTCTCGTTGTCAGCAGCCGGAGATGTGTAGTAGTAGTGGTAGTAGTGGTAGTAGTGGTAGTAGTGGTAGTAGTACAGCAGTAGTAAGTAGTAACTAATCACTAGGCACAGTAGTAGAGGCATGGCCGGCGCGCGTCAAGTCAAGACCCGCTGGCTCGCCTCGTTGTCGGCGTCGTCGTCGTCGTCACGGCGCTCCTGGACGGTGATCAGTGAGTGAGGGAGGGAGAAGAAAGAGATGGCTGATGAGTGAAGAGGATTAATTGACGGGACATGATTATTGCATGCATGAATTGGCAGTGACTGACTATATTGTACCATTAATTATCCTATACTATTCACCTATTATTGTATGCTATGCTGCCAGCCCAAGACCGAAACCAGAGTTCGCTCCACTCCGGGCCAGCCAGCCAGCCAGCCAGCCAGCCAGCCAGCCAGCCAGCCAGCCAGCCAGCCTCGATTTCTTTGACGGGCTTAGGGCCAATCGACTGCCCCCCAAATCTGCCCGAATCTGCTTTGCCCATCTCCCATCTCGTCCCCATCTCGTCCCCAGAAGAAGCTTTTCTAGCCCTGCCTGCCCGCTCCTACACTTGCTTTTCTATTCTTATGCTTATTGCTCCATACCACTAATCACTGCCACTAAGACTAATAAACTACTACTACTGCTGCTGCTTGTCTATTCTCCTCCACTTTACTGCCATTATTGCACCATCTCATCCCATTCCTAACTAATTCCTACCTACCACTACTACTGATTACCATCTCCACTCCACTCCATACCCGACCACCCTGACACATCATCGTCCTTTTTTTGCTTGCAAGGGCCTTCCCCGACACCATCCGTCCGTGCATCTCCTCACTCCGTCATCATCATCGTGTGTGGTGTGTGTGTGTGTGTGTGTGTACGCGCCTGTGTATGTCCACGGTGTGCGTATGTGCGTGTGTGTATGTGCTTCAACAACAAGCCCAGCTCACACCTCACTCCTCACCGTGCACCCTTTATCCTTTTCTCCAGCCGGCCCCATATCACCACTACTACTACTGCTGCTGCTGCTACTACTACTCCTACCACCACCACCACCACCACCAGCCTGTACCTCTTCTGCATGAACCATCCCACCACCTCCTCCACCCTCTGCTCTGTGAGTACCCTCCTTCTCCTCCTCCCTGCTCATTGTCACTGTAGTCGGTCGGTAGTCTGCTCTCCGGCCATGCAATATCCCCGGTCCTTGTCACACAGACACACACACACACACACACCCTCTCTCTCTCGACTCTCTAGTCCTTGATTCTTACGGACATTTTCCTCGTGCTGTTTTGCCCTCTCGCACGCGCTATGGCCTCTTCTTCTCTTTGCTTTGTTTGGTTGCCATAGACGCTTTCGGTCTTTGCTCTTGCTTTTACCATCCATGCTTTGTCCCCATCCGTCCCTTCAATTTCATCGTCAAGCCTCCTCTCTCTTGTTTTAAACAATTATTATACTTCCACTCCTGCTGTCCACCCACAATCCCACTCACCCACTCTCTCACTGTCCCTCCGCCTGCTCTTCACAATCACCTTCCCCCCTCTCACACACAATGCCAGATCACCGAACCTACGTCTACTCCAACCACGGTCGTCTCTCATACATACCCGACCACCTCCTGCCCTCCAACCCACCGAGAGGTCTATATCGAACTCGTGCACGCCGTCCACACCGCATTTGTATTGCCTCTGTCGTCCCAGACCCACCCACCCCCAACAAATACACCTCCACCAGCGCCATCCTCGTCGAAAAGCTGGCTAGCTCTCGCCAATCCGCAAAGCGCTTCCTCAGGTCCTTTGTCTCCAACAGCAACAATAGCAACAACAACTCACAGCAAGACCAAGAGAATCTTGAATCACGTAGAGCATCCTTGCAGATTACGCCTCAGAGTTCGGCCTCGTCGCGGTCCGAAAGCCGGAGAAGCTCCCATTCGAGCGCCACCCAATCCAGCGGCATGCGCTCGAATCGCAGTTCTGTGGTCGGCGGCGGCGGCGGCGGGGGGGGGGTTGCCCCCGCCTTAACTCCGCGTCCACCCCTCCTGGTCACTACTTCCTCAAGAGCTGCTTCACACGTGCGGAACCGCATGAGCAAGTCAATGTCTGCTTCTGTCACAAGGCTGGCCACCGACGAGAAGCCCTTGGCTTCGGGAAACGGTGTCAGCATCGCCATCCATCTCACCGAGCCTGTCCTCTTCCTACAGGGCTTCGACCAGAATGAGCACTCGGAGCGCTCGACTGCCATGTTGAGAGGAAGCCTGCATCTGCACGTCACGAAACCGACAAAGATCAAGACTGTCACCCTGAACTTTGCCGGTCGAGCTCTGACAAAATGGCCAGAAGGTGAGAGGAGCCAAGACTGCGCGATCTATCTATCCATGCTAACGTGTATCCAGGCATACCGCCCAGGAAGACTGAATTTGAGGAGAAGAATATTGTCATGAAGCATGTCTGGCCCTTCTTCAACGCCCAGTTTCCCACTGCCGAGGCAAGCACCGGGGCAGACCATGTAGAGCTACTCAAGAGCTCGGGTGCATCGCCAGCACTCTCCCCGCTAGACTCTCTTCGCAACAACAACAATAACACCACCACCGGCAACGGCTCGGCCTTGAATCTCACCTCACGCGATCACAGGAAACTCTCTCTCCAGGTCAACCAGTCCCGCAGTTTTGGCAAGGGTGATTCTTCCACAAACGGTCCGTCTGTGGCTCAGAAGGGCTATCGAACCTTTCAGCCGGGCGACTATGTCTACAACTTTGAACTCCCAATTGACAGCCATCTTCCTGAAACAATCGACGTCGAGCTGGGCTCGGTCAAGTACGAGCTCGAGGCAATCATCGAGCGAGCAGGAGCTTTCAGAGCGAACCTGATGGGCACAAAGGAGATACAGCTTATTCGGGCTCCTTCCGAGGGCTCTCTGGAGCAGATTGAACCGATTGCCATCAGCCGGAATTGGGAAGACCAGTTGCACTATGATATCGTCATATCTGGCAAATCCTTTCCCATAGGCGCACAGGTCCCAATCGCATTCAAGCTCACCCCGCTTGCCAAAGTGCAATGTCACCGGATCAAGGTGTATGTGACTGAGAATGTCGAGTACTTTTGCCAGAATAAAAAGGTGCATCGGCTAGAGCCCACCCGTAAGATTCAGCTGTTCGAGAAGAGAGCAGACGGGCCTGCTACATCTGTGTTTCCTGGTAGTACCATGAGGATCGTCTCTGGTGGCGGCGTGCGATACGATGAACGCGAGGCAGCAGCACGTGGCGAAGAAGTCACGCTGCAGGACACGACGAATCTTCTTGGTAATCTTGGTGATTATGGCATTGGACCCACCGAGATGGAGTTCAACGTCCAGCTTCCCACGTGCAGTCAATTGAAGGACAAGGAGAGGAGTCAGAGGCTTCACTTCGACACGACATACCAAAACATAGTGGTTCATCACTGGATCAAGGTAAGAAGTCGCCCCCTCCTCCATTCAAGTGTGTGTCTGCAGCACAGCTAATCAAACTCCTACACACAGCTCGTCATGCGACTGTCAAGACCCGACACGAACAATCCAGAAAAGCGACGACACTTTGAAATCTCCATCGACTCGCCCTTCAACATCCTCTCCTGCCGGGCAACGCAGAGCAATACATCCCTGCCTGCATACTCTAGCCCAGAATGCATGGGCGAAGACACGCAGCTCTCCGAATGCGGCTGTCCTGGCGCGGCCACCCGACGAGGCTCGCCGACTTCTTTTGCCCCGACACTCGAGCTCCACAACGGCACCCGCGGCACCAACGAGCCAACGGACATCTCATCTCCAGGACTTGCCCGGCCACAGCAAGCACACCTCGGTGGCCCTATCCACCAAGAGCTCGCAAGACCCATGCACTTGCTTCGCATCCCCTCGTACAACCCACCCGCATTTGAAGAGGAACAACCTCCACCGCCGCTGGAAACTCCTCCACCAGCGTACAACAGCATCGCAAGTCCCACGTCCGGGCTTGCAGACTACTTTGCCCGGCTATCGGACGCGTACGACGACGAGGATGACAGTGAAGACGAGCGGACGCGTCGCAGCCGCATCGATGTGCCGCTCACGCCTGGCGGCAGAATTGCACGGAGTATGGACGTGCCACGCACCTACTTTCAACAGCAATTCCAAAACTTTCAACTGGACGGCCGGGCTGCGCAATGAGTGGTGATATGCCCTGGAAGCACCGGTGACCGAGGCTGTCCTGAATATCGACGCAGAGAAAATGCGTCTAGAGGCGATCAATGAGTAATGGATCTATTTGTGACATGTTGTTGTTGTAGCGGCGGTTATTGTCAGCACTGTTTTTTGGGGGGGGCCAGGCGGGGGGCGTTGAGGCTTGCATTGGACATATGAAGCTGTCTGTATTTACTTGGACTGTACCAAGCAAGCTACAGTGTGTGTCTCTCATCATCGTATGGGTATGAGGATTTAAGATTTTTGCATGGGAAGATTCTGTACATATCGTCGAGGCTCGAGAACCAACGGCGTTGCATATTTCACGGCACACTGTATGGGCCACGCGCAGGCATCAAGGCCTACTACTACAACCTAGCTTGGAGGAGATTAGCATAATTATACATCTTGGATAGAGACCAAAAAGGTTAATTATTCGAAACCACATCAGACGCGTCACGGACCTCTCCCTCTCCCTTCTAATAATAGGCCTGCTCTGTTATCAATCGTGTTAATTGCAGTCCCGGTACCCGCTCCGCTCTCCGGTCATAGCTCTCAAGACTCGCCCACATAAGATCTCAAAGGAACAACAAACACCATGTCCGTTCACATCCAGTCCAATCCAGCCGCCCAGTCAATCGTCTGTTTCTGCATTGTACAAATGTACCCAGGTCAGCCGCCAGCCCACCACGCGTGAGATCAGCTCTTGGCAGCGCTGTGCAATTGGCCCGAGGCTGCCGCTGTGCAGCCGTACATATTATGTAGTTAATAATACATACATAGCAGAGTCCGCCCTAATTAACGGTGGCGGAGGTTGTCGGCCGGGGATTTAAAAAAACAAGGATGGGAACGGCAGTGGGAGAATAATTGACAGTCACAGTAGAAGAATTGCTTGCAGATGCCAATTGCATATATCTCCGCATGCCGTTAAATTATTCTTATATGCAGGAGAGGGGACAGCAGCCGTGCATCCATGATGGAAGCTGGAGAACATCATATCCATGCCTCTCTCTCTCTCTCTCTCTCTCTCTCTCTTCTTTCCCCCAATTCACCACGCCCCATGTTCGCGACTTCATCGTCTTTTCTTTCTTTTCTGCCCTTCCAACAACAGCTATGGATCCACTATTATCCACGCTGCCAAGTCCAACCTCCACGAAGCCAAGACGTTCTTTTGCTAGTCTCCATCTCCAATCGCCATTCCTCTTCCTTTTCACTCCACTATTAACACGCCCCCCCCTCCTCCCAACTCCTCCCCCAACTTCCACCTGACTCGGCCTCGCCGCCGCGCCCCAATAAATACCAAAGCCTGCGCCTCGTGTCTTTGCCCGTTTGCGCAAAGCCTCTTGGGGTGTGTGTTCTTTTTTTTTTTATCTTGATTTGTGCCTAGAGATACATACCTATCTCCATGTCACACCACAGGTAATACCAAGACTCCACCCATTGCTTGTCTGCGGTGCTAACCACCACTACGCACAGTCTCTGAACCATCACAACACCTGTACGTCTTTCACGACGATCTCAGACCTTGTGACAGCCTTCGTCGGGCTTGCGGGAGCGGCGATTGCGCGCGGCCAGACCTTCTATGCACCCACCTAGTCCATTCGCTTCTCACAACGGACCGCCGGACGCCTCAGCTCACCGGCCACTCGTCCTATACCCTCCATAACACCACCTCAGTCCACGTAGCCGATCGAAAGACAAAAGCACAGTCATCGCGGACAATCTGGGCAGATCCTGTCCTTCTACGATAGGAACCCATCTACAATGGCGTGGGAACATCTCTCAATCACCCGCCCGCACCTGGTGTACATAATCCTGGGAGGCTTCACCAGCCTGTTCATGTTATGCTCCTCTGTAATCAAGGAGCGCTTGTACATTGGCGAGGCCACAGTCGCCACTCTCTGTGGCATCATCTTCGGTCCGCACGCCGCAAACCTCATCAACCCGCTGGAATGGGGCAACACAGACCTAATCACGCTCGAGTTCTCCAGGATCGTTCTGGTCGTACAATGTTTCGCCGTCGGTGTCGAATTGCCCAAATCGTACATGGAACGCCATTGGAGGTCCGTGGTTCTTCTGCTGGTGCCTGTCATGACTTTCGGCTGGCTCATTACGAGTCTGTTCATCTGGGGCCTCTTCAAGTCGCACGTGAACTGGCTGGATAGTCTTTGCATCGCTGCCTGTGTGACTGCCACCGATCCCGTCTTGGCCTCCTCCGTTGTCGGTAAAGGCAAGTTTGCAAAACGAGTGCCAAAGCATCTTCGTGATCTGCTCTCCGCCGAGTCTGGCTGCAACGACGGCATGGCCTTTCCTTTTGTCTATCTGGCAATATATCTGATCCGCTACCGACCGGACACGAACGCGGTCGCCTTCCATTGGTTCTGCTACACTGTCTTGTATGAATGTGTATTTGGAGCCATCTTTGGCGTGACGGTAGGTTACGCGGCCAGACGTGCTATTCGATATGCGCACGAACGCGATCTCATTGATCGTGAGAGCTTTCTCGTCTTCTACTTTGTTCTCGCGCTCTTCTGCGCCGGTGCTGGGAGCTTGCTTGGCATGGACGACTTGCTGGTCGGCTTTGCTTGCGGGGTGGGCTTCAGTAACGACGGATGGTTCACTGAAAAGACCGAAGAAGCGCACGTATCCAACGTGATCGATCTACTCATCAATTTGGCCTTCTTCGTCTACTTTGGTACCATCATTCCGTGGGAGCAGTTCAATTCGAGCATCATCGGTCTCTCGCCGTGGCGGCTGGTCGTGCTTGGCCTTTTGGTACTCTTCTTCCGTCGGATCCCAATCATGCTGATGCTCAAGCCTGCCATTCCCGATATCAAGACCTGGCGCGAGTCTCTGTTCGCCGGCCACTTTGGTCCGATTGGTGTTGGTGGTCTGTTTGTCGCCATCCTGGCTCGTGCAGAGCTCGAGACGGAAGAGACGACGCCTTTGGCTCAATTGCCTGAAGAAGGATTTCCGCACCGGAACATCATCGAAATGATCTGGCCAATCACGGTCTTCCTTGTCATCGTATCAATTCTCGTCCATGGCTCTTCAATCGCTGTCTTCACTCTGGGAAAACACATCAACACCTTGACCTTGACCATGTCATACACGCAAGCTGCTGAAGACGGACCAACCTGGATGGACAGACTTCCTCGAATTCAGTCACGCTCCAAGAGTATGATGTCAAGGTCCTCTTCCTTTGACGAAAAGGCAGCACCAGGCTCCCTCGGCCCTGTTGGGTTCCCTGGAAACTTCCTGCGGCGGCAGAAGGAAGAAGACAACCCAAGCAGGTCGAACAGTGTTCGTCCAACGAACAGGAGAAAGAAATGGGACACGGGCCTTGGGCCTGGCGGACCCATCAGCCAGTCTGCCATTACGCCCCAGCGACCACGGCAGGAGGTAGATCGCCAGGAATCAGACGGTATCACGTTGGCCAATCAGGACTCTGACACCACAAATGTTGCAACCGGTAGTTCTTCCAGGGATGACTCTCTGGAGAAGAAGAAGGGCGGCGGCGACGAGCCCCAAGAGGAGATATATCGCGAAGGCCACAACGACATCATCGAAGACGAAGAGGGCAATGTGTTGGAAATACGAGATACCCGCGGAGAATCAGCAGAGCAGTCGAAGCGAAGAGATGAGCGCGATGCTCGACGTCTGATGAAAGAGGACGATGTGCAACATGGGGTCGCACAGACTGAGCACCAGCACAGACATGGAGATGACGATGGTGATGATGGCGATGATGACGACAATGTATCACCACACGCCACCGCTCGTAAGGAGGAGCCAAAGAAAGAACAACAACAACAGCAACATACGGGCTGGCGCGGCCGCCTGGGGGGCTTGCGCCGCCGCGAAACGCACGGCGCGGACGAGGGTTCAGAGCAAACGAAGCAGCCCCCGAAACGCGGTGCCGCCCGCGCCTACCAATTCGGCAACACTATCATTGTCGAAGACGAAGATGGAGAGGTGCTCAAGAAGTACGACATCCCGGCGCAGAAACGACCAGAGCAACCGGGCCGACAGGGCAGCTTTGTCGATAGTAGCAAGTCCCGTCTCGCAAACATGGGCCGTTACCTTGGCGTACCTCGCGCCATCGACGAGAATGCCGAAGCCGGACCCTCGTCGGGCACGTCGTCGAAGAAACGCACCAAGGACGAAGAGGACGACGACCACATCCGGTTCCGGATACACGCCGGCGGCCGCCGCATGTCCAAGACGGAGTTCATCCAGCAGATCCAGCAACTCGATCCCAAGTCGCGCGCTCAAGTTGTCGAAGACTCGAATGCCCCGGAGGCCGTCAAGCGCGAGGCCCGCGCCGACGCCAGAGAGCATGCCCAGCGCAAGAGATCCGTTGCCACGGCAAAGAGCCGGACCACGGAGATTGAGCGCGAGCACGGCGTCCAAGTCGAGTCGGAGCAGGACCATGCCCTCTCTCGACAGATCTCTCCTGGCGGCGGCGGCGACCAGTCCTCGGTCGAGTCGTCCCGTCCGGTACCCGCATACAACATCCGCGCAGACATTGCGTCGCGCGCAGACAACAAAGAAACCGCCGCCCAGCGCCGTCGCCGCCTCGCCGGCACTCAGGGGATCTCATCCGCTGACATGCCCATCAACCCGGTGCCCACGGCCCCCAAATCCGACGTGCCCCTCCTGACGAGCCAGAAATCACACATGGACGAAGGCGAGACGGCCGCGGAGCGCCGCCGCCGCGAGGGCGCGCTCGGCATGACACACGAAGACTCGGACTCGGACAGCGCGTCCGACGACGACGTCACAGGCACCGGCATGCGCGAACTCCCACCCGAAGGCGGCAGCACCACAGGCGGCCTGTCCGGCTCCTCGGGTCTGGGCAAGGGCAAGGGCAGTCTGCGCCGACGACCCAGCATGTCGCCGGAGAATGTGATTGCCGAAGAAGACAAGGAGGAGGAGGATGCTGATGTAGAAGAAGAAGAAGAAGATGAAGAATCAGAAGCGCGCGGCAAGGACGTCGAAAAGGCAGTGCGCACGCCCGGCATCCGGTTCGCGGACGTTCCCAGGACCGACGCCGCTGTCGGCGGTAATGGTAATGGTAGTAGTAGTAATAATAGTAATACGCCCGCGGAGCCTGGAAGTGGTAGTGGAGGTGGTGGCGGAGGAGGAGATAGGAGAAGCATGGGCAGTGCGACGAGCGGCGCGGGAGAGCGCAGGAGCGGTACGGGGAGCATGACTGGCACCGCCACCACGGGCAGGCTGCGGTGGGGCGCGAATGTAGGCGCGCGGCCGGCGAGTAAGGGGAAGTAGGACAATTTGGGGAATTGAGCAGTGGTTTTTGTTATGTGGTTTTATGTTGTTATGTCGTGGGCGGGTGGATGGTGTTGACCGGGCGTGGGATGGGCACGGGGATGGGAATTGGGGGGAAGGAATAGGAAATGAGGGAGATGAGGGATGCATGTGTGTGTGATGATGTATGGACTGAAATACATTGCACTGAAATGCACTGCACTGGTCTGAACTGAGAAATGCACTGAAATGCACTGCACCGGTTTCAAGTAGATGGAAAGATATGAATCTATGGATGGGTTACTGCCTACCTACCGTGTCATACATGACATACCTGACATACATATACGTGCGGCGCATATATGACATACATGGCTTAACATCCATACGCCAGACTTGTCGCCGAGAGGGAAAGGGGGAGTGTTTGACGAGGGAAGTGTAAATGTGCAATGTTTGGATGTTGGATGCCATGCCATTTTGGATGTCAAATACCATGTGTTTGATATCGTGCTGTTCTGTTCATTCGTGTTGTGTCTTGTCACTCATCCACTTTTATTGTTCACTTATTCATATAGTAAGTAGTATCTAGCGTATCGTATCGTATCGTATCCTATCCTATCCTATCTTATCCTGTCCTGTCCTGTCCTGTCCTGTCCTATCCTGTCCTGTCCTGTCCCGTCCTATCCTATCCTATCCTATCCCATCCTATCCTATCCTATCCTATCCTATCCCGTCCTATCCTATCCTATTCTATCCTCTCCTATCTCCCATCCACAACATCAATATCCAGCAACAAACAACAACCACGAATATATCCAATCTCCTTCTTCACCCCCCCTCCCCCCCTCTCCAACGCTCTATCCCCGCCCCCCTCTAATTCTATAAGCTATTATTTATCCCCTTCTTCCCCCTTTGAATCCCTCTCTTAAATCCCCTTCCAACATCCCCGCCCTTCTCCAGCCTCCTCCTCCTCCTGTTCCTCCTCCTCCTCCTCCTCCTCCTCCTCCCCTCTACTAAAGTCCCCCCCCCCCCCTTTTCTAAAGTTACTTTCTTCGATTCTCCCTGTTGTTGCTGTCGTCTGCTTCTTTCTTGTATGTATGTGTGTGTGTGTGTGTTTTTTAGTGTATATGGATTTATTTTTGAGGGGAGGGGAGAAGGAGGAGGGGAGAGGAGAAGGAAGGGAGGGGGTTTGGTATTACTTTGGGTACTTGTACTTGACACATGGATGAGTGGATAGATGAGTAGGTTGGTGGGTAGGTAAGTAGCCAAGTACTATACAAAGTGATTTTTGGTATGTATCCCGGACGGACGAAACATATGGCTTGGATATTGCTTCTGTGGTAGTTTTTTCTTGACTGAGTGACTAGTTGACTAGATGGCTGGAGGACTTGACTGCTTGACTGCTTGACTGCTTGACTGCTTGACTACTTGACTACTCAACTACTTAACCACTCACTCAACTACTCACTAAACTACCCACCTACCCATCTACACAACCACACAACCACACAGCCATAGCAACCAAAACACTCACAAAACCAGAAAACCTAGAAGCCACACCCACTAGACATCTACACATCTACACATCATCATCACCACCACCACCACCCACGCCCAGCGCACTTATAAAAGCAGAACAAATAGAAGCTAAAGCATCAAGGCATATATTAGCACGAGGTATCAGTAGTAATTTAGTCTCGCTAGAGAAAGAGGGGGAGGGGGGGGGGTTACATCAGATTATCTAGATCTTAGTATACACGTGTATATATATATATATATATATGTATACATGTATAATTGATATGCACGACGAGGAGGGAAGGTATAAAACACCAGATAGTCTGACAGAACACCTGCGTTAGTCCAGCATCTAATATCCCTCCTCTTCCAACCATCATGATCCACGGAAGCTAGTATTATCAAATCGAAATATCCGTGTCTTTGTATTCTCTTATATATATATATACATATATATACATGGCTACATCTACATCTACATCTACATCTACGGCTACGTCTACGTCTACATCTCCGTCTCCATCCACGCCACCCCCATCATCCTCCAAGCGCGCGCCCGTCACGGACAAAGCTTCTCCTCCCATGATACACGAGAAGGTAATACAGATATCGCGCGGCATGGACCAGGGAACGACTAGGGACTGGAAAAGTGGGTGGGAGAAAATGTTCGGAGAGTTAGGGAATAGGGGAGAAGTTAGCGATTGACTGTTGATATTTTAGAAATGAATGGATGGATGGTTGGAGATGGTTAGTGTCATAGTGGGAGTGGAGAGGAGCATATTTGGGAGACTGTGTTGATGTCTCATATATCGCAATAGCGTCCTTCGTGAGTTCACAAGTAAGCGAGAGCTCACGACTACTAACATTTCAGACAGGACTTTGTGACAAGATATCTGTCTGTCTGTCTGTCTGTCTGTCTGTCGTAGGAAGAGTGGATAAACTGTAGATGAGAATATCATTGTCAGCCCAGGTATACCTGCCATGCCACACCGTCTGTATGCGCAGACGCAGCAGCATACATGACATGACGACAAGCGTACGAGGGGAGGAAAAGTGTACGTAAAGCTACAAGGTCGTTTGTACAGTATTGCACATACTAGACTCTGTCTACGTGACGGAGACTCCGTATTGTCTACCGGATACGAGTCACTGAGTTGACTGGAAGGATGTGTTGCGAGACTGGGCTCGTCTCGACGGTGCATTGCGTTCGACCGTTCGACTGCCGTGAAATCATGGGAAAAGGAGGCGGGAAAGTCTCTGGTCTCTGCCTCTGGTCTCTGGTTTCTGGCTCTGGTCCTGCAAGGCTGGTGGGGGCCCCGCAAAGGTCAAACTATCGTTCAGCTGACTTGTGCCGTCATTGTACATGGCCTCTACCGCTGGGTCGAGTAATTACTCAGACATGTATATCAGGTCCTACAGAGCCAGTCAGCCGGTATGCTGAGGTCACCACTCTGCGGGCGATAAGCATCATGACGGCCCAGAAGCTGGTCGACAGCTCTCTATGAAGACGACAAATATGTCTCTGCTGGCCCGTACAGATGAGACTTAAGCTTCTGCATCGCCGATGTTGCGCTCGGGATGGTGCAAGGCGCGGTGTATTATTGTTGAGGATTCGAGGGCTAGACGCGACGTTATCCATTATCGCTCGCTTACCACCGTGGCTTTCCTATCAGGGTTAGCAGGCATACCCTCATGCGGTATGGCCCTGTTTGATTGGCAGACGCAACGGTTCACGGTGGATACTGCATTCGGGACCAACGCAAAAATTGCTGCAGCGCCATGTCGTGCCATCGAGGGGCTCACCGCATCCAACGCTCGAGCTGGCTGACGTGACTGTCGGCCGGGAACAATGGAGTACCAACATCACGATCTGGAAAAAGTCGATGTGGCAAGTAACACGGAGGTTAATGTGGGTGGATCTCGAAGCTTGATATCTTGGTACTGCCCCCTCAGAGGAGGCTCTACCTGAGTGAACGTGGATCGCCGGCTAGACTGGTCGATCGGTCCATCTACCGTTGGAAACGAGCGAGCCAACTGCCGTTTGATCCAAGTGCAATTGGCCTCAGAAGTACTGTAAACATGGACGGGATACTATCATACTGTACTATCCTGGTACTGACTCTGTCTCGTCTTGGGCGTGACGTAGGAGAGCCACCAGTCGAGCATCGGAGTGCATTACGCCGTGCAAGGGTGCGTCTTGCTGTCTGATGTGATCTGTTTCCTGTCAACGAGCTCTTGATCGAATCCTCCTCCTAATTAGACCCAGAGAAGCGTGAGAAAGCACTCCCCGCGTCTGACTGCGATGGCGGGGCCACTTTCACATGCTAGATGCATGGAACGCTTGCTCTAGTCAAAGTTACAGTCGCGTTGTCTTCGTGCCCGTGCCCGTTGACGTCGAACTGCGTCTGGAGATGCACTATCGAAACCCCGTGTCCAATCAGTACAGTCGCTTCGACCACTCTTTGCATGGCATTGTTATTCAACACCAGCCCAAACGCCATGTCCAGGGTCCACGATAAGGGATCGAATTCTGGTACGGTACGGCTGGCGTCCTCTTGTGAGATGAGCACCCGTGTAACGTCACTGCCTGCGGGCAATATATATCCAGACGACCATTCCACTGGCTCACAGTAAAGTAACTGTCACAGACTCCTCCACCATCGACCCCTCACAATCAGATATCTCCCCCCTCATCATGGCTCCTTCTGCTATCACACCCCCTGCACATGAGGTCAAAGAGCTCAAGATGCCTCGTCCTGCTCTCAGACAGAACAACTCCTACATGGGGGTTCGAAGAAAGATTGTGTGCTTCTCCGACTTTGACGGGACCATCTTCATGCAAGACACTGGTCACATTCTCTTCAACGCCTTTGGCTGCGGTAGCGAACGTCGTGAGATTCTCGATAGGCAGATCAACAGCGGAGAGCGCACTTTCCGCGATGTCTCGGAAGAGATGTGGGGTTCTCTGAACGTGCCATTCGAGGACGGCTTTGAAGTCATGAAAGATGCACTTGAGATTGACCCCGACTTCATGGAGTTCCACCAGTTCTGCCTTGATAACGACATCCCATTCAACGTCATCTCGGCTGGTCTGAAGCCTGTACTTCGCCGTGTGCTAGACCATTTCCTCGGCGAGGAAGATTCGCAGCACATTGACATTGTTGCCAACGACGCGCACATCTCGGAAGACGGACGCGACTGGAAAGTGGAATGGCTTCACGACAACGAAAAGGGACACGACAAGGCCATCTCCATGAAGGACGCACGCGCAGCCGTCACGATGGCTTGCGAGAACGGTACGGTGCCATTGATCGTCTTCATCGGTGACGGTGTCAGTGACCTGCCAGCTGCACGAAACGCCGACGTTCTGTTCGCTCGTCGTGGACTGAGGCTTGAAGAGTACTGCATCGAGAACAAACTCGACTACATCCCGTTCGACACGTTTGCCGACATCCAGCGCGAGCTGACAGCGATCGCCAAGGCTGATGAGGAGAGAACAAAGGGCGAAGGCATGCCAGCAAAGTTCAACCCACGTGCGAACATGTGGAGACGGGCTTCCAGCAGCAAGGCGGTCCCAGTCTTCGCTGCCATGTCACCTGGCAAGGAGAAGATGTTTGTCTGGCCCAACATTTTCAGCGAGACGGCCATGGAAAAGCCAGAGCTGGTCGCAGCAGCTCCAGCAGCCTGAGGTGTCATGTTCAGATGTTTTATCGTACATGTATGTTGTAATGTATTTTTAGCGGCATTGGGATGACAGGTGTCTGGCGTTATTCATTTTTCGTCGGAATCAGCCCTATACGGACGACAGCAACACGGAATACGAGAGACCGGCATGGATCAGCATTGCGTATCCGTTGCTTCAGCAGGATAGAAGTCTTGAAGGGCAGTAGAATCATATATAGAGAATACAATTCTGCTCATAGTAGACTTCAAGTCGGACGCAGCATCGCCATCCCACGGACATCCACAGCCGTGCGTCAACGGAATGGAGACATGGATGTAGTATTAATCAATAGACGACCGAGAAGATATGAGGAGAAGAAATTAAATGTCTCAGATCATCCAGGCCAGGTCATCCCGGATGATGCGAAGTGAGTTTTGTGGTGACTGGAGGCGCGGTTGTGGTTGTGGGCAGGAGAAGGTCCCAGGTCGCCAGCTGTACTGTAGCTAGCGAAAGAGCGCAATTCAGCCCCCGCGCCGCCAACTTCTTCTTCTGGTGATGGGGGTTCCCTCCCAGGTCTGTGGATCATTTTCATTCAGTTATACCAACAGTGCGTGCTGCTGCTTTGTCTCCGCCATATTACACGAGTCCTATTTTCCTGTGCCTCTTACTTCTCGTCGCTCTCTCATCCCTAACACATCTTGTATCTCTCTCTCACATACGCACACAAACACATACACATATATATATCTCCCTTTATCGTACCTGCTCGAGTGTTGCTGTATTGTCCTTCAGTCGACTTCTTGGCCTTTCTCGAACTTTGGTACCTACTCAAACCTCTAGCCAAGTCTGCCCCCCTCCCCCACCACCAAAAGTCGCTGGTCCTGTTTACCGCATCCATATTGGTTGATCAGGCACCAAGCAGTGTTTACGTGTGCCTGTAATCCGGACTTTCAGGGACGTGCCCTTCACTTCCCAAGTTGTACCCTGACGCCAGTCAACACACACCCGCCCGGTCGATCCCCTCGGGGTGGATGACGACGATTACGCCGCGTGCGATTGGATAGCTTGACCTCTCCTCGCTCGTTACCCTGCCGAGCTTTCCATTCACTATGCCTCGACCTACGCTTGCCTCGCGCATTAGTCTGCCTAATCGACTCAAGAGCTTCAACGGCAGCACTGCTTCTAACCCTCCCAGCGGTCCTTCAAGCCGAAGTCAGAGTCCAAAAGCCCGCATGGCTGACATCAAACATACTGGATTGGTGCTGCGGACCACTGTCATCAAGGTGATTCATGATTCTCTGCTGTATCTCGTCTGCTTGAAGACTGACACTGTGTCGACAGGCTCGCGACCTTGCAGCGAAGGACAAGAGTGGTACAAGTGACCCAGTATGTGATCTTCAGTCTCGACATGGAAGAGCGATTCTGAATACCCTCCATATAGTACCTCGTCCTCACTCTCGGCGATGCCAAAGAAGCCACTCCCGTTATTAGCAAGACTCTGAACCCTGAATGGAACCAGACCTTTGACCTTCCCATTGTGGGAGTCCAAAGCCTGCTGCTCGAGGCAGTATGCTGGGATAAGGATCGGTTTGGAAAAGACTACATGGGAGAGTTTGATATCTCATTGGAGGAGATCTTCAGCAGCGAGGCCACAATTGCAGAGGTACATGAGCGAACCCGTCCATTCACCGTGTGAGATGGCCCTTTCCTGACCTACTCGCAGCAAAAATGGTACAAACTAGAGTCCCGCAAGACTGGCAAGAAGAAGAGCGTTGTGACCGGCGAAGTCCTCATACAGTTCACCCTAGTTGATACACAAAATCCTTCTTCGTCTGCTGCCCAGACTCTTGAGAAGTTCAGGAGCTTCATCATCATGAGCCCCGGGGATGAGGAGGAAGATTCGCTCGATCGCATGTCAAGTCTCGGCGAGCGCGATGAGGATAAAGAGGATAGCAGCTCCGAGATTGATGACGATAAGAAAGAGGATGTGGAGAAGAGGAAGCGCAGACTGAGAATGAGAAATCTGAAGAGAAAGGCCACTCTTCGAGGATACGAGTTCTCGGACAAATCTGAGGTCGCCGGTGTTCTGTTCCTCGAGGTCGTGAAGATTACAGATCTGCCCCCCGAGAAGAATAGTAAGTTCCCCAATCGCAAGAAATAGCATAAATCTAACCCCCGTGCAGTGACGAGGACTTCCTTCGATATGGATCCTTTCGTTGTCACATCGCTGGGCAGAAAGACCTATCGCACACGCGTAATTCGCCATAACTTGAATCCCGTCTTCGAGGAGAAACTGGTATTCCAAGTCCTAAAACACGAAAAGACATACTCACTCAACTTTACCGTCATTGACAAGGACAAATTTTCCGGTAATGACTTCATAGGCAAAGCTGACTTTCCTATGGAGAAAGCCCTGTCTGTCTCGCCTGAGGCCGACCAGTCGACTGGTCTGTATAAGCTACCACAGCCATCTGACTCGCCTCCATTGAATGCGGAAAACAAAAAATCTAGATTCCGTCTGCCGATATCTCGCTCGACCTCCGCCAATAGCTTGTACAAACTAGGAAAAGCACCGCTCAAGTCACAAAACTTGTCGAACGCTTTGCCTTCAGACCAAGTCGCCACAGCTTCCGCTACGAGCACTTCGTCCTCTTTAAGTGTGCCTCAAGTAGCACCTTCGAGTGATACTACGGTCGGCAACAGTGGTATTCCTGCGATCAACGTGAGCCCTCAAGCCGCCGACGACACAGAACTCAGAAGCTTTACCATTCCGATAGAGATGAAGAACAAAGACAAGTGGGAGTCCAAACACTCACCAGTCCTGTACATTCGTGCTAAGTACTTACCCTACCTTGCACTACGACAACAGTTCTGGAGAGCGATGCTCAAACAGTACGATGCCGACGACAGTGGCATGATTGACAAAATTGAGCTCACCACTATGCTGGACAATCTGGGCTCTACTTTGCATGAGTCCACTATCGACGGTTTCTTCTCGAGGTTTGCTGGTCAAGACGGGCCTGAAGGACCGCAGATGACGTTTGATCAAGCAGTCATCTGCTTGGAAGACCAACTTAACAAGACGCGGGAGCCAACGGCACATTCGTTGTCAAGCAGTATGATGCGGAGTCTCACAGCCAGCTCGAGTACGGATGCTGACGATACACCTGGCACACTCACGCCATCCGGAACGCAGACCCCTCTCAACAACAGATCAACGACTTCTGTTATTCCTGCTATTGAACAACCACCACTTGGTACGCCAGGCGAAGAAGGTGCTCATCTGTCGAGAGACGATCTAGCAGACGACAAGGGTGAAGAGCATGTCATTGAGATTCGGGAGTGTCCGATCTGTCACCAGCCTCGCTTGAACAAAAAATCCGACGCTGACATTATCACACATGTTGCAACTTGTGCAAGTCAAGACTGGAGGCAAGTGAACAACATTGTCATGGCCGGCTTCGTGACTTCAAGCCAGGCTCAGCGTAAATGGTACTCGAAAGTCGTTTCAAAGATCACCTACGGCGGATACAAACTTGGCGCTAACTCGGCCAACATCTTGGTTCAAGACCGAATTACAGGTCAGATCAATGAGGAACGCATGGGTGTGTACGTAAGACTCGGAATACGTCTGTTGTACAAGGGTTTCAAATCAAGTACTATGGAGAAGAATCGAAGTAAGTCGGGGCATTTTGCAGAACGAGGAGAGACTAATTTGGTGTAGTCCGCAAGCTTTTGAAGTCTCTCAGTATCAAGCAAGGTAAAAAGTACGACGACCCAGCGTCTACTGCACAGATTCAGGGTTTCATCAACTTTCACCAGTTGGACATGTCCGAAGTACTGCTACCGACGGAGCAGTTCAAGAGCTTCAACGAATTCTTCTACCGCGCACTGAAGCCAAACGCGCGTCCTTGCTCGGCACCTGATGATCCACAAGTCATCGTATCGCCAGCTGACTGTCGCTCGGTGGTGTTCAATACGCTAGAAATTGCGCAGAACATCTGGGTCAAAGGCCGAGAGTTCACAGTTGAACGTTTACTCGGGAATGCATACCCCGATGACGTGAAACGCTTCCAAGGTGGCGCGCTGGGTATCTTCCGGCTGGCTCCACAAGACTATCACCGATTCCATATACCAGTGGACGGAGTGATGGACGAGCCGAAGCTTATCGAAGGAGAGTACTACACGGTCAACCCAATGGCCATCCGGTCTGCATTGGATGTCTATGGTGAAAACGTACGTGTCTGCGTGCCGATAGACTCAGTCACACATGGCAGAGTAATGGTGATCTGTGTTGGGGCTATGATGGTCGGAAGCACTGTCATTACACGTAAAGCGGGCGAGAAAGTCAGTCGTGCTGAGGAGCTTGGCTACTTTAAATTTGGTGAGTGACAAAAAGTAAGTGGATAGGCACATGGACATTGCTGAGTGATTTAGGTGGGAGTACTATCCTGTTGCTCTTTGAGCCAGGTCAGATGGTCTGGGATGAGGACATGGTCGAGAACTCGAATGGGGCCCTGGAGACTTTGGTATGTGCTTCTGATGCCTGTCTTGAGGGGACAAGACTGATAATTCGTAGATCCGTGTTGGCATGTCAGTAGGACACAGCCCAGAGCGCGCACCGCATACGCCAGATATGCGCAAAGCCAACCCAACAAACGAAGAGAAGCAAGAGGCCAAACGTCGCATCGAAGGGAGTCTAGCACCAGAAGCGAATCCGTCCAGCGGCATCGGCATTGTGAATTGAGTTTTGACAGCACATGATTTTGGCGTATGATGATGGCATGTTGTAAAATGAGCATGATGAGGAGCGTGGCGGTCGGGGGCAAAAAATCCTAGCGAAGCAAATGACCTTATGACGCTGTAGATACAAGGCAGTGTCTCGATGGCGGATGATTGCATGCATGCATACAGACGGAGTCTAGAGAAGTGAAGTCTGATACGCAGCCAGGAGCTGGTATTGTCCTAACTACGTACAGTTCACGACGAATTGAAGTATTCGCATTGCGCGAACGTTCTGAACAGAGGTGCACTGAGCAGGCTGGCAGCAAATGATGTGTGGCTTTTCCTCTACAGCGGCATCCTAGCAACGCGTTTGCACAACTCGACCACGGAGAAGATATGTCAAGCAGGAGTCGTGTCATGCTTGTAGTGTCGAGAGAGTGTTTGAGGATGTGCTGTGCTCGTGCCATCGTGAATCTGCGTTGTAGAAGAAGCAGTGGACGACGAAAGAGACAACAAGCCGGTCATTGTGCTAAGGCAAGCAAGTCGAGGGTGCAGAACCAGATAGACCCTAACAGAGATCGCGATCAAGGCTGGAAGGGCACGAAGTGAGATGAGGAGTGGTTCAGTGGTGGGTGTGGCCAAGACGCGAAGTGTGAAGCAAAGTTGATGGATCCCAAGTTAATGAATCCATGGCCCGTGACCGGTGCGTGCCTAAGCCCTGAGAGAGCGCCAAAAACCCTTGATTTGGGGACCAAGGAGCCCCTTGCCTGCCCCTCATTCTGCGCCCGTGCCGCCAAACTCGAGTGCCACTGCACACTGTCCGCCGTGTCCATCCCAGCTCCACTTTCCCATTCGTGGTGGTGGGCGCTTTACAGTTTCACCTCTATCCTTAACATACTCGCTCCACGTTCCACGCTTTCCCCATCGTCTTAACACGCCTTTTCTGTGCTTCTTCTCCTTTTCTCTCTTATACTTGCTAACTCGTCAGGCGACAAAAGTAATATCACAGTATCCTCTTCCCAGATACCCTTTCACAGAGCTCTGCGAGTTCGATGCGACTATGATTCGGTAGCCTACACGTTCTTGGATTCCACCATCTCTTCAACTCGCTCACACACTTTTTGGATAATTTTACCGGCCTGCTGTCTGCCCTACCAGTCGCGAGTATGGCTACCTCAGCTACTGCTTCTAAATCAAACGACCGAGACGTCGCAAGACGCGTACCTTACCTCGACATGAAACTACCGCCTCCTCAAGACCAGATACCGGCACAACCTGGAATGCATGGTCTTCAAGTCTTCTCGCCAGTCAATCAGAACGGCAGCTTCGACTTTGACCGAGTGCTAAAGCAGGGTCAGATATTGAAAAGGACCCGAAGAACAAAGGTCTGTCGAGATGGCTATTTGCGCTTCGATGCAGACTAATCAGGGCAGAGCTGGAAAACCATATACATTGTCCTCCGCCCGAACGTCCTCTCCCTCTACAAAGATGCCGACGCCACGAAGCTTCGACATCAGATCAATTTGAGTGAGCTGACTGCCGTTGCTCGCCAGAAGGACCCTAAGGGCAAGAATGAGTACGTGTTCGCGCTCTTCACCCCATCACGGAACTTCCACCTTGCTGCCAAGACTGAGAAGGAGGCACAAGACTGGGTGGAGCTGGTACGCACAGAAGCTCGCATTGACGAAGACGAAGAGGACATGATTCTCACAAGTCCAACCGGCCAGAAGGATGCATTTCAAGGCTTCGAAAGATCGACTGCAGGGATCGTGTCGAGTTCGTCAGAGGACATGCGGTCCAGTTCGCGACAGCCAATACCTATACCACAGCGCACAGGATACTCCAATCCTAGGAACGCTTCGTATACGGCAAACTACTCTGGCAACGAGCAAGGCTCTTATTCAGACTTTTCAGACACTGCAGGTCCCGGGGGCGTTATTGAATCTAATCTTTCCCTTTCCAACCCCAACAACGCACAATCACCAAATACAAAAGCACAGGCCGTATATGGCGTATCCAATACCTCGAATACGACACAACGCAAACCCAGCAATCAACATGCACCGCGTATGGATTCTGAACGCGTAGTCTGCCAGGGCTGGCTTTATCTCCTCAAATCAAAACGAGGCGTACGGCAATGGAAGAAGCTCTGGGTGGTCTTACGTGCAAAAACATTGGCCTTTTACAAAGACCAAAGCGAGTACAGCGCAAACCTGATCGTCCCGTTTCACAACATCACAGACGTTGTCGAGATTGATCCTGTCTCGAAGACTAAGATCCATTGCATGCAGATCATATCTGAAGAGCGAAACTATCGCTGCTGTGCGACAGACGAGGATGGTCTGTTCCGGTGGCTTGGAGCTTTCAAGAGTCTTTTGGTCAAGCGCAAGGAAGAGCAGAAATCGCGCAGCGCCAGCAAAAATACCAGCGACGCGTCTACCGCTCCGTCATCAGAGCCACATCGATTGTAGTCACGCTGGATACTCTCATTTGTCGATTAAGCACCATGCGGTCTTATTTTCTTTCTGTCATCTTCTTGTGGCCTTGCGCTCTTTTCGCATACCTAGCACGACGCTACGAACACATCTTACGGGGTTTGGCTGCATTTTATAAAGGGGAAGAGGGGAGTCTTTGGAGTTGGCTTGTGCTGGTTCTTTTGCATACTTACCACAGTGCCACGTTTATTGGCCGCAGGTACATGCGTTTTCTGGAGTATTTCAACTTCGCTTGGCCGTCTGGCTGACATACTAGTTTCCTTTTGTTTAATCTTGTATTACATACGCGGACGGACGCCCAGGGCTCTTCTGAAGCGTGAAAGCCTAGTGTCGAGTGCTGTTAGAAGCACTATCGACGGCAAGGAAGTCAGAGGACTTTTGTGAAGACGAGTTGCGCTGTCTCTTGGTAAGTGGGAGACGGCGCGTATAGCAAAAGATAGGAATAAGAGAAGTTTGACGTTCTCATACCATGATGATGTCTTGTCTTGTTTGGTTTCGGTGAACATTTCTCTTCATGCATCTACCAGGCTTGCTGTGACTGATAAAGAACGACATACACGACTGCTATGATCTATGATGTAGCCTCGAGGGAGATTCGCGTAGAGGTCAACATGATACTGAAAATGCGGTATCCTAAGAGCTTGGAAGGAATCTGCGTTACATACAGACATGAAAATAAAAAGCATATCCAACAGAGGAAATCAGGATATATCACGCATCATAAGAAAAGATCTAAGAGACATCCATGTCAGATAAGACAGACACTGGCTTGCACTATCTACCTCAAGCCCTCCCCCCCTCACAGAATCTCCCATCCCTCCTCCTCCCCACTCTCACTCTCACTTCCCCCCTCACTCCCAACCTCCTCACCCCCAACCTCATACAAAAAATCCGACGACTCCCCCTCCTCCTCATCCCCTTCCTCCTCGACATCCTCCTCCACATCCCGCCACACAGGCACACACATCCACCCGCTGTCCTCCTCGCTACGCACCACACCACTACCCAAACACCCCGTCTCCGTGACCGCGTCTGCCGGCACCGCAGCTATATCTGGTACTGTAGCTACAGGAGCCGCTGATGCCGTAGCCGCAGAACAAGCACGAGGAGGCAGGGGAGGTGGAGGATGGCTAACAAGAGGCGGGCTAGGCGGGCTGTTGCACACCCGCGTGGTAGCGGAATACATAGCTGGGTACGGGCAGCACTCGGCGAATGGGATGTGTGGCCGGGGGAGGCGGTGTGGTGGTGATGGTGCGTGTGGGATGGCCTGCGTGGGCGTGTGAGATCTGGGGTTTGGCTGCTTGGTAGCAGTTTTTGCGTGCTGGGTGTGGGTGTGGAGTCGGGGATTTGGCTGATTGATAGTGTTTTTTCGAGGCTCTGCTGGGTTCTCGGTGGCTTCTTGCTGTGCTTGCTGTGCGGGAATATGTGTGTGGTGGGTTGTGTATTCATGTCTGTGTCCCCCGGTCTTCATATTCCCGTGCTGTGCATGGGCGTGGAATAGGGGATTTGGCTGTTTGATAGCCGTTTTATGAGCGTCTGCCTTACTTGTAACTTCCCGCCCTTGTTCCTGCTGATTTATATCGTACCTCTCACTGCTCTCGTAGAACTCTTGGTGTTGCGTCTGCAGCTCCTTTCGCAGTCCTGCTTGCCGCCGCAGCATCGAATGCTTCACCTTCCAGACCTCGTACTGGGACCTTACGTTCATTGCCTCCACGCTTGGCTGCATTGCTGCTAGGCGGGCTAGAATTGTTTCGGCGTGGTGGAGGGCGCAGGTGATTTCTTCTTTCGTGCGTGTTTGGGAGGGGGAGGTGTTTAGTTGGGGGTCGGGGTGCTGGGGTTCGGACATATTGGCGAGGAGAGTGGAAGGTTTTGGGGAAGGGGGCTGGGATATGAGGGAGGGGGGAAATTTAAGACGATGATGTATATGTGGGGAGAATGTGGTCTGGAAGGGATTGCTTGGGCTAAGGTGAAAGAGAATCGATGTTTTGTTGGTTTTAGGGGGTTGTCGAGTTTGCTCAAGTATACCAATTCTGATGGAAATTGGGGAAGATTGGAAGAGGAAGAGGCAGAACATATGTTTATTTATGTTGTGAGGGGTTGGTAATGCGCGTTAAAATACTGTATGTTGGCTGGGGATTGAAACTTGTATATTTTGGAACACTAGGGCTTGGTTCTTCGGATGGTCGTGGATGTCGTTGAGAGGGGTGATGGCTGTGAGCTCATGGAGGTTGGGGACTCTAGGTCGTGCATGGAATTTGGATTGCGCTGTGATATGCATGGATATGGCATTGAGTAGTAGATATGGGGAATTAGCTTGCTTGATGCTGTGAAGTGTCAGAGGAATGTCAAGGACAGGGAAATGGAGAGACCGTCGTGATCGACGTCGTTGTTTATACAGTACAGGACCTACGGAGAATAACGGGATACAATGCGTGCGCGGGGACCAAGGTCGACGTCGCGTACACCTCACCTCACGTTTCGCCGTATTAATGCAAGTTCTATCTTCTCAGCCCTTGTGTCCATGGAGCCATCAATGCGCTTAGCATCGCAATTAGTAGCCATATATTACCGCCATCATAATTCCTCAATCAGCCTTCTCCCTGTCCGCCTTTACCAACGTCTCCTCACTGCTGCCCGCATCTCCCGTACTCACGACATGAAAGCTGAAATCCAACTCTCCGACCAATTCTCTGACTCCCCTTAGCAGTCTCTCCAAGTCCTCCACTAGACACCTCGCACTGATCTGAATCACCGCGAACGCAGCGTATCCGGGCTCTGCGACGTGGCGTACGCTGAGGATGTCGCGGTCGAGTTCTTCGAGCTGCTTGGCGAGGGCGTACGGGTGTGGGACGGTCATGTAGGGCGGGAGAGGCAGGCCGTTGGTTACGGATGCGGAGAGCAGTGAGAGAGTGGATGTTATGGCGTGTGATGTTGGGCGAATCGATGCTGTCAGCCGGCGGAAGTCGGAGACCCATTCGGTCGAATTGTCGGGCGAGGAAGAGGAAGGACTAGGGGCGGAATACGTGCGGGAGGCGAATGAGATTAGGGAGCTGTAGTTATGTATACTGTGATTTAATGTAAGTATGCATGATCCGAGGGAGAATTGTGCAGGGTGCTTACTTTTGCGCGCTTTGGATGATGGAGTCGTATGTATCCTTCGGGAAACGGCCTCCGATCGGGACCTCCCATTTCGTAAAATCTGATATTGTCCGCATCTGCGTGAACATCATCATCTGCTTGGAGAAGACCCGCAAGCGCTCTTTCTCGAGTCTCCGACCTGGGCTGTTCTTGTCCCCCGCATCGCCCTCGGCATCGTGCAGGCGGACTTTGACTGTCTCGTGGACGATAGAGTAGTAGTTTGCTAGGAGGTAGAGAGAGCCTCCTAGACTGCTACGGAGAGCCGAGTACTCGGTGATTGGATAGGGGAAGAAGTTCCAGATGAAAGCGACGAACAGTCCTCCAGCTACGCAAGCCAAGCGGTAAGGGGCAAGTTCGTAGATAGGATAGTAAGGCTGTCCAGTGGCTTCAGATGCTGCTCGGCCTAGTTTGCGAGAGTCGAGCTCATATCCTAGAACGAGAACGACGGTGACAATCGAGATGAGGCCGATGATGAGGAATCGCGGTTGTTTCAACACGATGTAGAAGAACATGGTGATGAAAACCCATGCGAAGACGATTATGCCAGCAGTGTGACCATCAACAATGTAATAAGCAACGAAGCAGGCGACCACAGCTAAGAAGGTACCAACCACGCGTAGAACGAAGTTGAACACACTAGCACCAGATGTCGGATTCATGCTGATTGCTATCATGATCATTGCCCACACCAATCGCTGCTTGTTGAAGAAGCTCTGCGTATCGTGCAGGAACGCTACGATACCAACAGACATGGTAGCACACGCAACTCGAAATCCGAATGAAGCTTCAGACGAACGTAGAAACTTGGGGATAGACCTGATCAAATTACCGAATTTCTGGAAAGATGTCGAGGGCGGTAGATGTTCCGGATCCCTCTTGTTATTGTAGGCTGAACCTAGGTCGTAAGTCTTCCCTAATCCTGCCCCGTCCTCAAGTCTATGGGCGTCGCTGTCCTCTTGGTGACCGAAGGCGCTCTTGAACCATTTACGGAGTCGCTTCATATTGGGCCAAATCAATCTTCTCTTTGACAATTTGCCACTGGCCACTCGTCCATCTGCCCATCTCGTAAGATCCAAGATAGTTTGACTGATATTGTAGAGTAGGAACTCCATATAGAGCAAAATGAACAATTGTCGTTGATTGCGTTGCAGGATCGAGTCTTGGCTGGCAGTTTCATTCAGCAGGTCCTGGGCTAATGGATCGTGTTTGTGGTGGAAGAAATCAGCGCTCAATTGTATGCCTTTGTCCTCGCACCACGTCCGCAGGGCCACTTCTTTCCCTTCGTAGAACTCCTGGCTCTTCAATTGGAGATAGTCCGAGAAACCTTCATCCCCTGGACTCGGTACCGCCTTCTTCTCCACATCGTTGGAGTCTGAAGCACTGCCTGTCTTCTTTGGAGGCTTTGCAAGTTTCAACGTGTACAGCACATGCTGCAGACCTTCATCCATCACATCGATAATGGATTGGAAGGTAGGCTGTACTGTATTCATGACTTCCTGCCACTCCTTGATCATTGTGTGACGTTGCTCCTCGTTGACAGATTCCATACCTATGCCGGCACGGAATGTATTCAGATTGTTTAGATCAGCCAGACGGCTGAACACGTCGGCAATAGATGAAAGGCCTGTCATTGGCAAAAGTGTCATCCTTAGAAGTTTAAACAGGTTGCCAATGTCATCACCTCCTAGGTAGCCAATGGCAAATTCGGATTTGGCAAAAGGCAGGTCACCTACCACTTTGCCATGTAGCTCCGTAAGTTTGTTTAGTGTGGTCTGAATATCTCTCGCTGCTTTGTTGTGTAGCCCCTTTCCTTGCTTCTGCCCATCGGCCATTTCGAATGAGAGCCAGTCCCCGTTCCGCAGACTCTCAAAATAAGCTGAATGGCCTTGCAGAGTCGCTCGAAGCAGTCCAATGTACCCAGTAAGCTCCTTGAATACGACAGACCTAGATGTAACCGGAATGATGAACAGTGAGACACCAGTCGCTATGGCGAAACCCAATAGAAAGGATTCGAGCAAACGTTTAGTGAATGTGATCCCTTGGGTCATAGTCGTGAAATTGGCACCGTAGATCGAAGCAACATCGACGAAAATGCTGACAAGGACAGTCGGTAGTGCAGATTGCGGGTGTTTGGCTCTTATGGTATTGATTAACCATGTCATGAAGAAGAGCCATATGGCGCACACAGCCGATGCTGAGGAATTGTAAGTGGGCTTCGCAGATGTTGGAGGTGGTGCAGTGTGCTGTCTTGCTTTTACAGAACAATATATCTCCAGGAGAACCACCGCCGCACCCACGCAAATCATGACCACATTTGTTATCATAAATTGCAGAAACTTGGCGCGAGGTAAGATGCACATCCCCAGGACAGAGGCAATGGCGACCAAGTACCCAAGGGTATTAAATTCGGTAATAATGACATTAGCCTGAAGCCTGTTATCCGTTAGTATCAGATGAAGGCATTGATGCTGGCATTCATTACATTCCCAGAACAATAGCAGGTGGCAAGGCACCCCTGTATCAATATTAGTTACGTGTGTAAACTTCCACAGCAGCATTCGTACTTTGCCATGATCAATACCGTTGGCAGATCCAAATCCAAGCTCGTCCACATCCTTTTAGGAAGTGAGACTTTCTTCTCAGACTTGGCATGTTGTTGCTCGTGTCCCTCGTGCTCCGGGGCTGAGGCCGCGGAGGAACTCGGATCACTGACCATCGTCATCTCGTTCAAAACACAACCCTCGTCTCACGGCGAAGCCATTGAACTTGAAATGTATGCTTGAAATATCGACTGACCTGGGCTGAACCCGAGTCGAAGCGAGGATGGAAATATATTGTCGGAGCAGAGAAGAAGAAACCAGACGCACGTCCCAAGAATGTCACTTGCACAATTGCTCTTAGCGGCGACATCTGCGACGATGGCTCTAGTGCCGCTTTTGGGGCCGACATTTGCTTGCAATATGTTAAGACACCGACAAAGTTGCGATATGATCATGGTAGTTCTTTTATAGCAGATCATGATAAGAAATATTATGTCCGCTGATCAAGACCACCTTGGTATTGAGTGTAGTGAATGCTTCTCTAGAACATATATGATGTGATGGCTGATCGACCAGCGCGCAGGATCGATCTAGAAAGCATTGACAATATGTCACCACAGTATTAATGGTTCCCGCTTGGTTATGCGCATAATATCTCATCTTGGCATATCCACATCGGACATCCATGGATGAACCTTTAATTACCCATAAGCGGCAAGTGTGTGTATACGCCTTGTTGCTTGGTGCCTCTGCGGGGTCCTTGCCGCCAAGATCGACGTCTACGCCCTGTTGTTCTTGCGATGACTAGACAATTGAATATAGATATTACCTCAAAGCTAACGATGACAGGAGAAAACAAAATTTCCAGAAAAATTCCCAAGCAAGTTGCCGTACCCGCATCACGATGGCTAAGGATACATCTACAATCAACCTTCTCGACTACAAAGTACTCTCCTTCGACGTTTATGGTACTTTGATCGACTGGGAAGGCGGTATTATTACCGCTCTGCAACCACTTCTGACCAAGGATGATTCCAAGGCCTCTGCGACTAGGGAAGAGTTGATGAATGCCTTCCACAAGTTGGAGGCTGACCAGCAGACCCGGACCCCATCAAAGCCATACAATGAGCTCCTCGCGACTGTGCATCAGCAATTCGCAGAGCAGATGGGCCTGCCTATACCCACAAATGAAGAGAGCACCGCGTTCGGAAATACTGTCGGCGAGTGGCCAGCTTTCACAGACACGGTTGACGCACTGCGACGGCTCAGCAAGACATATAAGCTCGTAGTCCTATCAAATGTCGACCGTGCATCATTCGCGAAGACCAATGCTGGCCCACTCGCGGGCGTGAAGTTCGACGCCATCTTGACAGCACAGGACATTGGCTCATACAAGCCGGATCTTCGCAACTTTGAGTATATGCTGGAATATGTCAAGGAGCACCTAGGAGTTGAGAAGGCTCAGGTACTCCAGACGGCGCAAAGCCAGTTCCATGATCACCAGCCGGCACAAAAGGTAGGAATCAGGAGTGTATGGATTGCAAGGAAGGGTGCAGCAATGGGCAATCGAGAAGGTGCCATTTACGACCGCATGTATGGTACACTTGGCGAGATGGCAGACGCTGTTGAAGCCGAAAGCAAGCCATGAACAGACATCCGTATATTCCCTTACTGGTTTGGCATAGCCGGTGAGGGTAGGGCGGCCTGAGACACATCGAAACCTGTGGACTAATATAAAGATGGTTTAAGTCTGATAAATATCACTACATGGAAGACCAAGGCATTTGTGATGGTAAGGTGACATGTGTCTGAGTAACGTAGAATAGATAGGGGTGAGTAGTGAGCAGCGCACGCTTCATAGATGTGAGAGGACGGACGCCGCTAAGCTCTTGCTTAGTCAAGCAAGCTTCCTCACCGTGGACACGTTTCGCTCCCACACACATTCCTCCTTCAGGCCATATTCTCGTCGCTCCTTTCCACTTCACCCTTCGTCTCCAAATCCAATTATCTCCCCCGTGTCAATCCGTTCTATTACCCAGGAAGGGTAACGCAAACATGAGCGGCCGTAAGTATATTGCAAAGCCGTGCGCTCCCTCGCGCAACATTCTCAGCTCGGCCACGTAGCTAATCATCATATTTCATCACAGTCAGGTTCCTCGATTTGGTGAAGCCATTCACCCCGATCGTACCAGAGATCGCCCTTCCGGAGACGAAGACACCATTCAACCAACGATTAGTATGGACAGGTGTAACACTATTGATCTTCTTGGTCATGAGCCAAATGTAAGAAGCCTGCACGCAAGCGGATGACCAGAGATATTGACCCCGTCCAAAGGCCCCTCTACGGCATTGTCTCCTCCGACACCTCAGATCCGCTATACTGGCTCCGTATGATGATGGCGAGTAACAGAGGAACTTTGATGGAATTGGGTATCACACCAATTATCTCCTCCGGCATGGTCTTCCAGCTCCTGGCTGGTACACACCTCATTGATGTCAACTTGGACCTCAAGTCTGACCGTGAGCTGTATCAGACAGCTCAGAAGCTCTTGGCCATCATTCTTTCGTTCGGACAAGCCTGTGTCTACGTTTTGACTGGTCTATATGGCCCACCGAGTGATCTTGGTGCCGGTATCTGTGTGCTCCTCATCGTTCAGCTTATCATTTCTGGCCTCATCGTCATTCTGCTCGACGAACTCCTGCAGAAGGGCTACGGTCTTGGAAGTGGTATCTCGCTCTTTATTGCCACAAACATCTGCGAGTCCATCGTTTGGAAGGCTTTCTCCCCGACCACAATTAACACTGGTCGTGGTCCAGAATTCGAGGGCGCCATCATTGCTCTGTTCCACCTTCTCATGACGTGGCAAAACAAGCAGCTCGCTCTGCGCGAGGCCTTTTACCGCCAGAACCTACCCAACATCATGAACCTTTTGGCTACTGTCGTTGTCTTTGGAGCCGTCATCTATCTCCAGGGTTTCCGCGTCGAAATTCCCGTTAAGTCATCTCGCCAGCGTGGTATGCGCGGCTCGTACCCCGTCCGCCTGTTCTACACCTCCAACATGCCTATCATGCTTCAGTCTGCTCTGTCCTCCAACATTTTCATCGTTAGCCAGATGCTCTACCAACGGTTCTCCGACAATCTCCTTGTTCGTCTGATCGGTGTATGGGAGCCCCGTGAGGGATCCGCTCAGCTCTATGCTGCCTCTGGCCTTGCATACTACATGTAAGTCAACAAGCACGATATCATTTCATGAAAAATGTGTGCTAACCGTAGTTGTGTCATAGGTCTCCTCCCCTGAATTTCACTGAAGCTCTTTACGACCCGGTCAAGACCGGTGTATTCATCGCTTACATGCTCACCGCCTGCGCCGTCTTCTCTAAGACTTGGATCGAAGTTTCCGGCTCCTCTCCTCGGGACGTTGCCAAGCAGCTCAAAGAGCAAGGTCTCGTCATGGCTGGTCACCGCGAGGAATCTATGTACAAGGAGCTTAAGCGTGTCATTCCAACCGCTGCTGCCTTCGGTGGTGCGTGCATTGGTGCACTCTCTGTTGGAAGCGATCTTCTTGGTGCTCTTGGAAGCGGTACAGGTATCCTACTAGCCGTCACCATCATCTACAGCTACTTCGAGATCGCTGCGAAGGAAGGTGACATGGCTGGCCTCAAAGGCATGGTTATGGGTTAGACATGGTCATCGCTTACTCTGAGTATCAACAGTGTCGCTATCTGCTCGCTCCATTGTAAAAATTAGTCAACCACAGAAAACGGCGGCAGTTTTCTCAGTTGAAAATATAGTTTTAGTAGAAACAGGTACATAAAAGCATTTCGTGCGATTCTACTACCAGTTTCATCTCTCCGAGACGCGATTCTTCATATATGCATTACTGGAGGCTTGCCAAATGTAGGTAACATATTGTTGTTCCACCAAAACCACGTAATAGTATGGCAGTCCCATAAAACTTTGACTTCGAGTCTGTACAAAACTACGACTCCGTCATCAAGGGCCTTACGGAGCGTTGCATTCTGTGCTTAAGAAAGTATAATTGTCACGATCGTGTCATCTAAAATCCCCAAGAGATCATGCCATGTGTCTAACTCAGCCAGCCCACCCCATAAATCTCGTTCACGTGTCCATGGAAAAGAGAATAACAATAGCATAAAAGCACCTGCAAGGTTGATAGACACTAGCGACATATAGCAGCACAGTGATTGACTTTCTCGGTGATATGCACAGCTTTAAAGCAGGCTCCGGGGTTTCCTGAGCGATCAGGGTTGTAGGTTGGCCACATCCATACATATGTCGACCTTGAATGTTCTGAAGATTGATTTGTTTTATTTCGATATCCTGTAGTTCTGAGCCAAGAGGTTTTTATGCTGGTACTATTCTGGTATAGTGATTGGTGCAAGAGCCTGTTGACGGTGAGGCGATTGGCCTTTGGCGTGAGGCTTTTGTAGAAGTGCCAGAGAGGCGGCTTGTCTGGCAGACTGGTATTGTGCTTAAAGATGTCACGATGGCTTGCGATAAATGCCAGTGGTCTCGTGCTTAAAGATATCACGATGGCTTGCGTTAGGTGCCAGTGGTCTCGTGTAGAGAATTGTATTGAAGTCACGTTCGAAACGTCATCAGCTCAGAATGTTATTGGGAAGCTGTGAGCGCAGGACTCTAGTCCAGCCAGAAGGAAGACTGAAATCGGCCTTATCATGTCCATTCACTTTCACATTCGAAGTGGGGACATCCGCAGGTACTTTACTATCCACACCATCACCAGCCGTGGCAGCCATACACGCCTCCATGACCGGAGCCCAGTCAGCGAACACCCCGTCCTCCTCCTCATCATCAGCAGCAGTTTCCAAGACCGCCGCAGCCAGCTTCTGACTCCAATGTGTGAAGTTTGAGAAGCAATCAGCCAAGATTTGGGTTTTGAGGTCGCGGAAGCCGTGCTCGTAAGCCCGGTGCTTCCCCCACGCGGGAGCGGTGAGAATGTGGTGGAGCCAGGCGAACATTGCTTCTTTGACGGGGTCAAGGGATACACGATGTGCGGTTGATGCGTTCATGAGTTGTGTCATGCTGCTGACTAGGGCGCTCAGGAAGCGTGGCTGGTAGATGTCGAGTTGGAGGAATAGGGGATTCCAGAGGAGGAATGCGCCTTCCATGCTGCTGCCGAGTCTGATGGGCGTGTTAGATGGGAAAAGAGAGGGCGAAGATGTGGTTGGAGGTGAGAAGAGACGTACTCTCGGTCAGCTGGGAGGATCATTCTCTCGCCGACTAACAGTCCTACGAGGATTGCTTGTCCGTGTTGGAGTTTGCCGCAGAGCTTTAGACATTCCCGACAGCCCTCTGGACCGGCGACGCCGTCCCTGACTTTCTTCTTCACCTCTGATTTTCTGGATGTTAGATACGCTCTTAGCGCGGCTTGGATGCTAGTTTTGGATTCCACGAGCGATTCTTCCGTCTCTGGCGGGTCGATTTCGGACACGACTTGATCAATGTCTTTCCAGTAGTAGTTCCAAAGCCAAGTCAATGATTCCTCGGTTGCGTGTTGGAGTCTCTTCAACGTAGGCAAAACCTTGTGAGTGGCATCATGACGTGTCTCCACGAGCCCCGGAGGGAGCTTGAGAAGAGTGCCGATGGTCTGCATGGGCAATTTCTCGCGGCCGTTTGGTTGGAAGGCATCGCAGATAGCTGTGACAAATCTTGGTGGTTGCGTGAGAATGAGTTTGGGGAAATAGTGCAAGGGAGCGCAGTTTACCTGAGGACTGCTGTTGCATATACCATGCGCATAGCCATCTGTGAGTCGTCCTGGACTTTGTCGAACATCTGGGCTTGAACTAGAAGAGCGGTGCTCTCAACTGGCAAGGGAATGACGCCGCGAGCCTGCCAGGCATATATCTAGAATGCAAGGTCAGACAGTATTTCAAGTACTTCTGTTAGTGTAGTGTACCCGCTGTAGAGCATCTTTGCGGCTTTCTTCCGTATCTTGACCTTCGAGGCCAAAGAGCTGGGCTCGAACGATGAGGAGCTCAGACGCGGTCTTCCACGGCGTTACCTGATAGTCTGCATCTTCGTGTTGGAGATGACTTATGCCATAGCCTTCATCCATTAATGATTGTCAACACGGGCCTTGGAAGGCGTCGTGATATTGTCGTTGCACGAACAACTCGCCAAAGAAATTTCGAGATAGATCACGTGTGGATGTACAGCGATCTGCACGTGTAAAACAAGGCTTAGCTCTGCGCTAGATGTACTAGCGCTTGCTAAAACTGACATCGGCCCCTAGCAATGCCTCAGGGCGGCAGGGAACGGGCAATACACATACAATAACCACGTGTCAGTCAATATGAGTTCTGAAAGAGCTACGTAATGATATTGCGCTCGTTTTATAACACTTTGCGAGTGATCGCATTTCTAATCTACATGTGGATATAAGTTCCTGCCTCCGTGTACTCATAGCCGATATGCATCGGGCAGCGAGTCATCGTGTGGATTGAAAACCTCTTGTTCTCATTCCAAGTCGTATAAGCCGACAAAATTATGTTCGTTTAGTCGTATGACGCCGGCGTCATAAAGGGGTATCATGGGAAGTGAAACGTGACGGTTCGTCGTCGTTAATGGATTTATAGCCAACTATAGCCAACCATAGCCAAGGCTCGTAGTAGGCGCTGTGGTGGAACGCAGATGCTGGTACCACCACTCATTTTTGACATTGTCGTCGTCGTGTTCGGAGAAGAAGAAACTGTGCCCAGACATATTATCGTGAATTTTGTGTCCGGAGTAAGCATGCGTAAGATCTTTGACTGGTGGTGATATGATGTTGTGTATGGGAGCCGGAGGAAGAGATTCTTTGACACTGGCGCACTCCGAGCTTGCATCATTCTCTCCAGCGTCCATCCTGTCCTCGGATTCGTCTGTCTCATCCTCTCCTGCTTCGCTGTTCTCGTCCTCTGATGGTGGCTCCCACGTCTCCTCCAGCTTTAGTCCCTTTCCAGTGGGTTCAGTACCGGATGCGAACCACGAGTGGTAGCCCTCAGGAGGATCATAGAGTCCCATGCCCACCAACTCTCTCCCATCCGCCTCGTCCTTCTCCTCGTCCTCCTCGTCATCCGTCTCGATCTCCTCCATTGGAGCCTGGATTGGAAGTATATCTGGTGAAACAGTTGTTGATTGCACCTGTGTCATCCGTACCCAGTCTGGTACCGACCACGAATCAGGTTGACCATTGGATGTTGAATGACTAGATAGCCTGTGTGAAGAGTCGACCTCGCTCGGGACGTCGCACCAAGATGGCGAGTTTGCGTATGAAACAGCGGCTGTTGTGTTACTATTTGAGTGAAAATTGGACTGATGCGGTATGAAAGTTGCGAATGGGGACTGCGGATGAGAGCTTTCAGAATGTTCGCGAGGCCTTCTTTGAGGTGTCCACCCGTCCGTCGGAGACATATGGGATTGGAGAACGTTGCGTGATGAGCCTGGATGCCAACTCACGGGCCGATGTGAGTGCCCAGGTTGTAGATCGTGAATAACTTCCTCGTCGTTTGTATAGCCGAACATCATGTTAAAGTGGTCGTCTAGTGTAGTATATCGTTTCGAAGATGGTGTAGTGGTTCTTCTCCGACTAGATGCCTGGGGAGAATTGTGGTCACTGCGAGGCTTCGCAACTCTACTCGTGTGTCGGTATTGCGATGAGCCAACCTGGCTGTTAGAGCTCCGTGATACACGGCGCGAGTGCGTCGGCATAGTTGCCAACTGTGTCAATGACTTCTCAATGATGATTTCGTATAGGTGAGTGGTGAGCCGTGCGTAGAAAGGGACGATTGACCAATATATGAGCTACGTGGAGAAGGCAGAAGCTAAGGGAGGGTGATGTATATGATGACTACCTGAGTATCATGCCGGGCGGACTCGTTCTTACACAAATCAAACAGGTGGGCACCTCACGGTACTTCTAACACAACATGATCCATGTGGAAGGAGCTTGGCGTTCGCTGGTGGTATGACGGGCTTGGGGGTACCAGGAAAGTGGACAACGGAGGTTGGGATTCGGGACATATGGCTTGATATGGAAAGCTGCCACTAAGGGAATCTAACAATGTAGGAATGACTGGGACGAGATGGCCTAGTGACACAACCAGGGAGGCTTGGAAAGTATGCAAGCTGTGATCTACGACATCAAAGCAGAGAGCATGGAACAATCAAGCCGAAGGAAAAACCAATAAAGACCGAATAATAAGGGTGGGACTAGGAGGTAGACTCAGCGCGCGGGTAGGTCTGTAGCATGGCGTAAAGCAAATCCACGCCGCAGCCCTGGAGAAGATTCGACGACCTGCTGCATACGTACATGGGTGGTGAATAGTAGTGTTTACCGTGGTGTGTTCGGGTGGGACTGGACGGTCGGGACATCCTAAGGTGCAACGACTCAGCCGGAGAGAATTTGCGTAGTACATAGTAGTAGGGGGCAATGTGTGCCAGGAGCGGTCAAACAGCGTTAAAGCTAGTTTGGCCGCTGGAACATTGTTGGATGAAGGAAGACAGTGCATGGTGCTCGGCAAGTCCAAGATGAAGGAACGTCTTCCATCTTTAGCCGCATGACAGCGCGGGAGGCAGCTTAGCTGGAGTATGACCTGTGGCAGGGCATTCTAACCAATCACGCGAGTACAAAGACGTGTGATGGAACGACAATAAAGCCCCGGAGCTTGATGGAGAAGGGAGACATTCTACCATGCAATGAGTAGCGCGGGCGGTATCCATAAGACTACAGAAGCAGCACGACCGCGCCTAAGACCATGGCCTTGGGATCTCGTCTCTGGACCTGATGAGGAGGAGGGGGCCCCATCCTAGAAGAGCGGACTGTTTCGGACAGAGGGTCGCCTGCGTCTTTCATCAGCCTGAGGAATCTAAATCGGCGTCAAGCCCCACGGTTGGCTCGGCCGGAGGTCCAGGCAAGGTCACAGACAACAGACCTAGCCTTGGGTGGCTGGCCTTTCATGTCTGCGACCTGCATTGTGGAAATAAGGAGCGGTTTGGGAGCCCGTTCGAGGCAGAGTCGCTTACTGCAGCCGGACGGCGTTGGGGTTGGAGTCGGTCGGATCCATGTATCAAGCCCCCCAAACAGATCCTCGTCCAATTCCAAACTTTCCAGAAACCGCCTTGCTCCCGATGGGTTGGCCTATGCGTCCGGGGTGGAGACCGTAGACAGTGGGCCTTCGAAGAAAATTTAGAATACTAGGCATTCCGCATGGATTCCTCATCTGGCACAGTCTCAAACTTAACAGGGATATGGATCTACGGTAGACGGACATAGCCTTACTATGTATGTTGTTGGTACTGCATGCGGAGACATGTCGAAGATCCACTTCGTCGTCACGTCACAGACCAGCATCTGAATCTGGGGTGCCTATGTGTGACTTGGTTTAGGATTTCCCTACAGATATATGCCAGATAAGACGGATGAACAGCTCTAAGCTGAGTCTACGTGGCAGTAGTGGGCAGATTACGTTTACGTGGAGTCTCAACGGGGTGGACCATTGTTGCTTGGGTGTGAGTGCATTTGTGCTTTCTGTGAGGTTATGACACTGTTGTGGAGCTTACGAGGGGGAAGAGGGTGTACGTGTGTGCATGTTGCGGGCGGGCGGCGAGCGATGCGCATATGTGTATCCCAGTCGGTCCCATTTCCATTCCTACGAGGATGGCATTTTGGACAGAGGGGGACCACACTAAGGAGCAGGCTAGCTTTCACATCAACGAAAGTCTTTGTTCATCCCACATTAGCAAGCGGGACTGTTGACAACTACGGTACTGGTGGATGCAAAGAAAAAAAAACAAGCATTGACCTGCATACTCTGCAGACGGTGTCCGCGGGGACTTGTATAAAACAGTTCACTTGATCCTGGCAAAAAGGCCAAGTGTGACCCTGCCTGGACTAACGTCTTAACGAGCTGGGGCTGGGTTCTTACTACAGTATTAGTACTGTAATACACTTGACTTACCATGTACCACTTCGGACGCTAATGCAATCCTATTCCCATCTGGCATGCCTTGCACACACGCCACCCACGAGCTATTACAGAGTAATACACGCTGGTTTGAACTTCACAACGCGTGCGTCTCGAACTGCTGATGGGAATACTTGCACGAGCCAGAATGTCCGTCTCCACAATGACATACTTTTTCCGGTCGTGCTTTTATTGTACTACGTATAATGTACACAACACACTATGCCATAGCTTGCCCGCCATATGTCCTGTGGCCAGTCAGACCGAGGAATTATGCCGAGCTGCTGGCGCATTCATTCCGTGATGATTTTGGTTAATACCTTCTCATTCACCCATATTAGAAGACGAAGTCCTTTTGAGATTGCTGCGTTTGTCAACGGTAGCTGCACTGTGATACTTATGAGTTACATAAATTGTCGAAGCGAGACAAGGTGCTATGAATACTGCTCTGTTCCAAGGGTTCAGGGTTAATGCATCAGGACTAGACAACTCAGCAGTCATCATGGGCGAGAGACAGGCCTCAAAGGATAATAGGAACCTCGAAGATGCAGATTTTATGGATGCCTGTACGTATGCTGAACTTACCACTGCTACCAAGGTACCTGCGGAGCAGCTCACGAGTCACAAATGATTACATGACAGCATGACAACATGACATTGGCCAAGGGGCTTCGGTGGACCAGTCACTAGGAGCTCTATGGTAACGAGCTCTATTCAGGGGCGTGCGCCGTCGTATGAGGGAGTTTGTGTGTGTGCGTGGGTGTGCGTGGGTGTGGACTATGTACAAATCCTAGAGGCTGGACTGCGACCGGGGTGTACTTCAACCCCAGCCATCATACACTCTTTGACTTGGTGATGGAAGATGAAAGCCCACTGCCGAAGCGCCTCTCCTTAGCCTTGTCCCCGCCGATGATCTACATTATTGCGACACAGATCCCGCATGCCCAACGGCCCAGGTATCACACAGAAATGAGGGATCCTCTGTAGGATTGTCACACCCTCACAGTGCCGCATGCTACCGCATTCTCCGTAAAATCTTCTTGCCAGCGTCTGGCCTTTCAGCCGACACACTGTGCTGCGTGCCTTCATAACGAGACGCTGCGTTGATTGGCTGTTAAGGTCGATAGCTTCACGGCATAATTGAACCTATACCCGGACTTTTGGTCATTGATCCGTCTTCGTTCTTCGTGATACCAACCAGCAAGGATCAAGCCGGATTGGATACCACTCGAGGGCGGGACTGTGCGGCAAAGAAGGCAATCCTTTACTCGGCCATGGCGTTGAGTCTGGGACACCCACATGGCCTCAAATGACTTATCGATAGTCATGAAACTACCAACTATGGTATAATATAGACACTTGTTGCCTAGAGGCTAATCTACTGGACCGTGAGTCTGCGGTGGGCCATCTTTAATTACTGCTGTTCCTTCCCATAAAGCAAAACCTGGCACTAGCTGAAGGTCCAACTCCTAACTTTGCTTGCACATGCTTTTCACTGGCGCTGCATTCTACCGAAACAGAGCCCCTCCAGGCGAAGGCAGTGTCTTTCACCTGTTGTTACGGAGGCCTCGTGCGAGCACAACGTATGATCTCGGGGCAGTCGAAGGGTAGCTCACCATCATACATGGGTCGAACAGGCGTAGAATAAAAACCAGCTATGAAAGCTGGGGATAGAAACCAGAATTGGGATGAATAGCCTTGTTGCGTGACGTCCCCGCGAGGCTGAGCACATACATGCCACGATTATTCGGTGCTGTTCTCATGCAAAACGAAACCTAGGATTACAAGGCCTAGTTTACTGGCCTGGACATTCTAGACAGCTGCGGTATGTGCGGCTTTGTCACTTACCAGCACCCCCTAGCAACACATGTACGATTCCCGCGCTCGTGTCAGGGCAATCCGAGACGGCGACCAATCTCAATGCTAGTGTCCGGTCTTGTGAAAGCGGTCAAGAATGTCGCCTTGTTTCGCAAGTGCGCGATCAAGACCGCGCCGCATCGTTGCTTGTAGCATGCATGATAGCACAGGCATCCAGGACGTCCCGCCAACTACACCATACTTAACTGGTTTTGTCAGACACCGCGCGGAGAAGGCGTCGACTCAAGGAACTTGGCGGGTGGCTAATGAAAGTTTGTGACCGGCAACACGCATGTCTTAACAACCAGTATTATCTGCCTTTGCTCTAGACTCCTCGATTCATTATTGGTAAAATAGGTGCAGGAAAGCCATCAGACTGACTCAGCGTCGCTTAGATTCATGATACACACGTTCACATCCCCAACTACCAGACCTCAATTTTTGCTCTCGAAACGTATAGTCTTTCGGAACGAGACTATACAACAAGATAGGAGTGTAGTAATGGTCAACTGAGTAGTCCAGAGGAAACAGCCTTGACCCGCGATTCTCTGCCGTCTTCCTGACATTTTTCAACTGCAAGGCTCTGCTCCACTTATCGCAGATCTGTCTACAGGCTGCTGCGATAAATGTCACCTGTAATTAGCCGATCGACGGTCTTATACTACTTCTAGCAGGATATTAGAGTGAGCAGCCTGCAGTAGTGTCACTGCCTAGTGGACAGCCAACGGTCCTATGCCCTCGTGAGTCTTGATCATGGATCCGCACGACACATACCAACTCTGTGATACGGAGCAAGACGGATATGCTTCGTGCATTGGACGGAGACGGACACGCTGATGCTGTTTGTCATCATAGTCGGGACATGGACGCCTACTCCATAAACTGCCGTATTGACCCAATAATAACAGCTAGCATCCCCATCCGACTGATCCCAGCGCCTCGGTTGTCGACGTTCATCTTTGTACCCCTGACCAGACGTGCAACTTCGATCTTTAGCCCCTGTTGTGTCGGCGGTATCATCTACCCTGACCTGATGATATTGGCCGGCGACACACTGACGCGACCCAGCATGCAGGCACCAAGCCGCATTTCCCGCTTCGACCAGCAATCGCATGATACGAATCGCAGTACACACATTATGGCTACTACTCGTAGCATGCTGACGACTCACCTGTTGTGACGTTGACTTGCCTAGATCCAAGCCGGCCAACCTAGGAGGGCCCGTTGATCCACCGATGTGGCTTCATAAGGTTCGTCTTCGTCTCGTGGTCCGTGGTTCGCCGATACGGAGTTGCCAAATGCTACGACGAGCCTGACGGACTCGGAAGTTTGGTATGCACCACCACTCTATATCCCCTAACTGGGTATTTCCCTTGATTATGTATGCAACTGATTCGACGAATTGCTGGACAAACACCAACAGCTACAATAGTAGCAGCCCAATAATCCTTCACGTGGTCCTTGAAATGAATATAAACAGAATGATAGGATCGTATGTCTTGGTAAACTACCCCGAGTTCGGCGAGACTGACGTCGCAATCCGAAATAGCATATTACTCGACGATGATGCATCATGCATGAAGCGCCACTGCGTGTACCGGGGCGGCCAGTCCCGAACCAGGCGTCTTAGCTGACTGTGGCCTGCCCCCGGGTCCTGTCCAAGCCAGAGTTGCAAATAAGGGAACAGACCGCCATTTGCTGTTCTTTTTAGACTTTTCCACTTCCAACAGCGTTCAAAGGTCAGGACGCGCCAGCTGCGCCCAGGAAAACAGTCTAATACCAGTGCTGTGGATCTGCACTACCAGCTTGCGACCTAGGGATACGGCTAGGGGGCCAGACGTCGTCGCCGCCGTGAGGGACTTTGCAGACTGGGAGCGAAATTGTTCGGAGTTCGTCACGATGTGGCTACAGCCTTCCGCAATCAAACGACGCTGCACTGAACACGCTGTAGCTTGTACAAGGGATACGTTCCAAGATTGAATCCTGCCAGTATTTCCGCCTGGTCATGCTCTCTCACATGTCCCCCACCCATGGGCATCATGCCCGTTCAAGTGCATTTCCCTGGATCGCCCTGATATTCGCGTGCACCGCAATGCATGATAAAAAGCATGCCAACAGCTGACCCTTCTTCACGGCTGCAGGGCCGAATGACCATCTTGTCGCCTCTGCCTGCCATCTCAAGCGAGATCCCTTCCCAGACAATTCACTGTTCGTCCCGGAACTACTTCTATTTCTTTAGAGTATCGCCATATCACTGCAATCTCGTAAATCTTGGAAGCCCTCATGTGGCATTCCCCGTTGCATGCATAATAATAGATGCACACCCAGCTTCCTAATTTAGTCTGCCGTCGTCAAACGCCACGTCAAACCTTTGCTTTTACGTTAGGACGTTGTCTCGTATACCGTTTGCTTCTGTGGCCCCCCGGAATGTGCCATGGCTGGCTGATTGGCGATATCCAGCCCACGCTTCTTGGGACCGTCCCGTCCTTATACCACCCCATTGCCCTGCAACATCAGCTATTACGTATGGTCGCAGGCTACGACTCCTACTAACGATGTTGTTCACATTTCACCCTGTCATTCGCGGTACTATGTCCGTTGCCTGACGAGGAAGCCCCAGACATAGGCACTGGCGGAGTGAGAAAGGCACAAACACGTAAGCGTCCGTTGGGCTTGATTGCATGAGTGTAGACGTGCAGATGCATCGTAACGTACGGGGTGTATGGGATGACATACCGCTGACATGCACTATTCGGTGTGCTTGCCGGTCCGATCCTGATTACACCTGCATGACGATATGTCGAATGAGCAATAGAGAGGTGTGAGTTGTGGCGAGGCCTAAGTTGTGTATTACTCAGACTTGCATCTGCACTGTACTCGCAGCGACGGCATCGGTTGTTCTGCCGTATGACCCATTGCAAGAGAGAGAGCCTGGCTGTGAGCATTTTGCCATCCGAAGTCGCGCAATACAATGCTTATGAAGCTGCTGGAGACATGCCGCCAGACGTGGATCCTCCATAGTCGACCACTCCGTGCCCATGTTTTGTTCCATGTAAAACCACACGCATAGCAACTCTCTACCTCTATTCGCTACAGTCCGCCCCGGGATGCTGTGTCCGAGACGAAGTACACGTTCACAAGACTGACGAACGGAGCTTACATCAACCTCTCCTACTGTTTCTTTCCAAGTCTGAAGCAAAGTCTTTAATCCTTCCTAAGTACTCTTATTGATCATACTATGCCACATCTCTCCAAGTCGTATTTTGCCGCACTGTCACAGTTTCAATCAGTACGCAGAATAGTACGCAAGGCCAGCCAGGCATATCCTATGCCTCGTTCCAAAGCTATGATACATGTCCGCATGCGAAAATATCCCTAGCACATTCATGCGTTACTACTTTTCACTTATGGATGGTGTGGTCCCAAACCCGACCTTCGTCCCTTGCTCAGATCGTCAAGGTCAAAGTTGGTCTCTGTTATCTCGTGATGATAATTTCGGATTGTCGCGTTCAATTTCAACCCAACTTTCTGACCTGGGTGTGACATGATGCGATCACGGGCTATTAGACATCCTTCTAGTCGTCTTCCGAGATCGCATAACCTCTCCTGGATGTAGCCAACAAGGTGTAAAGCCACGGAACAGATTTCGTCATTTACCTCACTGAATACATCTTCCTTTATCATGGAGACAAGAACTGGAACAATACTATACAGTAGTGTAAGCAGACTATGAGAAGCATGTCCCTTTGATTCATGCAGTTGTATGATGTATCATGAGGATATTCCATTCATCACGTACATCCTATGGACGAAATAAAGGGCCAACCTTCCCATGGCTGTCTAATCAGCAGTAGGATGCTCGCATCTCGTGTCGAAGGGGTGGAAACAAGAAAAGGATCATACCAACCCCAATCTTCGTGCTCTATGCCCTCCAAAGTATGAGAATTCTACACATGAGTTCTCCCACGCCCTGACTTAGGGAAACCTCTCACTCCGATGATAGTACGATCCATAGTTCCCTGCCGCCGGAAAGAACGGCTCATCACGAAACCCATACTCATATCCTGATGGCGGCGACAACGCACCCAGCGCCTCCGCCCTCGCAACCACCGCCCTCTCCTCCGCTCTGATCTCCCTAAGCCTCTCCGCCGCATACACATCCACCCCGGGCAACGCCTGGCCCAATCCAAACGCAAACCCATCAAGCGGGCCACCACCACTACCACCACCGCGCGCGTACGCTCTCTGCGCCCTCATACCCTCCACAACCTCGACATCTTGTCCCAACTCCGCATTTCCGCGCATCAGCCTCGCGAACCCAGGCTCGCACGCCAGTACATCCCAATTTGCCAGACCCAGCCCCGCGTGCTCCGGCTCCCGCGCAAGCAAATGGCGAACCCAAGCGCGCAGGCCCTCCGGCGCCGCATAGCCTTTGTCCTTGTCGACCTTGCCGTATGCTAGGCTGGCAGAGTAGATCTCGTCGAGGACGACCACGGCGTCCTCGCGGATGTCGGGCAGGTCATGGAGGCGCTTGAGGGCTTCGGTGGCGAGCTCTGGGCATGGGAGGGCTAGCGCGAGTTTTGCGACGCGGACGTGTGCGAGGGCGTGTGCTTGAGCGGCGGCATCAAGGGAACGTGGTAGGATGATAGGGGCTGAGCCGGTGGTGCGGTAGGGGAAGGAGGATAGATCGGGGGAATAGGTACTCGTGGTGATGAAGTCTGTGAGGGCGAAGAAGGTCTCCTTTGGGCAGGACTTTGGGATAGGGACGATGCGTTTGAGTTTTTTGGACTGAGGGTAGCGGCTGAGGGCGGAGCACGGGAAGGCGATTGGTTTGTCGTCGAGTATGAACTCGTGGATGGGCTCTGCGAAGGTGTCGCGGGGCTTTATTTCTAATTTGTTGCCTTTGGCGAGGACATTTGTGTTTGGGCCTTGGCAGGATTTTGCTTTGAGAAGGGGCTCGCAGGTGGATGTGTACCATTTGTCGATATCGGCTTGTTGGACTGTTTCGGTGGGCTTGGAGCCGCAGTTACTTTGCTTGCCGTCGGTATCTTTGGTGATGGTGTCATTGAAGCGGCTGTAAAAGTCGTGGTGGTGATGACGGTGCTGGAAGGTTGATGGCGATCCAAACATGGTGATAGCCCAGGGGTTGTTGTTGTTAGGTACATCTTTCATGACGACCGCACCGAAGTCAGGCTGAATTGTCTGGTCTTTTTCTTGGACACTGAGATCCCGAAGGACTGAGCAGATCTTGAGGAAGTGTTTACCGTGATCCAATCGTGCGTCCTTCACGCCTTCAGATGGGGGTACGCATGTAACCAGGAAGTATGCATGTATCATTTGATGAAGCAGCGTCGAAAGATAGACACCTGCATTTCTCACCCTGCTGAACTCACTGTCAAGCAGAATGGCAATGCGGGGGAATCTTACTCCAGGCGCATAGGTCGCAGCATATCCGCTCAGGCGAACGTCTGTCCATGCCATGAACACTGCGCCTCTCAGTTTGTTATCAAAGATGGCATGATCCAGGAGCTCGAATGCTTCGAACATGCTTCCATCATTTGCTAAGCTTGACAAGCAGTCTCCAATCGCCGACTTGCACTTCTCTGCATTGTTCGTGTCGGTCTTATGTATGTGGTCGATGAGCTGGGCGGTGGCATAGTCGATGTTCCAGCTGGGCGTGGCAGAAAAGGGCAGGCTGCAATCTTTCAGCATGGAATGACGCGAACCTGGCCGCTTTCGCCGGGACTGGGATTTGTACTTATGATAGTCTTGTGCAAATGGAGGTCTAGCATAACGTGTCAGACTGGTAGCAGGAGGATAGTATGCAGGATATCGTCTTTGATGATAGCCCTGTGGCACTAAAGACTTGGACAGTCCCGGATACATTTTCTTTGGAAGTATGAGTACTTGAAGCTTTGAGAAATTGCGGAATTTTCTATCCTCTCCACTAGCCCAGTAATTTATACACCTTCTCGACACACATGAAAGCACGCCTATGAAAGGCCCAACTCTGGAAATTACGTTTGTCGAGCCCTGTCAGCTATCGAAACTGTGCTGGCTATTCGAGTAGACGCTTCGTATGGCATGACTGTGGTGCCTAGCGAGCTGACGATCGATGTTTGTCAAAGCTAGACGGTTGGCATATTGACGTTAATGGTGACATGAGGCTATGAACACAGGTCACGCGCACAAACATTTCGGACATCGGGACGCAGCGATGTCGTGTACATCGCGTAGTGGCAGCAATTAGACAGCCTTGACTTCGGTCAGCGAATGTCATGTAGCAATCAGAATTGGCATATATACCTCCCGCTCTTTAGTCGAAGCAAACATGCTAGCGAGCACAAGTCAACATGGAGTAATGGATCGCGCCGCAGTGTAAGCGGGTGTAGATCGGACCAATGCTGTGTTTCCTGTTAGCCAGCTCAGTAGACAGTGCTATCTGCTAGTACTGTCAGTGATACGATAGCTTGTGTACTCGTCCCCGACATCTCATTCGAGGAGATTACAGAGTCTTGTAACGCATCACGGTCGAATCCGGGGAGCGACCAGAGTAGAAGAGCTTGTAGTGTGTGACCGAACTTCTCAATCTCATAAAGTGTTTTCGTTATCTTAATTGTCGCATCAGTGCGCCCTCCAAGCAAGATCGAGTATACAAAGAGTTCCTTGCTGCAAAAGCTGCACAACAAATGCGATATATCTTTATCACACATTTCTATGCTCTTTCCCGAGTATCTGCAGTTCCCCGTCCGATCAATTTGCCTTGAGTATTCCCCACGGCCCTGGTCGTGAGATTACTATCGCAGCCCCTAGACCAACCATAAGTTCATGCTCGGTATGCACAACTCTTAACTCCAAGACCTTTGCCACCACCCGCCAACCATCCAAGTTCGCACCGCCTAGCCGTATCGAGGTCTGTTGTCGTAATCATCGCCGGGTCTGCCACTAGTCCGGGCATCGGTCCTTCCATCTCCGTATGCCTTCCTTCTCAGGGCAGCCAATCTCTTCTTCTTGGTATGAGCGTTTATGTAAGTGCCGATCACGAATGCGACGATGTTGAAGAATGGGACCCAGGTCTGCTCCGGGAGAAACTTCTGCGCAAAAGCAAGGGCAACGGGTGAAGTGCACCAGCTGACTTTCATGACTGGCATGAAGCCAGCCTTGACTGTTGCTCTAACTTGATGGAAAGTACGAGCGCCCGCAATAATGGCCATGAAGACCAGGTATACGGAATTCTGAATGGGGGAGATCTGGAAACACGTTAATATCATACCTCAGTCAAGTATTGATCTGTACTAACAATCAGGTTGCTAAATAGAATTTGCATTATCTTTGCTTTCAAGCTGGTCCGGCCATGGAAGATCTTCTGCAGGATGGAGATGAGGAAGTGGCCCAGGGGAGCACTGACAAAGGCTCCGTAAAGAGCCATCTTGGGGACTCTCGAAGTGAGATATGTTCCATTCTTGCTGCGATCTTTGGCAATCCAAGATGCGAGGAATTCTTGTAGACCGGAGAGGGTACCAGACGTGAGCATCTTGGTGCGCAAAGGGTTTGACTGAAGCTGTTGGAGATAGGCCTGCGCAGAAAGCGGTCAGCGACAGCTCATATAATGACTAGAGACGAAAGATAGACAACATACACCTAGATAGCCATTGACGCCGCCACCCTTGGTGAGGGCCTCGCCAAGTTCGTGCGCAATACTCTCATGCTTGACATCAGGAGCTTTGACACCTGCGGTCGTCTTGACGGTCTCTTTCTCGAGTTTGACCGACATTGCGGGGATGGAGAGCCAGACGCAGGTCTCAGGATGCAGCAGAGGCGTTAATGCGCGTGTAGACGATCGGAGTCGCACGAATGGCGACGACGTGGGCAACAGGTATAAAGGTGAGCTGGTGAAGCGGAGTGTGATGAGGCGAGCGAGGGACAAGCGGTTGATGGGGCAGCAGTCGTGTCGCGCACGACTCGTGTTTTGTTTTCCCCTAATAACACCCTGCAACGCCAACGCCCGCCCCGAGTTAGCAGAATTAGCAGAAATAGCAGGATTTGGCAGTGATTTAGCAGACAGGGCAGCCAGTGAGCTGCCATTGGCCGCGTCCAAACAACAAAGAACCTCGGGCACTTCCGATGATGCTAGAACTGTCTTTCTGATCGGCCTTCGCCAGCCTCCTATCCTACTTCTTCAACGATGACATGCAGCAGTCTCCAACATTGAAAAAGATTCAACACAGGAGAGTCATAATTACTCCTGACAATAATGACTTTACTCATATGTAGCACTCATCCATCCTAAGCCCGATGACCGAGATGTAGTACTGATATAACAACCACGACATAGCCGTAAGTGAATACACTCCAGGTAGGTCGCAAATACCTCCAGACCGAGGTTGTATAATCCCATTTGTTACCACTTCTGCCTCTCATGCTCTTTCTTCTAAACATGCCATGGCATTTCATCTGTAACAGGGAAGGATCCCAACCTTTCCAATCTGAGTTCTTTGGTGTCTTCCTTTACGTATCTCATTATTCGCTGCATGTGTGAATGGACAATGAGAGTTACCTTCAAACGTGTTGTATCAGGTGAAGCCTACGTCTTGTTTATGTACTGTGCTGACACAGTCTTTCACGAGTGAGTGTATGAGGTCGTGCTGTTCATCTCAAGAGCTTGGGTGTAGATAGGGGCTCGCATTGCACCCAACGCGCCTGCCATTTCACTTCATCAATTTCTTCTCACGCAAATACGCGCCGTGTGAATCGCCACTTTCATCACATTTACATCTCCCTTGATCTTTTGTGTGTCTTCTTATCAACACTGTAGCAACCTTTCATTCACTTGTGGATTCACCTCATTACTACCGCCATCGCGGGTCAGCTACCTCATCGCATGGCTAACGCCCACAACTCTCCACCTTCCTATTACACCCGTTTCCATTTTCGCACTCTTCCTTCATATTGCTTCGACATACAGCCTCTCTCGACGTAGTCTCTGGACTGTCGCTCTTCACCTTGTCCTTGGCACTGCTATGCCCACTTTGAAACGTTCGAAGACCAAGGAAACAGCTCTTAGGTCCCTCATATTGTCCTCCGCTATCATACTAGAGGGCGCACGCGTCCAAAAAGCTTTACACATGTCTCAATACGTACGTCCACGTCCACGTCCAGTCAATAGAGGCGACCTCATCATCGTCGAGCGCTCAAAATATGGTTTACGCAAATTTTTGGCACCATTGGTATCACAATCTACACACAACACGTATTTATGCGAGGACCTGTTTTTTCTTTCCTTGACCAGCAACATGTAAGAGCTTCCTATACCAAGATGGTACTAATAATGCTTTGCAGAGCTCTGCCGTCAACCCGACCGTCCGTCGACATGCAACCAGAACGGCTGTCAGACCACAGTGCACTCACATCATCATGGACCGTGTCTATCAACCGGATACCATATGTCAAATCTGCCATTTCCCACCTGCCCTCGGCATCGTGTATAAGTGTCGCCAAGACGATCATCAGGAAAAAACGGAACCAAACTACCCTTTCGCACTCGACTCTGTTTGGGCCACCAACACAATTTCGGAAGGCCCGAAGACTCTGAGGGAGGAACTGACTGACATCGGCATGAGCGACTTTGTCATCGAAGCTGCCGAGGCTGGTCAGTATACACCGGATCAGATCAGAATCTTGAAAGAAGACAAGATGCAAGTCAATGAATTCATGGCTGATGCCATCAATCAGAGGGAGAGAAAAAAGAAGAAGACTAAAAGCATCAAGAGGGCTGACAGTACCGCCCGCGAAGACTCTATGCAGCCGGTTGCTACTTCTGCCGAGGGAGGCATGTATAAAGATCGCTCCGGAGATTCATCGCCCATATCCCAATCCTCGTCCAGATACTCAAGCTATCAGCAGCGTCGTGGAGAAAGGTGTGGTCTCATTAGTTGCGCCCGTTGCCGATACTACTTCCGTGACAGAGTCTACATGTCCTTTGAGGGAGTCTTCAAGGGGGAGTACGAACCTGTCACCGAGAAGGACGAGTTGCACATCATTGATGCCTCAGTTTTGAGGGATATGAATTGGACAAAGTGGACGCGTGACATACCTCCTCGTGGCAGTGATGCGCAAGCCTCAAGTGGACATAGCGGACTGACATCTAGCTCCTACTTTTCCGATAGCGAACCAGACAATAATGATTCAGTACTCTATCGCTCAAAGAGCACTACTGACCTCACAAGCGAATCGACCGAGTCTGTCAACCGTATCGGACGTCGGTTTAGCTATCGAAATCCACTCGGCATCCTCAAGGCTAATCGCAGCGCGTCGATCTCATCAGTGAATACTGAACCTGCCACCAGCTGCACTGGCATGGAGACAGAGGGCGACAAAGCTTTCCGTCAACATCAAGTTGAAACCGGGGTGCAGAGGGGATTCCACCCTTCGGCGTCCTCATCCACTATGGGAGGGCCCCCTACAAAGTGGCAAGATGCTCTGGAGTCTCTCTTCGGGCTCAGCGATAAGAGCACTGGAAGTGACGGTCTAGGTCTGGGATGCCTGCAGAATCCACTCGCGTGCCACCCGACATATCCGGCCACAGGGGCGGTGAACATTGAGGCGCCATCAATTCACTCCAATGCCAGTGGCGAGGTTGAGGTTGAAGGTGGCGTTGCACTTACCGAAGAAGCTGTCGAGATGCATACACCCGACATCATTACCCAGGCCTAGTCCAGGACACGCTCCGATACCTCAAACGCATGGCAACAGGTATGCGCATACCTAGATGGCTATAAGGGTCCAGTCTGCTTCTTTGGCATTAGTCACGCCAAAACCATTAGAAAAGCAAGAAATCGTGACAACCGCGAATTGTTTTCTCGTAAATCATGTTTTCAAGGCGTTCTGTTCATAAGCAAAAGGGACCTATGCAGATTTGGATGGCTCACTCTTGTGCTAATCCACTCATACACCAATGGCTGGCTCGCAGTGGTTTGGCCTTCACCGACCCTGCCCTTTATGGTGTTCGTTTGTACCGCGGGAGTTTACTGTGGGAGTCGTCCTAAGAACCACTCATTGCTTGATAGGAGCCGAGGACCAAGGCTTATGCCGAAGCATGAATAGACGACAAATGAATTATGGTGCCATAGGGCTTTACGCAAGTCAAGTATAGAATCTCGAGTATGTGAACATGATGATTGTGAGAGCTAACTGACCTCGTAATCTTTGCTGACTACGAGGTTGGTTCATGTTAGAGAAAAGATGGAATTTCGAGGTTCCTTATATATGGTCTACACACTTCGTAGAACAGGGCTGCAAAATAGATTGGAGCAAGGGAGGGCTTACTATAGGCCAGATCTATCTGATCTGCGTGTCATCGTTCCAGCGCATGTATCGAACTGCTTCTACAGCCAATGTCTGGCAGCTGCCATGGCCTACTGGGCGCGAGCGGGCATATGGAGAGCAGCCAAGCCGTCTTTATCCCCCATGCTGTCATATCATCATCCATTCCAGCCTTGAAAAGAAAAAATCCCAGCACAGGTCTGATCTAACGGGTATCATCAACTCTTCACGACTGACTGGCATCCCCCATCTAGCCCCCCAATTCAGCCATTCTTCCCCAAAATTTCTTCCCTCTCCAACACCTCATCCGCAAACCGAATCAAGAAAACCGTCTTCCCTGGCCACATCCCCTTTCCGCCCTCCCCTCCCCCTTCCCCAACCCAATGCGCACTCACTCCCCTCGTCGCAAACCCGGCCCCATCACACACGCCCTCAATCACCCCAGCCACATAGGCCGCGCAGTTGAGCTGGCTCATCTCCCTAGGTACACTAATATACGTATTGACGAGCGGCTCATTGTCCGAGATCATGTACTCGTCTGCGTTTGCGGCGGAGCGTTCCAGCGCGTCGGCAGGCCGGCCAAAGAGGTGTTTCCAGAGCGTCGTGGTGATGAATTGGAGTAGAGGGAGGATGCGCGTGGGTCGCAGCGAGGGCGAGGTACTGGGTAGTGGTGAGCGCGTAAGGAGGAGGTCGAGGAGTTTGAGGCCGAGCGGGTAGCCCTGTGCGTTGAGCCTGGGGGAGAGGGGAATTAGCTATTGCTTCAACGAGGAGAAATCCAGGGGGAGAAGAACGAGTAGCACCAGGGTAGAGTAAGGGCAACGAAGGGACAAACAAACCGTTTCTCCAGATCAGCAACGCCTCGCACGCGGCGCTGCGCATAGCCTATCATCTCGACAAACAGATATCCGAATGCGGCGCGGCTGAGTTCCGCGTTCTTGCTCCTGCTCAGATTGCGGTCGTAGATTGTCTTTTTGTTGCTTGGGTAGCGGAGGCCTGGGGAGGGCGAGACATTGCGTCCTGCGGCGAGCTGTTGCTGTTGCTGTGCGGTTGTGAGGGGGGTTTTGAGGGAGGGTGCGTGGGCGTGGGCGGGCGGAGCGGGGTTCATTGTGGTATGTGATTTTAATTGCTTGAAGGGTTGGGGACGAGTGGCGGTAGAGAGGTTCCTTCGAATTGCGAAAGAAGAGAGTGCGATTGCTGAGGCGTGGTGTCTAGTTGGGTAGATAGAGTATAGGTGTGTATTGACATTGCGGAAGTGGACATGGAGGTTAGGTGGGAGACATGGCCAGAGGCCCAAGCTCCCTCCATAGGGCTGAAAGTCTATAGTCAAGAAGAATTCGCTTTTCGATACTTGTACTGATATTTGCAAATACAACTTCTATTTGGTCGTTTCGTTGCATGCAGCGCTCATTCTCTCTCGCTCACTTGTATATAGCTACACAAAGATGCCTATACACCTTTTTTCCAATGCCCTCGGGTATTTCCCCATCCATACGCTTGCGCAATCTCGCCATTTTCAGACAGATAAACTGTCTTGTAGTTCCCGCTAAACAAAGAGAACCGCCGTCTTGGCTTTCATCGGGACCTTTTTGCCAGATACCAAAACCGTGTTATTCAAATCAAGAGAAAGCGCGCTGCCATGTGTTCGTACGTGATGATTATGTAGTAGAAAGAAGTGGAAGGGAACAATGCTGAAAAGCTAGTCGGGAGCTGGACATATTTGGAAACTACACGCTAAAGTCCAAGATGTGCTGTTGAATTGATTCATTGGCTGAATGTAAGCCAGGCGTTGTGCGCTTCACGGAGGACTAAAGATTTGTTAGATGTTGTCGTAAACACATTGGTACGGAGTTTGGCTCACCTCGGAACACATCGACTTGCGCAGCTTGCGTTTCGCAGGCACATTGGAGTGTAGAGCCATCGAGTAAATCCAACATGACGCTGTTGGGCAGTTCTTGCCGTTCCAGGTCTGGGATGTATGGCGAGTGAAGTTCGGTGAGGTGGAATCGTTTCGTTACGCCCCTCACATTATCATTCGTCTTGGAGACAGACATGACAAGATTGCCTTGGCTGTCTATCTCGACATATCTGCGTTTCCAAAGCAGTGTGTCAGGGAATTGAACGTTGAGATCGCCAACTTCAATGGCCGGCGGCGGTTCGCGGACTGAGGGCAGTTCCTGTTGCTGTTCGGATACCGCGTCTTCGTCTTTTGAAATAGGGCTGATGACTTGAGCCAGACTCTTTCGAGAAGCATTCGAAAGACTGGAGGACATGCGCTTCATCAAGCGGCTGGTTCTTGATTTCTTCTTATCTTTAGTCTCTTCGTCATGGGCTTCAAGACTGACGTCTGAACGATTCCGAAGAAGCGGTGGAGGTGACTTTGCGTCGCTCCTCCTCCCTAGAGACCGCCAGCCTGTCTCCGAGGACGATCGAGGAGGAAGAGGGGTAGAAGATTCCTTCGACCCAGTAGATATCGGCGAAACTGGCATCGATGCAATTGTATTGGGCCGGGAGTGGGTGTTTAACCTGGATATGTCTTGGCTGTTTGATGGCTGATGATCGATGATAAGCGGGCTTTGATGGAGTTCAAGTGGCGAGTGCTCCGTCGGTACTGATAGGTCAGGCTTCTTGGTCCTGTCATCTCGAATGATACGTGCGGTGACGGAGACTGAGTCTGGCTTGTAGCTGTTTTGCTCGACATTGTATACGGTCGCATGGACTGTTTCGCGGGCGGGAGGAGCCATCGAGTTCTTTGATTCCGCTGAAGTCGCTGACTGGAATAGGGCGACAGAGGAAGGAGCAAGCCTAGTAGGCCTGACAGTGTTTATTGAGTTCACTGAATTTTTTCGTGATATCGGAGATTGCGAGGTCTGGAGCGGAGTGCCGCTGCTTGGCTCTCCGTTGATCGATAATCCGCCGACACTCGCGACTGAATCCCGACTAGACTGCTCTGCCAAAGCTTTGATTCGTTGCGAGATGCCAGTAGAAACATGAGGTTTAGTAGTGACGGGCGTGTGCTCTAGATTGGAATGAGCAGAGCCACCTGAAAATGAACGAGCGATTTCAAGAACACCGCGACCAGAAGCTGTGCGCCTAGGACCCAGTCGATCATCATCGGGGCTAGACCCAGGTCTACTCATGATGGATATCGGCGTTGCAATTGAACCTTTGCGTTGATTCGAGAAGAAAGGTGAGATGGGAGACTTGGAGACAGAGATAGGTTTGGCTTCTTGGACTGTGGCACTTTGGAGCTCATCCATGAAGTCTTCGTCCGAGAGTGAATCGTTGTCAGAATTGTCAGCACTTGCAGTGCCTAGCTGAGATCGAATAACCGCGTGACGCTTCTCGCGACGAGTTGATGAAGAGGTGCCTGGCCCTCGTGAGTGCGACGAAGATGGCTCCAATGTGAGATTTGGCTTCTTTCGGCCCCGCCCTCGCACAGGATCTTCGGGTGACAAGTTGGACGCTGTTTTATTCTCCGAAATTGGGCACTCGTGCAGACTTATGTGTCGTACTTCGGACGGTGCATTGGATGGGGCTGGAGATCCCTCCTCAGGTACAACAGTTGGTGAGCTGTCAACCGATTTACGGGGTGACGGCTCGCCGTCCAGTTGTGCAGACGTATTCTCTTGCTCAATTGTCGTCTCGGTAATTTTAGGAGGAGGCACGTATACACTAGAGGGAAGAATATCTTCTTCAGAAAGTGATGACGGCCGTGTAGATTGATCCGTTGTCGAACCTTGTATCGATGTCGGGGATGATGTCGTAGCGATGGAACTTTGCTCCTCGGATTCTAGAGCTTGCAACTCAATAGCAGAATCGGACTTTCGCTGGTCAAGAAGTGATGTGGAGACCCCTCCTAGTTCCCTCTCTTTCACGACTTCTTGTGCCTGCAACTCTGGTTCGAGCTTTTCAGAACCGTCTCGCTCTAATTCTGATGTATCACGACGCGCATTTTGGTCGTGGAATATGGCCTCGTCTAATACGTTCGGAGGATTTTCCACTACCTCGGAATGGCGACTCACTACAACTCGAGGTGGGGACACACCAGCTACTGAGGGGCTAGGCTCGATTTCTTCCTCAACCGGCGCAGCGCCTTGTGTTGCTGCTGCGGCTTCCGCCGCCGCCACCGCCTTGGCTGCATCCCGTTCCTGCTTCGCTTTCATCTGTTTCTTTCTCATCTCGACAGCCTTCATGAGTCTTTGCTTTTCTTGTGTAACGCCAGGTGATCCCAACTTATGTACAGCTGCAGGTAGAGATCTTACGCTCATGGGCGAATGTTGTTGGTACATAGATGTTGGCGTTGTAGGAATCGGAGGCGGAGGCGGTAGTGCAATGTTCGGCGGAGCCCCAGAATCTCTTTTTTTTGACGTAGTTTTGGTATTGCGAGGCGCAATCTTCAAGCCTGCCGGTAAAGTAGATACCGGTCTAGCACCGGCTGTCTTGGGCCTCCCATCAGATGTATCTGGAGTCTGTTTTGGTCGTGGACCAAGCCTCACTTTTGGTTTATACGCAAACGCTCCAACATCGAAGATATCATACGCCGATGGACGCACGGTCTGGGACGATGCTCGCGATTCGTAGTCGTAACCGCTTGCTATCGTCGACGTTCTCGAGAGTGGAAGTGGGGCATCGCTTGGTCGACGATCGGAGGATTCAAGAGGGTTTATGATTGTGAGCGAAACGTCCTCCGCACGAGACTCTACAGGTGAAGGCAGAGTTGGTGCGGTCCCTTCGAGTGGCGATCTAAGGAGCTCTGTGTTGGGCGTGAGCGGAGTCAATGGCGAATTAACTTCGCTTTTGAGGCTCGCCGGCGGAGCGATTTTAGCTGCTGGTTCTGGCTTTACTGGCTCCTCCGTCTCTTCTGTCTCCTCAGCATCTTCAGCAATCTCATCCAACTTTTTCCGGGGTGAAGGCGTAGCTGCGTGCGAAGATCCAGGAGGCTTCTCCGTGTGTAGAGCACAAGCAGCAGTAAGTGTCATGTCATTGAGATCTTCTGGGGCACTGATGGGAAATATTGAATCGTACGGGGAGAACTTGTCGGTGACGGCCTGAAAATGCACCGAGACACGGGCTGGTTGATTGTCAATTGATAGCTAAATATGTTGGCCAAATCTTAGAACCCACCTTGTAAGAGTCGCGAAGTGCCTTCGGGTATGTATTTTATAAGCACCTTACGGCGCCGATATAGCAGAAAGCCATACAGAGGAGAGCGCTTCTCGTAGGAAGCGACAGCACTCCGAGCTTCAATGAGGCCGCCAGTTCCATTTTGCAAGAGCTCTATCTCGTCGCGTGACACGTATCGCAAAAGAAACCTGTACGATAGGAAGACAATGGTTAGACGATGCGCAACGCAGCAGAAGTCGGGTGCGACTTACCAACCGCCAGCCTCGGACAGCGCAGACTGGTAGGCTTCAGTCAATTTCGGATTATCGAGACCATTCAGAGCCATGCTGCAGACTCATTCAAGACCTGCAGGGTCCTCCGAAGTTTTGATGAAAGAAGGATGTCGGCGTGTGTGACAGGGCCGTGCTCATCAGGGGTACGGAGACTGGATAGTGATATAGAGAGGATCGGAGGGCATCGGGGGCTATCGAGGTTGTCGAGAAGGGTGGGGGAGGAATACTGACATCGACGGCGAGTCCGCAGCGTGTCGAATGTAATAACAATGGCCTTCAGACCTCTGCAGAGAGAGGAGTGTTGAAGTGCGAGGCTTGAGGGGATAGTGATAGCTTTGCAGACAGGATGACAAGCAAAAGAAGTTCGAAGTTCGGGAAGCGGTGGGTGCTATGAGGGCAAAAAGTGGCCTGTGCTGGCCAGTGCCAGTTGTGGTGTAGGGATAGCGCTATTGATGCCCTGAGCCTTGGAGGGAGAGGAAAGGGAGGTCCCTTGTTTGAAATCCCTGAAATCCATACATAATTAGTACTACTAGATACACTTCTCCTCGGCTCTGCTCACTGTCACTGCTAAAGGCTCGCCATGTTTCGAACCTGGTCCATGTCTATAGTAAAAGTATATTCCATCGTATCCAACGGCCGTGTTTCCTGCCTCATGTCACCCATCTGCTGATGCATTCCCACATCGACATCAGTTGTCCACGTCTGCTTCCTACTCTGCATTCTGAGGCGTCCACGAAAAAGTATCAAGCACAATTGCCACGCCTGTCAAGTGTGTCAAGTTGTCAAGTCTGTCCAGGCGCCCTGGCGCTGTCTGTGATGGCGCGTATGTATGGCTGACGCTGACTTTGGTGCTGGTGCTGGTGCTTGCTTGTATCCGAAACAAGCAAGATTCATGCCTTCACTTGCATGGCGACGAGTTGAAGTCTTGTGAGAAGCCGAACACTCTCTCCCTCCCTCTCTCACTCACTCACTATTGTATTATTTGGCTGTATTCCAGGTGAATTCATGTGCAGAGTGTCGAGGCCGAGCACAAGCCCATAGCTGCCCCTGTGGCTGCCTCCCTCCAGCTTGGCGGCCACGCTCCCGCCGAACCGGCAGCAAACAAACCCCCTGACACTCCCCCTTGGACGCCCCAAACCAGCTCGCAATAGGCTGCCCCTCCCGCTATTTTCTGCCCCTGCCCGCTATTTCTGCACACCACAGCCCCCTGTCGGTCCTACCCGTTCCCGGAGATCCTGCGTCTCGCACCTAAACGTCTAGCTCTCTTTTACTCTTACCTATTGATACCCGAGATCTCCTTCTCCGCCTCACCATCAACCTTTCGACTATGCAAACTTTGACACGATAAGGGGCGCGGTTATGCAGGTGATTGCCACGAGGTTTTGTCGTATTGACGCCCAACCGTGCGAAAGGGATGTATGTCATCGATTGACATGCTTTGACTGCGACTGCGCCAATAATGCTCGCAAATCATTACAACTTGTATTCATTGGGTTGCTCTTCTGCTACATTCGTGCCTCTTGAGGCTTGTGTTATTGTGAATGGCGGGATGGGCGATGGCGACTGGTTTAGGATCTGCACTTTGCTCTGCTTTGTGAGGAGAATGAGATCATGACTTCTTGGGCATCCAGGTAGTGTATGTTCCACTGCAACAAGACTGTTCAAGATAAACCGTACATAGCAAGGAAGTTAGTAATTATCACGTTTCAGATAGCTCAGCCCTATCATGTGGAACTTTGTGAAGGAATCATAGGAGGACAGCATGTATATGCAAAGCAGGTCAGTGAATATATCCACGAAATAGAATGAAATATGTAGATATTGATGCACCACCCGAGATATTGCATACTATGAGATATGCAATAGCAGCGGAACCAGAGAGCCCAAAGTGCCATCAACCCAAGTCCGTGAACGCCATCGATCGCGTTGCAAACAAAGCAACCTTCAACTCCCCAGTGAAAACCCAAAAGACCTAAGATCTTGCACGCCCTGTCCACATATAGCGAACGATTGCCATCAAAACCTATTCCCACAACCCATCCATCCCCCACTGACAACCTTCTCCCTCGCCCTCTCCACCATGCCATGCACCCAACCCACTCGTCCCCCCTCCTCCACCCATCCCCTAATCTCCGCCATAAACACCCTCACACGCACAGCATCCGCCATCATCCTATTCAACCCATCCAACACACTCTTCTCCGTCATCAAAAACCTCTCTCTGCGCAGCTCCAACTGCACAGCATACAGCACAAGCAATCCATAATGCCGCGCCCGATGCGCAATTTCCTCATCCACCTTCACCATATACGCGTTAAGCTGCTCGCGGTGTTTCCAGTGTAGGCGCTGGATCTCGGACGAGGGCACGCTAAGTAGCTCGGCGTATGATTTGAGGGTGGTGAGGCACGGGCGCAGGGCCTCGATGTCGGCGGCGGCTCGGCTGAGGGTGTGCGTGATGTCTGCGGCGAAGGGCTCGAAATGGCTTTCGAGAAAGGAGGCGCGTGTGCGGCGTTCGCCGTGCTCGTCGAAAGCTTCCGGGAAGAGGTCGTGGTTGTAAAGGAAGTAGAGGTTTGCGGCGTATTGCTCGGAGATGGTGATCTGGCGGGTGACTCGGTCGACTTTGGCCTTGTTATTTAGATGTTAGCATTGCGGGATGTGTGTTGGAGGGAAAGAGGGAGTGAGGAAGCGTTGTAGAGAGGGCGCGTACAATTGTGACGAGTATGGATTTGTTCAGCCCCTTGATCAACTCGTCGCACGAGAAGTACTCTTCGAAGCGGAAAAGGAAGCGGTTAAGGGTGCTCATGTCGGACCAGCCCCTTACAGGGCAGCCTCTTTCTATCATGTCTTCTGTGTAGAGCAATGCATCTGGAATTTGTGCTCGCAGCTTCGGGACAGGTTCCACAGTATAACCAAGCGCAGTGCCTTCATCGGTGCCTTTCGATAGGTCTACAGTGTCGAACGCACTAGACAGCTCGCAAAGTCTGCTGCCTATCTGGCAGCGTTGGCGACGGCTGAGTCGCGGAAGATAATGTATGCGGATTGCACGGAGGGTTTTGACATTCCGGGGCAACTTGTGAATTCTGTCTTTGGCAGATATGTCTTCTTCGAATGCCTCAAGGGGGAGATCGACACCCTGAAACATTAGCGGGAGTGTTCAATTGGGTGATGCAATACTTACGCCAGACGATGACTCGCTGTCAGAGATATCTTCTGGTTCGATGAAATGCATTTTGAGTTTTTATGAATGGATATGGAGTACTTCTGGTTGGTGATCCCAATTGTTAGGTGCGCTTGGTAGGAGACCTGAAGTTGCTGTCCTAGACTGGGAATTATGATCGTGGATACCGAGTTTCAATCAAGATGAAGACCGTCAGGGGCGAGTGGCTTCCAGTTTATTATCACGACTATCTCCGTCTAGACGTTGGGCTATTCAGTAATTTACCAACTTGTTCTATTCAGAAAAGATGCTAAACGACAAGGATGTTGGTCCAGGATGCTCTGATTTATGCGCAAACTTGGCTGAATAACGCTCTTGGGTGGCTGGTGGACACAGTGGTTGCAAGTGAGTTCTCGACGGCTGCCGACGCAAGGGATCCTAAAGTATGGGAGCAGAATCGTATATCGTATTGTGACTTGACGGGAAAGACAATAGGTAATAAAGTAGCACATGCTGTGAAGTCGGGATGAGTTATGAACGAAGATGACTCCGCGTCATCTTTGAAAAACCGAAGAAATGTGAAGGTAAAGAAAATAATCATCTCATATCAGGGTATACGTAGCCATGATGAACCGAAACCTTTTATCTACTGCCCTGAACGCCTGATTTTTAAGGATTTCTTCACCCTTCAGTCCGCTGCATCAGGATCAGGCAACCATACGGTCAGATCCTTATCTGCGGTACATATCAGATTGAATCTGTGATTGTATGCCACCACAGATGCTCTTCCTTGACCAGGGCCAGGTATTTTGTCCAGGGGCATCAACATTTTGTCGGTGACACTTATTGTAGAGCTTATATCCCATATTTGCAGGCCTTCTTCTCCACTTCCTCCAAGCACGAATTTCCCATCTGGTGATAAGCAGACATCACCTTGACCGACCGGCCGTGAATCGTCACCCGATTCTCCTGGTGCCCGACGCCCACTCATTTTCCCCCGGCGAATGCAGAAATGTGTCAGGTTACCTTCGAACGCATCCAGAACGAAATGGCCAAGTCCGTTCGTCGCTACAAGTAGGCTCTTGCCATCATTTGAAAATTCAATCTTTGTCCAGCCCCGACCAATAGACTTCTCGGTGTACACCCTCTCGAATGGTTGGAGATCAAACGTAGCAAATGGGGCTTTGTCGTAATTGTTCTTGTCGTAGAGAAGGACCGATGATGTTGCAGGAGAGGCTATGGCAATGACCGTAGCAGATGGGTCATACGCGGCGAGGTATGCGCCGTGTAACTTCAGCATGCCTTGACAGTTGCTTGACTTCAAGTTCCACAATCGAACAGAGTTGTCTTTGCTACATGACAGAAACTCATCACTTGATGGCGATAGTGCAATACAAGTAACTGTATCCGTATGACCGCGGAAGTATCTGAGGTATGAGTTGTCATGTGTGGTCAGGTAACGGATGGCATGGTTGTCAACGTCCGATTTCTTGGAGTCAATGCGGCTGCTGGCATGGACGATGCTCTGAGAATGATGCGAGAACTTAGCCAAGTGGACTCCATACTTCTGGCATTTCAGCTCTTTCGCATGTTTCCCCTGAGACAAATTATAGAGTTGTAAAGTGTCGTCGTCTCGCGCCACGATGACGAGTTCGCCTGTGTCGTCGAAGTCTATGGATGTGATGTTGCATTTTGGTTCTGTCCTAAAGCGCTGCGAGCCTCTAGTTAGATGGCTCCCCTGGACACAGACAAGCTTGAACATACACGATGAGGTCTGAAGGTGGTTATCACATCTTGCACTTTCTGGGCTGGAGGAGCTCCGCTAGCTTGTGGTCCTGCCGCCATGAATGATGTGAGTGTCCAGATACCTCCGTCTAGAGGTATAACAGCTTCCAGTATATTAATGTGGCATCTCGAGGATCTTTAGTGTGTGTGATGAAGCTATTTTGGGGGCATGCTTCGGAGAAAGATGCAAACGGAGCAGGATTCATGATACACGCGTGCTCCCGCGCTTAGGCGAATTGGCGCGTAAGACTGGCGACGTCAGTAGCCGCGGCCTAGGGTCGAAAGTCTAAAGCCGAAGTCGGTCAGCGCAACACAAAAGTGTCTCGCCAAGCTATCATCCTACGATTCTGTCATCAATTGCACACTCAGCTCCCAGCGTCTCCGGAGCATTGTCAACATTCTGTACGAATCGCAAGAGTCACTGTAATCGCAGAGATATATTCGGAGCCATCAATTACTACTGAAAACACCGTTCTGGTTGTTCACGACTCCGTTGGCTTCGGGCCTCATCATGTCCACCACATTAGGGTGTGTTGTCCACATCCGCCTTAAAATAGGTGCGCGAAGGAGTATGCGTTTCTAATGACTCGTAGGGCATTCATCGCCGGTGGTGTTGCGGCTTGTGGTGCAGTCACGGTCACTCATGGATTCGAGACGGTCAAGATTCGGTCGGTGCAGCTTGTCCTCACGAGGTCGTAGTCGGCTGACGAAAGAGCAGTCTACAGTTACAGGGAGAACTCAAAGCCAAAGGGGAAGCTCCTCGGATGTATAAGGGTGTACTTCACGGCGTTGGAGTGATCACGAAGAATGAAGGCATAAAAGGGCTACTACGAGGGCTTTCATGTGCGGTACGAACACTAGGGGAACTACATTTCCTGCGCAAAGCTGACGTCGAATTCTCGCGAAGTATATCTATCAGATGACTCTGAACGGATGCCGTTTAGGCTTCTATGAACCCCTTCGCCAAAGCATAACGACCCTTATATTCCGCGATCCTACCGTACAGTCCTTTGGCGTAAACATCTTTTCTGGCGCTGCTTCAGGCATACTGGGCGCAATGGCTGGATCACCATTCTTCCTCGTGAAAACACGTCTCCAATCATATTCGCCTTTCCTTCCAGTCGGTACACAACATCAATACAAGAATGCATGGGATGGCATGACACAAATCTACAAAGGCGAAGGCGTGAAAGGTTTGTACCGAGGGGTGGGGCCTGCAATGATCCGTACTGGATTCGGCAGCTCTGTGCAGCTCCCGACCTACTTCTTCGCAAAGAGGCGCTTGGTAAAACATCTAGGCATGGAAGAAGGACCAGCTCTGCACCTAGCCAGCAGTACAGCCAGCGGTTTCGTCGTGTGCTGTGTCATGCATCCGCCCGACACTGTCATGTCCCGAATGTACAACCAGACGGGAAATCTTTATAACAGCGCATTCGACTGTCTAACACGCACGGTAAAGACTGAGGGAGTGTTTTCGTTGTACAAGGGGTTCACGGCGCATCTGGCTCGGATATTGCCGCATACGGTCGGTCTTAAATTGCGCAGACAGAAGTCCAAGCTAACGCGTTTAGATTCTCACGCTGAGTCTTGCAGAACAGACCAACAAATGGATGCGCAAGGTCGAAGATCGAATATTGAGCAAGGATGTCGAAGAGAAATTATAGCGCACGAAAAGGTCGAATCTCTTCCTTTGTACATGCTCCGAGTCACGCCGATACTTCGAATTTTGTAGAGCTTGTCGATCTAAACGGACAAGCATGCCATTTGGGGGGATACAAACATAGACATACTACGTCAAACGCCGATTTGGATGAAGCGCAGAGGGTTGGAATCTCTTGCGAAGGCTTATAGATTTGATATTGCGTAGAGGCATTGCTGCGATGACACAATGCGCGATGACAATGTAGCTGCATGCTCGCTCAAGCTCTGTGCAGCGATTAGTACAGTGCTCCTTTAACTATAGATAGCCTTACCTGGCAAGGGGTTGATATGGTCCATGCATTGACTACGCTTAACTTACCTCGGTGTCGAAAGCAGATCTGCTCAAGTTTGGCCGCATATGTCTAGATGAGATTGAGCATAATATCATTTGACCCCGTGTGTTGCCTTTGCAGATTGAGGCGGTCCGTTGACAATCGAGCAAAGATCGCTCGAAGTAAGGTAGCGCCAAGTCCTCACCACTCGATCCCTGGGACTGCTCGACAACATTCGTCACATTGTAACGCAGAGCGACATACTCGACGGAAAGACTGTAGAGTTGATATATATGTATATGTTGCTAGGCGCAGCGGGAAGCGCGCGGTATGTATTAAAAGTTCATTAAATTGTGCATGCGTGGGGACCGTGTGGTGCGTGTATGTAGGTACCCCTTCCCCGCAAAGACCTGGTGCCGAGAATCGTTCGCTTGAAGGACAGATCGCATCCATGATCCTGCATGTATACGCCGCAATACCACCCCCAGTCCCGTCCAGCTCTACATCCGCTTTGGCCAGGGCGGCTGCTGTGTGTTGAATCGGCGTTCTCATCAGCAAGCTGACTGGTCAGCCCTTTGCCTTGCTGGCGTGTCCTCAGCTCAGCAACTCCAGAAATGGGCAGCGTTGGATGGAAAATTTCTCCGGATGAGACGTCAAACGTCAGAGCAGAGTGCCTGTATTCAAGCTGCGCCTCGGCCGAGCAAGACCTTCTGCCTCACGTAAAGAAGATATTGAATTCCGCCGGGCGCGATCTGCAATAACGCTGACGCTGTTGCTAGAGGGGCATTCTGGTATTAATAACAAGCAACGTGACGACATGGGAGACAGCCACTCGTGTGGGCTCTGTGACAGTCTTTGGAGACTGCTCAGTCCTTAATGCTACAACGAAACGTGCCGGCATGATCGAGCTGGTCTCGCCCTGCTGATCTCAGTCAGGGTTGGTTTCAACATCCCCTCAAGACAGCTGTGCCGTAGAACCATGACTGCACCTACACAAGGGACTTGTATTGTGAAAGGACTGATGACAGGAGGGCATGCGGTCATGCCCCATCTACGGCACAGTCTTACTTACTAAACAAAAATGCAAACGTTGGTTCGCAACACCAGTGAGGTCGTACATATTCACTTGCTGTGCTCAGCTCAAGGGTCGATGGCTGGGATTCATTGCTCAGTGCATTTGCAGCACTTGGCCTTGTTCTGCAATTGGAACTACGATCCATGTCAGTGGCCGAAGTTTGGCAGGGCATGCTTAGTGCTTGTAAGCCTACAAGTTCTGAAGGCGATAAATAATAGTGGTGAAAGAACTGACTCTATCTTTGCTGACGCTGCTGCAGTCAGCCTTGCAAGGACTTGCCAAGCGGCAAATGGCCATGAAGGAAGAAGATCTGGCATGTAATTGGTCTTCTGGAAGCAAAACTTTCCGTGCCAAAGAGGCGCCTGACGAGCTTAGAATTGTCTAGGTCATAGGAGGCTCTGCCGCTCTGAACGCAGTGGGCGCCCTACGACCAACTGGGCGTTCCTTGGGCTTGCATTCGTACGAATCCATGGTCGCTATGCTCGTCACCTGCGCTTGGGCATGGTTTCTCCGCACACTTCCATACAGTTGGGACGCCCCCCAGTTTCTCTCCGCTCCTTTTATACATTCATTCCCTGCTTGATTACTGTCCTCTTATTAGATGAGATGTCGCTCTCTATACCTTTACTTTTTTCTGCCTTTCGGCGTAATATGCAAGTTCCTCCTCCCTAACCCCACATCCCAACGTCTCTACATTACACATTTGCTACATCATTGATATGTAAATTCTTCTCACGCCGGCCACTGTCTATTCTATACACTCCTCTCGTCGATTCATACTCCGGAGCCGGAACTAAACCTGGCTTATGAAAGAATATATGACCGAAGGCGGCACACGACCATTTCGAAGTGTGGAGAAGGATGTCAATAACTATCATAAGGAGTGACCTGAAACGCCAAACAACATGGCCGTTACTTCTGAGCGCTCCATGACACCTAATATTGCTCCTCCGAGCACCATGTCTGTGTTCTCCTTCACAGCCCCCGGCCCTCAACCGAAGCTTCATTTTCCACCTCCAAATCACACGACAATACCTCGTAAACGTTGTCGAGCCGTAGCCGATGTCGATGGCGAGCATTCGTCCGGTTCAGGCAAAAAGAAACGACGTCTCCGACGCTTCCTCGTTACATCCCGTCTATCACTCCCGTTCTCCTATCCCGCAACGAATATCGTCGACCGTGGGCCCTCCAAGATCGCCGTCTGGGCCAAGCAGAAATCTACAGGTCGTGAACTCCTCCGCAAGGCAGCTATCCTCAATCGTATACGCCAACGTCAGATATCACCACCCATCTTACCAGCCCAATCCCAGGAGGTACTTCGTCAGACATTCTTGTATGGTGCTCCGGATACTTCGACTCATCCTATTGTTCAGAGGAGCGGGCTCTCACCGGTGCTGTCGCCTAACTTTGTATCGCAACCAGCTGTTGTTCGCGGGCCCAGTATACAAAGAGAAGATGCAAATGACCCAAACATCTCTGCCTTGCGTCAGAAGAGTCCTTCGCCCCAGGTACCCAGGAGAGATTATACCCCACTGCCACCGTCCCCGCTTGGGCTTTCGAACTATGATGCACTAGACCTGGAGGAAGACTATGGTGATGATGACGACGACGGAGGATGCACGTGGTCATTTGGGGACACAGATGAACCATCACAGGAGAATCACGATACTGTTAATCGTGTAAGCGAGTCTGTACTGGTTGACCACGATTCCGTTGAAGCGTTTGCAAGTCCAGAGACGACCGCGTTGATGGAGCAGACGACATCGGTAGACCTCCTGAGACACCAGACCACACAGCAACATGCAAGTGCAGAGCAACAAGCAGACATTTCAAGTGAGAAGGAACGGCAAAAAAGTTTCGCATTCGTCAGGTTCGATTACTACAACTAAGGATCCGGCTTCGGGGTGTTTGCGCAATTTCTAAGTTATTGGGCGGCGTACAATGTGCACATCCTATGTCCTACATGTCTCAAAAATGCCTTCCTGACAGTATTTCAGCGGCATTCAGAATCGGCGTAGGTAAGAGTTTCTACAAGACAGGCGGCGCAGGCGGACACTGAAGTTTTCCTCATCTGTATCTATACTACCTGTAGCTACTACACAGTCACCCGACTCATAATAATGCCACTTTGGGGTGCCTCCCTATTTGTGCCGTCTCGGCCATACTCAAATATACCCTCCCCATACTCAAATATACCCACAAGCCTAACCTCGTCGGCATCCGCCGGCCTCCAGGATTCCCCTACCAAAAGCTCCCATCATCACTACCACCAACCATCGCCCACGAGCCCGATCACAATCACAATCACATCTAGTCATCAATCAACAATATACTGCTGCTGCTGACGCTGCTGCCTCTTCTCGTAACTCGTCCGAGAAGGCATTTGCCGCCAGGGATACCGCAGACAATCACGTCCAACAACTCAAGTGCCTAGTTATCATGCCTGACCCCCCTTAATAAACGGTATATCCGATTCACTTCCCCCCGGCCTTCCAACCACAGCGCCTCGATCGCTTTCCTTCAATCCAGCATTTACGTATCGCACCATTGCAGCGGTAGAGCCATAAATATGTATATGTATAGATATATGCATACGACCGACTCCTGACCGACAGACAGACCGAGCAGCCGAACACGAAGCAACCGATAGGTAGCACGGATAGCTTGTCTTTTGTGTGTGTGTGTGTCCAGTAATTATTACTACATTACTTACGTACCTGCCTAGCTCTGACTACTATGTATATCAAATTACAACTCCATGTGTCCAGGTGAACGTACCTAGTACCTGGCACCTATCTATTAATACTATGTACCTACCTACATAGGTAGGTGGTTTGGTATAGTGGATTTGGTTAGGTGGGTTCTGTGAGTTAGGGTAGCGCGACTACTGCCTGTTCATTAGCCAGGTAAGTAAGGATGCGCGTGAGGTGTGCCACAATGGATGCGGCGGACCACCAGGGGGCACGTGGAACGCCCCTCTTGGGCCGCACACCCGTGAGCGTGGTAAGTTGTAACGAGTGTGGTGTTCGATGGCCAGAACTGCTTCGGATGTGTGCTTCAGTTGCAACCTCGGACGAGGACGAGATCGGATTAACATCGGATGTCTGGGACTCTTTGATTGAAGGGTGATTGCGCGTTGTGTGTCAGTGTGTCAGTGTAAGGGGGTTTAATTTTGGTGACTTTGCGTGCTGCGAGGGGCACGTCATCTATCCCGCTGGGAGCGGAACTCGAGGTACGTGCTGAGGCTTCTTTGGCAGATTTACAGTTTCCTGTTCTGAGAGAGGAGGGGGATATGGAAATGGAGGTGGTGTGGTATGTTGATCCACGAGGAGATGATAAAGAGCTTGGTGGTGGTTGAGATGGTGGGTTGTTGGTGCATTTGAAGTGCTGAGGACGTAATTCGAGGTCAACGTTGTGATCTGATGCGGATTTGGCTTCTTGAATGATCTTGCGATTCGATATTGGAAGTGCTCTGCTCTGACGGGTCTTGCTGGATGGGCATGAGACTGTCCTTGTTGTCTCGAATGTAGTGTTGTCGGAGCCCATTGCGTTCTCATGGCTGTTTCCATCTTTTCTGTACTCCGTCCTGGAAAGTTTCATTTGACTTGCGCGATATACGACATCTTCAATATTACAGCTAACAAGATGTAGATTTCAGACACGCGAAACATACGCAAACCATCTCCTTCATCCTGCTGAGAGTCCAAAGACTCCACCTCGGCGGTCGCCGCCGACCAGATCACCTATAAACGAGCCCTTCGCAATTCGCGTTGAACGTCTCGAATTCTCTCTCGAGATCGCATCTTTCTTTCCCATCTCATCCCAAAGCCGCCATCTAGACCCAGCGACATCAACAAGTCCCATCGCATCACCCATCTGCTCATCCCCAGAACCAAAATCATGACAACCCCAACCCTTCCACCAATATCTCACCTCGCCCTCCTCCCAACACCTACCCAAACCACCGTCCTCTCCCTCCTCTTCGAGCCCTCCCAGGCCCTCCACACCCTCCTCACCCCACTCCCGCAATCACCACCTTTCGAATCCTACCCAGCCCTCATATCAAGCATCCGCACCACCCTGCTTGCCCTCGCCACCCGCGCCCTCACGTCCCCACCTCACCTTCACACCCTCGAGCAAATTCTCGGCAGCCACCCCCGCCTCGGCGAAAAGGGCGTTCAGGGTCAGAGCAAGGGCGAGCAAGGCAGTCTGACGGGCGATCAGGCTGAGTTGCAGCGTCTAAATGCGCGGTATGAGGATGCGTTTCCGGGGTTGCGATATGTGTGAGTGCCTTTTTTTGGTCTGCTTGCTTGTTTATTCGCCTGCTGCCAAACCTGGGGTTAGGAGTAGAGAAGGAGGGAGAGAAAGAGAAAGGTTTGCTAACTATGAGCACACAGGGTCTTCGTTGCCGGGCGTCCGCTACCGGATATTCTGGCAGATATGCGTGCTCGAATTGCGCGTGGCGATATAGTCAAGGAACGCGAGGAGGCGATTGAGGCCATGTGCGCAATTGCGCTAGATCGCGCGTCCAAGGCTGCGATCAGCCCTGTTTGACTTAATTTTGCAGCGTGCTTGCTATCTGGGAATAGCTAGTCGCGGTCACCCATAAATAGGATAGCCAACCACGGTGAACTGAAAAGTTGGAAAGCAAAAGTTCAATGTGATGTCGACGACGAATTCGGATACAATAACACTGTGAAGCACCAAGGCGATCTCCAGGTCCGAGGCAGGGGCGAGAAGCAGCGAAGAACTTTTTGTGACTTGTGAGACGGATGGATGGATGCTATGCACGTTCTAATTTTACGTATCTTCAGCTATAGGACGTGGCGAAAAGTCATGGTGCATTGCATTGCATGACTGTTTATAACAAGTGCTACAGAGCCGGCAGTCAGCAGCGAGAACATCATACCTTCACATAACGCGTAGATTAGCAGGCTGAAACAAAACAGGTCTCTATTGCACCTCAAACCATTTCGTGGAAAGTGGAGCACGTGATGCGTAGCGAAGACGAAGAAAGATATATCGATATCTGGTGAGTTACAGCAGTCTGTCTGGATGTAAATCTGGAGAAAAATTATGACTACCTACCTGGATATATTCCCTGAACAGTAAATCTACCGCAAAACTTGACGACAAAGCCGATAGACTGGAGCACAGTGTACAGTCGAGAGTCGGGATGTGTCGGATCATACGTAGAGGACATGGATAGGTGGAAGACTTCGCTAAGCATGCATTCAACATGCCGTCTCCTCTCACACTGACGCAGAACCATTTTTGGTGATCCGAAGTCTTGTTCACGTGTTTGACGTCTAGTCAAGTGCCAATGACTTCCATCTTTCGGTCTCTGTGAGTACAGCGTTGGACGTTTAGTCTGCTCGACATCAGCTATTGATAGGCGGTATTACAGATGCATTGCATCTGTCCGTCAGTCCCGCCCGTCCGTGAAGATCAGACGGGTACCGCGGCGGGGCCGAAAAAAAAGAACATTTTCATCTTCGATTCAGCGCTGATTGCTTGTGCAAAATGCCAAAAGGACTACACGCGACCGAAACTTCTGGATGTCTAATTGTTCGTAAACTGAACTAATTCTTATCTTTGATCATTTTGAGAACGATTCAAACAATGCGGTACGGTCCCATGGGCGTGAATCGCATGTGCCGTAGAACATACCGGTATCCCAAACGCGGTCTTTGTCTCGTAGATCATGTATAGCGAAGTATGTCGAGCGCAAATGCTGCAGCCTCTTTGATATTCCAACAAGACCTGTGTAGATCGCTCGACGTAGGTGACATGTCGAACGACGCAATGTGGTATTTGTCAATGAGTGCGTGTTATGTGGAGGCCAGTTTGGCCCCCGATGTGTCAGTTTGTGGACGTGTCCAACATGCTGAAGATCGTTATTCTGTATGAGAGGTACATATGCACGAGACTCAGGTCACATACATGATGTGAGCTCTTGCCGAGTAAGAGGTCAGCTGAAGTACGAGTTTCCTATCGACAAGGGCACTATACATGATATGTAACAGAACTCCAACGCAAGATGTGCATTCATGCAAGCTGCAAGGCCAGTCCTTTGACAAACGGGATCAACCGAATGTGACGCGGCTCGTGGAGAAACGTGTGTAGAAGTCGTAGGGCAAACAGCGATTGGGTGCTACCGGCAAACTAAGGAATAAGCTGTAGCTTGTTTGCAGCCTGAGTCGGGGAAATTGGCTGGCTTGAGAGCAGTGCCAGGTACAGTCGTTCATACTTTGACTACGATGAAGCCTTTCAGTATAGGCGAGTCATGGAGGATGGTACGTACCCCATAGTATAGGATCGGTTTATGGAGCAACGATCGGACGGGACATTCTAGCCCAAAGAAGAGTGGGAAAAAGTGGATGCAATCGACGGAAACGATCGCGTTCCGAGAAAATGAATCATGGTTTGTCTTTTATTCGTCTCCATCACGTCAAGCTTCGTGCAGCTTGGGAGTGCCACGCTCCAGGGGTATTCTCCTATTGGAAACTGCTCCCTATACTGCCAACTCCGATTGAGGGCGGTCTCACAATGCAGATGCCTTCAACCACAACATAATTAGTTGTTTGGTCATGGAGACTGGTAGTATGACATTGCCACACAATGCAAAGGATGTGAGAAGTACACATAAGCTGGACGTCTCAACGACCGAGCTAAACAGCGATCGAAGTCGAGACAAAAGGCTGCTCATTGGGGCCACTTCTAGTCAGATTCTAGAAGGGCGGGAGATGAAAAAGAGGCACTGACTTGTGCCGAAGAACGTAAACGCCGGGTCATCCGAACACTGCACGAAACTTGGGTAGGACCAAGCTATAATTAGGCTCTTGCTACCGTCTTAGTATCATATAACGTTCTGAGAGTGGTGAACTAGCGGTGACGAAACGAGTATATTGCCGGGATAGATGTTGGAATAAATGGTTTGCAATGTATATGAGGCCGCGGAATGGGAGTTAGGATGCGCGACGCCGTGCTGATCGGAGGGTTTCGCTAAGGGGAGCCAGCAAATGAGAAGGCTCGTCCTCTTCGACTCCGTCTATTATTAATTTATGATCCCGGCCGATGGCCTGGCGCTGAGTATCTTCAGCCCCAGGCATCGTCTTGAGCCCTCGATTGTTACGGCCTTATCATCCTGATCTTTGGCAGGTGAATGAGATGAAGGATTCTGGTGCTTGGTGTGAGATCAGCAAAGGATGGAAGGGTGTTGTGTTATGCAATGTAGCGTGTGAGGGCATCATATCTCATAATTGCACTATGCCGAACGGGTGGCAAAGGCTCGAGCAAAGCGTGTTGAGAGCAAGTGGGTGTAGTTGGTGTGTTGAGTGTTGAATCGATGAAAGAGTTTGTCGGTTCAGTGGTAGTAGAGTTCAGCCTGCTCTCTCCACCAAGAGAGCCCAGTCCATTCTCTCTCCCAAAGAGTGGTCAGATTGATAGGGAGCATGCAATCACCATGTGCTCCTCCAGCGTTACCCAATGCGGCCAGTGTCCAAACCAATCCGAAAAACAAGCAAGCGAGAACAGAGAGGAAATAAGTAGTGTAATAGTAACTAATGAGATGGATAAGGAGACTGTAACCTGGACCAGCACACAGCACCTGCACCTGGCCAGCCCGAGACACACACGGACACGCCAAGCAACAAGCCAGTGTTCCAGCTTCGAGGCTTCAAGTGGTCGTCGCATCTCGCTTTCGCGAATCGCGCCAGGCCCCAGCACCCACCCAGCCTCCTCCTCTGCCTCCCCCTAAAAAACGTAGGTTCGCTGAACTACCTAGGCTCTTATTAGTGCACTCCCTAGCCCAGGACCCACCCCTCAGCTAGCTCTTTAGGCAGTTTAGTACCCGACAGCTAGTAGGCACAGGCCCTTACCAATCCAATCCCATCGCCAACCAAGACGTCCCTTCACACTACTACTCGCCCTACTCGCCCTACTCGCTCTACTTGCTCCTTGAACAACTCCAAGCCCGTTCGTCTTCTTCGCTCTACTCCCTCCGAACATCATCAACTCTTCTTCATTCTCTTGCGCATCAGAGCCTGGCGAGTTACATCACAGAGAGCCTCAATCATCTCTGTCTCGTTCAAGCAGCACATTCGCCCTCAAAGATACCCTTTGTGCTGTCTGGTACGCCGTCGCTTACACGTCCGCTGGCAACTTCGCACCAGCCTGTCCACTCAGTCCTACCGTACTATTACACCAACTGCAGCTTCATCACCGTCTCTTCCCATCACCAAACTCACCGCCAGCCAGTTTTATTACTGCTTGCTCTTTGCGATTAGGCGTCTGTCAAATTTGCTTCATGTAAGTCCCTGCAGCTATCATCGCGACCCTGTTCCCTTGCTTCATCCCCTGAACGCCTGCGGTCAAGGCACTCAGTATCTGCCAGACCACTTCGCATTTATCCCCAATTGTAACCGGTCCTACTCAATGATTTGTGCAATTACTTGTGCATATATATCGCTCGGCTGCAGCGCTGATCAGAATATCGGACAAAGTCCTTGCTAACGCTATCGCTTTGCAGCAGTCCGTTCACTTGCCGGTCCTTCACGGCTCCACTCATCTCTATACTGCCACCTTCCTCATCATACGAAAGAATCAACAAACACAATCACAATGGGTTGTGGCATGAGCACAGAAGAGAAGGAGGGGAAGGCCCGCAATGAGGAGATTGAAAATCAGCTCAAGCGCGATAAGATGATGCAACGAAATGAGATTAAGATGCTTCTTCTCGGTGCGTACTGCCATTCGCGCTACTACCGAATGCTTCGGAGCTCTTACTGATGGAACGATAGGTGCTGGTGAATCTGGAAAGTCTACCATCTTGAAACAGATGAAGCTTATCCACGAAGGCGGCTACTCAAGGGATGAGCGAGAGTCTTTCAAGGAGATCATCTTCAGCAACACAGTGGCATCTATCAGGGTGATTCTCGAGGCTATGGAGTCACTAGAGCTACCCCTAGACGACCAGCGCGCCGAGTACCACGTCCAGACTATCTTCATGCAGCCAGGTCAGATTGAAGGTGAAAGCCTTCCGCCAGAGGTCGGTAACGCCATTAGCGTTCTCTGGAAAGACGCTGGCGTTCAATCGTGTTTCAGTCGGTCACGAGAGTACCAACTCAATGATTCCGCCAAATAGTGAGTTATTCTCTTGCACATCCCCACAGATAGACCAATTTTCAATCGCCCGGATGCGCATTTCTGACCCAAATCTCAGCTACTTTGATTCCATTGAGCGTATTGCGGCTCCCGATTACATCCCCAACGATCAGGATGTTCTCCGGTCGCGTGTCAAGACGACCGGTATCACTGAGACTACCTTTATCATCGGTGACTTGACATACCGCATGTTCGATGTTGGTGGTCAGCGATCTGAGCGAAAGAAGTGGATCCACTGCTTCGAGAATGTCACAACCATTCTTTTCCTCGTCGCCATTTCCGAATACGACCAGCTTCTCTTCGAGGATGAAACTGTCAACCGTATGCAAGAAGCTCTCACATTATTCGACTCCATCTGCAATTCAAGATGGTTCGTCAAGACTTCCATCATTCTCTTTCTCAATAAGATCGATCGATTCAAAGAGAAGCTACCGGTCAGTCCAATGAAGAACTACTTCCCCGATTACGAAGGTGGTGCCGATTATGCCGCGGCTTGCGACTATATCCTGAACCGCTTTGTCTCCCTTAATCAACATGAGACCAAGCAAATATACACGCACTTTACATGTGCTACCGACACCATGCAGATTCGCTTCGTTATGGCTGCTGTCAACGGTACGTCATTACCCTCCTGTCCCAAATGAAACACGACTGATGATTCATAGATATCATAATCCAAGAGAACCTTAGAATGTGCGGTTTAATATGATACAAGCCAAGCGACGATAAACGCGCCACGTTGGAAAAGTAATAAACTACGAAGACAATACAGCGGTTGTAATTTCTCATATCCTCACATTTCCTGGGACCATCCTAGGGGCTTTCGACTTGCAGCAATAACGACGAACCTACCCATTCTCATATGCCATCATCGAGATCATCTGCGTACGCGCATTCGGCGGGTTTCTTATACTCATATACTGGCGTTCTGTCGAAAATCTGAATCTTTCTTATCTCTCCCTGTTACCTCCTTATCCCGCAACGACACGGAAACGCAACGCAAGGCAAACGATATATGGAGGGCATTTGACTGGGAACAGGGAATCTTCACAATCAGCTTGCCTCGTTTCTCAGGTATCCTTGCCCTTCTCTTAGACCGCCACTGTACTGTCTTGTGATAGAGAGTGGTCAGGGCTGAATTTTCGATCTACTAATATGCGATCTGTATACTTGAGCGAAGTGAGACGGTGAGATTGACTGTTGTGCTAGCTAGCCTGTGGAAACGGAGTGAAGCGTCCCCTTTCATTCTGGGGACGTCGGGATGTCCTGTCTGATACCAAATGAATAGTCGTTTAATTCTCTATCTTCTGTAACACCCGTGTTTTACCGTGTACGCCGAATGAAATATGTGAGGCAAATTGAGCAGGATAGATCCTCCTCTCAGCAATCAAGCTAGGCCACACCTGTTTCAGCATTTCGCACTTCTCCGCCCCACAGACACAATGTTTGAGGAGATGAAACATGCACAGCATGCTGTCATTCTAGCTCACTACCTATCGCCAGGCCGTCCATGGGTCGGTCCGTCACAGTCATTGCACGAACGACAAAATACCGAAAGTCTCCATATCGCGCTCTTGCCATCCCCACAATATCAATCCCATCCATCCACTACAACAACCACGAAGGATCTCCGAAACAAGCCCACGGACCAGCATCAATCCCGATCCAACAATCCCAATCCATTCATCAATCACAAGTTACAAATCCCAAACAGACCACGAAGGCTCTGCCGAAACAAACCATCCGCCTTTCTTTATCCGACTGGACATCAAACCGTAGTGGTTCTCTTTTTTTCACGTGCTAGCGATCGATCCTTCCGAGATCCTTTCTTCATCTACTTCTTCTTCTTCTTCTTTCCTTCCTTCCTTCCTTCCTTCTCACTCACTCCACCAATGAACAACACGTACAACTGTTTCGAGACTGACATGGAATAGGCCTCCACGTGCCCTCCACGTGCGACCTAGATCCACCCCCTTGAGGCGCTTTGCTCCGGCTTAGATATGTGGGGGTGGAAGGGGGTGGTTTTGTGGAACGGCTTGTTCATGCTCGAGATGGATGCTGGCGTTGGGGCGTTGGGTAAATGGGGTTAATGGGGACTAAGGGTGGGATGTAGATGGATGGACGGGTTGGAATTTGAGCATAGCACGGGGAAGCGACTATGCTTGCTTGCTTGCTTTCTTTCTTGCTCGGAGACACCCTCTCCCTTGTCGCGCATATCATGTCATGTCATGCGCGATTGTGCATGAATGAATACACAGAAGAAAGTACGCAGATGATATCGTGCGAGGTCATTGATTCTGAGTGTGTAGCCATATGGGTAGGTAAGAAATAGTGAGTAGTATCTATCTGAGTCTTAGCATACGGGTTTGGTGAGAGCGTGGCGTTGGGAAGGGTTTAATTGTGTGCAAGTTGTGATGCTACTGCGCTATGTGGATGGAGGTTGAGGGAGAAATATCGGGTTTGATTACGGTGAAAATAGTCGTGTGGTGAGATAGAGATGGAAAATGGAGGTGTGCAAGCCCTTTCAATTAGGTGTTACTGCTGCTGGTAGTCTGAATCTGAAGAGCTGTCAAAAACTATGTCATTTCGCTGTGCACAGGTCAAGCAGGGACTCAAGTGAACAAGACAAGCCCAAGACAGAAATAAATTCAACACTGTGACACAATCACGCAATCAAGTACTCATCTTCCGTCCCCCTCTGACATCCAAATTCTTGAAACTTTTGACTGACTATATAATTTAACAAAATATCTACACTTTCAGTCAGCAGCACTAATGGTGTAAAGTCATAAACGCGCAGATTCTTAATTGTGATCAAAGACAAATTCCATACAACTTATGGTTCCTACAAGCCAGCGGTTCAATACCACTGGATTGTAGATTTTGATTTTTTGTTGAATTTTCGACGACCTCGATTTTAGCGGTGAATCAGGCAGCAGTGTTGTTTCTGTTTGGTTTTTGAAGAATGGGAGTGCGTAGGCATGTCGCTACAGTTATATTTGCCTGTGGGAAGTCTACTACGGACTGTATACTACGAGATCGAATCAAGGACAATGTCTCTCGTCACGCACTTCTTAAAATCATAGCTCTAGCTGTCCTTCAGAGTTTGACACCACCCGGCCTTCCAGTAGTGATTTCCCCATGCTCACTCCAGTCCCCAAACTTCGGGAACCCATCCCCACCCTCACTCACCTCCGTACTCCTCACGCTAATCCTCAGCCCGCTCACACTGCCAACATCCAACTCGACACCCTCCTGCTCCACTCGCCAGCTCAAGTTATCTTTCAGATAAGCCAAAACACTGTCCTGATCCAACGCACTCAGCTGCCCTCTATCGAACCTCTCCTTTAGCGCCTGTGTCAACTCCACACTGTTCCGCACCACGTCTCCCTGCGCACCCCGTGCGTTCCCCAGGAAAACCGTACTGCCAACGTATGAGCTATCGGTCGGCCAGCGGAGCGGCGGAGAGGAGGCTGTGCCAGGCCCGAGGAATATGTCGATGGAATAGATACCACCCATGGCGTCATCCTGGGCGAGCGTGAGCGGGGCATCGACGACGGCGAGATATGCGCGCGGAGCAGCACGCGAGTTTGGTGATGCCACAGATGTGGCCATTGGGCGGTACAGGGCGTTGATGCGGGCTTTGAGCGTTTCGTTGGACGGGTTATCGGCGAGCTCCGGGTAGGTGTAGTGATTAACGGTTGTCGGGCGAATTGAGTTCGAGGTCCAGAATTCGCCGGAGGAAGTGCTATGGAAGGGCCAGAGTGCTATGAGATGCGTTAGGAAGACGGGAGATTGGGGGGATAGGATGGGAAAGGGGCGCCTACGTGTTCCGGCATTGTATACTTGGCCGCGCCTTGCCATAAACGAGGGAATGCTTTGTTCGTAGGGGGTGACGTAGGTGTCTGGATATAACTTCATGAAGATGTGCATGATGCGGTCTACGTTTGCGTGATGGACCCAGAATAACGGGTCGAATGCTGCGACAGGAACGGCGCCCATGTGTCCCCCGTTGAATGTGCTGTGGATATTGTTGTGGATACCTTCTAGACTGCCGTACAAGCTCTGTTCGCTACCGGTGTTACTGAACTGGTTGAAGCTTTGATACTGTGTGAGAATCTGATAGAGCGTCGTGCGGATGTTGGTGTTCTCCCCGCTGAGCCGTGATTCGATGGCCGCGATGTCGTCAGCCTCCGTTGGAGAAGTGCGCCATGTGACATTGCGATCACTCCATGGAGAGCTGAAGACATTGGGAGGGAGCGGATGGAAGCTGTAGCGAAGAAGCGGGTTGGGTATATCGGTGGTTGTGCCGTTTGGAAACGTTACGCTAGCGGTGGCATCTGTCATGACGTCTGGCAGAACGTCGTGGTTCGACGACTCGAGGCCCCAGTCCCAGTATGGCAAACGCAGCTTTGCGGCCTCTTGGACATATCTATCACGTTTGGCACCCGCTGGGAATTCAGCTGCGATCTCGCGTGCCCGAAGACTCAGGACTTGCTGTTACCCCTGACTGTGAGTTTTGATCACGATGAATATCGACAACAACAGCCTACCTCGAACAGTGCAAGATAGGGTTTGTGCCAAGTACCAAACAAATTAGACCCATGGAGGCAGTATCCAGCGTTCGTCACGCCTGTGGATTGCACGCCATCCCATGCAACATTCGGCTGGCCATGAATACCTCAAGCTTTGTCAGTAAGTACAGGGGAGTAGACACATGGCACATACCAGCAATTTGATAATATGAACTTCGCGCATTCTGATCCATAGCCTGGAATCTTGCCCACGCAAGGAGGAAGAGGTTCCATGCTTCAGGCTGAGATTTGAGATCGCGTATCTCTATGCGAGGCTGCGTGCCACCCACCGTTGCTCCTGTAACGGCGAGGAAATTTTGCTGTCGTCGGGCATTGGATACCGGATTGGGAGAGCCTAATACAACACTGGTAATAAATGCTACGACAGCAAAGATCCCAAGCGAGCTTGAAACCATCCTTGAAGAAACGAACTAAAGCTTGAGGTTGAGTATCGTAGATTGAGAAAAGTGTCTCCGCGAATGCGATTCAGCTATATAGGCATTAGAGTTGAGCAGCTGATTTCATATAAGTGTTATAGAAAATTAGCCTCGCATCCCAATGTAAGCTCCAAGTAATAGGCAAGGATTCCATCGCATGATGTGCTTGTCGTGTATATTATCGTATGATACTGAACCCAGCCTCAACGCGGTTCTGGAACGACAGGGGCTATTCGTAACACAACGGTTCTATGGACTGAAGCCACCCTGAAGATCTGCAAAGACGCAGCCAAGTTCTCGTATATGTCATCTTTCAATAGTCACGATATCGGCATCTGCGATACGACTATTATCCTTCCACGTTGCAGCTGTCAGCAATTCGCATGTGAGCAGCAGTGCGACAAGACCGGTGAAATATTTATAGCTTGGCGGTTGGTCCAGAAAGCTGGAAAAAGGATGTCGTGACGGGCTTCCAGTGCTCCACGAGGCTATTTATGCCATCGGCTCCGAAAGCATGGTATACATGATGGTTCATTGCATCGATTGGATCAGCGAATCACATGTGTTGCGTTGGTTTGCAAGCCCGATCTTCAGTACTACTGAATCCCAAGTGATGCTATAGGGAGAATTTATCATGCAGAACGTAGACGAATTGAAAACTGCGGTTTAATAATAGTAGCAGCCCATATGAGCTTCCCATAGAGGACTGCCTAGCGAACGCTGCTATCTTCCTCTGGTAGTCAGGACCCGATCTCGTGATAAGATTTTTCTGCTGAGGCTACATCGTGGATGCATGAATGTTATAACGGCTCTTGGCCCCAAGAATGGGCATGAACAGACACGCGTTCACCTTACCACTTGCTGCAACATGAAGGATCACACACGGACGAAGCTGGGACCCTCGGGAGAAACGTGCAGGTCCCCTCGTTGGTACGACGAGACTGATCAAGGTCAAATTCATGTATTATGGCAGATAGAAGGTAATACAACCAAACAACACGTGTCTGCAGTAGGATCGAAAACCCGAAGAAGCTTCTTCATGTAAGGATTGATGCTCTAGACAACCTGTCGACAAATACCACACCATACAGTATTGTACGACTGGGATCTGCCTAGGTTAAGATTGCTCTTTGGCTGATTTTACCTGATTTTACCTGATTTGCATGTCTGGCGCCTTGGCAATTCCACGAAGGATTTTAAAAGATCTGCCAAAATTAGGTATTCGTGCACCGAATGCCCAGGGTACCATGCAGACAGACCACACTGATTGTTGGGAGAGGAAGCCTGATGCGGTGGGGATCGTCATTCTTAGAGATACTAGCTACCTTCGAGCAACAATATATTCAAGTTGTTATCGATTGGGAGACAATGATATGTGGTGATGTTTACAGCTTTCCTCAGTCCGTCGGGTTCTGGGAGAATGCTTCAATGACGCTAAATCGAGATACATTTGTGAATAGCCATGATATGCGGATCTGGATTCTTTCGTAATTTACGTCCGACGACCCGCGTAAGTGTTGCAATCGTATTATGTATCCCCGCGCAGTGGAAAATTAGGAAGTACTACATATTGTCAGATCAGGTCATCTGTAAGACTGGAAGTACGGCATGTAGATACGGCGAGGTCATGTTGCAACTTCTATGCTGTAGGCCGACATAATGAGAATGCAAAGCATTAACACGAAGTAATGAAGACGGAAGCTTGTCGATGGTTACAACTTGAATATAATAGGATGTTGTCAATCTTATGATCTTCTGAAGAAGACTCTTCGGGCCGTTTTGCGCTGCGGTCATACTTGGACGGTCGGCAGATCGAAGTATGCGTAGCCTTCCAGCGTCGGGGAGATGCTAGCCCTTCGTGTGAATTGACATTCATAAACCTTGGAACTCGGAAGTACGTCGTGTCTTGTCTACTACCAACTGCCTTGCAGGCGGGTCGCATGCTCATAAAGAAGTGTGTCAATTGTCGCACAAGGCCGTAACTGTGGTACTCTTCTTCCCTCCACCGAAAGATGGACGCATCATCGACTAAATGCCATACTTTTCTGGAAAAGAAGAAGGCATAGGACCGGTGTGTTATGTAATATCACGTTCTGAGACGTCCCTTCATGACCCAACGGTGATCTGTCAAGAAGAGTACCTATGGTAGGCAGGTATCTCTGCGTGGGCATAGAGAGGAAACCAGAGATCTTCGGAATAAAGAGCTTGATCATGCAGCTGCAGTCGTCTAGTAATTTGTCGTCAAGTCGCCCTTAAGCCGCTTATTAGGTCTGTTTGAAAGCTTGACAAAACATCAACCGTTGATATTGACCGAGATGGAAGGCAAAAACATCGGCATCTCATCGCGGTTAAAGCCAATCGGTGGTCCGTGCACGAAGTTCCTTTCCTTGCTCTCTCTCCATAGTGAATATGGATCCCTATGACTCCATCGGAGTCCCGAGACCATCGGCCAGCATGCTATGCGCAACAACTATCTTCAGATCTTCTGATGACTCCGAGATACCGGTTTCGCTTAACACAATGCTGGACTATAGGACATGTTAGGCCTTGTGCTTAGCAAGCAAACGCACTCAACCAACCGCGAGAGAGTTCTGATTCTACGACTCGCGCCGGTAGCGGTTGACGGACAGATGCCGAAACTGCGGCATGCCGATAACGCTTCGCACGAATTTTTACCATCATGGATGGAGACGCCATACTTCTTCGGTGCAATGTGTCGACCTTCGACAGGGTGGTCAATTGGTTTGTGGAGACGATCGGCTCAAACTTGCCGAGCTGCAAAGATTGTCTGAAGAAGAGTTCAACGCTGTGTACCATGTTGATGTCATGTATATTTACCGTCTGTTCGCTACGAAGGGTTGTTACCCATGTCAGAACATTAATATCCTGACGTAAATCGCATCAAAAGAGCTTGAACAAATGGGCAATAATAAAGATGTCGAAGCCACGCTTCATGACCAGACGGACCTTTTGCCACGCAAGCAATTGCTTATCGTCTTCTCGGTGCTTGCCGTCTCTCTGTTGATATGTTTTATTGACCAGAACGGCATTGGTGTCATTCTGCCTACCATTGCACGAGATCTCAATGCCGAGAACACCATTTCTTGGGCTGGCACATCCGCCTTGATTGCCAACACGGTCTTCCAGGTCCTATATGGGCGCTTCTCTGATCTGTTTGGGAGACGTATAGTTTTCGTAAGCGCACTGGTCCTCCTTGCAATCAGCGACCTGCTTTGTGGCCTCAGTCAAAGTGCAACGATGCTATATATCTTCAGAGGTCTTGCTGGAGTTGCGAACGGAGGCATCACAAGCCTGGCGATGATGATTGTCAGCGATATCGTCACCCTAGAAGAGCGCGGAAAGTACCAGGGGTAAGATGTATACCTCCCTCAAAAGGATTTGTAATTGACTGTTGTAGAATTCTTGGTTCGATGGTTGGACTGGGCAATGTTCTTGGCCCAGTACTAGGCGCTGCTTTTGCAGAGCGGTCGACCTGGAGAGGCCTGTTCTATCTCCTCTGCCCGACGTCCATCATCTGTGCCGGACTATCCTGGTTGTTATTACCGCATAACATGCCAACGGTTAACTACAAAGAGACAATCCAGAAGATCGACTTTGCAGGACTATTATCTGGATCAATCGCGGTGATCTTCTTGCTGATACCGATATCCGGTGGTGGCTCATACTTTGCATGGGACAGTCCTATGGTGATATCGATGTTGACAATTGGAGGCCTATCTCTGATCGCTTTTGTGCTGATCGAGTGGAAATTTGCCAAACTACCGATGATGCCCCTGAGTTTGTGGACAAATCCAGCCGTGGCAGCACTGCTTATCCAGAATTTCTTCTTTGGGGCAGTATACTATGCTTATTTATACTTTCTGCCCTTGTTTTACCAGAATGCTCTGGGTTATAGGTAAGCATCATTCTGTCAGTCAGTTTGGAAAGTGACTTATGGTTCTAGCCCAATGCGATCAGCTGTAATGACATTCCCTATCGTTCTTACGCAGACATTCTTCTCGATCGCGTCCGGCAGATACATCTCGCATTTCAAACGATACGGCGAAGTACTATGGTCTGGCTTCTTTATATGGACCCTCGGCTCAGGACTCACCATCTTGTTCGACACAAACTTTCCTGTCGTAGCCATGGTCTTCATCCTTATGGCAATCGGTCTAGGCTCAGGTAACACTTTCCAGCCCACCATCGTTGCACTACAAGCACACTGCTCCAAACCACAGCGCGCCGTCGTCATCTCAAACAGGAACTTCTTGCGGAGCTCCGGCGGCGCCATAGCATTAGCCAGCGGAGCAGCTGTCTTGCAGAACGTCTTGAAGTCCCATCTCCCTACCGATCTCAAGTATCTGGCAGCGTCAACGTACTCGACCCCAGACTACAGTAAATTCAGCGAATCACAAAAGCAGCAAATCATTGCGTCGTACGTGGCTGCTAGCCGCGCTGTGTTCATCATGCTCGCCCCGTTCATGGGCGTCTGCCTGTTTGCATGCTTCCTAGTCAAGGACAAGGGTCTTACACGGCCAGACGAAGTAGCCGTTGCGCAACGCGAGCCAGCTGATGCTGAATCAGGCAGCATTTCAAACGCCGGACGAGAAAAGGTGGACCTGGTGACAGACACGGCCAACGAGGGAGGCGACCAGATAAGCAGAAAGTCCAGTGACTCGAAGCATTCCATCGATGGGGTTGGGATCAGATCTCACTCGGAATAAAACCAGAGCCTAGGCGTCAAGACTGGGTAGCGAGTCCAATGCTCCACACTGAAGGCCACCAGCCTCGAGCCGGGCATAGATCCACTCACTGATCAAACCACAGATCAAGACGCAGATGAATATCAAGAACAAGCAAAAAAATCGCGCGCCCACGCGTCCATATGACACGCTAACGCACGATATCACATGTCTTCTGTGGATATCGCCACCGGGGGCAAACAGAGGCGACTCGTCCTGCCAATGAGCTGCTATACACGACGTATGACTCTTCGACGCATGGATCTCACTATTAAATATATGCAAAGAAAGCTAAAGCTTGCCGTGGCAACCCGTAATACATCCCTGATAACGAACCGCAGACATGCTCCTATTGAGGAAGCTTACCCGGTGATGAGGCACTCGATACTACGAAAGTGTAAATGCCGAAGGCATCAACAGCGCAGACATCTAAGGAGTTCAGTTTGATGGGAAAGCCAAGGTTATACTTGTGTATCTACCTACATAGAGTGTACGAAGCATATTAGGCCCCTGCCACGTACTCGAGCACGTGGTTCATCAATACCACTATTTTCGCCTCCCAACATGAAGCCCATCCCTGATCCCGTTGTACAAGGTACAAAATAAGCATATTACACCAAGCATCCGTCCCTTGATAACGATTGCCTAGCGCCTGATTATCACACCATTCCGGGTAAACCACGATGCTTAGATGGGCGCGTGACTCACACCATAAGTCTCACAAGCAAACATGGTCATCGAATGTGGATACCTGTTTCCGAGCGGTGGAATCTGATACTATTAGGCAGCAAGATTCAATGTTAGAGGAATGGCGCGAGGTGGCACCAGGCAGAAATGAAGCCTTGGATATGAGGCAACGTGGCCTTAGATTACCCCTGGATGTCTAGACTTCAGCATCAGCATAAACCAACAAATTGTCACCAAACGGTACGTAGAAGACATAACGGTAGCGACTGTCTTGAGGGATTCGACGAGGTAAAATACAGGTGGATGCTATACAGTCTAAGGAAGAAAATGAGCCGAAAGCACGGACAGAAATGGGATTGTTCTTGAACAATCTGAATCGTACGGAAAGAGGAACAAACGAAAGGGACATCGTAATCGAGTTCTCGAGAAAGTTGTGCGCACGACTGAACGAAAGACCCCGACCCCAGTTCTCCCGTGCCATGAACTCCTGGCTATGCATATATAGAGACGGGGGGTAACATTCCAAGACGAAAAGGTACACGAGTAGGAGGTAATTGCGATATCCAGATTTGCTCGTGGCCACATTAAGACACACTTGTGGTGATGTTCATGGCCTTGATTGAAGGCTTGCCACTGTCTCCTCTAACTTTCGTAACCGCTCGTCCTTCTGCTGATTCTCCAGCTTTAGCTTCCTGATGACTTCGCGCAGATCTTCGCTTTCCGCAACGCCTACTACATCCACGTCCGTTGCTGTGGCCGACATGCGCTTTCTCTTTCGCGCTTGTTCCGTGTCGAGGGCTTTCAGTTGTGGATCTACACCGTCCATGGCCGGATCACCATTCTGGCCGTCCCATTGCGCATTATCTGGACTATGTACCATTGTACTCTCGAGGACACTATCTTCACCGAGTTGTGTTGTGTTGCCGACGTCCGTGCCCCCCGAAGAGGTCCTGTGAACGCGCCGGATGTGTTCGGCAAGATTTTCTTTACGCGTAAAGCCTGAACCAGAGCTGCGCTTGCAGTCTGCATGTGGGCAGTATAGTGATTTCTTTGTGCCGCCGTGCATCTTGTGAACTTCGCGCTCGTGGCGCAAGAGACCTCCCGAGTACGTGAAGCCACGAAGCTTTTCGCAGCCTCGCGCGTTGCATTTGTAGGGCCGATCATGCTTATCCATGTGCTTGCTGCAATATGTTAGTTTTTGACTATTTAAACGGATCTTACTGGCGACAAACGTACCTCCATTCGCACTTGCGATCAAAAACAAGATTGGTGCATTCTTTCGAGTTATCTGCAAATTTGCAGACCATCCTGCCTTGGGCATTCCGTGGTGGGTCTTCTGGCCGTTTATACGCATGATTCCTTCGTGGGAAGTAATCTATCCCGTCTGCATTTTCTGAGCCGCTGTGTTCCGAATCTTTCGAGCGCGACTCTGGCCGTTCGATGTATGTTTGTGCGGCTTTCTGCTCCGGATCCATCGCGATACTGACCGGACTCAGGATATTCTGCTGGCTATTACTGGGCTGTAGTGGAGCATGCGCGTTCATAATGTGTTGTTGTTGTTGATACTGCTCCTGAGTGTCGCCCATCTCGGGTTGGAAGGGGCTGGTGTTATACGTAAAGTCGCGAGGACTGTTGTATGAGTTTAGTGGACGATGAAATGGCTCAGGCGGCGAAAAGGGTTCGTATATATCTTCGAAATCGTTGACTCGAAGCTCCGGCACGTTCGGGTTTGCTGCCTGATGATGGAGTAGAGTGAGAGGCTCGGTGGCGAGGTGGCCAGGCGACGAGGCATTAATAATATCGTTGCTTGGCAGGTGGTCAAAGCTTCCACTGAGATGACTATTATTATGGCTGAGCCGTGTCGACGCGTTCGACTTGTAATGCGTTGGAGAAACGTTGATGGCTGTTGCTGTTGCTCTTACGTGGCGCCCTCCAGCTCGATTTTGTAGGCGGTCGTTGTGGTTATGTGTGCCTCCAGCTGTGTTGTCTGCCTACTGTCAGCGTTGTCTCACAGACTAGTAGCCGCGACGGCGAGCCTAAGGCTTCAGAGTCCAGAAAGTAGGCTTCCAGTCGCGTAATTGCGGGCAGTAGCAAATTAGATGAGTCACCAGACGAGATGAGTGATGAAGTAACAAGAAATAAACAGGAGACTGTCACGAACCTTGACCATGATATTGCTCTGATTCTTGGCGCCTGGGCAAGTAGGAGATGGGCGTGGTAGGTGTCGGTGTGGACGGGGATGTGGCAGTGCCCCTCCTCATCCAATTTTCGTCCGGAATCTGCCATCCCACTCCGCGATGTCTGCCATCTTCGCTGTATTCGCTATATTCAGGTTCCGAAGACGATACGCCTAAGATCTGGCGTCCATAGTTTAAATCTGGTACACGATCATGCATTGTCAGTGACAGCCTGAACTATCCCTGGATTCTGGACTATCCAGTGTTCTATTGAAGGCGGACTTACAGGCGTTTGTTTGAGGCGGCGGCCAGTTTCTGAGCTCATCACTCTGTTGAAATATCCTCCCGATTGGCACCGCCGGGTTCAAGTGAACAAGCTGGGCCGGTGCCGGGTCTGAGTAGGTGAATTGTTCATACGGTCGGTCAAAGAACATCCAACATACCTGCTCGCGTTAGCATTCACTTGTCGCGAACAATGTCAGTTTCAAACATACGCCCCAGAGCACTGCTAAGGATGGCTTGATACTCCATGGCCAAGTCGTGCACTTGGGCCTCTGATTGTTGGGATATTCACTAAACCAACCTACAGACCTCCGACACTGCCAGTCGAGCTCCTGCCTCAGGCTTCTCTGGAGTTTCTGCCATCGCATACTGGCAACAAGCTCCACCGTCTTGCGAATCAGGGCTTCGATCATCGAATCGCGATAATGCAGCAACAGATACTCCATTTTGGCCACATAGGATAAGTCCGCGTGGACATTGTGGCTGTGTACTACTTCGTCGCCACTGCTGACGAGGCGATCATTGCTGCCCAGGTTCATCTGAAGCGTCGCAAGAGCATCGTAAATGAATACGAGTAGCCTCGCAAGCTCGACCCAAGTAAGTGAGCTCCAATCTGGATTCACTTGTCCGGAAGCAAACAGACTTCCATCTACTGTGGTGTTGGTAAGTGGACCTTGTGGAAAACAGCACATCTGGGCATCAATATCTTGTGTCCTTGATCCTTGTCAACATCTCTTTCCATTTCTCGAAATCACCTGATAACTTACCAGTCTTCCCACTCAATTTTATTTATTCTTGATACTTTGCTCTTGGTCATCACAGATGACTTCTTTGGACAAGCCTTTCTAACTCGATATGCATCGGAATTATGCTTTCGGTAACGATGATCTTGCTTCGACAACTTCCAGTCCGTGTCCATGTGATGGTTTTCGAAGGTACCTCTCATAAGCTCTGGCTGAGCCTCATGACTGACTGACGCGGCTTCTCTCTCATGCAACGCTGGATTGGACCAGCCCCTCTGTGCTTTCAAGCTTGTCACAATATATTTTGCGATCTGCAACACGCGAGTTGCGACTCGAATCTCAGCTGAGCCATGAAGTTGATGCGGTTCTTCTTGGACAGCCATTCTTGGCTGTATGGTGAGACGTAAACAGCGCGCCGATCAGTATAGTAACGTCGTGTCAAGATCCAATGGCTGTAATTCAAGTGACAAGTGTAGGGCATGAGCAATATCAAGGGAGTCAACGATGTCCAAAATAGCTAAAGCCTTTGATGCTATGTCTGACGAGACAATCGAAGCTTAATAAGAGCAAAACAGATGAAGACAAGCAGAGCTGAATACCGTGACCATAGAGTGAGCGACCAACCCGATATATTACATATTTCCTCAGGCCTGTCTTTCTCAACATTACGACCCGCACTCACTGAAGCCTAAGTCTGCCTTTAGGTAGCGCACGGGAATCGCCTCGTGGTTGAGGCCATTCTTCAGGCCATTTACTCCACATTTCGTAAGAAAATGCAGCCAGTGACAGCGCACTCCTGCAGCATCCTGCATAGTAATCGAACAATGGATCCCTAATTGGCCAGCCTCGCATGAATATGTGTGGCGGTGCTGACCGGTCACAGAGAAGGCAGCGAGGCGCAAGCGAGTTGCACTGGCGAGAAATTACATATCGGTTTCAAGTTCATATCGTTGGTGTTGCTGCCTGGCCGATTGGAGCAACATTCTATTGTGCGAACATCGCCCGGCGCATACTGTGGCCGGTCTCAAAACTTTGTAGTAGAAGGCGTCTGATAGAGATGGCAAATTAGTATATTGCCCAAATAATGCGAATTTGATGCTCCGATGCTGTTCCATCTCTATCTAAGCTATTCCTCGGCTGTGCTGTAAGTCAATCATAACTCTTGAGCAGCACTAACTACAAGACTGCCATTTCTAGGATGAAGACCTCAAACATGCACGCTTCAGGCTTCATCTTGTGGTCCACTGCTTGTTGGTCTCTGGTCGACCTCATAGTCAATGAGTTTATTTACATGGTAAAGCCGCTTACGCCTATCTATATGCTGATCACCGGTACTTACCCCTTCAGAAACCCACTTACCACTCTCATGAATCGCTCTCGCTCCTCCCAGTGCGGCATGTGGCTGCTTTTGGCAAAACTGACCCATTTCACATGCTTCAATTCTTTGAACCAGGGCGTTACAACTTCGTCTGTGGCCTCGTCGTATGCGCCATTTATGAGCATTGTGGGCACGCTGATGTCGTGGACATGGGGTGTGATCACCCAGTCTTTGAGGCCGCCAACAACACAAAATTCGGAGGGGCCATTCCTGTTTTTGTGTTAAAGCAATGCTCTGAAACTAAACTATAGGTTCATGCAGCGCGATCCGGCCGAATGTAGAGCTTAGCTTACATTGTAGTATATACAGTGTCATCCTGTTTGAGAACGTCGAAAGTGTCCAGGACTGGTATAGGCATTGGATCTACCCGGCAGACATGTCTCTTGTAGAACACAAATATCGCAGCTTCATACTCCTCACTGTCCGTAGTGCCATCGGCTTCGTGCTTGGCTATAATCTCCTGCACTTCAGCAGGCAGCTCGTTACGCAGCTTGTTGGTCTCAGTGATCCAAGTGTGCATATCGGTGGGCGAGTTAGCAACGATCAGTCGAGTGAGACCTAAGGGTCTCCGTAGTGCATACTGGCCACCAAGCATACCTCCCCAGGAATTCCCGAAAACGTCGTAAGTCGTGATGCCAAGATGCTTTATGAGATTTTCCAACTCGTTCAGGAACAATTCAGGGGTCCAAAAAGAGGTGTCACCCCTCTTCTCTGGTAGGAGCGTACTCCTGCCACAACCAAGCTGGTCGTAGAACACCACTGGTATTCCGTATATTGTCGTGAGATCAATCATGGATAGCAAGTAATTGTGGGCCATGCCAGGACCCCCATGAAGTAAGACGCATGGTCGAACATTGGACTTCAGGTCACCATAGACTTTGAACCACGTCTTACATGTCTTGCCTGTGCCTGGTACGTCGTAAATTGCCTCGCCTTCCGTACTTGGAATCGACATGAATAAGCAAGAACTGATGTGTCCTCGATAAAGCTATTCTGACGATATCTTGATATACAGCGAAAAAGGAGCTGCTCAGTAGAATCTGGAAAGTGCTCAGTGGAAGGGCATGAAATGAGAACGAGACATCTTACTTATGGCACACTTGATTCGGTCCAAGACTACTCGTCGTAATACACACTTGTGCATGAGAACCACTCTTGGTCCAACATGGTATTCGCACGGCACAGCGGTGCGCAAGTGGAACCATTACGTCCGACACATTCGACATCAACCTCTGCACCGAACCCTCATTATCGGGAGCTGGTAAAGGGTATCTGACATTTGACATCAACTTGATATACCCAAAGTAGCAGCTCTGCAATGTCTTAGAACCATATTGTTCCACACGCCGGTGTCGGGCTTCCAGCGCATGTTGCAATGTGCCAAATGGGGAAGGAGCCAAGATATACTGAGCCCCACAAGGTTTTAGCAACACGCATCTGGTGCTCGATTGAGGAGCATAAGCTGTACTCTGCGGGGTACGAGGCTAACGTGGTTTGTTTTGACACGTCTAAACAGGGTGCTGATACGGGTGATAGTTGAGATCTGCGGTGGGTGTGAGGTACACATGACGAACCCCAAATAGCAGTTTCCGGTCTCGGCAAGTCAAGGCGTGACGCCTCGGATCTGCGAATAACTTATGCTGGAACGCTAACGTCGAAGTGGCTGACAGTGGTATGGAGTCGGGTGTCCGATAGACTCGTATGAGGTTGAGAGAAGGTTAAGAGGTACGGGTATGAATGGTTGTTCTGTATCCATCATTTTACGCTAGGCTCTCACAGGGATTTTGTCAGATACTTCAATATAGACCCTTCTGAGAGCTGTTGCATTCATTAGTATGATAGACTCGATGTTGTATATATGTTGTAGAAGGCTTGTGATCACAGATCTTGGCTTCTTTTAGTGTTTCGGATTAAAGTGACACAAAACATAGTCATGTCTTCTCAATACAGCCAGGCTTCGAAGTACCGCAAGTTGAAGGCGCGACATTTTTCACACAGTGTTATCTCATCGTAGTCACATGTAATTCTTCCAGTCGACGGAAATCGTATTTGGCGAATTGGTAGAGTGTGTGCACGTGTTTTTGTTTAAGCACGCATACTATGTATTTGAGGCCGCTTCCAGCGTCCAAACCTATGTACAGTTCTCAAATGCTCTCCCACCAACTTGAAGTCAAAACCAACGCCATGTGTAAGCAGTTACTGTATCTAGCTCGTGCCACTGCAGCCAACAAAGTTGTTACTGCTTGCACCAGTATGCGTGATGTCTCCAGCGTGCGCTCCACTGGTGTTGATGACAACGCGGTCAGCGCCAGGGGAACCTAGTTTTGGTCAGCCAACGATCGTAACTTAGTATGAAAATCCATCTTACCGCCAGTGTAAACACCGCCTTTCTTGATGGGAAACTCAAGGTAAGGACCAGAGACGTCGAAGTTAAACCCCTCGTAGTTGTTGTATGCGTGGGGATAGTTGTTGGAGCCAACCTGGGTTCCGCTCTTGTAGTAGTTGTACGCTTGGTTGGAGGCAGCAGACACCTCAGACGAGGTGTAAAAGACACCACCGCATGTCGTACCGGCTCTGGTGTCGAGCTCGACGGGAAGAGAGGCGACGAGAGGGACAAGAGCGAGAAAGGCCTTGAATACGAGCATCGTGACGGTTGATGACGGGAAGCAAGAATGACAAGACAAGCGGTAGTGATTTGAGGTTAGGCTTGAGTCGAGAAGTACTGAAGACCGGTACAATTAAGACATCCCATCTTGTGGTCTTTATATGTATCTCTCCGTAGGATCCTTCTCCAAGCCCAAGCCCATCGCTAAGCTGAAACTCCTCCTGGCAGCATCAACGTTCGCATTATCTCCATGTTATTGGATCGTGATCGTGACATTCCTAGGATTGCTCGGGAGCGATCCATGGATGTGGAAGGTCCCTGGAGATCTCTACACTAAACAAAAAGTATTCGTTGGATGGTTGTTGATCTTTTTGGGGGAGCAGATGCGATCAACGGAGGAACTAAAGTGTTTATCATGCCAGGGGTCAAATGATATGTTTTGGCTGCGACACATGTACGAAGTGGCGCCACCACGTTTCTTTCGTCCAATATATCTATAAATCGTGAATCCTTATGCAGGAAGCTCGACTAAGATCGCGGTTCGTGTTGGGTTCATCCTTGGCCTGTACCCGCAGTACCAGCGGACGCTAGACTTAAAACGGCAGTTCAAAGTTGACGCATGTTTCGGTGAGAGAATCGATTGGTTGCTGGCTTCTTTATCAGAGGCGGACTTCAGACCTTGAAACAAGAAAGCATATCGCAAGCTTAATGCACGTTCCGCAACCCTGTCTGTGATTGGACTCGATATAGCGATATAGACTCTTCCGGGCTTCGCCTTCTGTGGAACTGTAAGGCTATACCACAGACCCATCGCCGTGTTGGCCGTTGGCCAAGTCATGACCAAATCGTGTGACAGGTAGTGCCAATCCAAGCTCGATTTCTGAGTAAACCTCACTCGCCGGTAAAGAGACAATCCTATCCTAATTGTTGACCAACGGAGGAATCCTTCGATGGACGCGAAGTTTTTTGTTTCGCTCAAGTGGAGTATATGGACCCTTGTTAGCGACGTACCCAGCCATGTCGATCGTGCCCTGGAAGTGAATACAAGGTATTCGAAGGCGTGGACAAATCAGAAGGCTTAAGCCGCTGTGTAGATCAATGAAAGACATTCGGCGTTCTTCCTAGACTAGTGACGTAACATTCGTTGTTTAAGTGTTCAGTAGTAGACAGCTGTGAGTTGCAATCAAGTCCGAGTAGAGATTGTCTCGTTTTGACATACTCGTTCATGACAGTCGCCCCTCGAATCCTTCGACAAACACCACAATTACTTAAGGGTGCTACTTTTAGAAAGCGACACGCAACACATTTTTACAACGTTTCAGCCTTTTCGGACATAATGTCATCGAAAAAGATTCACAGCCGTTCAGAATTTACTGCGCTGAAGGAGTTCAGTGCAGGCGGTTCTGATGCTGCCGGTACGCTGGAGAAGTTTACCGAGCCACTCCGAAAGGCAGCAGGCAATGGTAACGAAGACGAAATTTCTGACGCTCTTGCCTACGAATGGAAGTCTATCCTTACTGTGGCCGAGAACACCACACACAGTGAGCAGTCACATCTGATTGATTTCGTAACACGGTTGCGCAAGGAGACCTTGAAATCCAGCAGCGGTGGCGCGATCAGCCATGAAGGCGGCTCGATCTGGACAGATCTTCCAACATTCGGTTGGCAAGTACGCGAAGCCTGGGGCTTCTGTAAGTATAATCAGTCTTGAATGTCGAGTGTCGATCCTGATCAAAGATAGCTCCAAAGCAACCCGGTGCTGACGAGGCATCGAAGACACCCTATGTTAATCAAAACGCATTTTTGGCCCGTTTGACGAATATGTCCACAGCTGGAGATGCCGATGACACTTTGGATTTCTCCTTGTATGCTCTGTGGAGTCTTCGCGAAGCCCTTGAAGATGACGCGCCGGAGGAAACACCTGGATACGGCGCGATACGAGCTGCTGCCGTGTGGATGATTTACAGCGCCGAGAAGATCTGGCAACTATCGGAGGCAGAGAAGGCGTTCGATGGGAAGCTCGCGAAGGCAGGGAGGAAGTTCAAGGATGAGGAATGGAGAGGGTTTAACAACGATCGATGGAATGTCTGGAAGGACGAATTCCGGAAGTTGGCGAAATGCCCAGACCCAGATGCAACATCGTTGGTCCAGAAGGCGCTGCAGAACATGGAGAATATCCAAAAGTCCTAGAGCATTCTGTAAATTAGGAAATGTATGGAGTGAAGCTTGGTGAACTTCAGTGGACGCAATGGAACGCGAGCAAGGCTGAACTAGTAGGGTAACCCCGCTAAGAACGCGGTCTCTAGCGCACGCGCGACCTTCACGGCTCATTGGCACGTCGCAGCGCTCATGTCTACTAAATACCTTCTTGCTGTTCCTTTTGTATACGGCTGACTGGATTACTACAATGCTTCTCACTTGTTCATAATGCCCAATTTTATCGCGGAGTGCAACGTCCTGAAGCCCAAAGACCCCACCTTGAAGGATAATAATGACTGGGAACTCTACACACTTAACAATGCAGAAGTTCGCGATGCTACGACTGGAGAGCTACGAAGTCTGCTCATGGCCGATGCCATGCAACCGGTCACCGTCACTGGCAACCTAGAACAAGTTTCAAGGAAGCAACAGAAGCTGCGCAAGTCCAACCCGCCCTTGATCATGACAAACAGAGCTTTGTGCTAACTGTCTCTCGGTAGTTGTACGGCCCGAGTACTTCAAGTCGACGCCTTTGAAGGTCGAGAATGTGATGTTGTTCTCATACGGAGAGGACCCCGACGACAAGGATGATCCCAATGCCATACAGTTCTGGGCTGCCGGCGAGGCTGGGTGGTTCAAGATCAAGCCAGGAAGAGCATACAAAAGTCTACATCTCGATATGCAGGAGTGTATAGAGCTTCTATGGTTCTCCGCAGACATCTACGCAAGTGTAAAGAAGGGTGCGACAGGACCTAGTGCAGAGATGGTCTTCCGCGAAGTTAGTACCCCATGCTGGCGAAGGGAGTGAGTTCAGCTGACCGTTTGGCAGTTTGTGGAAGACGAAGATAACGATTGCTCCACGATCGAGCAGGCACGCGATAGGTTCTACAGGCACCGACACTTCCTCATGCTGGCCATGATCAACGGGAAGGAAGGAATTCATTGGGGACGGCTCGGACTACGCACACATCTCCGACAACATTTCCCGGTCAGTACCGCCATTGCTCTGTCGCATCACAAGTCCGTTACCTTGGGCCCGCTAGCTGACCTCTGCTGTAGGATGATTACCAACAGATGCAAGATAAGTCCGGCCTCAAATCGATTACGAACAACGACTGCCCTCCGGGGACAAGCCAACACAATAAGAAGGGCTCGGAAGACCCTTCACGGACAAGCATGTCAAAGCAGCCAACCAGGAGTAAAGCGCCCAAGAAAGACAACAACTGGTTCCGTGCGCATGTAATATGGGAGGTCATACAACGCGCGGAGGTCTCGAAGACATTGAGACCTGAAAGCATGTCCATAGCGAATATTGCCAAGATCATGACCCAACGCTACGAGATTGACGAACAAGACGTAGCGATGGACTACATTCGGTCCCACGCTACCAATGTGCGATACATGATGGACCACAAAGCTGCAAAGAGAAGCTGCAAGATAGCGTGGAACAAGATTTCTCTTTTCAAGGAGCTGAGCAAGGCGACTATCTCCGCAGCGACGGCCCGGAAAGTCAACGAAGTGGAGCTGAAACCTAGAAGACAGCCTGTTGAGGAATATCACGAACCAGACGAGGAAGAGGACGAGGAAGAGGAAGATGACTTGCTGGCAGCATCGTCACGCGCTCGAAAGGGGGCCGGCCGGCCGAAGAATGGACGCCTGTCGGTCCTGCGACCTAAAACCTCGACATCAGCCAAGGGCACGAAGCGTATGAAGGCACATCCAGCAGGACGAGCGTCAGAAGATTTATCGGGTTCTGATGGAGAACTCGAAGATGCGATGGATCTGAGCTCGCCTGGCAAGAGACCGCTAGATTCTGACGACGAGTCACCTCCTAGCAAGAGGCGTGCTTCCGACCTCCCATCCTACCCCGAAACACCAGCGAACGTGCCAGACTTTGACGAAGACGACGACGAAGAAGACGAAAACGAAAACGAAGACGAAAGCAGCGAGTCCGCACTGTCAGAACTCTCGTCGCCCGAGCAGCTGGCCAACCAACAGATCCCTCTAAACTTTGACCCGAACGTCCCTTCGCCGCCTGGTGCCGAGTACGTGTCGACAATAATATCGACGCCGTTATCATCGTTCCAAGCGAATGCTCCAGGCAACGTCTGGAACTGCACATTCGACGGCTGTTCCCATCGCGTCTACGGCGCGAGCTCGGACGGCTCCCAGCAGCTGATCAAGGGCCACGTGAAGAACCACCAGCGAGAACAGCAAGTGAAGCTAGACCTGTTGATGTCGGAGGAGAAGCGGACGCGGCTTCCTGTCAGGTTAGTCAAACACGCACTTCCTTCCCCTTTGAACACTTTTTCCCAATTGTAATCTTCGAAGAGTGAATAAGGCACTAAAACCTATAAACAGTCATCTCTTCAACAGGATCCGCGAAATGGCCGCCCAGCAGAACCCTCTCGCCACAGCGCTCGCTGCGTCGGCTGCAGACGCAAACGGGTTCCCCTTGCCCATTGAGCGGAGAGGCTGAGACGGCTACTGCCTACCGCCTACTGCCTGAGAAGTTGCCGCACCCATATACACACACATACACACACACGCACACGCACAATCGAATTGGAAAGTAGAGTTTTCTGGCGTTTTGGAAATACGGAGGCCGGGTTTCGGCGTTGGTTTACGGAGGTTCAGGGGGTTGGAGCTTTGGGGGAACAAATGGGAGTTTATCTGTTTATACATAACTCGGGGCGTTTTGACTCATTTTCCATGATGGGTGATGGCTGATGGAATTGGCTCTCTGCCTGGATGTATGTATGTATCTTTACCGTACTGTTATCTCTGCCTATCTATACATCTATTTACGTACAGCCTACTTTGCAATATGATAGATTGTTGGTTGTTGGACGTTGTCTGTCTGTCTGTCTGTCTGTCTGTCTGTCTGTCTGTCTGTCTGTCTGTCTGTCTGTCTGTCTGTCTGTCTGTCTGTCTGTCTGTCTGTCTGT